GAAAGGTCTGTGGTACACCCTACATACAGCCCTGAAGGGCTAAAAAATCGCCGACCAAGATCTAGGTGACCGCTTGCTTTACCCCATCAACTTTTTGTCGTCTGGTTCTCTTTTGAGACCAGTCTCGTTCGCGGCCTTTTCCTGATTCAGGTATTTATATTGCTTCTTAATCAATTAGTATTTGCCCATGTCCTAAAACGGTATGTGGGAATCCTCTTTAACATCGCCAGCACTAAAGCACTAAAGCCCTTGGTATTCTCACGTGGGTCAGTTCCATTAAACGTGGCGTGCTCTATTATGTACCAATACATATTATACCTACCTACCTAACTAATCCTTTTTAACCCATCAAGCGAATTACTTTGACGTTTTTTGGGTATCTTCCAGGTTAGTATGCGACATCCTTCGAGATGGTGTAATACCAAAGTCATCACAATGTATGTTCTCGCATTCGGGATTTATTTATTTTTATTCGTATTGCAATAAGAGTTAAGAAAACGCGACCTAACAGCCCTAGATATACGCATAGTACACGATGGATGTGACAGGGATGATCTACATATGAACAAATAGTCGTCCAGTACCTTAAATTTACAATTTTAAAAAAGCTTCTAGCTCTTGTAAGATGATCGGTCAGAGTATGCATCGATCTATATTAGTTCTCCTATATCCATCCTCATTAGATATTTTTACCCTTTTCTGCAATGAGAAAATGAAAGTGGATGGTGTTCGGACACCGTTCACCTACGGCGACTCCTTGAGCCTGTTCCTGTCATAATAGCCGTAATAGCTACCTACCTACTTACCTACCTAGTATTGTACCCAGACTGTCAGGTCTTAAGGATTCAGGAACGCGAACTACTTCGCCACATGAACACGACCCCTTTATTATTAGTGTACAGAATTGAACCCTGAACCATGTCAAATCTCTTTGGGGTATTGCAGCACGACATCTATATCAACCAACTTAAAAGTTTTGACGTGCTAATACGGCAGGATGGGATGGGATGGGATAGGATGTCAGAATTAAGGTAGGGGACATATGCCGCGCTCGACCTTGAGGCTGTGAAGACCGGATCGCCCTACCCATTTTAGCGTTTGATGGCTTCTTTCGATGCGCATTCTTTAGCATGGGCTGTGGAAGCTTCTGAAACACGGCCGGTCCAGTCCCGGCTGGGGATTCCGTCCGATCTCGAAATAAGAAAACAGATAGACAGCCTGACCTGGCATACCTGGCATGCCATGTCCATGCCTGGTTTAGCGGCAGGCCCGTTAGATGACCTCTGCGTTTCTTTCGTTGGTTTTGGAAGCGGAAGAGTTCTTCATGCTGACCAGGTGCTGAGCTGATTCGGCGAATAATTCAGATCTTCCACAACCACGCACGCACGAATGCGACGGCAGGGTGCATACTACCTAACTACTAGGTAGTAACTAGGTAGTTACAGCGTACCTATGTAAAATACGTTCGTTCTCCATTTTCCACTCTCGAGTCTCCATTCTCCCAGTCTCCATTCTCATACAACACCGACATGCTATGTTAATGAGCCAACCGTGCGAGTAATGTCACCCTTCGGCAACGACATCCTAGATTATCGAAAAAAGAGAATAAAATAAAATGTTGGGCTAATTTAACACGAGTTCTTCTACCGGCAGGCCACAGCCAGTTCGCTGTAAAGGTAGATCTTTTCAGTATATGGGGTCTTGGGAGCCGTACCTATACTTGTACGGCGTTAATTACTAGGTGGCATCGGCCCTCCTCGAAGGCTACTTAAAAGAGGGACGATGCAATTGATGTACCATACTTGGCATAGCCCGGGGATTACACATTTTTGATAGATAGTGGAGCACTCGCCTTCACCGTCCACGTCCTCCACTTTGCATGCGAGGGGGCGTAGCTCTTTCGCGCATACCTATCTGCACTTACTGTGACCGTTCGGCTCTAGAAGGAGTCTGTCGTATGTACCTCTTACACTCTTTGCTCGCCGAGTTGCCTACTAGAAGTCTCATCACCTGCTAACCGTATGCGCGTCTGCGGCAGTCTTCTCTTTGCTAATGTATTGTATTTTAGAGGAATCGCCTTTTTGAGAGACCGGGGTTCGTCCTGGCCGACTACCTACAGCGTACCTACACACATAATACTCTACCTACCTACCTACCTTAGTACCTACACCTACAGGTAGGTATGTAGGCACACCACACACTGTGTTATTTCATTCCTGCCGGCTCAAAATCTCCTAGTCTCTACCTAGTAGTGAGCTCGAACAATATTTCCTATCCATATCCACAGTTCTCGTCAGACCTCCTCCTTTACCTATCCTTCAAGGAGAACCTTGCTCTGAGAATAGTATGAATAGTATGGATTTATATGATATTAAAACTACACATATATATCACACGTGGGGATAGGGAAGCGCGAAGTCGCGTTGGGGTTCCGCGTTCGATAGTCTGGTGCGGTGCGGGAGTGCCAGCATCAAGTCCCTCGCTCGTTCGGATGCACAGCACGGACAGGCGAACCAGCCCTCCCATGTACAATACATAAGTCTTTGTGCGGATAGAAAAGCTTGAAGCGGCGGACCCCCCCCTGTCGCTCTCTACTCTGATCATTGACAACGGTTGACAACGCCCCATGCAGGCTCTTTGTTGTACCTCGATGCGAAGTACACTCATCCTGCAGCTCGACCCCTGCTGGAGGGGGGAAGTATGTCTACTTTTATACAATACAGCATGGTTTCGTCAGCAGAGATAGCTCTCTTCTGGTATGGTGTATCATTAGGCCAAGGCGGAGCTAGGCTGTTGCTGTTCACCATGCCAATCATGAACTCGAGGTACAAAAGATGGGCGAGTTTCGTATACTATGTACATCCATCAAGGGTATCCTCTTAGACGCTACCCTCGAGGGTCGAGTACCTACCGGTTGATCCCTACATACTATGTACAGAAATTTGGCCCACCATCGTCATTCCCCGTACATCACAGTGCTTAATGTTGGCATATTTTTTTTCTCTGGAGCTTTCTGCAGTTATTGGCCAGATCACACCACTATCGTTTGTCTCTGGACCTGCTTCGAATATCTACTGTGCCATTTGTACTTGGACCGGTACATATTGCCTAGCTTATGCCTTCCCGTTGGTAATATGGTATACCGTAGTTTATTCTTCTCCACATGGTAAATCCATCCACCCAAATACATGACTAGTTCCAGAATCGTCTTCTTGAACAATCACGACGAGGACGTCGTGTTGTCTTAACTATCCAACTTCTACTGGCCTTGACAATAACCTTTGGGAAAACCTGGTTACGGTAAAGACAGCCTACATTCCCTCCGCACGACCGGCCTATCGATATTGCTGGAAGATCCCGGAAAGCGGAAATACCCCCACGAAGCTCTTCGCCCACCTTGTTAGATTTCTCGTCTTTTTTCCCTTCGTCTTCCAAGGTTGGACCTTCTTTCTTGATCTGTACAGCTTCAAGAATACACCACCATATATACGACCAAACTCAATTCATCCAAATAATACTAGACGAATATCCAACCGACGGCGACATCCTTGGACCACGACAGATTCTTGATTCCTTCCAAAGGCGGCCCGAACGACAGCAAGACTCCCAGGTCCTTGATTCCCAAGCCCGCGAACTCAGATAACAGCCTTCCATCCCCATTCCTCGGAACGGTACAGCGTGGACCGGCCATCTTGGATTAGGTACATCTCGTCCTGACAAGCTGTGATTTTGGGGCGCACTCCTAAACCTCCCAGAAGCAACTGGTCCTTGGATGTGAATTTAAGAGAGGGGTGCTAGAAATTCATCGTGTGAATACGAGATCGCGAGATCCTGGGCACTAACATCCTGGTCCGATATCAGGAAAGCCATCAGGCTGCCGGCGCCATCTCCAAGTCGAGTAGAGCATCGCAAAAGTAGAGAACCTCTCTATTCACAACGCTTTTCCACTTGACCTTGCACCAAATACCGGCTATTCCTTGACTCTTAGTACGAGGCTGTTGTCCTAGCGGTTGTAGCCGAATCTTGCCGGGTCACTCACCGCATTACCTGATTACGCGGGCCAAACGAACCAGAGCCTCGCGCTAAGTTCTAACTCCAATAGTTATCAGTAACAGTCACAGCTCCTCATCCAAGAAACGGTGCTCGACAGTAGAGTGTTAGGTTGAGGCTACGTCTTCGGAAACAAAAAAAATCTTTACGGTTCTTCTACCAAGTCATGCGCCTGCTCACAACTATCTACGGGTAACGATACGCCACTGCCGCACTTTGCGAAGTTGAGGTGGAAGAATAGTATTTTTGGATGGCCGTGGCGACTCTTTGGCTTCAGTTTGGCTTGTGACAAGGATTGTAAAACGGGAAAAAAGACATCTAGTTCACTAATCAAACTCCCACAGTGGAATTTCTATTAAGTGAGAGCTGTTTGCCGTCAACTGGGAAGAGACGTAGATCCTACCAAGGAGTCGGTATTACAGAAGTTACAAGCAACAAGAGTTACTACCCAGTAGGCTCCGGTTGAAGACTCAGAAGAAGGAACTTAATACACATGCAAAGGAAGGAGACAATACGACCCTTTTACACGAATTGTTTTGTAAAAGTGCTCTTGTACTTGTCCTCATCGATCCTCTTTGGAAAGACGCGTCCCTCGACTTGGTCTTCACTAATTACGCTTTGTATGAAAGCCAGTTTGGTGGGTTGTCTTGGACACGGATCTGGTAGCTTTTCACCTCCGGATCGGATACATCACGATTATCTCGAGATTCTTGATTTCTGAAGTTACCTATATTGAAAGAGTTATCACATTTTGTTGACTCTGTTGGGTGGTGACGTCGTGGGTCGTGAACCAGCGAGAGGGACGATTTGGAACACACAACCGTCAGTACCCTCTATTTTATTATCCTCTCCCCGTTCGCCTACATCTCGTTGATTTTTTCCCCTCCTACGTCTAATCTTTCTTCAAGAGACTTGATAAAAGTTATTCCTTCTCTTTCGTTTACTAGATGTATTAGCACCCTTCTCTACATTGTTCTATTTAGTTATTAAGCCACCTACCTTTCTAACTTATTAACAGATTTGATCCCACATTTGCGAACCAGAGCAAAAGCAATTTACCATATATAGTGTTTTGCGAGTTGCGCATAAAGTACCGCATGATTGCTTCGGTAAGTATCCCATTGCCAACCTCTACTGTCCTAAACCTGCTCAAGTCTAATTATTGTCAAAAGAAATGGCATTCCATACTCATCACAGCACCCAATGGGTCAGCCATGGACCTCCAACTGGATATATGCCAGCGATGAGCCCAGCAATGCCTCCATTATCCGGGCCTCCCCAGGTTCACCATCAACAACATCCGCAGCAGAGTGGCCCTCAACCTCAACGGTAAGCAACTAGTTCACTATGAGCTTTTGTAATTTTATGAAGACGCTGTTTACTAAATCCTGATAGTCCCGAATCTTATCGTTTAGAAGTATTACAACAACCTACCATGGCTAAAGCTGCTAATGGTAAAGACAAGGGTAAAGAGCTTTCCCACCCTCCAATATTTGGCATAATACTTACCTGAGAAGACCGTAAACCTGTCGACCCTCCTCCAATCCTTCAACTACACGTACCCAGCGACGAAGATCCCGATGGTGTATACCGTCAAAGTGAGTACCTAGATACTTGTAGAAAAATCTGACCTAAGTACTAAACATTCTCTAGGTCCGTATCTAATAGCTGTTGCATATTTAGAGTATGCGCATCCTCCGGGCCCGAATGGCCAGTCTACACCCCCCGCAAATATGATGGCGGGCACAACAGTGTCATCATTACACCGGCTGAAGGATCCCACTAACAAGGAGGGGGCATTCTTCGTATTCGGCGATCTTACGATTAAGAGTGAAGGGGAATACGTAATTCGGTTTGATCTGCTGCAGATGACGATGGATAATATCGAAGATGGCGAGTTTTGGGTCACAATTTGTTCGGTGACGAGCGACCCCTTTAAAGTCCATGCTGGGAGAGCCTTTCCCGGTATGGCGGAGTCTACGTTTTTGACGCGTTCATTCAGTGACCAGGGCGTCCGCCTTAGATTACGAAAAGACTCGCGGCAGATTGCCAACAAGAAAAAGAACATGCGTATGGCAGACATGGACAAGCAGACAGGACATAGGCAGGGCGGAGCTCCACAAAATGGTGGCATGCAACCTATTGACGAGCGCTCCTATCACGATTATGCAGAGGAACCCGTAGCAAAGAGACACCGAGCAGAATATTCAACGATAAACCCCGGAACACCTACACAGGAAGGGGGACCAGAGATGCGATGGGGACCTTATGGTGGTCCCGCGGGTCCTGGATATACGTCCCAGCAACTGGCTTTGGGGTCTGTAACTACAGGGCCACCGAGTTCAGCGACGACAGTATCAATGCCTCCTCCAACAGGCCGTATCGAAACTCACTTCTCTTCGTTACAAGGCCCTCACGCTTATGAGCGACAATCTCCGTTAAACCACTCACCGATCCAATTCGGAAACCCGAACGCACCAAACTCTTCTCACCCTTTCATCTTCACAGGAGGTTCTAACGCTGGAAACAATCCACCATTAAATCTTGCTCCGATCCCGACACATCCCCAGAGCGCGATGGCTTCACCAATACATAATGTTTCTCCCCGATCACACGGTCCACTAAACGGCGCACCCCCTTCGGGAACCGCGTCACCAGTAGGTCCTAATCTATACACTACCGCACCACCTACCTCAAATACGCACCAGACTCATCACTCCCCCTATTCTAATCAAGGGGCATACCAAGGTATGACGAATGCCTACGACCACGGCAGTTTACGAGAACACGGCTTAGGAACACCTTTGACAGCGACTATGCCGTCTGAAAGCTTGAATGGATCTTACCCAATTAGCGGCGCAGATTCTTTCGATCACCATCTTGGCCACATGGTCAACAAGACGCAGCAAGACCACTGAGGATGGCTGTTGGCCAATATTATACCTCCCACGAGGAAAGATTATTATTGGCGAGCTTAAAAGGCTAATAATTGCTGGCATACCTACCAGCAAAAATTTCATACCCCTTTTCGACTTGAACGAACGCTTGACGGCTTAGAATAATACTTAAGATTTCGACGTTGGCACATTATGAGAGTACACTTTATTTACACAACCGTCCTGTCGTTTTTATCGTTCCTTTTCGAAAATACCTATTTGTCACACGCATCCCATGGAACATTGCATCGAAATGGAGATTTTCCAGTTCGCAGGAAGGCAGGTGGCGTTGGTGTGTGTATGTGCGTATGTGCGTGCGTTGGAATTGGTCTACATGTTTTTTTGTTTTTTGTTTTTTCAAAGGGAAATTGATGCATAGTGAGGGACAGTCGTATTTCCTCCGGTTCATCCTTCTGAGTTTGTACGGCAATACGGGTTTTCAAAAGCACTTCTCTGAAAGATACCCAAATGGAGGCTATTCTGCGTCATTGGTTTCCCCATATTCCCCCTCCGCGCAACCATTCGAGGTCCCCTTTGTTTACTACTACTTTACGCACGTCAAGGGGCTAATGGATTCGCCCCTGGAGGCTCTTGGTATTACGATGACAAAACCTACTACGAGCACTCTTCAAGAATCCGACTTAATTGCTAGAGTAAAATAGAAATGAAGGCATCACTGCAATGCTATGCTTAATTCTGCAATGTGACTCGACTTACTACGAGCTTGGCATTAAATACATGAATTCTTCCTTCATCGATCGCGATTCTAACTCCGAGTGACTGTTTCTAGTAAGAGAATGCTTCCCCTTATGATATCCCGTAATATAGGTGCTACTAGTCGGACTCGCCGGAGAGTCACGGCTAAGACGTCTCCGCTTGCCAACTCAGGATATAGGTGTGATACAAGTGCATTGCAGTTCTGTGGACGCGTTTGCATACAATAAATCAGGGCATAACGGCATGGACTCTAGCTGCAGCCTCGTGTACTATGTAGGTAGCCCAATACAGATCAGTTATTTCTCATCAGATCTATAAACCAATAATAGAATTACTATGAAGCAGGGTGTGCTTTGTGCCCGCCGTTATATATCATAATATAGCCCAGGGGGTCGAGATATCCTCGAGACAAGGTAGCCAAGCTAACCAACCCCCGCAAGGGGCGGAACCAAACTTACAAACTATTCGGAATGCGTCCACTACAGTGAGTACAGCGTAGATAGAGGGACAATTAGGGCTATTAGGTGACTGTGTATTGTACAGTACATCGAGTGTTACAGTCTCTCTGGTACATAGTTTGCCCCAGCGGCGAATTATCATTTGCAGAACTATTGGCAGTTTCGTTGTCATGTATTCCCGCCGCCCTGTACATAAACGTGTGGCTGGTTGTAAGCATGATGATGTGTTTGAACTATTATGTGCTGTTTCTTGACAAATACACTACTATTGACTAATAATTCTACATCGCAGCCCCCGTCAGATGCAATTCATCCGGTTGCTTACTGTCTATAGCTTCTTGCAGGTCTCAATAAAAGGCCGAGGCCATCTTTTTTTGTTTGATTTTGTAAATAAGTATGCCGTTAGAGCCGTTGTACATGCCTACAAATTCAATGTGGTCGTAGAAAACTCCCAAGCCGAGCACTCATAGGTACCTACCTACCTACACATCTCAAGTAACTGTCAGGATTATCTACCGTGCCCATTCCTCTTCCAGATGGCACGAAATGTTACCAGGTAGCCTGTAATTACCTAACCATCCTGATCAATGTCATCTAGAGTCTATCTAGTCGTCATGTTACAGTTGATCCTTGCTCTAGCATCCCAGAGGAATCCATGTACTCGTACACTACTTCATATCTGTCTGTCTAAGCCACACCGCAATTACTGTTGACAATCTATCTTAATTACGTCTAAGCTATGAAGAACCTCCTTTTCAATTCTACCTAGGTATTAAATTCTTTCCCTAGCCTGTCATCTAAAAGAGTAGTTAATATTTTACTTACCTGCATATATGTAAACCCTGAATTAATAACGAGTCTAAGCCACACAGACTGCATTAAATCCATGTCCGGGATTTGCACCCGACACTGGGTACTTATTATTACTCAGTAAATTCTATTATTCCTTCACTCGCATCTCCCCAGAAAGCCTCTACCCAAGGCACTGGAGATCGTCCGGCTCTTGTAATACCGCTTGTATTTATGATGCTTAGTGTCATTGGTTTCATATTCCCGGACTCGAAAATAGCGGGCTCTCCCGAGTGAAACAAATTTCACGTACCTACGCACGCTTTGACGTTTGAAATATCAATCAGGCCTATACAAAGTTACTACCTAGGTAGGTAGCTAGACGACAAGCAAATGTATACCTAGCTTACGATGATAATAATTTGGAAAGTTACTCTAAGTCTTTCGTTGAGGTAGTATTTTTCTTTGAGGCTCGCCATCTAATCACGGAAGACATGTTTACATTACCTGCTTGTTATATAGCTAATTTGCCCTTTTCACCTTCGTCAATACATAACCTTACTCCAAGCCAATCCAATATTATGGCGGTAACTTAACTCACTTTACCAATCAGACTTCTTCAAGACTTCGGGCATTCCCACATCTCAACCACACATCCTCGTATAACAAACAATTCTCAGAGAAACGAGATACAGTATGTATTATAATCTCCACATTGGTACATTGTACAGATTTCAGAGGTGGCTGTCATCGATTATGATGTGCTCAAGGTGTTGCATTTGGATCCGCAGCCACTATTGATCGATGAACGACTCGCTTCTCGAAGTTACAGATAACCGTTGAAACGTGGAGTTCTTCAGAGCTCACCCCTGTTCGTTATACCCTGTCATATGTTCATCCACGCGGAGCCATGATCCATGTTCGCTGCTTAGGTAGCTACCCCAGCCATCCTACAGTACATTACCTCGGTCCCTAGACAGTAGACACCAGGTTTGTATCCAAGCAGGTATGGTATGTATGATACTACGTAAAGTACAGACACGTTTTAACAGACCCGAAGAACTTACGAGGATCTTTGCTCGGCCCTAGCCTCCGAAAATATTCTCCGATATTCACATTGACCGAATCCGGTATCGCCATCCTCAGAGCTAGCCGGGGAGCCGGCGGCGTAGCTCACGTTCGTAAGGAACATAATAGGAAAACGAACATAGTAGGGAGATGAGCAGATGACGCCGCCGGCAACCACCACAGCATCTAGCGAGCACGCGGAATATGCAATCGACCTCCATGTCCTATCACACCGAGCCTGCTTGGCCATCTTGGCTCCTCAGAGTCGCGCGCGACTTTGAACATGTCGTATATTGCTATAGACTTGGCATCAAGATTGGACCAGGTAAGCGCTGTAGGAAAATGACATCTCGCTTCAGCACCAACGGGAGCTATTTTCAGAGCAACATACATATGCAAGTCTGCCCGCAGTCGGCGCGGATGACTAGGGTTGCAGCTCGAAGTACGCGTAGGGGAGGGGGAGCTGCAGAATGAGCACACCATCAATCCCAAAAGGGCAATGGCAAATGATGGCTTTTCCTTGATCTGGACTATGGGGATAAATTGATTGCATGCGGAGTACAGCAAAGTTCAACCTCCCTGGACAGCTTTCGGGTAGCGAGTTCACAAATCTTCCGACCAAACATGGTCCATCTCGCCGTCAACTTAGTTGGCAGATACTGCAACGACGGGATAGAATCTTGGAAGATCGGTAGTACATCTAAGGATTATTAAAACCATGTTTCGGTACCAATCCGACATTGATAAAGAACTATTTGACTTTAATTACGTATGTCAACTGCGTTTCATGCGTTCGTACGTTTGTTTTATCATGTCGTTGCTTCCGAGACCTACGTAAATAGGTACCTATTTCGACATACAGCGCGGAGCCCATGTCACGAGTTGCTCACAAGTTACCTATCTATGTTCATCTTCGGTCCCTTTCTCTATTCCTGCTTAGAAGTCCCTAGCTACCTAGGAAGGAATGCTACCGTTATTGGTTTGTACTCCGGGAAGCGAGATGAGTGTCGTTGAGTCGTGCCAATCATGACATAGCTCCGTGAGTTACTAGTGACAGATACAAAGCAGTTAGTCGTTGACTTTAGCTAGAGAACTGGTGCGGAAATTCAGATGGCGTAACGAGCTGATCGGCAGGTGACATCAACGACGTATGTACATACCTTAGACAGGTAAGTTGTCGACGAGAATGCACTTCGCCCGGTCCCTTGTCTAGGTATTTACACGGACTCCTCACCCGGATACCACGTTTTTTCCCCTCACGAGCTTGAAGGGGCTTAAGAGCTGTCAAAATGCAGGTAGGATACCCCAAATTCGGAAGATTAATAATGAGCATTCCTCTTGACATCCCCACTACAGATTGTATAATCCCTCTCTAATCCGGTATATCGAACTTGTAATTTCGTTATTTCTCTATACTACCTATCTACCTACGTATGCGAATAGCTAGAGAAGCAGTTAGAGCATTGAGAAATATCTATTGAAGAGAGGCAAACTAGCTAAGGACGCTTTACCCCTTTTCATGCTTATCTCCGACGCTAACTACCATTCACTTTAAACCTATTGAATATATAGTAATATCAAACCTCTATTATACCCCCGCATGTCATGGATGCACGGTACTGCACTAAGAGGGTTGCAAGACAGGGAGTCAAGGGTCCCGTTGAGTTGATCCCATCGAGAGCAAGGGTACAACTTCCGCGAGCCGTCGTTACATCGCGTGCTCAATTCGAGAGCACTACACAATTATTTGCTCAAGGTACTGGGACCCTGTATCCTTTCGGGGTGCCACTCTCAGTCATGGCAACGATGGAGGAGATTGTTCAAATTACCTATTCATCTACGATAATACCTGCAGAATGGAGTCAGAAAAGACCGCCCATGTGCTATTCCTACTGTATTGGACTGTGCAAGTAAGTATCCCTTACTGTGCTAATATTGGCAACTAATACCCAGTATACTCATCATAATTGGTAGAAAATGCCTGTTATGTAATGAAGGGGATAGTTTTAATGACAGTGCAAATAGTAAGATTAGCACATGGGGCACTTTTTCTGACTCCATTCTGACCTGTCAACATGGTCGCCGGGTTGGCACAGATATTCAAAAGTCTGACGATATCTATCTAGGTATTAATCTTCAGTAATACTAAATTGTCGATGTCATTGCCTGGAATTATCCTTAGGTCCAGGATCGAAGATCTGGTCATGATCTTGGCAATAGAGGAATCAAACTTAGCCTTCTTCGTCCAAGTATATCGAACCAGTCTCCGTTTTTAAGCCGCGAATTGCTACGTGTGCCACTCACTATCCGATTTCCTAACTATCTAACTTCCCAACAAAATGAAAATCGAATTAACTTTACGAACCATAGTAGCCGCCAAGAAATTTGCCGCGGTTGCAATCGCGAGCTTGCTGGCCTCCCGCTCCTCACCGTACCTACTGCTTACTCTCTGTATGTACCAGTACTATCGTTCTATTCTGGAACCTAATCTCCCGGAAGCCATACAAGAGTAGATTCCGTCCTTCTTCCCTACCACCACAATGATACGCATGTAGTTTCTAGCGCCGAGCTAGGAACTTTGGCCTAGACCTGGATACCGAATTCCGCCGAGACCTTCCCCGGTTGAAGCTTCTCTACTATCCGAGATCTTAATTACGCGTGTTACCGCCGGTTAGGTTACAGTCATAGGATAGACCTCTGCATCAGCTCGAGAGATTATGGTATTCCAGCCTACGAGAAGCCTTTGACGTGCCCCGTAAAATACACAGCAGGCCTCGGCACCAAAATAGCGACCTGCCTGGAAGAGGAGAAAGACCTGGGACCTATGACCACCAAGCTGAGAGGGGTACCTCAAGCCGTTGGACCCGTGGCGTAGTAATTACAGAGGCAGCCTAGCCCAGCCCGAACGACTTCTGCAACAGTCGGATCTAAAGAGACTAGATGAGGAGGTCCCCCGTAGTAGCCGCTTTTTAAATTAATTCTCCGGCGCACCTGAGATGCGCTGCATGGATGGGCAAACCTCCGCCTGGTTGGCCTGTTTACCTAACCTACGGCAATTACTCGCTGGCTGGCCGGAAACATGCGACCCGTACTGCCCTCGTTATAATGCGGTGCACCGTTACGATATCGTGGGTTAGCAGTAGCGCAACATCGACGTAGGTACCCGGACGATAGTAGTGGATATGCCGTGCCATAGAATCTATATCAGTTACACAACGTGTGGGAATATCTCAGTAAGTACGGTAGTTGGCTGCCAGTCATCTGGCTCTTTAAAGCTCCGTCCGCATCACGGAATTCAATCCTTCTATATCTTCAGATGATGATTGGAGGGTACAGACTAGTTGACCTTTTTTAACCACTCCCCCTGGTCGAGATGCATAGACACCCTTAGAAAAGATTACCGTACGCATAAACCTATAGATTGGTAGCTTGGCCTCCTGGCGGCCTGTAACGGTTCATGATTCACGCCCACCCCTCTTTTCACCTTCCTTATCATTCGCATCAAGCCGTTGCCTTCCATTTAACAGATTTTGCCTCACCGACGCAACATGAGAACCACCACACTCGTACCAGTCTCCGGCTGATAGAAAACTCGAAATCGATGGTTTCTATGCACGTCTAAGGACTAGGTAGGTAAATATCCCTCTCACACCTAACATACTTCGGTACCTACTTACTTATACGGCATATGGCTGTGGAGAACAAGACTATGGCATTCCCCCTTTTTTGTAAATATAACATCCAGGGACAGTAAAAGATCCTTACCCAAGAATACCCATACCTACCTAGTACCTATCTTCAGATAGGAAGAAGCGGGTTTCTGCGGTTGGTATCGTTGTTCACCCACTGTTGACTAACTTATACACAATAGACTCTTAGAGGGATATCGGGCTTCTAAGGAGTCAGGACAGATGGTTAGTACCCACTAGGTATCTACCAAACCGGGTTTTGCTCTGGCTTGCTAGATTCTGGTACTGAATCCTATTGTTTCTACTAAAAGACTTAACTAACAGCATTGTCGAATCACCAGCGGTGGCTCGCTAACGCAAGCCTATTTGGTGCATAAAAGGGACCAGGATCTGAAAGTCACATGCCCTTGAAAATTAGGTAGCGAGTTGTTCTGGTACTATAAGTGAAACTAGCAAACACCGCAACTTTGACAGCTACCTTTATCGGAAGTGAGGCTAATGGTTTATCAGTCGTTACTCAGCTAACGTTGAGTTTATTTTACAAATATCCTGCGGTTCTCTTTATCACAATATCTAGCAAGCTGACTTACACATTCTAATGAGGATCAGGCTTGTATTCTGGTTATACCTACGGAGGTGGCGGACAAACTATAGGTAGTCTCCACATGGAAGTACAGATCAAAACATGAGCCCGGGGTTTTTTTTTCAAGATTATGTAGGTACCTAAGTATAAATAGGTAGGTAGGTATGCAAATAGCAACATTATATACTATTAGTGAAGTAAAGAGAGTGCAAACCCACTCATTTACTAGGGACCATTCACGCCATTTATTTAAGATGTGTAGGACCCGAAAATCGATTTGGACAACTTTGTAAGCTATCATGGCCATTTTTGGGATTTCAAACAACAGTCTTGATTAGCTCTAAAATGATCATCGTCTTGAATAACTTCGAAGTTTCCAATGATGCAGTTTCGGAGTATTTGGGATTCAAGAAGCTACCTAGTAGGTACCTACCTCATTCATAGTTTTCAAGCTTTGTAGGCAACTCTTTAGCATCACGAGGACATGAATCCAACTAAGTATCCGATAATTAGGTAACTAGTATCTCGTTTTATGTATATTTGCTGCCATTGCAACATAAGTACCTAGGTATGTAGGTATTCATAGTTCCAATATCTGCATATCTACCTGATACTTGTGGATAAGTCGCCTTGGGAATACTGTACATAGTATGGGTATAGTATCTAGCACCTTCTTGTAGTCTAAGAGAACGAAATCGCCATTCGCTGCCAGTAGATTAGTATAAAAGTCTAAGTATGATACCTTTATAATAACTATTCTAATTACCTACGTGGTCACCGAAATTAACCTTGGAAGGCACATATTATTTTGTGTTATGAAAGTAAATCTTACGCTACTAGGTAAGGTACAGGACACAAAGTATTCTTTATATTAGTAACAAACATCTTAACATCATAAACAAAGGGATTAGAACTTACATCCGTAACTACCTAGCAGGTACGAAGTAAGTAAAAATCAACCATCTCCTATAACTCTGAGGAAAACGGGAGTGTCAATGAACCTATGTTAATCTAAACAAAAAATTCTAGCATTGCAGCTATGATATTATACCTGGCTCCACCAAAATACTTGGTACGAAAGACAATTATTAAATCCTAATGTGGGTTGTCCTACGTGTCTACCTAGTAGGTTGGCTTTTATTTTGCTCGCGTGATCTGGTACAAGAGCTACCCCTTTTCCTTGTATGAGGCTTCATGGTCATATACCTACCTACACAAGTGGAATCTTGTCATAGGCAATAAGACCTTAATATCTTCAAATTGTATTAATGATTACATATTTTAAAGTTTGATGCCTTCTGGTTGTCGACTTATATTCTATTTTATATGAAGAAATATTTGTACTGTTTAGATGAATTTACTTTACAGAATATTGATGATTACGTAACGATGACTTTATGCCGTGTATCTTCCGGATAATTTGATAAGCGCTTACATAGAAGGATTAGGTAATCCATATTATGTAATTTAGCTTATCTAATCAGTCGCGTCTTACCCCTGAGCTAGGCAACAACTAGGAACGCGTTCATCCTCGTTCGCGTCAACATTTAGAATCGCGTGCAATTGGTTTTCTATGATGACAACTCTTCCCAAACAACATCAGGAACCATGTCCAGATCCCGGGAAACTTGTTCACATGAAGCCTTGCTATTAGAACCGTCAGCTTATGCTAAAGAAGTTGGATATAGCTGGCCTAGTTCGGATCGGAGATTAGCTGCAACGACAAAGTCAGGGCGAAATCCGTTGATAAGAAAAGGCCAGAAAGTTGAAGATGTAGAAAAGCTGAGCGAGGCTATTGCCAATAACCTCTCTGGCACATTTCCAGGCCCGTTGATTCTACCAGGAGATGAGCTGGCATTGGATCCGAAAGACCCGCCACAATCATTTCGATCTTGGCTTAACGAAGGACTGCGCAAGAATCGAAAGTTGAATAGGAAGTGTAAGACATTATATGTTGCAATCGCACCTGAGATCACATCCAGTGTGAGTTTCATGAAGGCAGGACTGCAGCCATCAGTCAGGAAGGGTAGTAGGGTAACAGCCACTAAATCGTTGGATCCTCCATCACCAGAGGATATCATAAAATATACGGGCGCTTTTTATCATGGGCTACTTGTTGAAGCATTTCCAGGTAGTTTTCAATTCGTGCCGTGGGACGAGTCGAAGAAATCACGCAAATCCGATAGTGATACTGGTTATGTTGGCCTCCTTGCGGGCAAAAACAGTACTCGCATCCGCTACAGACCATCCCCTGACGGCGTTTTCAAGTATCAGCTAAACCTCAACGATCTTATCGACGCTGCTATCGAAATGCTGACAGGAGATGCGTATTCTCTCCTTTTACTTGTCAACCATGATATGTACGAGGACGAGGATGATGTCTTTTGCTGCGGTCGGGCCTACGGAGCTGATCGCGTTGCTGTAGTCTCTACCGCCAGGTACCATCCTGCCCTAGACGATCACGCCAATATTGATTTCGCGCATATGTGGCCGACGTCTCATTGTAAATCCTACGTCGATCAACTCTGCGGAGAAGAGGGTCTCAGACAGGACACAGAAATGGCTACACGGGTAGCAAATACATCTGGACCACTCCGGGCAGCGGTAGAAGCAATAAGGGGGTTTGAGAACTCGGCTTTGGAGGATCCAAGAGGCTTATGGTTTTCAAGGATTACAAGGACGGTGGTCCACGAGCTCGGGCACTGTCTCGGTTTCGCACATTGCGTCTACTATGCCTGTGCAATGCAGAGTTCGTCGTGCATGGCGGAGGATCTCCGACAACCTCCTTATCTATGTCCCGTGTGTCTGGGCAAGGTATCCCATGCGATTGCTTGTGAACTAGAAGGACGAGACGAAGCCGGCAAATACGAATATGTAAAGGACAGGTATAGATCAATAGCTGATTTTTGCGATTCGTGGAAGCATGTTGGCTTATTCGCTGGGTATGGGGCTTGGCTCCGTGCAAGGCTCGAACAGCTAGACATAACATAATAGATAGGTAGGCAGGTAGATTATGAAGTCATGGCTAGGTAGTAGTTTGGCACCATTCTGCGAGGTAATGCGATGAGAGCTTATGCATAACTGGATTAGTGGTATGACTGGTAGTTCCCGATTATGATATTCATGAGACATACTTTTAAGCGTCGATGCGTCTAAAAAATATCGTCGACTTCTAAACCACCATGACGCCTTATAATAATTGGACCCGAACTAACATTGACCGAGGTCGAGTAGGGCTATAGACGCGTATACTGAAAGAAACCTTGGAAACCAGTGGTCAACATTTATGAAACATTGAACAGACAGAATTGAAATTGGACTTTTTAGAAAACCTACCTACTTGTATTCATCCATTAAACATCTAGGTAAGTACCTAGGTAGGTAGATAACTATAGCTTCGCGATGGCAGGCATTAGAGATTCCGAAGAGAATATATCGGTAACCTAGCACCATTCTGACTCCATTGCCGCACCTGATAGTCTATGAATGTCTACTTTTTGTCCACCTCTAAACGCAACTCGGAAATAAGAATGTTCGTTCTCACCAACCCGCGTAATCGTGATGGTCGGTAAGGATGCATGCGGTTCTGGTCTTAGCTAGGTGGTATATCCCTAGAAATAAGCCTTCCTCCTAGATTATATTTCTTTTCCAGCGCGGCCGAACCCTTCTCTTGTTCACGAACACGTTAACCAACACGATCGCGGCGATGATCATATAGAGGGGGAAGAGTATCAGGGAAAAAATGTCAATCCATCTCAGTCTGTAGGGTGGTTTTCGGAGGGCCGGTAGTAGATAAGGCCCCGTTGATTTGAGAGCATTGGTGATCATGGTTGAATTCGCGAACACCATATCTTCTCGAGGGTATTCCGAAGGTAAAGCTTGAGGATTAGAGATTTGTGTTGTTACTTATCTACAAGGAAATAATTTGGAGAGCCGTGTCGGCTACCTAATTTATATTTTAATCGTCTTGGCGCCATGTTTTCTTATGTGATATAGGCCAAGATGTGGAAACGAAGTCACGCAGTCCTTGTTGTGATTGCGACGAGGAGCAACGAATATTTCCATAGGCTTCATTTGGGGTCTCTATTGCTTGGGTTTCTTAGCTTGGTGAATAAGCATAAGGGCTATTTGGCAAACTGATGCTATCACTCCTCCGTCCGTGCAGGTCTCTAGGTCAAATTCACTAGGTAGGTACCTAGGTACCAATGTCATACTCTTGCAGACTCAGTTCTAACTTAGGATTGTGAATTGACCTTCGATCGACCGGTAATGTATTCACAGGGTGTAGTTTGCGATAACAAGTATAGTGTGATACGTAGAGAGAGGGAGCATTCGATATTACATGTTTGCTTCGATACATATCAGTAATAGTTTGACTTATTTGTAAATCGTCATTGCGAAATCAGGGTGGTTACCTATATTCCAGTAAGAGATTTAGGAAGGTACCACAGATAGCTACCCGGATGGGAAACATACAGGTACTAGGTAATAAATATACTTAGGTAAATCTATAACTAATGATAGAAAGAACGACCCGGTACGGAGGAAAATGATTCACCTGACGGACGGCACTTCCGGGGCAAACAATACGGAATCGGTCGCCGGATAGTGGGTCTTATCACCGAAGTTAATCGATTCTGGTGCTTTAACGACATGCGACAAATATTTTCCTATTCGCTGTCCGGTGTATACGTGACATCATCAAATTGGGGTGTCGTATCATCTTCAAAGGCAAAACGGTACCTTTCTTGTAGGGAAAATAGCGGTCTGGATATAGCGCATGTTCTGAGTACCATCAAGGGGTCTTCGTGTGGTTACATAATTATATCCGGCATGAAAGACGAGGAGCGAACCGCGATCTTGGCAGGCCGTCAAGTAATGATGACCTGACCCAAGGCTCTGGGTTTGTAGGAAGTTGACGACGGTGGCGTATTTGGCAGGACGCCACGGCATGCACTTGTCATAGATCTACATGGTACCTAAGTAAGCCGGCTCTTTCTCTTGCGTGTAACCATCATATCCGATCATTTCGGGAATATCGGATATCCTCTTTAGCTTTAGTCAGTTGTGTTTCACGGCGGAGGATGTGCAGACAATCATCTTCTTGGGTCAACGGACACAGCAGACTCTCGTGCAAACTATATGAATCTACTGATATTTACTTTAGAGGTATTGGATTCAATTATCCGATGGACCACGAAGCTGAGAAGATGAGATATCAATTCTTAAGCAGATTTTAGTGAGCAAGATGAATTTTCCAACTTCCTTTCAACCTATCGGCACTTATAGTAAACTATACCTAAATAGGTAAGGTATTTGTGCATGCAAGACACTGATATGAACCTATGAATTTGATATTTCGCGGGCATGTTCCTAAAAGGAATGTGCTAATAGGTACCTGATCACACGATATGTAAGGTTAAAAGCTGTCGAAAATCAAATGATCTTATATTGGACGCATCTACAAAGGCTAGTACAATTTACTCGATTTTCTTGTTACTATCTGACTAGGGTCTAACAATGGAGCACTTTACAAAGGATATGAAGTAATGTGCAATTCGAAGTAACGTAAGTAGGTACTTATGTACCCTCAATTCTCCACTCCTATAGGCAATACGAATGACAAAAACGACAATAGATTGACATGTATTCAATAATCGGAGATCCGAGACGCTAAGAACGGAGATTCGAAGATTGCTCGGATTTGGACATGAAGATAGTATGATGATGTGTTCTTGATACCCAGTCACAAGCGGCGGCAGTCCTCGTAGAGACGTTAGGTAGGTTGTGTGAAGGTACCACTGTGCGACTTGCTCAAGGTATATAAAAGGTAATCAGCCATGTACGTATTGCAACCATGGCCTACTACACTTCTACTCTATCAACCACCAAAGCGAAATACGATATATATATCACTCGATATATAGCACAAATTGAGCAACTGCCATCGCAAAACCATGGCCGAGGAACAAGACCAGAAACTCAACGTCATAATAGTCGGATCGGGGCTCGCCGGTCTGGCTGCGGCCCGTGTCCTACGGGAGAAGCACCAAGTTACCGTGTATGAGCGTGGCGAACCTTCAGTTGCAACGGGAGGACAAGGTATCGCCAACTTCCCCAATGCAACCAAGATCATGCAGCAGTTGGGGTTTGACCCCGAGCGGACTGGTTCAGTGCCTGTCCAAGGCTTTAGAACACTCGACAAGCTCGGTAACCTAGTCTTCGACACCGAATTTCCCTTCCAGGAGAAATATGGCGCCCCCGCCTTATCACACATGAGAGTTGACTTTAGAGCCGAGCTGCTTCGTCTCGCTACCGCCCCGTCAAAAGAACTAGGCATTGGTGGCGAGCCTGCGAAGATCGTGTTCAAGAATGGCGCCAAGGACATCGACCCTGAAGCTGGAGAGATTACTTTGGATGACGGAACGAAGGTAAAGGCGGATGTGATCATTGGTAAGAACCTAACTCATAAGCTACAGCTGTATTGTTGCTGATGACAAGTTAATAGCTGCCGACGGAATCCACTCCCGCCTGAGACCGAAGATCGCCGGCCCGAACTCCCCTAAGCCCAAGAAGAGCGGCCTGACATGTTGCCGAGTGGCTGTCTCCGCGAACCAAGCTATCGAAGCCCTCGGTCGCTTGCCCGATTGGTGGCAGGAGCAGAATACCGGCGACCGTCGTATTCTAGTCTTTGAGGCTCGCGATGGCACCGACCGCATCATGGTTATATACGGCCTCCGACACTTGAGTTATATGAATATGTCCTGTATCTTCGTGACGCGGGAAGAGAAGGAGAGTACGACCAATTCTTGGTTTGCCGATGGCGATCGTCAGGAGATGTTGGACATCTTCCACGACTTCGACCCGAGCTTACTCGCGCTCATTGGGTAGGTAGAAATTTTCTTACCATTCTATTCTATGTTCTCCAAAGTATCAGCTAGAACTAACCACCGTGCAGCGCGGCGACCGAAGTAAAGCTATGGGAACTCCAAGACATGGAGCCACTTGATTCGTGGAATAAGGGTCGCGCGATAGTCATCGGCGATGCTGCTCACGCCATGACGCCAATGCAAGGCCAAGGTGCCAACTGTGGTATCGAGGACGCCGAAGCCTTTAGACTCTTGATAGAGCCAGGCGTTACGCGCGATGACATCCCCGCAATCTTGAAGACGATAGACAGTGTTAGGAGGCCACGCGCCGCACGTGTCCTCTCCAACACGCGGGCAACCCAGCGCGGCATCAAAGGAGATGAAAGATACAAGGTAATGGATGACAACTGTACATACCACGGGATATTCAAGATGATTGAGGGCCAATGAGGCGTCTAGAGCTAAAGAGGTGTTGTCCGAGCTTGGTGGCTTGAGGAGTAGGGGCTGGGAATACCGGCTGCCGTCTAGAAACTCATTCGGGTGGTGTAACGAATGATGAGCATCGCATATTTATTTTTCATTGTACTGCATCCTCAGCATATATACGAACTTAGGTTCGGAGCGGAGTTTCTCCAGATCTCCCCTCGTTATATAGGTACCTAGGTAGGTAGGTAGGTAGTTGATCAGATACCTATCGAGTATATACCACTCAGCCCTCCATTCCTCTCCGGACCTTCAGCAAAAAAACTCCTGTGATAGTTTGCCGTTGTTGACAGTGTGAGACAGGCAGAGCCGCACATTCTTGGTGGTTAATTAATTCCGGATGGCTTCCGACGGCTTGCATCATGTACGCTCAATCCTCAAGCCACGGAAACGAAACGGCACAGCATTGACTGCCCAAGTGAGTACCGGTACCTAGCAGGTACCTAGTGTATGAATGTATCGCAAGGCATGCGCCCCTAATCGCCATAGTCAGTGCTAAGAAGTCGGTCAAGCAGGCAGTAGTTCGTTCACATTTCTAAAGTGAAGCTTAAAAAGTGTGATAGAGTCTTGAATTGTCATTGAGGCAACGTCTATTGACATTAGATTACCTAGATGGTTAACTTGTTGGTACAACAAATACCGAGATACCTCATCATTCCTTAGATATCCTGTAATGGGTAATCTAGGTAGGGTTCGATTCTCAAAAGGCATCAATCTCTTGAGGTCCTGAAAAAGAGTAGCAAAAAAGCAGGAGCGTAGCTAGGGACCGATCAACAATACCTCAGGCAATTCAGGCTAGTTGGTCCAGCCCAAAAAGGGTGTGTAGGTATAAATGCAGCACCTTGCAGCCTCTCTGCAAGTCACTATCACATTTGAGAAAGTGAAAGACATGCATGGAAACCAACTTTTATAGAAGGGTATTTCGAACTGAAACAATGGGAATGGCCAGAATCAAATTGAGGAAATTGTCGAAAAATTGGTGATGATAATTTTTGTTTTATTATCTACTAGGTACCTAGGTACCTAAGTTGTAGGGCGCTCGCGCTTCTTGGCAACTGGGCTCATAAAAGTACTAGTACTAGGCCGCTTTTAGATAAAGTGGAGACGGTAGCGGAGCTTTCTTCAACTTCTGAGCGAACATGGCATTATGATAATAGATCCATGGAATACCTATCTTGTATGAGTTTCTGCATTTTCTGGAATCGAATAAAAATTTGGTATAAATTCAGTTGGATCGCCAAGTTGAAATTTGTATTGAGTTATATCGACCGCGAGGCCGATGTTCGGCTCAGTATGGCATCTGAACGATTGGATTTGAGTGGCTTACCTCAGGAAGCACCTACAAAACTTAAGAACAGATTGCGTTATGTAGATGTAGGTTTAAGTTGATTTATATTAATTGTCTGGTTTTGATTCAGGTCTATAACACTTGTAGGTATAGGTTGCAGTTACCGCCACCGCTAAGGAATTTGATGGCATCTATCGAAACAAGAAATACCACCAAGCCGACTTCATAAACACATTGGATCGCGCGCAGGCCGCTGGAGTAGAGAAGATTATGTTAACGGGGATGTCCCTATCCGACGTTTCTATAAATATTGGAATTGCACAGTCCCGTCCGACCCAATGTTTCGTCACAATAGGTGTGCACCCATACCATGCCGCCGAGCCTGATACTGAGGGACCTACGTATCTGGTAAAGTTAACAGAAGCTATCCGAGCCGCTCTCGCTTCGACACCGTGCCCTCTCGCGGCTTTCGGTGAGCTAGGTCTTGACTACGATCGATTAAACTACGCATCAAAGGAGGTACAGATCCGCACCTTCAAATCGCAATTGGATTTATTCGTTGAAAATGGATGGGAACTGCCGCTCTTTCTGCATTGCCGTGCAGCGTTTAACGACTTCGTCGAAGTCATAAGTCCTTATGTGGGGCGATTACCGAGACGTGGCTTAGTACATAGCTTCGTTGGATCCAGAACACAGATGGAGAAGCTTGTGGAGCTCGGTTTCGACATCAGCGTAAATGGGTTTAGCTTCCAGTCGCAGGAGAGTGTTGATATGGTGGCTGCGATCCCGTTAGAGCGCTTGCAGGTCGAGACGGATGCTCCGTGGGGAGAAATTAAGAGTGGTAATGAAGTTTCAAAGCGATATCTGACTAGTGCGTCGCCTTTACCACCTAACAAGAAGAGGGATAAATGGGATGCGACGTGTATGGTGAAGGAAAGGAACGAGAGCTGTACGATTGAGAGAGTTGCTTATGTTGTTGCTGGCTTGAAAGGGGTTACCGTGGATGAGGTGGCGGAAGCGGCATGGAAGAATAGTATAAATATGTTTGGCCTCGGTATAATTGGTAAAGATTCGTGAGCTATATTGTCTAGGTATATCCTAAATCAATAACACTGTTACTCGGAATTCTACCTACCTACACAACTTGCGTAAATATTAGAAATAAATGCTGGAGCCTGGAGATGAATTTCAAGCTTCTAAGGTTTTGTTGAAGGGTTTAGAGTACGATGTCTAGGTACTATATATGCACTGTATTTTATCGCTATACTCCCCGTATGGATAGGGGATTTAGCATTAGTTAGCGATGTAATTCTAGGGAGTTTTAGCGCCTACCGTGTAATTAAATTGCAGGTAGTGAGTCCTACTCCTCCAAACGACGGTTCAACAACAGCTTAAAATAAAGTCTTATAATTACACTTATTATACATTTGATATCACACAGCCCGGATTGGATTAAATGGCTTTGAATAATAGATTAAAAGATGTAGGTTTTGCCTATTTAGAATTCAGATTTATAGCCGTTGTGAAGCTGTTGTTAAGCTGTTATTTAGCTGTTGTGCTCTGAACAACGCCTACCTTAGGCACCTAACTTTGGCATTTCGCGGCGCTATGTCCTAAAAGTGATTTCTCACCTGGCACCTGGCACCTGGCAGTAGGTGTCACTCAGTAATCCGCGCCACAAACAGAACTACTAAAATTACTGATTACCATCACGTGACTCTTGTCACGTTACACAGATGCATCGAATCAGAGTGCCGACACGATTTCTCACGAGCCTTGCTAGTTCATCTTCTAATTCTAATGTTCACTAATCATTAAATACTAAACCCGCCTTTTCTTGATTCTTTGACCGTCAACCAATACAGATCGGTTTAGACTGTTGCTATGACGCTTATTTGGTTTTCATAAGCGAGCTGAGTGCATACAAATCGCGATCAAAGTACCGGAAGTACTTTACGACGGTGAAAGTCATTGGCGAAAGTATTTCGATTTTGCACTCAGTGTGAGTGCTGACTCAACGACTTGGACGCTGTGCTCTGTCGTTGGCCCCCGTTATTGCCGGAGGAAACGGCGGGGAAGGCGAGTCTTATCAAGACCTCACAGGACAAGGTCTCGACCTTAGCTCTTAGACTCGGTACGGAACGCCTAAGAGGCCTTCCGGCTATCTGCAAAGGTACACACCATGGGACCTGGGCCCCTGTCAACAGTGCCTCCCTATGTCCTCGATGTCCCAGCAAGATCCTGCCACCCGGTCCCAATACATTGGGGACGGTTTTCAAGGTCATAGAGGACAACCTAGTCGGTCTAATCCCGCGCATAATAGCTTGTTGTCAGATCCCCTCTCAACAACGCCTATATATCCATTTTCCTCCAACATTTATCGCCCCGTTGGCCAATCTGGAGTAATAGAACCTATTAATAGTGTAAATGAAGGACCTGGTTTGTCCACTGGAACCTCACTGGCTCAACACACTTATTGGGGTGGTGGAGTCCAATCGGTTTCTCAGCCAGAGCACACCGTTTTCCAATTTACTGCTAGTGGAACACCAGCAGCATCGCTGCCAGAAGCACCGCCAATGAGGTACCTTCATACCGACTTACCTGTGCTCAATGTTGAGCAGTATGAGGAGGGGCGTTATTCAAAGCAGCCTTCTAAAGGTAACCCAAAGCCAAATATTCCGGCTGACCACGCCGAAAACGTTCCAAATCCGAGGAAGAGAGGAAGGAAACCAGCAAAACATGATCACCAAAGGGAAGCAAATGAGGAAACCAAGAGAACTAGAGGTCGCCCACGTCTTGAGACAAAAGACCAAACTCCTACCGAGGTTAGTGGATGCCTCCAACCCCTATATCTTGCCAACTGCCTCCCCGTAGTATTTCGCACCAAGAAATTCGATGGGTGACCCAGCTTTTGAATATCTTAAGCTGGTAGACCCTTGATATCTATATATGCGCTTACGTCTAACCCAGCGCCGACGAACTCAAATCCGACTCGCACAGAGAGCATATCGTAACCGGAAGGAGAATGCCATCACAGATCTCCAGGCAAGAATCGACGGATTGAAAGACGTGAACAACGAGATCAATAGTGCATATCAAAATCTTTTCGACTATGCTTCGCAACGCGGGCTTTTGGCTCAGGCTCCCGAATTTGGACAACAACTTCAAAGGCTCCAATCGCTTGTTAAGCAAACCCAAGAAGAGGATATTCCTAGGCTTAGTGATCAAGATAGCCCGGAAGGGAACTCTGATGATAATGTTCGCGATACACGTGAGACTGAAGACATAGCTGCCTTGAACGAAGAGATCGTCCCTATCACGGCGCCTACTACGCTTCCTACTACATTGCCCGAGGGCCGGCCAGTTAATCTTTGGGGTGGGTTTCAGGTATCGCATGAACCTGTGATCCAACAGGAGGCATTGGCTAGTACGTCTAATTTAGATCCTGCATTGATGTCCTCTCAACTGCACCAACATCAGTATGAGATTGTCACGACACCAACTCCTGACAATGCTAGCTTTGGAACAAACCTTTCGGTCGATATGAATTTCGCAAACCCGGCATATACGAATTGGGCGCAACATCCATATAATCGGCTTACTGGTCCTCGAACGATGTCTTTTCACGAATGGGCATTTGCTCGGAGACTCCATAGACACGCTGTCGAAAGGGCATCGGCCCTGATCAACATGCCCAACCCACCCCCAACAATCCTGTCACGGGTTTTCGGCTTTGTCATGTTGTTTGAAACTGTTGATGAGATTAGAGCACGAACAACGGCAACCCTCAATCGGATTAGGCATCAACCGCTAAATTACTGGGAGCATCCTTTCCATCGGCTTGGCGGCTCTGGTACTCATTTCTCAGATCAAGATGGACCCTCTAGTCTTTCGGGATCGTCAGCTTATCAAAGCACCGGTTTTGCCACTGGGCCCTTTAATGAGCGAACGACGAGGGTGCGTGATACTTTATTGGGAGTGTCACAGTATATCAACATGAGCGGTTGGGAAGGGACTTGGTTCGACTCGGGCGAAGTAGAGACCTATTTGGCACAAAACGGGATCGTCATTCCGACAGCAGCTGATTTACATCCCGTTGAGGTCCCACCAAGCGCGTTTTCTGACGTCCAGGAACCTCAGATTCAGCTGATGCAGACCATACCCCCCAACGCTACGCATATGCCGCATGAAAACCAGTCATTCGCTTCTGGTGTATCTGACAATAGCTCGCCACCTACGGGAGTTCCTACCTTTTCGGCAGCGGTAAATGTCCCTAGTACCGTAGGAACACCTACAACCCAAGGTGATGCTTGGCCTCATGTTTCTGTCACGTCAAGCCTTTATGGGACCTCACAGCTTTCAGATGGAAGCATTCCAGCTTTCGCTGGCCTTGATAACATGGCCAATGTCTTTCCGAACACTCAGTCTTACATCTACCCACACCACGAGCCGGTAGCTCCCATACCACCTCCAGCCCCGAAGAGAGTTATCCTGGATGTAAATAAATTTATATCAGGTAAGTTCGCATGCAAACTCTATGAATCCGCGACATTAACTAACTGTATTTTGTAATAGACATGATATCACATGCCACTTGTCTCGGACGTGCTCCCGCTTTCAGGCCGAAAGATATTGCGAACTCGTTTTGGGGTGCTGTGATATCTGATTGATGTGTATCATGCGCAAATTTTCTGCTATTTATACGCGTACGCGATTTTGATTAAGGAGAATACCCGGTATATAAGAAGCGTTCTGTTCATTTACCTACCTATTTTATTCATACATAGGTACCTAGGTATATATCACGGTTATATGGGCGGCCATTTGCCTCGGGCGCACCCGAAATATAAAATTGGAGCAGCGTCTATTGTTTTGTGCAAGGAGTAAGGGGTTGGGTATATATATATATTTTTTTTATCTATAGCCGGAGCTATTCGCTCACATATAAAATACATGTCATCTACACTCTATGAGACCATAGTTGATCATTCTAGGAACTGAGCCGGGCGCGACTCTCGCTCTCTTAGTCGTTTAGCAGCCTCGCTAGCAGCGACGAGCTTATCCCACTGGTCGCTACTCGATTCATCCGTCCTGCCCTCTGCTCTGGCTAACTTGCTCTCCTGTTTCATGGCGCGCTTCTTGCGGATTCTTTGTACTTTCTCCTGCTCAGCCAGGGCCGTCTCTTCCTCGATCAATTTCCGCATGGCGTCCGCCCGCGCGATCTCGTGCAATCGCTCTTCGTTGAGCTTGTTATGCAAATAGTCGATAGCGTGTCTTTTTGTCGTATTTCCAAACGTATTCCCGCTCGAGAAGTCGGAGAATATCGCATCTATCTCGGGAGTGTCTGAGATTATTTCATTTCCGCCGCCGTTAGGGCGAGTCATGCGATGTGTCTTCAGCATCGCACCCACATCCTTCTCCCACGCATCCTCGAGCTCTGCATCGGGTAGCATCTCGTCCCAATAATTTCCTAGGCTATCGTATCGCTCCACGCGCTTCTTGATCTTCTGTGTTAGCACGCGGTTCAGCACCGGCGGTTGCGGCTTCTTGATCCGCAGGAACGGGATGTCTGATGCCATATCCAGGCGGGGTATATGCCTCTTCCCGGACCCGCCAAGCTCCTCCAACGGCCGCGGCCGGTTCGGTGTCGTGTACACGGGCGTCGGGTGCGGGTTATCGGGCGTAGGTTCCGGCGTCACATTAACTAACAACGGCACGGTCTCCTTCTTAGGCGCGGATGTGATCTTCGGCGGGTTGCGGCTATTCGGGGGATGTAAAGCCTTAGCCTCGAGGGAGAGATTGCGCTCGCGCAACCGCGAGCGTAAGAAGGTGATTATGGACTCGTGGTTTAGGTTGCGGGCCCATTGCAGGGTCGGGGGTGAGGACGCTTTCAATAACGCAAGCATCTGGTACCCTGCCTTCAGCGCGGGGAACACGATCCGCGGGCTGGTGTCTGCGCGGTTGCGCCGGAAGGCTCGTCGGATTAGGTGCTTGATCGGGTTACCTGGCCCCCAGGCCTCTCTGAGTTGATCAGGTAGAGGGACATTGGGGGCCTCTTTGAGGAGGGCGCGATAGAGGGCAAAGCCTGGGTGAGAGGTTTGTGTTAGTGATCCTGTGCAATAGTGATGTATCGATACCTATATAAAGCGAGATAGCCGGGTACCTAGCTATTAGGTAGGCACCTAGGCATGTAGCATCCACTAGATGCGCTGGAGATAATAGAGGTTGACTTACATGCTGTCCGATGCCGTGAGTCTCGGGCTGGTATTAGAAATTTTGGCATATGGGCATCGAGGCTTTTAGGTGTTGTCGATGTTGACTGCCCTCCGTTTTGTCCACTTCTACAGTTTGCCAAGGTTCTAAGAGCGAATATTCATAAAGTTCTAAAAATTCAATTAAAAGACGGAATGATTCCGCGCCGACTTAGTCACCCGGGGTCACGTGGGCATATATTAATTTAGTGAGCATTCGGTTAATATGGGCAACATGTTACGCTAAAATGTCAAGAGTCACGATAGTTACGATAATAAGGGAATAAGCTTGCTCATACAATAGAGGATAATGGTTAATTCATTGTTTATTCATGCCAAAACTCCAGGACTTAAACCTTCCGTCCCTTTCAATTGGAGATTCCTCCGCGATGGTTCTGGCCTCGCTATGATGCAATGAGTTGATCTATCAAGCACTAGCACGATCATACTGGGGAAAACATCAAAATCAGAATCTGGGTCTCTTCCAAGACCCGTGTCTAGGATGCTGGAGGTTGCGCGTTGTCTGTCAAATTCAACCCCCTCTCGAAAGCTTCCTCGATGCAACTATCCTACTGGCCGGGGTAAACTGATCCTTCGGGTGGCTGAGGAAGCTTCTTGCACTGACTCGATGCCATGTATCTAAAGTTGACCCGTGATTAGTATATCGTCAATCTATAAAGCCCAGATCTATGCTCGATATAACAACCTCTACTAACCTCCGAAGTTCGATCAGGATAGTCTCCATGGTATTGTCTCGCTTCCAGTTCGCTAAGCATGGTAATTGGTTTGGGTCTACCACTCCATTCCTTTGGTTGACACACGGGAGGTTGACTTGGCTGACAAACTGGATCGTGGGTGGCTTGTCGGGGTACTGATCACCACAGTGCATTTTAACGGAGTAGATTCGGTTCTCGTGTACGCTCTATAATCGCGCATATCAGTTCCCGTTTTCTTGTTCGTCATAGAGCATATAGGTTATAACTAACGTGGGGAGGTCCCAGAATAGTGCCGTTCCAGTCGGACATTAGGAGGTCTTCAGGGTTATCTAAACCATAAGAGCATGCCTCTATTGCACAAATAATCGATCGCAGGTCAGCCTAAACATTTAGATATCGTCCAGGAAGGGTTGAATATACCAGCTCCCAATCCCTTCTCTCCCTTTTCCAACTCCTCCAAGAGACGGAAATTTCGAGGAACTTTAGCGCCCATCTTGGATACAATCAAGTAGGTATGTGTCGAGGAGGGAAATCTATTGTTAACCGGATGAGGTAATTAACTCCGATTCTTAACGTGTTATTGTGAGATTGTAAGTATTTATGCTGCCAGAGCCTCTGAATTGGTAAGAGAGTTGTAACTTGGAACGCAGCCTCACGAAGTTACAGCGATAAAGATGAATGATGCGGGATGGTGGGGTTGAGGTACAAACATGTATTTCGTACCTGGATACCTGGATGGAAGGTTCCGCCGCTCTGGGTGCCTTCTGCTGCGCCCTCCGAGGCCTGCTAATGTTTTAGTAAGCACCCCTGGCACCTTGGATTTACATTGTCTGCCACATTATCTGTGGCTGAAACTGCGATTACCAGGTACCCATATGCTTAGTCATGATCAATTTCTTGGTAAGTGGGCTTATGACGAATCTGGCAAGAAGCTGTGAAGCTTACGACTTACACTAAACAACTAATCAATTCAATCTTCCATCTTTGTTCGATGCCTCACGATAATTAGTTGTCAAATACTTGAACTTCTAACTCGTAGATTTGATCAGATGGATTCTATTCAACCTGATTGGCCAAGATGACCTCACAGCTCCTCTCTACGGAGTTAACCAATCTCATACAAGAGAGTAAACGGAAACATAACGATCTCAGACAGGCATGCACTCACTTAAACTTACCCCTGGCTCAATCTCTATGAGTTTACGGGTAATCTCAATGACACAAACCTTTGCTAATTCATTTCCAGGCAGCTGAAAAGTCTCTCGAGGAACTTAAAGGAATTCGTGCCACAAGTGAATCACACCTTGCTGCTGGTATGCTTCTCTTCTAGACTAACCGGATACCGAGGAGTACTTACGGTATAATGTAGAACTCTCTCAGAAGGTCAATTTTGTCAACCCCTTTGTCATAGCTTGTGGTACAAGAAACGCCAAGTTTACCGGAATCGCCATTGTCTGCTTGTCCCGCCTCGTTCTCGTCACAGCACTCCCACGATCCAAGTTGAGCCCCGTCTTAGAAGCATTACGAGAGGCCACCTCCGCTGGGCTGGATGTCCAACTTAAGATTCTACAAGCTTTGCCATCATTGCTCCAGAATTACTCTAAAGAGATCCAGGGAGATTTACTTGTTACAGCTCTGAATATCTGCTTCATTTTGCAGACGACAAAGAATGGGGTCGTCAACAACACATCCGCAGCTACGCTTCAGCAGCTTGTTATGACCGTATTTGAAAAGGTAGCAGCTGAGGATAGTGAGTGAAGACTTGTACTACGTTGAACTTCAGATATTAATGTCGTTTAGAATTAGCACCTGATGGGAATTTTGTTGGCGATGCCCCTACCGGTGATGGCGCCGTTCAACTTCGCGCCGCGTCTATGGATGCTTACCGTATTTTTAAAGATATCTGCCTAATGACAGAGAATCAACGACCAGAATATCTCAGGTTTACTGGGCTTCCACAGACATTCGGCTTAGAGTTGATAGAATCGGTCTTGAGTCAGCATGCCATCATTTTCACCGACTCTCATCATCCGGAACAGGCACATATACTCCGCACTGGGGTAATGCCCTTTGTGATCAAATCATTATCCGGAAAGCCGAACTTTGCAACTTCCGTACGTCTTGTTCGTATTTTATACACGTTACTCAGAAAACATCTTGATGTTTTACCGGCGGAGGGTGGCGAAGCCCTCGATACACTTACTCAACTACTAGATCAAGACACGGCTGCTTGGAGAAGAGCATTATGTATGGAGGTATTTCGGGGTATATTCTCAGAGCCTCCTCTACTCAGGCGTATATATACCTTCTACGATTCTGAAGAGGGGGAGAAGGATGTTCTTAGGAATCTGACCGCTACGTTTGTTAGGGTTAGTACAGAAAGACCCGTGGTAATTGGTCTGGGCCACCAGTCTACTATCCCCGTCGCAAACCCGTACGCAAATATAGGGGGCTCATCGGATCAGGCAATGCTAGAGGCTAGCGGCGTTACTGGAATTATCGGCGGATCCGTTGGTGAGGGAGGAAATACCGGAATTAGCTCCCAATGGAGTACGGTCCGAGTCGCTTGCATTGATCAACTTGACAAGACTGAACCGCCGTTGGTTCCAGAATCGTACATCTACGCATTAACACTATCTTGCATCACTTCCTTGTCTGAAGGGTTGGCTAAATTCATCTTGCCACTTACGGTTCCTCCCGACAACCGGGCTCGCAAACGTGGTGCTAAGCAGCCAGAAACGGGGAGGAATTCCCCCAGTCTAGTTGATGATGATACCGGTAATCTAAAAACTATAGTAGAGAGGACGGCCACTCTGAATTCTCTCGAGAGATCAGGTTCGTTCAAGAAAAACCCTGTTCCCCTCAATCCTCTGGCAGTAAAGGACCATCCCTTACATGCCGAGGTCGAGATATGCGCGGCTATCATCGACGAATGCTGGCCAGCTATCCTTGCAACATGTTCTACCTTTTTATATGCTGCACTCGATTCGGAATATTATCATGGCCTGGTTCGAGCGTTTCAGAAATTCGCCCACGTTGCTGGATTACTTCACCTTACAACCCCAAGAGATGCTTTCCTCACAACCTTGGGTAAAGCAGCTGTGCCCCCCAACGTATTCACTGCTTGCTCAAATACTGGCGCATCTAAACCTACCGCCGTCAGCCCCGTTTCTGAGGTCCCCAATAGTATCATAGGTAATGCTAGGGGCCTTCTTAGCGTTGATAACTTGGTAACCCCAGTCGGCGCTGCCGGTGAGAGGCAGAGACAGGCATCTATGGATGCTAACACGATACCTCAAACTTTGAACACTCGGAACCTTCTATGCTTACGCGCATTATTGAATTTGGGAATAGCCTTGGGGCCAACACTTAGTGCCTCTTGGTCAATTATTTTGGAAACGTTACAACAAGCCGACTTTGTGCTATTCGCAACTGGGAAGTCTCCCGGTAGAACCCCAATCGCCGGGAAGGGACCGGACCCGAGAGCAGAGAGTGAAGCTTCTTTGCTCTTGGCCAACTTCAGCACTGAGATAAGGGCTGTTGAAACTGCCGCATCTAGACTCTTCGAAAGCACGGTTGATTTTCCTAATGGTGCTTTTGTGGAGGTCGTCGACGCCATATGTGGTCTGCTAGATCAACGAACAGACCAGGCTTCAGAAGCATCAAGCCGACCACAATCATCAGCTTCCCTAACAACGCCAGTGCCAATGACGGGCCTTCGAACGCCGAGTGGTCAACATCGGAGACTTGTCAGCGTATCTACCATACTGCCAGCTGGTCCCAGTCAAGAGGATCAATTTGCCCTTGCGAAAATCGGTGAAATTGCGAGTATCAACATTGAGAGACTTCTAAGCTACCCTCCAGATGTGTCAGGCTGGACGCGCATCACCACTGAGCTTATTAACGCATTAAGCTCCGTCCCCATGCCAGCACAGATTCGAAACCGTGCTGCAGATATTCTTGTGCATCTTACTCTAAACGCAGCCAAATCTGTAGTTGGCTTCGACGACGAAACCCGCGGTCGGGTTCAACTGCGCCTCCTCGAGGCTCTCCGCGACTCCTTGCTTCCACTACAGATGGAAGATCGTGCAGCTTCCGTAGCCACTCATTCAACAGATATTGATATCCATAAGATCATACTCGAGGGCCTTAAAAGCCTTCTTGATGACTGTGGCGATACGCTTCTGAGTGGCTGGGAGATTACGTTCGAGATTATTGGTAGTATCTTCGTTCCAAGAAGATACGGTGACGGCACACGAGACACTGGTGACCAATCCTTCACCCTTACAACACGATCTAGCAAGCTCATTAGATCCGCGTTCAATTCTTTGCAATTAATATGCTCTGACTTCCTCGGGTCATTGCCCAAATCATGTTTTCTTATTCTTGTTGATACCCTGTACAAATTCTGTTCACAGGACGATGATTTAAATATTGCGCTCACGGTAAGTCGCTTCGTATATTCGTGCTCGCCTATCTGCCTTACTAACTTTTCTTTCTTTGTCAGACTGTCACGTTCTTCTGGGTACTTTCTGATTTCTTGTCTGGGAAAAGCAAATTGCTTCCAATTACCGATACTCTTGTTGATGATCCTGATGGCATTTCATTAGTTGAGAAGGCTTCGAATGCTGAAGATGCATCCTCGGACGCTGCCTTGTGGATGCTTCTCTTGTTGAGACTAACTACCGTGACAGCCGACGATCGACTTGATTTAAGAAACAGTAGGTAATTCGATAATTATGTCATGGTTCTATACTAATAGCATGTTTAGGCGCTATTCAGACACTCTTGCGCATATTCGATGCATATGGAGAAAGGCTCGGTCCTGAAGCATGGTCTGTCTGCATCAAGTCTGTCATTTTTAAACTTCTTTCGTCAATTGAGGAGGAACTTGAAGATGTTGGCAAGCAAGACGTTGACGAGAAAATACGCCACGACTGGCATGACACCGCTGTTGTGGTCCTAAATGGCATATCTAGTCTCCTTGCCAATTATCTTGACGTGCTGACTGTCCATCCCACATTCAACTCATATTGGCAGCAACTATTAGGGCATTTTGCTTCCCTACTTGATTTCCAGGTTCTAGAAATTAGCACGGCAACGTTCAAAGCGTTGACCCAGATGCTTTCACAAAGTCAGAACGGTATAAAACAGAATTTTAACAAGACAACAATTGACCTGGCCTGGGATCTGTGGTCTCGTGGCGTTCCTGTCTCTAGAAAAGGCAACACGGGCAAGATCACAGATAACCAAAATTGCCTTCTCGCCTACGTCGCGGCTCTTCGCGACGTGTATCGTCTTATACAAGTTGACCTTACAGTTGACCGCATTCGTCGAATGTTAACGCTATTACGAGAAGTCATGCAAGTGGCGACCCCCGGATCATACATAGCTGATATTGATCATGTCACACCTTTGCAAGGGCAGGTTTTAGAGGTGATAAAATTACTTCGAACTGATCTACCAGGGGCGCCGTCTGCCGTGATATCTCAGACCTCCGAATTCATCTCACTGGCTTTCCTCGAAGAACATGCCATGTCAAGCCAACGCAATTCACAAAAACGCACTTACGTTGCTATGTCTAAGGCCAGCATGTTGATTCTTCAATCATTACTTGTTAGCCACGCATCCGACGTAAAGATCTATAGCGACGGCGCATTCCTGACCGCTCTTACGGCTTTATCGAAGCCGATTGTACTTAAATACAGATTTCCCATCATCACTAAGACAGAGCAACCTTGGAGGTTATCCACAACTTCTGCTTTGGTTATTCTAGAAGCTACTCTCCCCCAACTCCATAAACTCGATATTTCCCGGCCAAACCTACAAGACATTTGGGAGATGATCGTTACTATTGCCAATGGGGTCATCAGTGCAGATTGCGATGCACCCCCAGATCGAGTTAACATTGCGGACGATCAGGATTTTGATATCTCTTCATTCTTGAAACTTCGTGAGCTCATCATTCCTTCTCTAGGTGGAGAAGTTGTAGCGGACAAAACCAGAAAGGTGTTCGCAGAAAACCTATTCCGCATGTCCATCATACATACACCAGCACCTGCAGAATCCGCGCTTATCTACGGAAGCGATGGAGATGACATAATTGGACTCTCAAACCTTTACAAGCCACGAAGAGGCCGTACCATCGATCCACCTCCTGCTAAACGCGAGAAGATGTGTTACATATGTATTGATGAGCTCTTCGCCTTGGTAAGTAACCATAGCGAAGCATCAACACCTCACATAACAGTTCAACCCCCAACGCCTGCTTTTCCTCCACCAAAGGTAGCGGCGAATATGCCATTTGAATCCCCTCATGCTCTCCATGTGCGACTAGCAAGAACGGCAGCACCATATTTAATACTGAGGGCAGCTCTTACACTACGGGCCTACATTGCAGATCAGCCGCTGCGTGGTCGCATGCCGCAACCGCTTAGCCAACGCAAAGAACTATCGCGGATGTTAGAAAGATTAGTAGAGCTTCGAAGCGAACCCGAGGCTATACCCGACACAGCCAATGTCGAAAGCGAGAGCCGTAAACATCTACTCAGACTTTACCCGTTGATTGTCAGCGCGAGCAGCGTAGCTGGCACGAGCGGGGATGAAGGCGTATCGAAGTTGCTGACGAAGGCATTGGAGGTTGTTGGATCGGAATTGGGGATTTGAGATTATTAGTCTTTTATGACGGCAATGATGAGCTGAATTCGCAGGCTATTAGACTCGTGGTTATGTTGAATTACCTTACAGTGGTTTGTATGAAGCTAGGTAGGTAGTATTCTCATAAACATTAGGTAAAACCACAACGCACTCGAAATAATCTTGAGGAGAGTTGCGTACATAGATACTTGCTAGGCACCTACAACCTCTTAGGCTTATATTCATCCTTCGAACTTTTTATTAGCATTCCCAAGGGAGCTGCCGCCTATCTGACACGACCTAAACTCCCATGTCTCGTGCCCCCAATCCACCCCCACCCCATCATGCGTTCTTATGAGTTGCGTGGTCGTTTTAAGAGTGCCATAGAATTACATATCCATACAATAAGACACTTGAGGCCCAAGTAGGATGATTATACCAACAGTGATGACAATGCCTCTACCGCAATGCCCGCCGACGCCATGCTCAGCCGATTTTTGATTGTTTTTTTCTCTCCTTTTCTCTTTCCCTCATGCCGAGTGATATGATAAATCTCAACCTCCTTTTTGATAGATACGGGTTTGGTGTTACAGTGACCTTTTTACGGATTCATGCAATCGTTTCCATCTCATTCCCCATCCGTCCCATTCCTCCTTACCACCCTCATATGTTCGTAAAGGATAACGTGACGTCTTCCTTACCATAGTATCCCGATAGCCGACTGAGCTATCTCACTTTGTCACACATTTCCTCACTTTCTACGAGCCGTGTTATCGAACTCCCTAACCATCGAGTCGACGACACTGGTCTCCTTCTCCGCGGGCTCCTCTGACCTCCCCTTCTCCATCAACTGCTTAGCCATACTCCGGCTCTGCGCCTCGCCCACCTTTCCGTACACACTCAGTCCCGTGGCGATCATACCCCCGATATCTCCCACATTTCCAGGAACAACCACCGCCGTGCTCTCGCGCGCCAGCTTCCCAAACGCATCGACGTATTTCTCCGCGACATTCAAGCTCACCGCACCCTGAGCCGCCGCCCCACCCTCGCTGATACTCCTAGCTACGGCATCAATACCCTGAGCCGTAGCCTTGGCTTTCATGAGGATAGCCTCGGCCTCACCGGACGCGCGGTTGATGTTTTCGGAGCGAAGAGCCTCCGAAGCGAGGATCACGCTCTGCTTCTTTCCTTCGGCTATGTTGATCGCACTTTGGCGCTGACCCTCGGACTCCAGGATCTCGGCGCGTTTGGATCGCTCCGCTGTCACTTGTCGGTGCATGGCTTCGACTACGGCGCCCGGCGCGTGGATATCTCGGATTTCATATCGGAGGCAGGTTACACCCCATGCTTGTGCGGCTTCGTTGATGGCGGCGGTGATGTTGGTGTTCAGGGCGGCGCGCTCTTTCAGTACGTGGTCGAGGGTGAGCTGGCCGATCTCGCTGCGCATGGTTGTTTGGGCGAGTTGGGATATGGCGTATTCAGCGTCTTCTACGCCGTAGCTGGTAGAGGGTGGGGTGTTAGTAAATAGGATTGGTTATATTATGGCCATAGTGGGGGTGTGAGCAAGGTATTGAGGCAGAAAGACATACCTGGCTTTGTATGCATCGAAAACCCTGGTGAACAAGACGCCGTCGAGCTCTAAGGTCACGTTGTCGGCGGTGATGGCACTCTGGCTAGGTATTTCTATGGCGACTTCCTTTAAACTCTTGACATAGGAGATTCGGTCGAGGAAGGGGACGAGGATGGCTAGACCGGGCTCGAGAATACGGTGGAACTTGCCCATGCGTTCGACAATCCATGCCGTCTGCTGGGGTACGAAGCGGATGATGGTGTTGGCGGGGAGTGAGGGGCGTTGGAAATAAGACGGCGGAACGGTGCCGAGGCCGCTGAGACCCGAAGGTGACGGGGCAGAAGATTTGGTAGTATTTTGGAAAGTTCGGACAGCTCCTAAAGTAAGCGTAGGTGCTAGTAGTGATCTTGTTGCTTGTCGAGTTATTTGTCGCGTGGCACCTTGCCGTAAGGCCGACGAAACAACTCTCTTAGCTCTGGTCAGCGACATGATTGCTGCCGTTCCACTTTCCACACACTTCTTTTCCTCTCGTTCCTATTCTACTCGCTGAGGGCCACGTCACAAGTCGAGTCGGCGTGTTAGGAAGAGTGAGTGGGAGAGAGCTTGGAAATTCATTCACAATGATGACATTTCTTTTTTGAGAGCTTCAAAAGTCTCGGAGTTTACCTTGGAGCTCGGGCCACATCCAATTACGTAAACATCATTTCTAGAATTGCCCCTATATATAGGTATTTTCTTAAACTTATCGCCATAAAGAGTACTATTTCCTCATTTATGGAAATATGCATGAAATAGCTATAAGCTACACCCCTTTTCTAAGTTTTCGTCGCTTCACCCTGAGACCTTTCAGCGACTTTACCATAATTGTCTTCCAATTGAAAATATTACCCCGCACTAGCTAATAAATGATCGAAATCTGAGCGATTGGCGAAGGGAATTAATTTCCTGGCGACATATTCTATTTTGCGCAATCGTTGTTAAGAATCGCGAAGATGGCACCACAAGAGTAAATCCGGAAGGTAGAGTCATACCCAGAGATCTAAGCAGCTTGGCAGTCTCTCGAAATGCACCAGACGCTTGATCACTCTGCATGATCTAGAGCATAAGGTTGATTTAGTGGTTAATGTTACTAACTACTAATTGTTGACCTTAGCTAACGATATCTCGTTATGATTCCATCGACAATTATTTACCTCCGATGTAACGGTACACGATGTTTAAATTTACGTGCGAATAGATATAAAAAGATGATACTACGCTCAGGTTATACTTACCAACCCTCCATGATGTTTATTGAGTTCAACCCTACTACGTACCAGGTATTGCTCTTGTCTTTGCAATGAAGTCCATTCGGTGGATTTCCGTACTAATTTCGCTCGCCACAAGCGTTGCCTCACTTCCTAAGGCCGACCAGGTAGGAGTTACAACTTATGATGGATATAAGGTATTCCGAATAAACACGCATGCGCGACCGTCTATCATACAAGAAAAGCTCTCGAATATCACCTATGAGCAATGGAATCACGATGTATACAAACACATTGATATTCTCGTTTCTCCTGACCAGATCACACGTTTCGAATCACTTGAACTTGACTACAAAGTCATGCATGAGAATCTAGCGGAATCAATTGCTGCAGAATCTGCTACCAAACCCATATATCAGCGACAAGCCGGGAATCTTTCATGGTATGATTCATATCATGGTTACGACGATCATGTTCAATATTTCAAGGACTTACAACAATCATTTTCAAACAACTCTGAGATCATATCGTCTGGCACTTCATATGAGGGAAGAGACCTCTATGGCCTTCACTTGTGGGGTGCGAGCGGGCCTGGTAAGCCAGCAGTACTTTATCATGGAAATGTACATGCTAGGGAATGGATCACATCGCCTGTAAGCAGTATCAGTGAAGTGTCCCCATGAAAACCAGCATGCTAAAAACTCTAGGTCGTCGAGTACATAACCCTTCAGCTTATCAATGGCTATAATAACAATGACAATTTCACTCGTTCACTAATCGATAGATACGACTTTTATATAATTCCATTTGTGAACCCGGACGGTAAGTTGTCTATACTTCTTCAACTAGTACCTCTCATGTCTTTCATCGATTGACTGTTTCAAGGATTCGTGTATTCTCAAACATCAGAGCGTCTGTGGCGGAAAAATCGGCAACCGCCACCTCCCGGAGACAACTTGTCTTGTATTGGTCGCGATGTTAACAGAAACTGGGAGTTCGCGTGGGATTCAAATTCTCGGGGGGCCTCGACCAACCCCTGCTCTCAGACCTATAGGGGTGAAGCACCCTCAGATACCCCAGAGGTTCAGGGTCTAGATAAACTAGTGCGAGAACTACGTGATAGATCCGGCATCAAACTTTTCATCGACTGGCACAGCTATGGGCAATACATTCTATCTCCGTTTGGGTATAAAGAGACACTGTACGCACCGGAGTTAGGTAAGTGGACCAAAGCGGCAAGCGTGGTGAGCGAAAGTATTAGGGATAGTTCGGATGCCCGCACAACGTTCACCTTTGGTCCTAGCGGTGCCGTGTTGTATGTTACGACCGGTGCAGCACCAGATCATGTATACAGCATCGGTGGTGCGGAGTTCTCATACACCATCGAACTTCGGGATACGGGAGATTATGGATTCGTGCTGCCTCCTGAGCAGATCAGGCCTGCTGCCGAGGAACAGTGGGCTGGTCAGAAAGCTTTACTGGGTCTACTAGACGAGGAATTCTTCGACGGAAGGGGGCCAGCATAGCCATTGTGATAGTAGGGTTCTATCTGAGAAGATCAACAAACGACCAAAATATACAATGCATACCAGGGGAGAGGACCTATCACTCACTGATCATAATAAATATGACAATCTCATCATAACGAGGAACAAAATCGTGATCCGTTTAGCACAAAGTATCTCCGCGTTATAATTCATACACGCGAATATCCATCTGTCCAACCTGCCCCGTCACCCGGACTACCTATGTACTATATCATCCAATGAAACTTACAAATATAACCTGTTACTACCTGTTACCTCCTATCTCCTTTTTTTACCCCGACGTCTCTGTTTGGTTGTCTGTGTCATCATCATTTTCGCATGAGGAAATCCTTATCTCCAGTCATTATTCCGCAGGCACATTAACTCCGCGAAGGAGTTGCGTAGATATACCTACCTACCCAGTACCTACCCTTGATCATGCCAGGTAAGCTTACCTAGTATTCTCTTATTTAATATTGTCTGCTTTCTACGAAGGTTCAGACTAAAACTTTTATTCATGCCTAGGCAGGCACACTACGGGTGCTGATGGCTTAAAGCTGTATAAATTAGAGTATCCTCTCACCGTGTGGCGTTTTTTTCTAGCGACTAAGTCCCTAAAACAAGCTTAAGTTGTAGCGACTATCCACTGGAATTTAGCGGACAGATCACTATCAGGTTTCAGCTTCAGCGCAAACCTAATACGGTATGAAGTAGCTGCTTTTCTAACCACGTACCTATTGTACAAGGGACGTTCTGATGAAGCGTTCAAGAGTCGACCTAGGATTCAAGCTTGTATCGCGACGTAGTAATTAGGTCTATACAGGGGTAACTGCGGCACAGTCTTTTCCACCCGACCGGTAAGCGACCGTCCATAGTCCAATTAGGAAATCTATCCGGTATTCGTCCGCGATGACAAATGACCGACCGGACGAGATGGAAACCCGTTCCCAACCCCTGACGAGAACCTCATTGAAGTCGCCGGGTTCCACCGACACCGATATATAAAAGGCAGTGTAGAGCCATTGAATATTTGTAAGTGCGTATAATCCGTATCTCAACAATTACAGATAATCAGTAACCACCAAAAATCACAAATCGCGTTGAACTTCCCATCCACACTTCACCATGTCTTCACCAAACTCCGCTCAGCTCCCAAGCACCTACAAAGCACTAGTCTTTGAATCAGCCTCTATCAACCCCAAAGTAACCTCCCTCCCGTCCCCAAGGCCAGGTCCTGGCACAGTCATCGTAAAGCCGCTCTACAGCTGGGTATTCAACTACGCAGCCGACATCTTCACCAACGGCAACCCACGCAACTACCCCATCTCCTTCCCCATCATCGGCGGCGGCAACGCCATCGGCCGTGTCGCCGCCACATCCGCGGATACCCGGAACCTCACGGTAGGCGACCTAGTCATAGTTGAACCCATCATTAAAGAGCGCGATGGCGCACACCTCCCCAACACACGGGGTCTCGGCCTCTCGGATAACGGGACGTGGGCGGAGCTCGTGCAGATCCCGCTCGAGAATGCGATGCGCGTGGATGAGGCCGCGCTCAAGCGGAACGGCATCGCAGTGAAAGATGTCGCGTTCTACGCGCAACTCGTAGTTCCCTACGGCGGGTTCCGCGACGTGGGTCTGACGGCGGGGGGAACGGTGCTGATCACGCCGGCGACAGGTAATTTCGGCGGCGCGGCGGTGCACGTCGCGCTTGCGATGGGGGCGCGCGTGATCGCCATGGGGCGCAACGAGAAGATCCTCGCGGAACTAAAGGCGCTGGCGCCGGGGCGGGTAGACACGGTTGTGTTCAGCGGGGACCTCGAGGCTGATGTGGCCAGCATCGCAAAGTACGGTCCCGTCGACGTGTTCCAGGACTTGACACCACCGATGGCGACGAATACCTCGCATATCCAGGCGGGGATCTTGTCTGTGCGGACAAACGGCCGCGTCAACCTGATGGGGAATGTGAAGGATTTGGAGATCCCGTATCGCGCGGTCGTGTACCGCGGGTTGAGGATACAGGGGACTTTGATGTACACGCGCGAACAGGCCTTGGATATGCTTAAGTTGATTGAGACGGGGACGCTGAAGCTAGGCCCTCAGGCGGGGTTGACGACGAAAAGGGTCTTTAAGCTGGAGGATGGGGTTGCTGCGCTTGAGTTTGCGGCGAAGGAGGCGGGCGCCGGGAGGGCGGTCTACTTTGCCCCGAACGAAGAATGAGTAATAGGCTGTAGCTATTATTCGATGACTGTGCGCAGAATAAATCAAACGGTTTACGAATTTTTCATGGGTTTGGTCGTAGTTGGGTTCTAATGACTTGGCTAACCAAAATGAAATCTTTTTGGATTGGGTGGGTACCAATTTTGTGAGGCTATTCGGGCCCATATATTTATACATACCCCATAAAACATGGTGGTTGGTGTCCACAATATGGTTGATCATCCAGATATCTGGGTGGCTTTTTGTACTGTGCTTAAAGTCTAGCTAGACCTAAATTCCCAATGTTAATACGGCAATAGCCGTTATGAAAACTCCGGATAATCGGCAGATTCAGGGGCGGGTTTTCAATCGAATACGACCAAGCCAACTGAAAAGATAGCTATGTGCTTAGGCGATTTTGTCAGCTTGCAGCATGATTGTATTATGGTTCATAAATGTAGATAGTCACTGTCGGTGGCTACTTCACCGCCGTAGTACACGTGTTAGTAGGTAGAAGAGGTGATCGACATGTACATAGACTTGTTCTTACACCAGATTACATTGAGTGTTCACTGTCGTCAATAACTCCCTAGACGCGTCGCATTTGTCCTAAAGGCTATTGAATTTACAGCTTCATGCTATAATCAAGCACATCAAGATTCGAGCAACCACAATGGCACCAATTCTCGAGTCCGTCATAGAGGATTATCGCTATACGGCCCTTCCGGAACAAGGACCTGGAGATCTTTATATCCGTCTCCTGGATATACTTCCAGGTGGCCCTAAAGATGAAGCGCTCAGACTTGGCCTACGAACAACTCGCCTGGAAGAAAGCCCGACGTATGAATGTCTCTCATATGCCTGGGGTACGTCAGATGGAGACCGTGAAGAAAAGGAGGTCTTTGTCGTAGGACCTAACGCCGAATCGTTCAAATTGAGAATCCGCAAGAACCTTAATGACGCCCTCCGAGCCTTGCGCCACTCGTCACGATCGCGCACTATTTGGGCAGATGCAATTTGTATTAATCAGGAGGACCACGAAGAACGCAGTAGCCAAGTCATACTCATGGGTCTCATATACTGGTCCGCCTCCAGGGTCAATATCTGGCTCGGCCCAGATAGACGTGGGGTTGCAAAGATGGCATTCGAAGCCGTGAAACCAATATCAGCTGCGCATTGGGAGACAGATGCAAGGTTATCGAGTTTTAGCAAAGAACAAGCTGCCGAACTGGACCCAGTTCCTTGGGAAGGAGTCGCGGAGCTTTATCGAAATTCCTGGTTCGAACGCGCCTGGGTGCAACAAGAGTTAGGCCTTTCAAAAGAAGCCTATTTTTACTGGGGAGATAGCCCTCCGATCGACGTGAGGGATCTCTTTAGCTTCGATCTCTGGATGGAGAGCGTTGGCGATTCCGTTAGGGCTCGATTCATCGGCGACGCATCTGGAGTACGAGGAACACGGAACTTATGGTTACAGTATAGTCGTGTAACACGCAGCGACTGGCCTGGAGATCCTGATCAATTTATGGCCGAGAACCCTTTCCTTCAGGTTCTAGTAGATGGCTCTAACTGCAAAGCCACCGACCCGCGAGATCATGTATACGCCTTCCTAGGTCATCCCGCTGCGCGAAGACGAAATGCGTATGAAAACGATCAGAGTATGAACTACGCGGAGATATTTATTGATGTAAATCATACCTTTATAACACCCGACTATAGAAGAACTGTCGACGAGGTGTTCCTGGACGTTGCCAAGAAATTGCTGGTGCAGCATAACGACTTGCGAATACTTGGCGCAGTCTCCCATTCTACTGGAACAATTGCATCTGATTATCCAAGCTGGGTGCCACGGTGGAATGCCAATCAACATCGCAAAACGATTGGCATATCAGTGTCTATATGGCCGACCAAGATAGATGTCCCTGGACTTCCCACAACGCGCATCGAGGTTAACGCACTTCATGTCCAAGGCCTGGTTATCTCAACCGTTTCTAGTCTTCTAAAGTGGACTAAGGAGTGTATACAGGTTGCCACGGTGGATGTGTTTGCGCGAAAGAACACCATAGAGATGTTATATGGGAGGCGGCTATTTCAAACGAAAGATGGACGGAAGGGTATGGTACAGGATATCGTACAAGCTGGTGATGTCGTGGCTCTCTTAGTAGGCGCATGCTCTCCTTGCGTCCTGAGACATGTAGAAGGTGGAAAGTTCAAGCTTGTAGGAACTTGCTTGATGCTCGGTTTGGCGGACGATGATTTAAATGATATGATTAATAATAGGAGAGGACAAATACAAGAAATGATAATAGTGTAGGTAGAAATGGTTGACGAAAACACTGGGCAATTAATTAGCAGCAATCTCTAGTAGACTGCTAACGTGTTTAGTTGCCTAGGTGATTTTTTAGCAGTCATTGATGGGAGCCTGGGGACTAAGAATTAGCGGTAATCCGTGGTCTTTTATAAGCCCTGGAGGTTTCCAGGTGCAAGCTCTATAGCACCAGTGCTAGCCCGGGAAGATTACAGCAGTTCCACGCTAGTGGTAGGTACCTAGCACCTATAAATATCCAACTAATGCTAATATTGAACGAAATACAGGTCGATCTAGGGGCGAGGAGTTGAACTTTATAGAACCCCCACCCTTCGTTTCCAAATTCGAACCCGATCCAGGCTATTAACCTGTGGCATTCTTCGGTGCAACATTTGGATACTCCACACCTCCAGCCCAAACCCGAGCAATATCTCTGGTGTTCGTGATATTTTCCAATGGATTACTATTCAACAGAATCAAATCGGCGCGTAGCCCAGATTTAATCGCACCCCTGTCCTTCAACCTATGCACTGTAGCAGGCACAATCGTCGCGGCACGCAAAGCCTCGAGCGGCGTCATGCCAAAATCTACAAAGTTGGCCATCTCCTGATGCAGCGACACACCAAATGGGAAGTAAACGATAGGTACCAGGCTACCGACCGAATCAGTACCGGTGAGCATAGTTATCCCGGCGGCGTGCAGCTGCTTCACGTTGGTAACTACATGCGCATACGAATCGTTGGCAGATAAATTCCCTCGAAGAAATTGGCCGATCTCTGGTTGTATCGTGTACCCACGCCGAAAAATCTCCACAGTTGGGGTGGCGGCTAGATCGTGGTCTTTGATCGACTGGAATATATTGGGTGGCAGTAAACCGTCATCGGGGATGTGTTGCAAGACGTCTGTTCGAGCTGACACAGCGCGCGTGTACGTAGCCACGCTCGGCGCATGCTGGACAACGAAATGGCCGAGGGAGTGCGTATACTCGACTATCGTATTCTGTTGATCTTGAGTTGGGCCGTCAGCTGCTCCCACGATCTTAAAATAGTCAGAGCCATTGCCGAAGGAATAATCAACGAGGAACTTCGGGTCCTCTCCAGGGGAAAGACGCAGCGAGGCCGGCACCGGATTCAGCTTCGCATTTCCCCCAGACGGGGCGAGGGCTGGTAGCATGGAAGCGAATAAGGTAGCCAGGCCAGGGTTTGATTTAAGTGTATCGCAAAGTTCGTAAGTAGGGCATGCCATGTTAAAGATAGTCGTGACGCCGTATGAAGTCATATTTTCTAGTCCTTCGACTGACTGCACATGGGCGTGTGCGTCGATCAAGCCGGGGATTAGGATACGATTGCCGGCGTCAATGGTTTTTGCGATGTTATCGTCCGAGTCAGTGATGTACTCGCCATCGATTATGACTGTCTGGGGATTCCCTATATTATAGCCATCAAATACTCGCACATTCTGAATGGCTGTTTTAACAGAAGCTGGTACATCACGCTTGCGGAGAGCCTCCTGCACATCTCGTAACCGAGGCGCAGGAATATGGTCGTGGAGGCAAGCTTCCGACCTCTCGAAGATGAGAAGCGAGACTGGGATAAGCTGTTTAAATTGCATCTTGATGGAAGTTAATGGAATATGATATGGATATAGAATGTCGAGATCGGTATTGAGTCGAACTCGCTGCCCGTTGTGGCATATTATATACTTGCGAAATAGCTCATCGTATGACCTAGGTGCACCTGGAAATAGGGAAGATAGTCGATGGCATACGAAGCTTGATTTGCACTTTTCATCCAAATCATCTTCTGTTTCTCAACTCACAAGTGATTCGTGATACAAGCGAGTCTCAATTCCTCGTACACTAAACCTGAATAGTTCGAAGAGAATATAAGAACAGAGCCCAGCTCATTCGGAGGGCCCGGTCGAGTAGTCCTGTCATCCATGTCATCTTAACATTCGGATTACTTGGGAAGTAAACATTTTTACAGTATCATTGTATGTTAGGATGCGGCACTCAATAAGCGCCGCTACCGCTCATCATGGGATGATGGGATGAGAGAAGGAAAAAAGATGGTTAAAGATCTCGACCAAGATCTCAGGATTGATAAAACCAGGGGGGTTTCAGGGATACTCGTACACTAGACCTATAACAGGATAGTGTAATCGGTAGTGTAGCGTCAGACGCGTTGATGACGCTGCGGAGTATGGAGTGGAGTGGGTAGGGTTTAACCTTGAAACGTTCAGCTGAAGACCATTACCGGGGTGCCATTAGGCGCGGAAGTACAGCACCCAGGTAGCCCAGCCAGGTTGCCCTAGGTAGTCCGGGTGCTTTCAATGTTTTTCAATGCTCCAAACTTCAATCTTCATCAAAATGCATCTTACATCTATTTTCATCAATGTGCAATTACAATTGCGCATTCAATTCCCTTGTGTCTTAGCGGCACAAATTCTAGATTGTTCCGACCCCGAAACTTATCGGTCTTCAATCTGTTGTAAAAGCCCGAACACCAAACCTTGAAGATGTTTGAACGAAATCGTCCTGTTCGCTTGGTTTCTCATCCAGACCCTTCCTAGTCCACCACACATGGGGCTAGCGATGCATCTGAATTAGGTGCTCTGAGCCGTTGCTTTGACTTTTATTTACATGGCGACCATTCAGAATAAGGAGCGCAGAAGCGTCTCCCGCCAGTTTCATAGGAAATCTCGCAATAGTTGTCTACCATGCCGCAAGCGACGCGTTAGAGTAAGCTCTTAATAGTCTATAGAGTATTTCTCTTAGATGTTCGCATACATGCTGACTCTGACTAGTGCGATCTGCAGCCGCCTACTTGCTCTAACTGCCAAAGGCGTAATGAGCTTTGCTCTTACAAACAGCAACAAAACCAAGCCTTGGACCTAGCTCTGATTTCAAGCCTCAGTTATACAACGGAAACCTGGCATCGTAATGGCGACAACTTTTTCGATGGCTATGTTCCATTGGAATATGCAACCTCTCATATGGCTCCCAATGTTCTCCGTCATGTAGACAGCCCACAATGGATACGGCAAGTCACAGGTGTCAATACAGGTTCTGTAAATAAGGTCATGGAGGAGACTTTTTTCCTCTCTTGGCTGTCGAATCTCGAAGGAGCAACGCTTGCTCAAGAATTTGACCGCCAAGCAAATTCTTTCAAATATGTGCACCGCATAATCACCGCACTTTACGCGCTTCATGAATCCAGTCAAAAGACGTCGCACTCAAATCTCCACTCCACCGCATATCGTTATCAGATCGAAGCTTCCATATTGTTCAGAAACTCGCAAGTCGAAGTGAATGAGGCGAATTGGTTGGCCATCCTGATGTTCGGAATAGGAGTTATTGTCTTTCAATTTGCTTCGGCCCTGGAAGCATCCGACGAAGATAGCTATATGGAGCTCCTTTACATTTTGCGTAACTCTTTTGGCCTAGCTGCACAATTAGGGCCTTATCTACATGCGAGCCCGCTCATGCAGTTTACTAAACTTCATCTCGGTCGACTTCAGCTACACTTAGATGACTTCACGTGGGCTGCTATATGCTGCCTGGACTCGCTTAAGTATCCAGTGGATACTACTGATGAAGAAAGACGTGCGTGTCTACACTCTATCGCGGCACTAAAGGGATGGGTTATCGAGATCGATGGATATCCAAGAAATTGGCTTCATTATATCAGCTGGCCCGCTGCGCTCTCCGATCATTATCTTACATTGCTTTCTCAGAAACATCCCGTAGCTCTCGTTGTTTTCATCTACTGGTGCTGTATAATGCATCGCTGTCCAAAGCGTTGGTACATGGTCGGCTGGCCTAACCGTGCTGCGGACTTCGCTATGAAGTATCTTGGAGAACAGTGGGATTATATACTTGAATTTCCCAGAAAAATACTAGCGAACGAATTCAAGAGTAGCAGGTCCCATAGCTTAGCTCTCATATAAGTATACTACCGGATAATACTTGAGTCTTGAGAACCTGGCCGCCGGGAATAACGATCTAGCATGCACCTGCATGCCACACCACCACACGATTATCAATTCATTCAACATATCAATTACTTCCTGTCTATCTCCTATGAAGTCACTCAAAAGCAAGCTTCGCGGAATATGACTTGACGTCGAATAGTGTATCCAGTAGCGTACGTTCGCGTCCTACCCCATCTGTGGAAGGACTTTTAGAGGTCAGCAGAGTGTCATCGTTTGTCACAATTTACGTCCATCTATAAGAGCACCAATGAAATACTATCCAAGTTAGAGGTACGTTCAACCTTTGGCAGGGTTTCTCACATAGGAAGGTGACTTGACTGAGACATTGAGCATTAGTATTACCTAACTACCTAGTAGGCACTGTACTGCTTTCTTATTAGGTTTTATTCTGTGAGATAATTCCTCAACCTTCGCATTATGACCTCGACTACCGTTTAGATCACAAAGAAGACAAAATTTCTACATCGCCGTACCTAATTTGACGCTCTATGAATTAGGTCGATTCGTAAACGCGAGTTTTTATATTCAAAGTGTTAAGCTACGACATTAGGTATGAGGGAATCCCTACTTTTTGTCCTTGTCGGACTCGTTCCTTCGTGTGCGGGGCACAGTGAGGAGATATGGAGCTCGCTCAATACTAGCACCAATGGACGTCTTCACACAGACCAACCCTTTGCATTACCATGTTATTCGATGTATAATGGAAACCCAGTCAAAGCTAATAAAGAGCAATGCTCTACTGTTCGAGATAATTATACCACCAATTCGATCCATGCAGCAACCCCCGGCGGATATCTGAATCTTCAGGGGGAGTTATGTCTAGCGAACCCCTTAGACGAGTGTACTCTCAACAATACAGTGATTCCAGCCCCAGAACCTGCTTCCGGAGTCTCGTGCAATCAAGGGAGTGTTCCTTCATATTATATCGAGGTTGAAGAAATTTCAGACATCAGCGCAGCTTTAAGATTCACTCGTGAATACGGGGTGCCCTTAGTAATCAAGAACAGTGGTCATGATTACATGACTAGGAATAGTCAAAAAGGAGCTCTTGCTCTCTGGGTGCATAAACTGCAAGGTCTTACATTCCATGAGGACTACGTGCCAGAGGGATGCGCCGAAAACCTAAGCGTTGGTCGTACTGTCACTACAGGAACTGGGGCTAGCGCGGGCGATATTCAGAATTTTGCGCATGAACACGGAAGTACGTTTATCAGTGGCTACTCTCCGACAATTGCGAGTTCTGGGGGGTGGGTTCTTGGCGGTGGGCATAGCGTGTTGTCGCCTGTGTATGGTCTTGGAGCCGACCGTGTGGTCGAATTCAAGATCATTACCCCCGACGGAGTCATCCGGGTTGCCAATCAATGCCAACATGAGGATCTTTTCTGGGCTCTACGCGGAGGGGGTGGTGGCACGTTTGGAGTTGTGTTAGAAGCTTCACACCGCGTTGAACCCTTAATGTCCGTCGCGGTTGCTAATATCATTCTTCCCGAAAATGGAACAGCGGATACATCGTTGCAGTGGATCGAATTGATGGCACGACAGTCCTTAACTTGGGGTAAGCAGGGCTGGGGAGGCCATGCGGCAGGGCTGTACCTAACCTATATGAATCCAATGCCGGCCATCGCTAACTTGACGGATGGATCTTCTGCTGCTAGGGACTCGATGAGAGTTGCCACAGAATTTGCACTTGCTGCTGGAGGGACTAGCACCATAGAAGTTCTCCCAAGCTTTCTTGATGTGTGGAATAAGTATGTTCTGCCGGGAGCCTTGGCAACGGCGGGAGTAACTCGCATATTGGCAACAAGAATTATTCCCCGAAAGTTATTTGAAGACGAAGCCGGAATAGCCAAATTGATGAATTTCATGGAAGCTGCACAGGAACTAGGCTTTGATCCGCGTGGTTTCTACTGTCCAGTGGGTACTCCTTTTGTTGTTGGCGGCCCGATGAACCTTAACGCTGCGAACGGGACGAAGCCTGCAACTTCTGTTCATCCAGCATGGTATGATTCTCTTTGGGATATTTCAACATCCTTGACAATACCCTGGGGTGCATCATATGAGCAGCGGTTGCAAAATATGACAGCAATCACAAAGGCGACCCTCCTTGCGGAAGAACTAACTGGCACCGAAGGAGGGACATACACGAATGAAGCGAATCCTTTCACGCCCAACTGGCGTGAATCGTGGTGGGGTGATAATTATGAGAGGTTACTTGAAATTAAGAAGAGGTATGATCCTGAAGGTGTTTTCAAATGTTGGAAATGTATTGGCTTTGAAGACGAAGAAATATCTACCGAAAGATTTCATTGTCAGGGAAAACTACAACTTGACGTTGATCGCAACTTGGCAAATGCCATATGACCATAGTAATTCGGATCAAACTTACGAGTAGCAATTCACATTCGATATTTCCACGATCTAGGACGTTAAAAAGAGTAATATAGTCAGGATCAATGTTAGTTGGATTCTAGATAGGTCCTACCTAGGTACCTATTGAGCCCGGCCAGTTTCAACTCCCGATGCTTACCCCTAGGAAAAGTAAGATACTCCAACTTTACACTAATAGGCTAATACATAGACCAGTAATTCCTGTTGAATAGCCCCTCGAATATGATGGCGTATGCTGTGAAAGCTTGGTATTATGTAAGACGTGCGATTCTCATAGTTCAATTCACTACTAGGACTACTATGGAATAATGTTTCAAGACAAAGAATCGAACAATGTTGTCATCCTGTGGCTAGTAACCGGGCTATAACACCGGAATGATCGGCTATTTACCTACCTAACCATTCCATGACAACCGATATTGGTCAAATTATGAAAAACATTTACCTCCAATTGGAGAGAGCCCGCGAAGTTGCCCATTATCTCAGCTCTTTATAACCGCTAAGCCTCACGGTGCTGACAGGCTGATTTCTCAACATATAACTCAATTAAGTTAATTCCTAAAATCATCAGGTAGGTAGTTACCTAGATACCTACCTAGGCATTAAGGTATATTCAAGAATCGTGATATAGCCTGGCAGTTAATATGGTATTATAAAATTAGTACCTACGCAATAAATAAGTAGGTAAGCACATATGCAGACTAATGCAGAAAAACGTGTCCGTCCTCGTGAAGAAGTTTTGTAAAGATAATTGGATGACTTAACCGTATGGCTTGTATTTGATCATGATGTTTTAGCTAGGTATGGTCAGCTCAGCTGTTAGGGCTGAAATGGACTAGGTAGGTAGGTCATAGGCCAAGAAAGAGGAACAAAGATTAAGTTCGTATTTCACAAGGTATTAGTAGAAAAGTACCTACCTAGGCAGTAGGCAGATTCTAAGTAGTCATTGACGACCTCACTCGGGACTTTTGACATCTCGTATTTGAGTAAGATCGATGCAATCGTGGGCGAATTGGAAGGTGCAGTCCTTGGGGGATTACTTCGTAACGGAATTTCCTCGAAATATATAAAGATGCAGTTCCCTACCTACCTACCTAGGTAGATATATTATCAGAAAGTATATTCACAACTAAACACTAGACATCCACACCGCTGAGACACTCAATCAACAATTGACTCATAGGAACATCTACAACTGATACCAAACCATGAAGTTCTCAAGCGCAATTCTCTTTGGCATGGGGCTTGCCGCCAGCTCTTCAGCTCACCCCCTCGAAGAACGCGATGTTCAGGTCGCGCATCTCACTTTTCATGGAGGCCCGGCCTCATATGATCTCGCTGTACCAGCTGATGGCTCGGTAGTTAAAACAAGTATGTTATAAAGACATACGACCATAATAATAGAAAAGGTCTCGGCTAACTCGACATAGACAACGATATCTCGGTCAGCATCATTGATGCTCCGGATTATAACGCCATAAGCCAGTGTACTTTCAACACCGCGAGCGACAAGGCACTTGTTAGCAGCATCAACACCCAGACTGGTCTCCAGTCGATTATTGTTGGGCCTCCCCAGCCTATAATCAGCGTTAGCTGCAGTGGTGTCTGCACTCCAACGTACGGGGTTTGCTTTAGCAATGGCCAATACACCGCGCCTTGCTGCAACGGTTTCTGCGCTGCTACCAGGTGCCGCCCCTGGAACATCACTAACACCGGATCATAGACATGATGCTTCAGATTGGAGTAGGGCACAAGATAAATTTATGAATGGGTTGAAATTGTGTTAGTTATGGACGATAGGATGATATTAGGTAGTCTTTGATAACCATAGCATCGTAGTAACGAATTTACTCTCTTTACCTATATACAACACTTTATATGAGATGGTCTGATGCAAATAAATAGGTAGGTAGGTATTCAACGTTATAGTGTAGGTAATCTTTAGGAGGATGTGGCAAATTGCTACGGTAATTATTATCAACATGTAGGTACCTACCTACGTTATCACGATCAATTATCGTGAACTTCCCCGTTGGAAGATCCCCCTAACGCTTGACAGATAGCTATATCTCCTCACTGTCTGTTTAACAAGTTGTTTAATCACTAATCTACTATGAACATAACACCTAGGTACCCAGGTTCCCATTTCAATGAAGGAAGACCAGAGTAGAACAAGTGTGGTGAAAGTCACATATGTATTAACTTTTATGCGAATCAATGTTAATATTATTGTAGCGCGCTGTAGGGTGGCTATCCCATTATTACCTAACCACAGTCTTTTGTCGGCTAAAACATGTATTAGTTACTTTAATAAGTAACTCAGGGGATGCTCTGCGTAGTTTAACGCAATGCTACCAGGTACCTACTCACGCATAGTCTCTTTATCTTGACGCTACCTAGTATGTTGCGTACCTATACTAGTTACGCAGTTAAAACATTGAATAACATTTTAGTTATTTAATTGTGCTATAAACAGCAAGTCGTTGATGATCATAGATATATTTTGTTGGACCTTGAACGAAAACTTACTAATCCGGTGACACCACCTGACATAATCTAAGATTACCTAATTGTCCATGACAACGGCGATATTTACCAGTAGCGAACCTAAAGATCATTAACCTATAACTTTGACTCGTCACGATGCACTCGTATTTCACGCGAATTTCCATTTCCATGTCGGGTACCGAGTAAAAAAAAACAAAAAAAAACAATGCGTTGGATTATTCATTTGGTATCTCCTGTTTCGCCTATAAAAGTAACTCATACGTATTTTGGTAGGTAGGTATGAAATGTCGGCTTGTGACGCTTTTCTCGGCTGGGATAATGAAAACATAGTTACATCGCTCGACGAATAACCGAACTTCTGTTACTCACCTTTCCAATAAACCAAGATAGATATCCACCCCTCAATAGGAGTTTTGCTAGGGCCACGTCAACACCTAGCTTGAATGGGACTTAAAGAACCTAAAGAGATCCACGAGGCTACTGGGTATTCTTTGTGGAGACATCGAGACGAAAATAGATCAAATGATTGCTTGGCCGCGTAATGCTAGCTGGCAGCGCAAAGATAAAGCTTTACTAATATTATGTCCACCAGGAAGAAACTCAGGGACGTCGATCAGGGACGTCGATCTGGTACGTCGATCACGAAGTTCTAGAAGGCTTATACCCCATGCATTGGCATGAGTGGATACAGTTGATGAGGCTTCTCTAGGCTTTGTAATTAACTTACGAGACAGGTCACTACGGAAGACTCCAGGGCACTTATACCCCTTAGGGGCGCACTAAGGTCTTGGCGTTTGGACGGCGATGACCGCGTCTCAAAGGGATATAATTTTTTTGTAGATGGTTTGATGAGGGCAGGGCAAGCTTATGAAACCGAAACTTATTATTTATTCAATCTATTATTATTCGTACTAGGAGGTAGTTTAAAATTCTTACTTTCTTGATGAGGATTAATTAGTAGAAGTCGGAACGTGCCGTGAATACCTAACATAAGCCGTTAACTCCCTTGTTTAGAACACTGTCAGGGTACTCACGGGCACCCCAGATCATAAAACTGCGGCTAAAATATACCAGATAAGAGTTCTTAGCCGCACAGGGATCCCTAGTTGGAATTATACCTACCCTAGTACCTAACCACCTAGGTACCCCTAACAGTGCGTGCTAGAACGATCATGGTTAGGTACCTATCTAGTGGCAGTACTGGAACTAGCTAACAATCAAATCAATTAAGGGGACAGTGATCTACTCAGAAATACATGTCATTGTCACATAACAGCACCGTTTAATTTGGTTCATCAGAATATTTGAACATTTGAGATTTTATTATGTCTCCCCCGAGGATTGCAAACGAGTGAAAAAAAAAGAAACGAGAGTAAATGGATCGCTATGAACACGAATGTGTGTATGCCTAGATAGTAGTAGGCAGGTATGTGTCTTTCCGCCTTAAATAATACATCTTAGATTGTATAGTTTCCTATACACATCTGTCTTTCAACTCATCGGTTTTATATTCCGGAGTCGTCTTGGTCAATATCCTCCGAGTCTTGGAATGTTGACCAGGTAGAGCACTGGTCGGTCAGCGCCGTCGCGTTGGTTATACCCGCGATCTCGGAATATCTCTCAACGAATTGTAACGCGAACCCTTCGCTTGTATGCCAGCCGATATGGCACTGTAAATTATGTTAATACTCGGGACCTTAGAATTTTGAAGGGTTTTAGAATATTACTTACGTGCATGAGCCAGACACCGGGGTTATCCGTCTCGAAGGCAATAACAAGATATCCGCTAGCGGGCAGCATAGCAGTGTCTCGGCGAGGTGGGTTGTCTAGGTTCAGGGTTACATTGCTGGAGTAGGTGCCGGTGTCTTGCGCAAGGACGTAGAAGTCATGTCCGTGAAGATGGATCCTATGGCATGGATTAGTACAATATTTCGCCTAGAATATATTTAACTGCCGAGCTACTTACGGGTGGGTGACTGCAAGATCAGTGGTGATGGCCAAGTAGAACCATACATTTGCTTCCGAGAGTTGGATTACGGAGTCGTCGGTCTCGAATTCAGTCACTTCATCCAAAACTTGCGCAAGGGTGGGGTCGGTCCAGTTGACCAGCATAGACGTGCTGTTTAGAGTCCATTTGAAGACGCCGTTGCTAATGGCGATACCAGCGTCCTCGCTAGTGGAGGTGCTCGAGGATCCCACCGTCTTGGAAATGTACGGGACAAGGTTAGAAGTTTCGTCGTCACAAGAATCAGTGTAGTTGTAGCCTGTAGTTGTGGGCGTTCCAACGGTATCGGCGTATGTGACGATACCACGAATGTTATCCGAGTTGTCGTTCTCAGAGCAAGCGGACTGGGGAATGGCTCGCATCCAGAAATTGTCTGCAACCGAGGCTCTGTGGAAAATAGGGTTAGCAATATTTCCTGGAGTAGGTACCTAATAATAACTATGTGCTTACTGGTTAGCGGTGACAATAATGTCGTAACGTTGTCCCATGCCAATGTTAAGGACGGTCGTGTTGTATGGCTGGATCGGAATGAGATCGGTTGCGATAACTTGCATGGTGTGGTTGTCGATAGAGAACTTGAAGTGGGTATCAACAGCGCCGTTGACAAGTCTCATGCGGTAAGAAGTTCCAGAGGTGAAGGAAACGTTGAGCCTCGATCCGGTGTCATTGTAGACGTTGGTGCCGTTGATGAGACCAGTGTCTAGAGTAGGGGGGCCATTTGTCTCGGCACTAACCCAAAGTTCATCTACTGTAGAGTGATCCCAGTCGGACAAGAATACCATTCCAAGATCTTCATCATAGTTGGCAGTGGCCGGGCCGTTGATGATGATACCGCCAGCAACACCCTCCCAGGCTTGAAGGGCAAAATGAGAGTGGTACCAAGTAGATCCGTACTGGATCGCCTTCCAGGTATAAGTTGTCGTCTCTCCAGGGGCTGCAGGGCACTGAGTAATAGACACCACACCATCGTTCTCGTTGGTATAGTTCTGACGGATACCGTGCCAGTGGATAGCTTTGATTATTGTCAGCTCTTGATACAAGGAGAAGGCGGATACAACGGAGAAGACCGGGGTAGCTCTACTATGCTTCTGCGGCACAGTCGAACAAAATCAAGGAAATCTTGGAGGTTATACTCACATGTACCGTTGTTGGAAGTGGTAAGGGAGTTCTTAACATGTACAATTACGGTATCACCCCAGTCAGCGAAAAGAGTTGGTCCTGGGATTGAGCCCTGTAGCAAAAGATTAGCAAAGTCCCATGTGTCAAGGACTTGAATGTCGGGGTTGCATTATAGGACGTACGTTCACAGCCATGGCTGTTCGAGAGACTCCATCAGGGGCGACGGTAACGTCTGTCAGCTCGAGCCAATACTCCTTCGTCACTCCAGTATCTACGACTTCAGTCATGTAGTCGGTGTCGATAGAGTAGTCGCACCACTGGCTTCTGGTCGTGGCCGTATTTCCCGAGCATGCTGCTCGTGGATACAGGTTAACCTCGGGGACGAACGGAGAGGCTGCTGCTGTTCCATATAGGAACAACAGAGGAAGAGTTGATAGTTTAAAGGCAGACATGATGATGTAATGACTCCAGCTGTAGCCGGAAAGTAGAATTCAAAGCTGATCCAAAAAGATAAATGAAAGTTGTTTTTTTTTAAACACAAGCCTCTAGGAGACTGAAGAGCAAAGAACGACTTGGTTGTCCCTCTTCTTCTTCCTGACATCACGAACGAACCGGGCAGTCTTTATGCTCGCCATCGTCTCCTATCCGGCCTCCTATTGCCCACTTGCCGACTACTATAGGATTAGACGATATGAGACGCACAATCGTAATGGTTCGTCCTAAAGTAGCATTGCATGGACTTCTTCCAGTATACTGCACGTGGGATGGTCTGAGCACAGAATCCACCATCGTCAAGTCGCACCAGCGTGACCCCTTGGAAGCTGAGAAAGCTGGTTTAGACGCTTGTACGCTTGCTGCGCGATGCCTTCGTATCGATGAAGTACGCGTACAGACAGGAGGTGGCCCGCGTGTTCTGTGGAGCTTCATGGATGATGCCTTGCAGTGGATCCTCGAGCCGCAGAGCCGCCGAGGGTATAGTAAGGCGTCCGTAAGGGACGTTTCACGGATTCAATAGAAAACAATAGAGCGATAAGTCTAGACTCCTTTGATATGTAGCATTATTGACCGGTCCAAGCTCGTGACGGAGTTGCACTCAGCCCCTCGTGTGTGATCGGGGGTAGATAGTCGTAGTCGGCGGTTGGCCGCATCATCGAGCCCACCCGGATGCTTTGTATGCATAAGTTATCAGCTCCAGGGATTACGAAATCTTCTTGTAAGCCCTGTGACGGGTAGCTGATAATATTGATCGATGATCCTAGATCTTATTAGATAAACATTTTTTAATCCGGCTTGGGCGCCGGTCATGGCGTAGCGTAGCTGTCAAAAGTTCGCTGCCCCTGCATCTGCCGAGAAATATAAGTGGATTTGACTATCGAAAAAAATGAAAATAGCTACGTTTGGACGAATAGCCATGTTTGGACGATTACGCGTTTGCTGCATGGGACCCTGCTCTGCTGCGGTCGCCGCAACCCCGGACCCTCCCGCACCCCCGCGACGGCCCACAATCCGAATATAGAGCTTAAGACCGTCATGGCATAGTCGACATTTAATAGTCAGGGAGAGCTGACGAATCTCTATACAAGCAGGTTCAGGAAAGGGGCTCTTTTCGCGGCTATGAAAAGATGAAAAGACCGGCGTTTGGTCGAAATATCATTTATCAACGACCACAACTCGGTTGATATCTTTTCTCAGATCCCAACAGGGTCTTGCTATCTATCTTCTTCTTACTCAAGTTATTCTGTCCTTTGCGAGAAAAAAAACAAGTTAACTCCATTCGTTACCTACCTAGTACCTACTATCCACAATGCCTGCACTCAAGAGCCTCCTTCTCATCGGCCTTCCCATGGCCCTCGCTGCTTCACCCGCTGTCATGAGGCGCGGACCCACATCCAACTTCAGCCTCTATGCCTACGGTGATGGCATCGGTGGCGCACAAGTCTTCACCACCGGTGGTAAGTCAACTACCTAGGTACTAAACCTATCTGCGACGAATTGTCATTAATACATTTTATAGATGGCGCCTTTGTCGGTTCGGCATCTTCTTCAAACAGTACCGAAGCTGCTCCAGTTTTGTGTAAGCCGTATAGAACTAAACTATAGAAATATCTAGGTACTAATTACGAATATAGTCGACGTCGGTACGGATAACGCTCTGTTGGGTAGCCCGAACGCCACTGAAACCACTCCCTCCTGGTCAAACCTCACCTTCAATGTTCCGGACACTACTTCCAGCGGTCACCAGGTCTCTTTCAGCAACTCTACGACTAATAGCACCACCGGCAGATCTGCTTCAGGTTTCGTATTCTATGGTCAGTACTTATTCCACCAGAACACCGGTGGAAATCTCCAGTCGATGTGGTACGCCCTTCCTTCCGATCAGGACGGTGTCTGGACCTTGAACTGGAACTCAACTGGCGACGACACCGACGGTCAGGTGATCGTTACCTTGAGGGCCGTAGCCCCATCGACGGATGCCTCTTCAGACACGACTTCGTAAGCAGAGCATGGATTAGCAACCCGCCACGATCATTTAAGGAGTTGATAGTCTATCCCGTGGGTTGGGTTACTGCCTCCCATGAATCACTCGTTGACACAACAAATTCACACCGAGGCACTCTTTTTGAATCTAGAATTTGAAAACATTTCAATAGATACCTAACTTTATCTTCTATAACAAATTCACTCGCTTTGCAAATAAGTCATGAGATTTGAACTTTCTTTATGCTCCTTTCAACCTCCCGTATGGACCTATCTGATAGGTAGGTGCCTGCCTACCTGGGTACCTATGCAGGTAGTTTAGTAATTGATATTATATTCGGCTGTGAAATTAATGACTCAAAATGTTCCTCGTTAAGTCAACCTAGTATTCAAATTTAAGTTTTCCTTTTCGGCTATCTCATTACAAACCCTTATTTGACATACCTTCGAAATATTTCATATCGTATCAGTACTCTCATCCCTTTCAGCGGTCACATAAGTCGGAAACGGGTTATCGGGTAGGAATACCCATTATCTCCGTGTGAATGTTTTGTCCGGTGGCCGAGTTGTCGTGTTTCTCGGCAGGAAATGGAGCAAACGCGCGCCTGGAAAGGAAGCGAGCTCGCACATGATAAAAGAATGTGACGTTACTGAAGCCGCTGACGTAGGAATGGTAGGGTAGCCCTACATATATTTCGCTTCAGCCATTGGTGGCATGATATGCAAGGTATAGGTAGGGCCTGGGCTTTGAGGAGATGGTAGTATCCTCCTTCATTTTATAGGTATTGTTATAAGAAAGGGGCGGTTTATTTTCGTTATCACATCGAAATATCAGGTGTTGTACAGCCGGGTTGCCTTACCGGAGGAAAGGGGTAATAGGCTATTAGATAGTCAATGAAGTAAAAATCAAGATATGTCGGGTGGATTAAGTTAAGGGATATCACTTGCATGAGAGATACTACACAAACGTCATGAATATCAACCAACTTTAGTATACCAACAAAGATTTTCCTACCTAGGTACTGAGGTAGGTACCTCATAAATCGTTCTATTAACAACAAAGTCATTTAATATAATGTTATAATGAGAACTACCTAATTACAAAGAAGTAACGTATTTTGATTTTGGAATATTTACTAAAGTAAATAATTAAATGTTTAGTTACTTACTAGGTATTTAAGTAATTTACGTGTTTAAATGTAAAGAAATATATGTAAAAATACCGATTATACATAGCCATGAAAGAAATGCACTTGAGTACTTATAATGTACCTAGGTAAATATATTAGGTTAAAACAGAAGCATACCTATATATGAATAATAGTTTGAAGATTAGTTAAGGTTTCAAACTAGGTAGTATACATGGAGGCTCTAACTTCTTTAATCCGGTCTTATATCAAATTATATCTTTTTTCATACACCCGAACCAACCAAACCAAATCTCTTCCAATATTTTACGCCCCATGAATAAAGCTCTCCTTGCACAAATAATGTTTAGTTAACAGATTGAACACTAAGATATTATTTATTTAGACGCCAAGGCTATGCGTGAACTATGCAGTGTTGCGGGATGGGTATGAATGCATACTAGGTATGCCAGGTACCTACCTACCCATGAAACAGTGAAAGATGTCTTTTCCAGGAAATAGTCCGGATTTTCAGTGATTTAGATGTATGCAGACTTTGAAGACCAGGCCAGAATTCTTTGAAAAGGTAGGTAGGTGCTTGTATCCAGGATTTCGGGATTTGGACTCAGGAGTTAATAAGAAATATTGAATCATGAGTCATCATTCGTATTACCTAACAGTTTCAACCTACCTAGTATTCTTATCTTCCCCTGACTTTAATAGTTGTTATATCACAAGTGTTCCGTGGGAAGACACTCCCAATTGCTTCCTTTGTTGTGACTCAAACCTTCTCATGACAAAATCCAATGCGACCTCCGGGCCTTCCGACGGCCCCTGAATACTCAGTTTAGCACTAAGCTATTTCTAGAGTGTTACGGCAAATATGGATATAAAGCATCTATGACTTAAATAGCTGTGCGAGAGGTTCTCTGCTTATTCATTATCTTGGGTATCTAGTTCCTTGATTGATCGTAACAGCCTATAGACTATCCTAGGTAGGTACACAAACCATTACGAAAATTCGTAGTACTGAAGTATTGGTCGGATATAAAAATAGGGGTATGCATCAGGTAGGTATGTATATGATTTAAGTCACCAACACCTGCAACAATTATATTAATGCAGGCACGATCTCAAAATCCGAGCATGAGATTACATAGTATATAAAGGTATCTTTCCAACATCCAATAAAATAAGAGCAGTGACATGTCGTGTTGTGACTGAAATTTTAAGCCGCCCCTTTCCATATGCATAGAACTTGTACGACACGAGTAACATAAGTAACACCAAATGCCGCCCATTAACGCCTCATCGCTAATATCGCCTGACTCAAACTCTAAGCAGGCCCTTAGCTGCGATCATGGTCATTAGTATATCAAAAGGTGGAGGGAGCGCGGACCAATGGGGAGCCACCAGGGACGCCAACACGAAGTCAGTAAATGGTGTGTAAGCACCATGCAGCAGTTGGAGCAGTGGCAAGATCGAAGTAACCAACCAATACGCGTATATTCAAAATCCATTGGTGCTTAACTATCCGAGGGAGGGCGGACGATAGCTACGACAAAAGCATATCTTGGTCGTCCCCTCGATGGTAACGATATGAACTCATCCAAGACTTTCGGAATTGTCTCGCGCTCTTCCCTCGGTCGGTTACATTCGACAAGTCATATTCGCATATCACGCCAGGCGGCTATCCGAACAGCCTCATTTTGCGAGCTGAGGAAACATCTAGAACGTCGAAACATTTTGCGGGGTGCCACATCCCGATCTTCCATCCGCGCGCCTGGCCAAGGAGTCGCCATGAGCACGCGGTCCGTACACCGGGTTCCTATCGAACCACAACGTGTCGACGCACCCCTAACCCAGTCTGCGACCTTTCTCGTAGTTACTATCGCTCCTACACCAGACGCCGCCCATGTGGTACGCTCAGTTCTCTCAAGCATCGGAAGTTTAGCTAAAAACGTCGCTATCCGAGATCTTGGCGCCGCGTTTTCTTGCACGGTAGGAATCGGCAGCGATGCATGGCCCTCGCTTACTCGGATCCCACGGCCGGCGGAGCTTCATCCATTCCCCCCAGTTCATGGTCGGAAACATGTTGCCGTCTCGACACCGGGGGACTTGCTATTCCACATCCGCTCAGAGCGACGAGATCTGTGCTTTGAGTTCGAGCGGCAATTACTCGACGCTCTTGGTGATGCCGTTTCCGTCGCCGACGAGACAACTGGCTTCCGCTATTTCGATGTTCGTGATCTTCTAGGGTTTGTCGACGGCACAGCGAACCCAGTCGGTCCTGCAGTGCCAGACTCTGTCCTCATCGCGGAAGAGGACGCATCTTTTATTGGAGGTAGCTATATCGTGGTGCAAAAATACGTGCACGATATGAAGGCTTGGACTGATCTCTCCACCGAACAGCAAGAAGCTATAATCGGGCGCAAGAAGTTCGATAATGTCGAGCTAGATGATGCCGCAGCAGATCAGCAACAGTCCCATAAGTCACTCGCTACGATTGAAGACGAGAATGGCAACGAGCATGACATTCTTCGAGATAACATGCCATTTGGTTCGCCCGGTTCAGGAGAGTTTGGAACTTATTTTATAGGATATTCAAGGCGGTTATGGGTTATCGAGAAAATGTTGCAGCGCATGTTCATCGGTCATCCGCCTGGTTTGCACGATAAAATACTTGATTTCTCGACGCCACTGACAGGAACGACATTTTTCGCGCCATCGTCGGATTTTTTGAAAGGATTACAGATAGAAGAATAAGTTATATCTAGATATTATTATGTACCTATTGTCGATCGACATGATCATTCCATGGCATTAGAATAATTACCTAGTATATTTGTACGCCGGCTAAATGACGCAAAAAAAAAACACCAAATAAATTATTGGAGGAGTGAGAATGGCCTGAGAGCATGCACCCAATCAAATCATTTCATAATAGAAATATCGGGGTTACCGGATCTGACGGAGTTTACAAGGTTTTAGCGCCGGTCTTAGCGGGGTTACTGCGATAGGAGATTTAGGAGATTTCCAAGGTTTTGATAAGGACTGGAGAGAAAAACTACCTAGGTACCTACCCAGGGCTAATACTACACAGTTTTTAAACTGGGGATCGATGTTAATATGAATCAACTTCACATGATCGACAATAATTACCTACTCTAACTCTACCTACCTAGTAGGGATCTAAGATGTAATCCCTTATTCAAGAGGACGTCGCAAATCTATTATTCTTTAAATTTTTCTTCTCAAGACGCCTATTTATTTATTTTTTAAATGTCGACTGATACGCTACGTCTGTTGCTCCCCCGACTTCTAAGGTCTTTCAGTAACCATGGACATGGACGCGGAAAGAACCTACCAGGTTATACATCCCTAGCTCGGTCTCCTTTAAGTCACCCTCAACGTTTAAATCCGCAAACATATGCATTTTCGAGCATGGCACAGTCTCCGGGAAAGGTAGCCGCGACGAATAATTCTTCGATGGGAAAGGCGGAAGACTCCCACGCAGAGCCAACAAGTCTAGCGGATGACGGTGCGATGGAGGAGACTGACAAGAAAACTGTAGCTATTCTGTGGGATCTCGACAATAAGACCCCCAGTGCTCTGCCCGAGGGTCTCGCAACCACCATCCGCTCTTTAGCTTCTAGGCGGGGTAAGATCATTGAGTATTCGGCCATGGCAAATTATTGCGCCGACTTACGCCTACCTCCTGCTGCAATAGAACTCAGGAAACAGCGGAAGTTGTTTATGACTGCTGAAGCACGAGGACAATTCAAACCTGCCGAGCCATATAGGTGTCCTGTGTGCCAGAGAAAGTGTGCCACGCAAGTCAAACTAGAGAAACATTATAAGCAACTTCACGAGCGGGAACTCCGCGTGAAACAGGGCCGGCTAGCCTCACTGGGGGGTAAAAAAAGGGAGAAGTGGCTCAAGGATAAGGGCTCAAATCTTCGTAAGCGTATAGAAGCTCACGCCGAAATCCTAAATCCCGAGGCGAAGCATAAAGTCTTTAAGAGCCTGACGAGAGCCGGCGTATTAGTTCGGGTGGTGCAGAAAAAACCTCAAGCGGCCGACAAGGCACTCATAGAACGATGGAAAGTAGTCGCAAAGAATTCGAACCTTACTCTAATTCTTATCTCGGACGACTCTGACTTCTGCAAGATGGCCCAAAGGGCAAAAATGAGTTACGGCGTGTATGTTATCGTCGTAAGTGAAAATTCAGAAGGGAAACTAGCCGGGGTTGCCGATGAGTGGTGGTCGTGGGATACTCTTAACAACGACGCGCGGGACACTAACCACATCCTCTTGCGTGAGGCTCTGACTGACTTGTCCAATTCCGAAGAAGGCGAAAGCGATGGAGGTCCCGGTTATGTGATCGACGATGACTTACAAGAAGAGCTATTCGAGATGCAATTAGGAAACGAAAACGTTGAAATCGAATGCGAACCTTGGAAAACTAGGTAGCGATAAGGACACCGTTCATGAATAATCGCCGACATAATAGGGCTTATCTAGGTAACTGAGGGGGAAGAGGGTTGCCTGAAGTCTTGAGAATCGGATCTTGCGTACAAAGGACGAAATAAGAGTTGGTTGCATCAGGTATATCGAAGTACGCTGCATCGTGTCACTCGAACGGTGGTTCCAGCACCGACTTTACTTCCGCCATCTACCTAAGTTATGTCAATTAGATGCCAGTTCTAAATTACCTAGGTACCTACCTAGGTAGGTCGCGTAATACCTTAAAAAATCAACCTTAGGTAGGTGCAAAATGGCTTGGGTGCGATTAGTAGCGGTTACACTGTACAATGCAAACACTGTATTTTACCGCTAAGTTCCTCATAATAATAGCGCTGTTTAGTCCTCTTCAGCAATAGCCCAACAACCCTGAAAAATACCTACCTACTTATTACCTAGGTAAAAGAGCAACTTCATGTGTGGAATTAACCAAGTTTGATGTTTATACACGATGATCATGGTTGGGTACCATACGTACTATACTAAACAGTTTATATATACAACTGGTTGCTTACATCTGCCACCTAGGTGTAATATTGTCATAGAATACCCCCTTAGATAGCAATACACCAAATTAGACAAGTCTAGGCCTGATCAACTCATCACTCACCCAATTCTCTATGAAGGATTATGCGCCTAGTTAACTCCTAGGTAGCTAATGCCCAACGCAGGGTTAAAACATATCTTTGAAGTGCTGGTATACGTTACCAATACTGTAAGGTAACGCGGTACTGTCATCAACAGGCGGCGGACCGGCCGTCGGCGGGTCCCCCGGGCTGCTCTTCTTGCCCATGTAGCCCTCGAATATCCGGGACATCTCGCTGGATATCTGGTGCCCGTTCTGGACCCCGGCAAAGGTAGGGGGCGCTCCCGAGACGGGCGAGGGCTGTAACCCGTAGCCGGAAGCGAGGAGAGGCGTGACCCCCATTTGGCCGGTAGCCAGCCCGGCCATCGTGAGCGCGGCCGAAGAGTGGGGGTCTTGCGCGAGTCCGAGACGAGGTGCCACCTCGCGAAGCGACTTGATAGTGCTCCAAAGGCGTTGCGAGACCCATGATCTGGAAGATAAGTCCTTTACCAACTCAAGCGCCATGTAGAATTCGTTTCGACACGTCGAACTAAAGTTGACCGGAGCATGGCAAGATGCGAGGAAGAGCACCGCGATGGCGGCTAATAAAAATTGATGGTAGAAGACCTGGATCTTCCGGTAGATGTTGGTCGTGTTGTTTAGGTGAGTGAGGTAGCAAATCGTGTTTTTAGCAAGCTTGACAGCACGCTCGGCAAATTGCATGTTTTCCATGATGCTACTGTGAGTATGCAGAATAGGGGTATATAGCCAAGTCCGAATTTGGTTGAAACGTAAGTATGTCCAGATCTGTAGTCTCTGTATATCATAATCCTTCTGCGAATTAACTGGAGGGTTTAGATATATTGGTAATGCCTCCCAATCGGCTAGCTCAAGCTGAGTTTCTTGGGGCACTTCGCTGTACCATTGTTTTATTTGCCGGTCGAGATCCTCGATTTCATTTGGCCGAAGCTCTAATGGCGTGTTAGGCTCAAAATTCCGTACCAGTCGCCATACTCTCGCGCTCAGTTTTGAGTAGGTAATCATAGCGACCAGATAAGGATGTGAATCCTTCGGGCTGAAATTAGCACCAGCAGCTCCTCTGACGTCCTATGGGATGAATTACTTACGGGATAGGGCAATTGAGGATCGATTTCTTCGTCTGGGACAGTAAATGGCAAACCTGTACCGAACGCCCACCTTCGATCCAATACGTAAGCCGCCCAAAATGTGTTGATCGCGTTATTACGTTCCTCCTCGTTATCTATTCGTTGGATCGCGTCGAGTCGATGAAGCCCAAGCTCGAAACAAAGGCGTGTTACTTGACCCATAGTCCGCCAGGCTAGAATTTCGTCATTGGCGAGAAAGTAATAGCCCGCCTAGGTAAGTATATTAGCTTTGGTAACTATTAGGCCGCCTCGCGACCGGGCATACGAGAAAGGCACGTCGTGAATGAAAATGTAGGACGTACCACAAGAGCTAGTATTGGCATATTTTTCACGTCACTTGGGTCGGACATCAACATCCTGTCGGTCGTCGGCCGGACGCTGAGAAAGAGCCTTTGCGCCTTCTCGCTGTTCCCGTGCTCCTCAATTTGCAATGCGCAACAAATGATGAGCTTAAGCAAAACCGTATTCCGATCCTTAAGGTTGCTTTCTTCTCCATATAACATGAAGTTCTTTCTAGCTGCCTCCATCCACGAAGACAGAGTTTTTGCATGGCGAATAACCGAATCCATCTTAACTACCGGGTACATGATACCAATCTCTTCGTCGTGAACACGGCATAAGCGCACTAAGTCATCTTTGTCGAATTCCCATAGCGGATCGCGGGTAAGGACGTTAGGAGTCGTGGTTAGTTGAGTCGTCATATTCGGGGACGGTGCGGGACTTTCTTGGCTATAACCGTCTGGCTCGCTGCCATCGGGCGGATTGCTATAACCCATCTTATGTAAGGTATTCTTCGCGACATCCAGGTTGAATCTGGTACTTGTGGGCCCGCGGAAGCCAGGCTGACGAGACTGAACTAATTCAGCCGGCCTGTGTATGGGCGTGATGGAAGGTATAGAAGAGGAGGACGGAGTACTCGACGTAGATGGTAAGGTGGGCGGTCGGTCTTGAATAGGAGCTAGGCGCAAGGCTTCCGACCTCAAAGCGTTCATGTTTGCGAATAACGCATCGACCTGTTCCTGCAGCTGATTGACCTTGCTAGTCATATATTTAAACTCGTCCGAGTCCTTAAACGAACTAGAGCAGCAATTGGGCGCGTAGAGGCATTGGAGGTTGAGGTTTCCGCATCGCTGGCATGGAGTCTCGCCATTGCATTTTATTTTGCGTCGCTTGCACTCGTTGCTAGAGAGGGGGCGTAGAGTCGGTCAACATCGCGTAATTCGAGCCAAGTCAAATCGCGTCTTGCGTCGCTACGTCGCTACGTCGCGTGTATTCGAAGAGGGAGGGTATGGATGCATATGCGAAAAGACTCACCAAGCTATGGATATATACCTATTCCTCTTACTTCTTTGCTGAGGTCCTTTCGAGCTTGGCGACTCTTCTGCGCTGTTCTTTCTTTTGGCACCGGGAGCTGTCGCTATACTACTGCTGCTATTATGTTGCTGAGAGGCAGGAGATACAGGCGGCGCGGAAGCAGGGGTTTCAGCCAGTGTAGTCAAGTATCGCACCTCGCCGACTTGGTTCTCGAAGAATTCCATAATCCCATTCCTTCGAATGACCCGTATATCTACTGATGGTGGAGATGGTGCACGTCGTCGCTAGCATTCTGTACGAGTATTGAAGATATTGAAGCAAGAAGGGCGAAGGCGAGCTGAATGGAGTAGGATCGCGACAAGAGAACTGCCCCACTACGAATGAGAAGGATCGGATCTTCTAGTTCCAAATGTGGCATTAACAATGCAGATACTTTCTTGTTACGGGGTCGAAGCGTTGCCAGATATGTTATAAAATGCGTATTACTAGGTCTCACTAGACCTAAAATGTCCTTCACAAAGCAACCTCACGAGTCATGTGGGTAATAGTTAGGTGTCGAAAACAAAGGTATTTCATGTTATGCCACTCTTCACCAGGATTTCCATCTTCTTAACTCCTAGTATAATAATATAGAATCGAGTCTCTGGAAACTTCCAAGTTTCTTCCAAGGAAGTTTGCGGTCATTACATACCTTACCTACCTAATATTTACCTACCTCGGCTACTTAGTTGCCTACTAGGTAGGTACCTACCGTAGCGGCAAAAGGGATATCTTTACAATTATTCTTATAAGATAATTATTCTTTTTACCAGAATATTTCCACTAATCTTAAGTACCTTCCCATACAAATTTAATGGCAAGGTACATCGAGAAAATCGATTATGTTTAAGAATTATTTTAAAGTTATAAAATATATGCGAATAGTTTTATTTTTTTTAAAATATTTTCGAAATTATTTTTTTCTTTTTAATTATTTTATTAATAATAATTATTTTTTCGAATATTATTAAAATTATTCCTTAAATTATAATCGAATTTATTAATAATAATTATTTTTTTAATATTATTAAAAATTATTCCTTAAATTATAATCGAATTAATTATAAATAATTATTTTATTTTTTTATATTTTTTTATATTTTTTAAAGTTTTAAATAACTTTATTTTTTTTTAAAAATTTTATATTTAAAAATTATTTTTTAAATTTTAATTTATTTAATATATTTAATATATTTAATATATTTAATATATTTAATTTTTTTATTTTATAAAATACGTATACGATTTATTCGATTAATTTAATTAATTCGATTAATTCGATTAATTTAATTAATTCGATTAATTCGATTAATTCGATTAATTTAATTAATTTAATTATTTATTTACTTTAATAAATACGTATTTAATATATTTAATTTATTTAATTTATTTAATTTATTCGATTTATTCGATTTATTTAATTAATTTAATTAATTTAATTAATTAATTTAATTAATTTAATTAATTTAATTTATTCGATTAATTTAATTTACGTAAAATTTCGTATTTAATTTTTTTACTTTTATTTTAACGATATTTTTATTATTTTTAATATTTAATAAAATATTTATCGTTTTTATTATTTTTTTTTTATTTCGTATTTTTTATTTATTTATTTATTTATTTTCTTTTATTAATTTTTTTATTTTTTTATTTTTTTATTTTTTTATTTTTTAATTATTTAATTTTATAAAATATTTAATTAAGTTATTACGTTATATTAATTTAAGTATATATATATTATATTAATTTTTTAACTTTTAAATTTATTAATTTAAATAATAAATATATTAAAATATTAATCGCGTAATTAATAAATTTATTTAAATAAATACGTATGTATTAATTTTATAATTATTTAATTTATTAATTTATTTATTTATTTAATAATTAATTAAATAAATAATTTTTAAATTATTTAATTAAAATAAATACGTATTAATTTTATAATTATTTAATTTATTAATTTATTTATTTATTTAATAATTTTCGAATTATTTAATTAAAATATATACGTTTTTATTTATTTACGAATATTAAATCGTAATATAATGTTTTATTTTTTTAACATGAACTTTACGTTATTATGTTAATTAATCATTCTTTAATAAACTTTTTATAAAAATTCGTTAAAATTTCTCACTTTAAACTTCACCACTTTTTTTAACATTTATATTATTATATACGTTTTTTACATTTATATTTATTTATAATTAATAATTTATTATAATAATGTTTTACTTTTAAAATTTACGAAAACGTATTTAAAAATTTCATAATTTATAACTTATATTTTTATAATATAAAATTACCACGTTTTAATTTAATATATTTTTTAATTAATTAATTTTATATATTAATATATTAATTTTTTAATTTTTTAATTTATTAAAATACGTTTTAATTTATAAATTTATTTATTAAATAATTAATTAATAAAATAATATATTAATATATAATTAAATTAAATTATAAAATTAAATTAAATTAAAAAATTAAATTAAATCGAAAAATCGAAAAATTAAACTTAATATAATTATAATAAATTTTATATAACTTTTAAATTAAATTATAAAATTTAAATAATAAAATTATTTTATTAATTATAAATTATTATTTTTAATTAAATCATTTTTATGCATGTAATAATTAAAATCATTAAATTAATTATAAAATCATTAAATTAACTATAAAATCATTATATCAATCGTAAAATCGTTATATTAATTGTAGAATCATTTCTTCTAATTAAATCATTCCTATGCATGTAACACTTTAAAGCTATTTAGAATTATTCTCATAAATGGGATGTTCCCACTACGGTACTTAGCATACTATCGTGGGGCTTTTGGTGTATTAGCGCTTCAAAAGACACGTAAAAGCCAGTGCTCATAAGCCAACACATCAATATCGGCCCTGAAGGTGAGCTACTAGTTAATTCGAACGGGGATGATCCAAAGCTTACCTAGGTATAAATACACTTTTCTTTTAGCAATAGAAAGGTACCCATTAGAGGTATAGATAAAATTAGATCGATCATTGATCTGTGTACGTTTAAATTACGAGACTTGAGAGCCTATTAATTAGTATTTCCCCTTAGTAAGTCTGTAATGACTAAGTAGGTATTGATTGGAGATCTAGAGGCGAAATGTAGTCGAGTCTTCTGACAGACTCACAAACTACCTACTTAGGTACTACAAACCAAGCCAGAAGACGGCGACTATTTTGATAACTAGGCACCTAGCCATTATAGCAAGTGCAATATCTCTTGCGTGCTCCGAGGAACGATAGCCGGGCTGAATTAATATCTGTTGGATATAAAATCGTACGAGAATCGATGCGATAGGGTCCAAGAATATAGGGCTTATGGCAGCTGCCGCAGAATAGCGTATCCGAGAACCTGGAAGACATTAGGCCTTAGCAAGCACGCTGTAGTTACGGGCTCCAATACCCTTGCAGATGCATCGGCGCATTAATATGCGGACCAGATCAGCCCAACCAACAAACCAACAAACCAGACAAATTGGCTTTTTTCTCTCTCAAAACACGATGTTATTCTTGCACCAACAGACTACCTATCCCCCCCTCTTACTTACACCGAGATGGCCACAAAATCCTCAAGGGAGCCTACTACGACAACAGTATTTATTAATGAGCGACATGTCCGGTCCCTTATTTATGGATCAAGGTAAAGGTATGTTACTACCTAGAAAAGATCTAAGATATCTAAGATATGCTGTGCGACGTTTGTCGCATTGGTCTTGAAGGTATCTGGGATCCCAGTAAGAGTAAAAGGATCGGGCTGCTCGAGGATTTCCCTGAAATACTGCAATTCCGATTTAATGATGACGAGCTTGAAGAAGCCTTGAGTGAGCACCTTCCTAAGATATTAATCCCTCCAGCTAATAGTTATCAGGCTCGAGCAAATTAAAAGAGCCAGAACGATATGTCTTCGGTCATCACATCGACTACGACTCCTTAGCAAGGTCCAAGGAACAGCATTGCACCGCATGCAAAGAATTTGGAGTGGCTAATGACCGTGATGATGTGAATACGACTTTCGCGGAAGTTGGGTACTATTCTGTATTCTGCATCGGCCTGTCTCCGCCCGAATTTGACAATCCCACAATGCTTGTCTACGTGGGTGATATGATTGAAGAGATATCGCACGAGCTAGTCGCGCATGATGGTAAGAGTTCGAGTTCTCCAGAAATGTACGAGCTCCGGAATAACAGTTGAGCAAGAGAACGACCACCTCAACTCCATGATATCGCCTTCTACCTCGGACGACAAGACATGGAGTTTGGTCCAGTCTTGGCTTGACAGATGCCTAGTATCACATAGTCTATGCCGAAACCAGGCACTCACAGTTTTTTCGCCTACCCGTCTCTTGGAGCTGGTGGATACAGGGTCCGATAAGACTTTCCGACTTGTTCAACGGGGAGAATTTGATCCAGGTGAACGCTACGTAACGCTAAGTCACTGCTGGGGCCCAGAGTCCGGTGAAGAAAAGCTGCAGCTTGTGGCGTCAACTATGTCTTCCTTGTCTGTTGGAAAACTTGTCAATAGTCTCCCAAAGACATTCCGCCACGCCTTCGAAATTGCCGACCGACTGCACATTCGCTATATATGGATTGACCGCCTCTGTATTATACAGGACTCCGAAGAAGATTGGCGGGATGAATCAGCAACTATGCAGACTGTTTACAGGAATGGGTTTCTTAACATCGCCGCGCTTGGTGCCACAAATGACGAGGGTGGATGTTTCTTTGATCGCGATCCAGTGCTGGTTAAACCTACGATTATTAATATTAGTCCCGATCAAGATCTTCCGTCCCATTACAGATTTTCCGATGAGACCGAAACGTGGACTAGAGATTTTCATAGGGAGACGCTTATAACAAGGGCCTGGGTGTTGCAGGAACGGATGCTCTCGGCTAGAAATCTTTATTTCGGCACCCAGCAAGTTTTCTGGGAATGTTGCACAACTAATTGTTGTGAGACTGTCCCGGCTGGACCATTGCTCACTTATATAACCCGGAGCACAACAGGCCTTGATGCGATGAGTTCAAAATCTGCAAGATTTGCATGGAAACGGCTCATCGATGCTTCAAATTCTGGTCTAAGAGAGGATCGAGGTCTTCTTGCTAATCTACTCCTAGAATGGTCGGCAGCGGTTCAGGCGTACTCTACTTGCAATCTCACCTACTCAAGTGACAAGCTGATTGCCTTGTCCGGGCTAGCAAATGACATGGGAGCTATATTGAGAGACCTAGACCCTAGTTATGGAACATACCTCACAGGTATGTGGAAATTAACGATGCCTGATAGTCTATTATGGAAGGTCAAAGGACTAAATAAACGGCCTTCGCCGTATCGCGCGCCTTCGTGGTCCTGGGCATCGGTTGATGGGCCTCTCGATCTCCCTCCCGGTGGAATAAATTCAAGTTGTCCCCTTGTTGAAGTCCTTGGCACCGAACCGCTCCCATTGGATGACAGTGCCATAACTAATATCGATGGGTACAAGATAGTGCTCAAGGGACCTTTATGCGTTGTGAAGGGACTTAGACCAGAAAAGCCACCTAACCCGCTACTCAATGTTCACAAGATCAGTAGCCTTCACAACCTCGATACATGTCTACCCATCAATGCTTCCTTAAGTCCAACTCGTATCCTCTTTGACGACCTACAAGATCAATACGATGAAGTATTTATTTTACTATTTTGGACCCACCCTTACCCTTCACTTTCGAGAGTCGTTACCGGCGGTTTAGCGCTTAGACCCATTGACGACTCCCAAACATTATACCGCCGAGTCGGACATGCTCAAATCGATGTCGATGCGGATGATATACAAGATCAAGACTTAGACCGGTACAACCCCGTGTTGGATGCTTGTCAAACAATAAGCATAGGAATTGTTTGAATATTATATGTCATGGTTTATTACTAGGTAGGCATCTATACATTGCAATGTACCACGGTAATCTATACCTACCCAGTAATCTTAAAGCCGGGTCTGGAGTTGACGGACATGTCTACTGGAGAGGGAGTCGTTTACCGTGATCTAAAAGGAAGTATAATGCGATAATGATAGGAGTATTGGAAATTCTCGGCAAATGAAGTAGACAGGTATATGCACTGGATGAAACAAACTGATGATCAACAATAATAGATTGTCTACCGTTATAGTTGTCATACAATGACTACATTATACAAGATTTAGGAATCCAGTCCTAACCGAGATACGCCTCGATGGTATCCAAACTATCTATCGCAATATATCCAAAACGCCCTACGGTTGAGTCGACCTAACACAGACAGGGCACAAGTGTCCAAGGAAGTATTGGATGAGAAGTGGATGAACAAGCGGAAAGGGGCTCTACTCGGCTGCCGCCTTGTTCTTCTTCTTCTTGTTGCCACCGAAGTTGGATACGCCGGGCGTCGATGATAGATGTATTAGGAGCCGTTGCCACTCCTCCTCCATCTCTTTCAACGATTTAGGATCCTCCTCGTTGTATTCAGTGTGTACAGGGGTCCACTCGAAGCCTTCTAAGTATGGTTTATCAAGTTCATCATCGGCCTGCATCGACAAATTCCAGTCAGCTAGATGTACGACAATACCGAGATAAGGTGGATATTCATCCCATGATTTCCATAGAGCCTTACGATGCCTAGAGACTCAACGAAAAGGAATTATCTTAGAAAAGAAAAAAATTGACTTACCCTCTTCTTATTAGCTTTATGGATGGCGTCTAACGCATCCTTGATGGTGACGCCTTGGCGATTTCTCGCCGTTATTACGGAACCCAGGTCCGTTACTAAGTCAATCGCTCTCACCATTGGCATTACTAATGGTTTCTTTAGAATATCTTTCTCCTCGACTGTATGAGAAGATGTGTTTATTTTCCTACACAAGTGCCACATTTGTTAGTAAATGCGGGGTATGAGTGACGTATAAGTGCCGCTACGCCGGAAACAATGGAAGAAAACCAGCCTTACCATCCAGTCCGCTGCGTTTCCGGTGCTATTTGGAGTTTCGTCCTCGTGTCCCCTTTAGTTGGAATTAGCTTTCAATGGTGATCCGACCTATCCGGTTGAATAGGCCATCTATGAATATCAATACTCACACATGTCTTTCATACTAGAAACCCCAGCTGCACTTGAGCTGGTTCTCCGATGGGAGATCTTCTCCTTCGTCGGAGATTCCTTTGTCGGGGATGTTGGAGACGTAATCTCGAGACCTTGGACGGCCGAGTCTACTCTGGTGAGAGGTTGAGGTTCCGCCATAATGAATTGATGGATTAGGTGATATAAATGTAGTTATATATATCGAATTGGAGCTTATTGTGACCTAGCTACATCAAACCGGGAGTTGTTAGTATCGCACTTGAAAAAAAAATTTACACAGATGATTAGGTCTAAGAGAAGGCCAAGGAAGAGCTACCTTAAACTAGCCAGGAAAGACAATGATGATGATGAACGCAGGTACAGGAACTGTTGAGAAAACCAATGTCTGTAGGACAGAAGAGGAGAAACAAGAAAGGAAAGCAGGAAGAGGGGAAGTGAGGGCAATTTGAAGGGGAGGGAAAAAGGGGCTTCGGGAGAAGAGAGGGGCCCCTGGCTTTCTCTGATGTTCCGTAATGTACGAGGAGCCATTATGGATCGGCGACCAGCTGATGCAGCTCCATGCTGCTAGATTTCGTAATGATTGGGCGGGGTGGGATACAGTAAGGTGTTGACGAGACACGGATGGTGTGCTCATCGCGTGACTCTCGAGCTATGGTTCGCTGAGCTCCGTTGGCGAGCTGCAACATCATACTTACTCGAATCGGTATAGCGTTTTACAGCTTCAAAACCTGGGGTAAAAATCCGGGGCGATGAGCAGATATCCACTATTCTGCATATTTCATAGTAGCCTAGACTGAATCCTTCTTCTCCCCCTCCCCACTTCTTCATCCTTCGAGTATAGACCTAGATGAGTTACTCAAACTCTTTTCATAATTTGCAGTTCTTATATTATCGTGAGAATACCGATTGCTTGTACAAGAATACCCTCCAGATAGTGGGACATCGTGGCTGATCGCCGAGGGGGCTAAGAACATCAGACTTACGATGTTACCTACAATGTACGACATGAGTCGTTAATTAACTCTTTAGCCCCAGCCATTCATACGTCTTTCCCACTGTAGCATTGCTAGGAATGTGTTCCGGTTAAGCCTAAGACGGGCACCTGACGTCGAAGGCTCGAGCGACATCATGATTTAGTATGGTCCTTTGTTGACCCTAGGGTAATTTCCCACCTGTCCAATCGATCTTTTCTTTTCAGGTTTTGTTCGTTGTGGAAATTGACTACACAACTATCTCTATGGTTTAATAGAATCTCAACAAAGCGGGCGCCGAGCTGTATGAAAGCTTGCTAGGGCAACCTTGGGGCGATTGTCGGCTAGATGGGCTCTGCTGTGCCTCTGCATTGTAACTAGGTACCTAGGTAGATAGTATGTAGTGCCGGAAAAAGACGGTTGAATTAGGAGCGTTTAAAGCCGACATTTAGTAGATCATTTTTAATCCTGGGGCATGACTCATTAGGAAGCCAAAGCAGATATTGACTTAGATTGGTCAATATTTGTCATCGATCTAATGAGAAAAAGTAAAGATCTAAAGCAAGGAGATGGTTCATCCAGCTTCAATTAACCTCAATATACCTACATATCTTCAAGCCTGAGGTTCCAAGGTTAGATTTGGATGCGATAAAGGTGGTGCTGGACCAGATTAGTAGAGCCTTAAAAGATCTGCGGTCAACAAATAGCATCAGAACTCTACTTAGTACCTAGCTGCCTAGGTGCCCCCCTAACAACGCGAATGAAGCTCACAAATTAGCGCTTGCGCAAAAAAAATGTTATTATCTCTACCTAGGAATTTAACCCGAAATGCGACTTCATGCCTAGGCCTATCCCGAAAAAATAATAGAGGAATGTACATGATATGTACCTGGTTTGTAACTGGTCAGATCGTGTACCTACGTAAATATTCACTGTCCCGTTCACCTTATCCATCCTGATATTGAGATGCAAATGATTCAATGACATATAAACCCCAACATTGGTAATCAATCGTAGGGGTAGGTAAGTACCTAGGTAGATACATATTCCTCCACCACGACTTTCATAGGTACTTACCTACCTCCTAATAGCAGCACTATAGCACTATCGTAAATCCATCATAGAAACCTCTCCAAAGTAATATCCGTGCCTGTATTCACCCAACTTGGCAATCACGGTGATCGCCCCCTCCGTGTTGCACCTTCCATCCGATCGTTCAACCGGGTAAACCCCTCACTTCCGCTGCTCCTGCCCCGAGCCGGCGACGCCTTTAACGGTATTGTCCAGCGTGCCCGTAACTCCCTTGCCGACATTTCCAACGCCCTCCGTCGCGGACCCGGCGGTATTCCCGAGTCCTTCAGTTGTCTGGTTTAAGGCATTTCCGACACCTTCGGTTGTCTTACCGACGGCGCTGTTAAGACCGCCGACAAGCCCGCCTTGACCCTTGGCTTTGTCGCCACCTGTCAGGATGCTGTCGACGCCGCTGACGACGCTACCGATGAGACCACTACCTCCTTGTTCTTTAGATTGCTTTCCGCTGTTCTCGGTCATGATGTGCTGATTTGAGATGCTTGAGTTGAGAGATTATTCTCCGAGATTGTGTTCTAGTGGAATACCGCGAAAGTCTTAACTGGTAATTCTGAGAGGCGAGTTATCAATTACATCGATTGAAGGCAAAAAGGTGTTGTTGGCTTAGTCCTACTCCCTTAAATTGCTGTGCTGTTGCTCATTAGAAAGTTCGTGCGTGATGGGGTCATGACGTATTCGTGCTGTTTTGGCGGTTGGCTATGAGGTCACATACACGACAAATAATATGAATGATCCCAACATATTACATACTATGGTATACCTGATCATGCCTACTAAAGCCCGCACACGTGGTCCGTATAAAACTTACTGAAAGTTGAAGCTTTATCGTAAGTGTGTGCTGTCCAGCGCTAGTCAAGTACAGCATCATCAAGAGACGGAACTACTGCGGACGGGTAAACAACAATCGGCTGCTTTCTAAGTGTATCCTTCTCTTGCACCCATGATCCAAGTCTAGCGGCAACTCTCTCCTCGTCGTGACGCGCTTTAAATTCGTATACCGCTGCATCAGACTTCATCATGTACTAGGTATACGCCCAACTCGGGACATCCTCAAGCACATGTATAGGTTTTGGCGTCTTGTCCCCTACCCCTTATTTTGCTGTGGATATGGTAGATTGATCCATCGTAGTAGGATCGCGACGAAGCTCAGTAGACCCGGTTGGTTCTGAAGTAAGGTGTACGCCACTATCTGCCCTCTTCCTTTCACTGGTAGATTCTATCGTAACCTCGGGCTCTGACACCCCCATCATGTTATCTTTTTCAGAAGCCGCTGGTTCCTTTCTTTTACTGAAAACGCTGACAGATGGGTTCGGTATGCTCGGTATCTGTGGCATTTGCGTTGGGAGATAGGATTTGAGACTAGACCCCGACGGGATTTGAGGCATCTCGGGCATTCTAGTTGGTACATAAGACTTAACCCCGGTTCCTGCCTGCTGTGCCACTTGCATGAGATATCGCATGTATGTGCCTTTTCTCGCTTGTTTAGCTTCGTTGTCTTGGGGAGCTTCCTCATCGCTATCCGGTAGTGGGATGGCAGATGCGGCGGCAGTAATGTCCAGCGGAGATGCATCGGGAAAATCACTACCATCTTGCTCTTCGATTTCGTTCAGCGTTGATTCGGTATCTTCTGCAATACCGTCTATCTTTGGAACTTCCTGGCCATCCTCCATCGTAGCGACAGGCTGCTCAATAGTCTCTGGTGGTGTAGGCATAGCAAACTTAGGATCGTCCACGATATCAGAGTCGTCGTTGAACCAACGAATCACGAGATTGCTAGCCTCCTCCGTCATCTGGTCGTACTGTTGGTTCTTATCTCTGATGAACATGCTCATATGTGCTTGGACTTCGTCCTCTGTCTTCTTAATGACTTGCCGTGAGAAAATATGGTGTGCCTGATGATCTTTCACTGGTATGGCACAAAATGTCCTTTCGGGTACGAAGTATCCTCCACTCCACATTCCATTCTCCCCTAGCGATGTGAAGAAATCATGGATGCCAATTCCCTGAAGTGCAGCTATACGTTCGAGTCTCCGAGCTAGTTCTTGCTGCTTCATAAGTGTACCGACAAAGGTAAAATGGTCAGAAAGGTATTCAAATGACTTTCCTACGTTGCCACGGTTGATATATGCAAGTCCCTGGCTGAGCGTATCCATACTCTGTTGATATCCCTCCTTAACCGAATCTTTGTTGAGGTTTCGCACTATAATAAAAGAAGTCAGCAATTGGTTGTTTATGGGGAGGGGTCATTTAATGCATATCCCGGAAGTATTTAATTCCAAGGGGGCAGAAATAATACTAGAAATGGGAAAAAGGACCTCTGGATTTTACGTACTGCTGCGCATCCCATCCATAATCTTCTGGCGGTGCACATAAGCAGCAACGCCCCCAGCTGCAATGGCACCGACCGTACCGGTGCGCACGGCAATGAGTTGCCAGCCTTTCCATGCTGGATTGGATGGCTTGGTGGACGAGACACGCGTCGCTGTCTTCTTAAAGGCGGACTTTCCGAGAGCTGACGGTGCTGCTGAGAGGGCCGTCATTACGTTAAATACAGTGCTTACTTTCTGGTAATTTGAGAAAGCACCGTAGACAAACATAGATCGCGCTAGGCCATTGAACGGAGTGTCGAAGGTTAGAATCCCCTGAATTAGAGGGAAAATTGGTGACCCTTCTTGTCCGTGTGCGATCCGCTCATTTAGAACAAGGAAAAGGGTGTCCGAAGCGACAAAACCCCTAAAAGTACCATTAGCAATTCATATCCAAGGTAGGTACCAATGTTTGATACATTTATTCTAGATTTATCTTACCCCATAGAATGTGCAACTAAGATAACCCCTACATCTCTATCATGGGGCGGCCAAGGGGTTTCAGATTGAGCTTTCCGAATATTCATTACCTTTTCCTTCAGCCTACCGCATTCTTAGTTGTTAATCTTTTTTTTAAAAAAAATATTGGCTGAAGCTTACCATGATAAGAAGGACGAGCAACACGGTGCTAGCTCTCCTCTCGTCTCATATTTCGGATATACTATCGACTCGACATTGTGATCCGGGAGTTTAGTGGCTACTCGTTGCTGCAAGTCACTCGGGAACGTCCGAAATGTGTCATCGTCCCCCTTAAACCCATGTAAGAAACAAAGCAATAGTGTTCGAGGCATACTTGCGGTGATTGATAATTCATAGGTGCCTAGTAGGTAGGAATATAAATAAGGAGGTATATAATAGTAAGTTCTAAGGTTGTTAAGCTGAGATGGTTCACTACCCACTTAGGTAGGTAAGGGAGCGCGCAGTAAGACCCCTAAGTTAGGTATCTACCTAGTACCTAGTAGTTAGCTACCTACTGGAGCTAGCCAACTCTTTGTAGGGGCATACCAACTAGTAACTTCCTCTGCCAATGTCACACACACCCTCCATATTGCATCACAGCGTCATTTATAACGTCACTAACGCTTCAACCTTTCTATTGTATCCTTGATTTCGTTCAAATTTCTTTTTAAAAAATACAGGGATGAGAACGCCACAATCCCCTTGGGCAAGCCTCCTGCTGAGTGAGACTGCTTTCACTCGATAGTTGGTAATCCTTTGGTGCTCGCAATCACGAAGAACGTGCTCATGAAAAATCATGGACTATTGCGAGATAAGATGTGATGTATTTACCTATTATTCCTAGCTAGTAGATACCTATATAGAATAATGATCACTTTTACCTGCTGAAACCACCTATTTATGTGCCCCTAAGCTTTCCTGGTGTTCCTTTGAAATCCCAGACATAAAATTGTGAGCGAAAATATTACAGAACCATTCATTACAAGCATGTCAATGCCCATACTTCCTCATGCATTGCATCAGATTATTTCTTTTTGCTCCCAGTAATGGGAGCTAGAATCGGGCCTAGCCCAAGGCCATCTAGAACTCTAGTTAGACCGAGACCGCCTAATAAATTGTTGACCAAACCTCCTAGGCCAAGTCCATTAAGAAGTTTGCCGACAAGGCCCAAGACACCGCTTAGAAGCAGACCGACGGCTGCGACAATCTGGAATAAAGGCTCGGATAGAAGACCCCAGAGTGGGTTGATGCCTTTCTTGGCATGTGGTAGGTTCTCGAGTTTGCGCTTGGCATTCTCGATGGTTTCGGTTACGGTACCAGTAAGTTCTTTCAGCAAATCTGCGAGACGGTATTCTTCAGGTGTTGCTTCGCGTGCTGCAGTCTTGTGCTTTGCGTTAGCTGAGATACGGCCGTCTGGGTCGAGACCGCGAATTACGCCGTTAGCCTCTGTAAGGATCTTGCCGCCCTCTTCAATTAAGGGGCGGACTTGCTTAACAAGCTCTTCTTCGTCACGCTCGTCTTCTGGTTTGCGCTCCTCGGAGTCGATCCTCTATAATAAGAGTTCAAATTAGCACGTGGGTCTGATAAGAGAAAAGGAGGTTTCCGTAACAACGTATCGTAACATAATTATAGACTTACATCAACAATCATCTTGCAAATCGGCTTGATCTTATCAAGAGACTGCTCAATGCAAAATGAAATCTGTCCAGCAATCTTCTTGTCTTGTTCAAGCTGCAGACGGGCCTGTTTCTCCTCTTCGGTCTCCTCGGGTTCGGGAGTCTGAGGTATCTCTTCGAGTAGGGAACAATGTCCCATGACGTTTCCTTTGCCGTCGACAACGTCACCATCATCGTCGATCTTCTTGCCAGCGCACTCGCTCAAGGTACCAGATGTAAGCTTTCCCATGAGGTCGCCATTTTCGTCAACAACATTACCTTCGCGGTTAACCTTACGACCTGACATGGGATTAATGTCCTTAGGGATTGGATCTTCTTCCCAACGTTCGGCGTGGCCGAGAACGTTTCCATTTTTATCGCATATATCGCCATCATCATCGACGGCACGGCCAAATAGAATTTTCGGGTCACCAGACACGAGTCGTCCAACAACATCCCCGCCAGGCGTCACGACCTTTCCTTCCCTGTTGACAGTACAGCCTGGGAGCTCGGTGAAGGGGCCTTCTTTCATACCTTCACGCTCAGCTTCAGGTATGAGCTCACATTTTCCGATAATATCGCCTCCTTCGTTGCGTATGAACCCATTCTTGTCACACATCTTCCCGATAAGGCGTCTAAGATCACCCTCAACTACACGGCCATAGATATCGCCGTGCGAATCGACGGCATTACCAGCCTTGTTGATACGTTTGCCAGCCAGAGCCGAGTTATCGATTTCTGGCTCAGGTTCGGGTTCTTCCTCTTCCCACCGCTCCGCATGGCCCAATTGGTTCCCTGTCTTGTCGAGGATGTCACCATCGGCATCGACAGGCTTCCCCTTTAGTTTCTTAGGATCACCCTCTACTAGGATGCCGATTTGCTCCCCAGCAGACATAATCTTTCCTTGATCGCCCACAATTGCATCAGGATAGTCTTCAAATGGCGCAGGCTCTTTCACTTCTGCACGTTCGCTGTCCGGGATAGGTTCAGCTTTGCCGATGACTTGGCCAGCGTCATTGAATATTTCTCCCTGGTCGCCGACCCTTTTCCCAACAAGATGCTTGAGAATACCTTGCACCACGTGGCCCCAAATCTGACCTTTATCATCCACGACATTACCTAGCTTGTTGACTTTCTTGTCACGGAGCATAGAGTAATCAACTTCCTCCTCCTCGGCCTCCACGGGCTCCTCGGCCTCAGCACGCTCAGCGTGCCCAATGACGTTGCCGTTCTTGTCGAGGATATCACCGTCAGCGTCAACCTTCTTGCCGATTAACTTTTGGAAATCATCACCAGATACTACACCAACTTGGCGGCCTTCGTAGATGACTTTGCCAAATTTATCGACGGTAGCATCTGGAAAATCTTCAAACGGCGCTGCCACATTCTGAACAGCCTCAGGCAGAACTTCGACTTCGCCAATGATATTTCCTTGGCTATCCCAAACTTTTCCGTTCATATCGGGAGCCTTTCCAATGAGCTTCTTAATATCACCGCTCTTCACTTTACCGATAGGGTTGCCGTTATCATCGACAACGTTACCGGCCTTGTTGATCTTCTTACCCTCAAGAATGGAGATATCTGGTAGTCTAGTCTGTTCTTCTGCTTGGTGCTTGGCGGCTTCGAGAGCATCGAGCCTCATCGCAGCTTCTGGCACTTCCTCCTTTATGCGCTCGACGATTGTGCCTTCAGGCACCAAGTCAATCTTGCCAAGGACAGTTTCGTTGTCGCCAAGCAAGTTTCCTTGGCCATCAATACCTTTGATATCCTTACCGACTAAGTGCTCGTATTCCTGACCTTCCGCAAGCCTGCCAAGTATCTTGCCCTTCTGGTCCGTGACCTGACCATCCTCGGCGATATTGAAGGGACCTTCAAACATTGCGATAACCTTATCGGCAACTGATGGAGCAAAAGAAGGGATCTGGATCGGCGCAACTTGTTGTGCTTGCAGCTCCAGAGCATTAAGGCGGTCTGCGGCTTCGGGAACCTCTTCCTTGATGCGTTGAGCGATCGAGCCTTCGGGAGCAATATCAACTTTACCGACAATGGTACCGCTCTCAGCTAGTAGGTTTCCTTGGGTGTCTATTTCCTTAACATCCTTACCCACTAGGTCTTGGATGTCTGAGCCATTAGCCAACTTGCCGATGACCTTTCCCTGTTTATCGGTGATCTTGCCGCCGTCTGCGATAGTGAACGGTCCTTCAAACAGTGCTACGACTTTATTCGCAACTGACGGAGATAACGATGGGATATCAATTGGTACAAGACCTTCGTTCGCGAGGTCATCGATTTTAGAGCCGAGTTCGGGGTCCATGTCCTTGAGTACAATCGGAGCTCCCCCCTCTTCAAGCTCTTGTGCGTCCGGAACGTCGCCTTGCGCTGTCTTTTCAGCAATGTCTGCATCATCAGCAACATCAGATATCTCTCGTACGTCAATGTCCTTTGCAGTTCCTTCAGCAGCTTCCGTTATACCTTGTGTAGCATCGCCAATGGCTGGCGTTGCATCTGCGGCTGTGTCACCGGCCGTATCCAGGACGTTTGGAAACGTGTCGCCAAGTTCACCCGTAACACCCTTTGTCCCGGTCGCTTCGCCGGCGGTGCCAGTAATACCTTTCGATTTATCACCAGTAGCCCCCGCAACGCCTTTGGTAGCCCGGCCGAGACCTCCAGTGATTCCACCAAAGGCAGAATGGGCGGTCCCTGTGATTCCGGAGAGGGCACCACCGAATCTACTTCCGCCGCCACCCTGCAGTTGCTTACTTTCTTGTCCTTGCGTAGCGATGTCCTTACCGGACTTTGTCGTGTAGTTAAATTCAGACGCTACGTTCTCCAGTGGTACGGCTTTGCCGACCACACCTCCATCTTCGTCAAGTATGTCACCCTCCTGCGTGACAATCAAACCGGCAAGATTCTTCACGTCGGCTTGAGTCACCTTGCCGATAGGTGTTCCATCATCATCAATTACCTCTCCTTTGTCGTTGATGCGTCCCGCTGCTGGGACCATCTCGCCTTCGCCTTCATTTCCCTCGGATGTATCCGGAATAGAACGGGGTACCGATGCTTGCGACGCGGTTTCTTGTGGGTAACTATCGTTCCCTACCCCGGGAACATTTTCGGTAGCTTTACCAAGCGGACTGCTCAGCCCGCCGACTGCTTCTCCGAGCCTAGACATGGTATCTGGGTGGATAATCGTGACTGGGTCCTCGTCTGGGCTGATTTGTCGTGTCGTAATAGTTATTTCTTCGGAGTTGTGTTGGTCTTGTCGTTGCTGTTGTAGCTGTGGTTGGGTATAACAGTTATGGGGAATAGTCATAAAATGATGATCACTAAATCCACAATAGGTACACGAAACGACGAATTGGATCTTTTATGAGGATATGATCACGAGAAAACAACAAGAGTTATTTGTCTTTGAGGATAGAACTTACGTCACAGGTTTAGGGAATCATCTACCTCATTCTTAATGGTTGGTAGAGATGTCCGAACCCTTAACCCTTCCTACATTCCGTTCGACGTCATGACTGCGGCTGTCTGCTTTCGACAAACGACTGTGAACGTCATGAGTAGGGAATACCTAGCCATGGGCCCTAAGACAAACTTCGTGATAAGGCCGAGCCACGAATGAGGCTACCGCCCAAGCCGGTATTCTGTCGATCTTGAGCAATCTCGAGCCATAATGTGCGATGGGCAAGTAATGAATCTTGAGTTTGTGGCTTGCTAGTCTTTTCGCATTAACCAGATGATAGGCTTGAACGACTACTACAAGTAGTACAAGCCAACTTCCCAGCATAGGGGGTTTAAGGAGCTGAGCTGTCATTCGTTGAGCGTTACCAAAGAGTGGCATAGAAAACAGGATTCCTTCTTAGAACTGTGGTTATAGATTATCAGCCACCCTAGGGGGCGCCGTTCGGAATCTCGATCTTGAGCTAACAGGCTAAGTGAGCTAGATGTCGGAAGTTTTGTTGATGGTTTGGAGCGGTCTTTGCACCTTTGACCGTGCAGACCGTGGCAATTCCACACGCGACATGGAAAAGGGAGGTTGAGAAAAGCTTGGCGTTGTAGGTCTTAGTCGTCATTCAAGCCACATCTCCTGGCTCGTACCATGAAGAATGGCCGATGATTGGTTGTATGGGTTAGGTTAAATTAAATCGAACGCCACTTCAACTACAAGGATAGCACGACCACCTACACCAGCCCTATGCTACCCTGCCTGACCAGCAACCACCCCTGCCATCTTAATGCCGTCCAGACCGTCCAAGCCGTCCCGTAGCGTGTTACGGGTTGTGACTAATAGCCAGGGTTGGTTAGCGTAATAATGTGCGCCACCCACTTTTGTGCGTACGCGGATTTCTTCATCTTAACCGGTTTTCCTCGCAATCCAGCAAGCCACACTTGACATGGGTAAACATCAGATTAACGTCATAAACGGCATGGTGGATGGCAAGGGCGCCTTCTTTTCGACTAATTTGTATTTCAAAGTACTATACCTACATATCAGCGTACCTATTTATGTACTTACCTACCTAGGTACCCAGGTAGGCACCTTGCAGCATTCAATATTTGGTATGGGTGGAAGATTAGATTCACCTGGCTGCCTGGGCAACATTGTAGAGCCAATTCTCAGGTTCCAGATTGTATACCCAAACTGAATACAGCGTATGGCATTCATCCTAATATGTAGTAGGTAGATACCTAGGTACCTATTGATGTGTATGCAAGGTAATTGGGCAAATTCAATTATTACCTACTCATACACGATGCAGTCGCGGACGCTGTCAAATGAAAAAGATCCAAGGACCAAGGTATCATATTCCGCCAAAATCGCTCCACCTTATGCATTTTCCAACCCAGATTACTATGTATGCCTAAGCAGCTAGGTAGGCAGTAAACAAATAAATATTCACGGATCTTGCGGCCTTTTCCCAAATGTTGTCGGGATGCGAATGGTTAGTTGGATACCGTCTGTTGTAGACTTGACATCTAAGAAGATATCAGAAGGGCTCCCACCTGTGTGAGCGTTAACCTTCGGTTTCTTCTCTTCTTGAGGCTCATCATCAGGTTCAGATTCACCCATTTTGGATGGCTTTATGAATGGTGCTAAGTCGTCGTTCTCTCCAGCCTTCTCATTAAAGCGGCCGATTATGTTGCCGTTATTATCGAGAATGTTGCCCTCGTGATCCACTTTCAACCCTCCTAGCACCTTTTCAGGTATGTCCGTAGGAGGAGGTGGGCTGATAAAATTTTCTGAGACATATCCTATGAGCTCGCCGCCATCTCCATATACCTCGCCGTTATCTGCGACTTTCCTGCCTACCATAGCAGGTAGGTCGCCTGTAACATGACCAAGCACTGTCTCCGACGCATCTATGATATTGCCAACGTCGTCGATAACATTACCGCCAAGACCATATGCGAGACGGCGTAAGTCGGGGGGTGGTTCCACGCCGATTGGTGTAATCTTTGGGATCTTCGGAATAGGTGAGACATTGGAGGACGGAGAATGGACCGAAGGATCCAATACTTCTTCCGGTGGATCTTGTAGCTCGTCAGGGAGCCCGGGCAGACTATCGGTGCTTGGTAGACCTTGCGTCCCAGGAAGTTCGTTAGGGTCATACAGACCAGATGCGATATTCTTCATATCGGGCGTTGTCGGTTGAGGGGGACTGTTCACTACCTTTTCAGGGCGAGTGAGAGGTATTTCAATCCTTCGTTCAATGTGTGCAGGATTACCCATGTTGTCCACGATCTGGGTCCCATCATTCATCATTTCTAAATCTCTAGTATTCGCTTTCTGGTCGATGCTCTCTCCAATGTTTCGAGCACCACCGTTCCGCTTCATTTCACTGCCTTGTACTCCAATATGTGCCTCCTTCGAGATGCTAGATATATCAGGTTCGCCAATCACATTGATTGGCGTAGTGCCTGACATTTGGGCTTTGGCGTCGTTCGTATTCCCCTCTGCTTTCTTCGAAGCGTCTGTAGGGGTTGAAATATTTGCCATTTTCTCATTGAAGCCTTGACTCGAATTCGCCGTTTCAGGTATATCTACTTCGGTAGATGCCTCGGTAAGATTCACAAGATCCGATGTCTTTGGCTCCTCGAGAGTTTCCCGCGTCCGGCTTTTGGGCGGAATTATTAGTGTGTCGTCTCTTGGTAATTCCTTAGTTGGGCTAGGTACGTTATTCGGTAACTCGCTGGTGACGTGGCTCATCATCTTATTAGAGCCATGCAATGCTCCCTTAGCAGGGTCAATCGCACCGTCACTCGAAGTCTTGCCAGATAACGCTGATACGAAAGCACTCATTTCGGAGTTCCCTTGTTCAGAAAAGTATTTCGCAATGTCTATTGGTGAATTGAGGGCATCTGTGGGATTGGAAGGTTCGGGCAGATCGTCGGTTGAGGAGCTAAGAAACTCTCGAGGTTTTCCAGCAATGCTTTTAGCTGGGCTGATCGTTTGGTCCGAAGCACTACCCTCTTCGGTTGAACCGTCGATGGGGTCCTCTGTCTCCAAGGCGCCAGGTCTGTCTGTGCTCCGACTAATAGTCTCGGTGGGGGTGAGGACCTCGTGGGACTGAGTACTCGAGGCCGCGGGAGTGATTGGTCTTTGTCTTTTCACGGGGGTTGGCGTTTTAGTTTTGCTGGAAGGCTTGAATAACTTCCTTGGCGGTGTCTGTGGATTCATCATGTCGGCCATGGTTAGGATAAGAGATCGAATGTGATTGGCATGAAGGAAAAAGAATATAGCAAGGTATATTGCTAGGATAATATGGTAGAAGAGGTCAAATCCGGAAAATGTAGGCCATGTGAGAGAAATCATTCACTAACACGAGCTTAGCAGCAGCGTAAAAGCCACGAGGATATTCACGTACGAGGTTAGTTTCTATGGGGACAAATGGGGATAAGGAGTATGCGAAGTGGAGGAATGATAGCATGAAACTCTAAAGGTGAATCCCAACTACATACTATGCGTAGAACATTGAATGTTTACCTAGTAACCGACCCGCTAGGTACTTACCATGTTGCCATGTAGCCGGTTACAACAGGTACTTCATCTTACATCTTACTCCATCCCAGACGCCGTCCGCTTGCGTCATAGTGAGCAAGGAGGGGAGCTCTAACGTGATCGACACCCAATCGCGATCTTAGTATCTCATCTATGTAGGTACTAGGTATGCCGCATGTATAGATTGACAGGGGTTAAGCTCACCTGCCGGCTTCGTGTTAATAAGTTCGCCTAGGTAACCGGTCATATTCCTCCGAACCTATTAGAAGCTTCAACTGTGGCAAGCTTCAGCTAGAGAGACGTTATTTCTTAGCCAATGCTAAAAATGAATGATTTCGCAGGAAGAAACGATGCGCACTTTGTTCTGTGATCTTCTAACACGATCCTAGAGGTGTATATCGAAACGTATATCGAGACTTCCAATATCGAAACCTCCAAGCAACCATTGCCCTAGCGTCCAAGTAAGATTCAGCTGGTCAATTGGAGCATATTGGGCGCACTGCACCGTCTGCTGTGGCGTGTTTGTATACATAGAGACTTGGGAACCTGGCTGCCTGGCTGCCTGGTCAATTCAACCCGGTCAAATATGTTAAGTGTGGATATGTGGATGATACCCGAGCCGAACCGCGCCGTAATTAACTAGCTGCTAATAACTACCTAAGTAGCGAGCCATGCCGCCATGTCAGTCCACGGCTGCTACGTTGTGATCAATTTGACAGATTCTAGGGGGTCTTGTGGTTGTGCTCGTCCGACTTGAAGAACTGAAAAAAGTTGGCAAAGTTGGAAATATTAGGAAGAGTGGATTAAGAATATGAAGCTTTCATTGGTGGGAATGGTGGAGGTTGTCTTTTGTACGAATCTGCACGGTTGTTGCTATGGAAGTCCGTCACTTCCGTAAGCAAGGTACTTACATGTACCTTTTTATGATTGGACAATACCTAGTAAGGTTGATGGTCGATCTACTTAGGTATCTACCTACTAGGTACCTACGCAGTATGCAGTAAGATTTATTGTTCTTTTGAAGTTCGAATCCTTTGAAATTGCCTTGAAATTTTACTATATTACTTATCATTAAGTTATCATAAACCTGAAATATTCCCAGTATTCTTTCGATAGTCCAAGCTGCGGCTATCATCATTAATGGATATTCGAGTATTATGTCACTCTGTAGGCACCTGTCCGGATACACGCTACCTAGTAGGTACCCACCTAATATCCACTCCTTGGGCTGTTCTCGGGAATCTGTGCATAGGTAGGGCTAAGTGGAGATTTACCCCCAAACTCCGAAGCTAAGGTTGATATCCACTAATCTTTACCCCTGAAGTTCTTTCTCTTCTAACTTCATACCTTCCCATGCTCAGAATTAATTCACTTACTTGAGGAGTCTCTAGCACCGCAGTTCACAAAAGATTCCAGGAGAATTTAAAGCATCTTAGGTTTACAACAGCCAAATTTTTGTCGAAATATTGTATTATCCAGTTCCCCCCTATCAATTAGAAATATCTCCCCCCTCTGTGCATGGGACCCTCATAGGCGCTTTTATAATTATAAACAATTAAGTAGCTACATATGTAATTTGCATTAGTCCTGCTCAATCCGGTTGACATGCCCGATATCGATCAGGATCTAGATGATCTACAGTACCGGAACTGCGGAAGAGAGCAATCACGTGCCGAATATCCTAACCCAAAGGTATGACCCTCGTCTCTAAATGGATACGAGACGGGATATCACTGAAAGCCGCCGGTCCCGGCTGCCCCGTCACTTGTCATCCATCTCCCCTTGCATACCTAGCATGTGGTATGTTAATACAGGCTCACAGACCTTCCCTGTTAGCGGCAAGCAAGGCTGTTAGTTATTGACTTATCTCCCTAAGTATCGCTTTGGCAGAGGTCAGTTTGGTTGACACCCAGCAGGACAAGTTTCTGGGTGTCTCGTGGATATGCAAATGTACAGCTGGCGAATCCCCTGGCTAGAGGAACACAAAATGGGATGGGAGAATACTGAATGTTGGGTAGGAATACGAGGGTGGGAAAGTAGGTATCACGTACAAGAGAGCCAAGGTCAGATCACCGTGGATCCGGGCCTTTAGCGTTACCTCTATCTCGAGGTTGAGATCCAACCGCAACTTGAGCGGATTCTTTCCACCACTATCCTTCTGGGGTTGTTGTTGGACTTGCTGCATTGGCTGTTGTTGCATCGGCATCTGCTGCTGCTGTTGATACTGGGATGGGGCCCGGCGCGGTGGACGAGGCGCTACCTGTTTCTCATAATCGTTCTCTTTGTCGTCTTCTTCCATCCACGATGGTTGATTATTGCGGCGGCGTCGTCGCGATCGACTTGGCTTCTGTGATTCGACACGCGCCGGCCTAGGTGGTTGAGGTGGAGGCTTCACCTCGGATTTCACCGGAGATTGAGCTCGGGAATTTGCACTCTCATTCTCTTCTTGTTTGATATTCTCCCGTTGTTTTCCGTTATTTTGTATCGTTTCGTCGTAGTGTTGATCATCTTCCCTTTTCACTTCGTCTTGTGTTTGCCCGGCTTGCGAAGACGTCTGCTCTGGTTGTTCTTGCCTCGTCTCGCCTCCCTCGTTGGGTTGCTGAGGTGCCTTATCGTCATTTGATGACATGATGTTTAATATTGGTGCCTGTGGTTGACTGCGTTTCACATGAATAATATGGCAAAGAATAAAAATTATTAATGAGATGGGCAAGCACTAGTAGTGCCTGTGGCGGTCTCCTGTATTTTATTTTCTCGACTGAGAATGGCATTTTCGAAATACCATAGCCTCCCTGTTGTATACACCATGTATACATAAGGTAAGCGTCAGCACTGTGACGCAATGGGGCGCTCCCGAGTGAACTGAGTCGTATCCTAATCGAGATGGAGTACTCATAATGCATATCTATCTAAACCCCTGCCCACTTTCCAAGTTCCTCTTCGCCAATCAACGCGATCCAGCACCGAAGTCGTGCAGAATTATCCTTACTCCAACACCAGATTTAGTAGTCAACTAGGTACCTATCAAGGATGAAGTCATGTATTTGTCTTAGACAACCATGCATAAGGTTTCGGGTGCCCCCCTACTTCTGTGGCTGAGAAAAGGTAGCTTGCTCGTATGGAGTAGAGCATATGTTTAATTTCATCATCTGACTCCCGAGTGTTCCCAATTATGACATGAAGAGTCTCTAAACCTGTTTTACTGCCCACGAATATCAGCTTCCGTCAGGCCAAGCTCCGTCGCTTCACCATTAATTCATTCTCTCCTTGATACTTGGGCGCGAAGGATCTTCGAAGTCGCAGCTAAGTTCCTGCATTGTACCTCTCAATTACGAGACATATGGCTCTCTCTACCCTCGGACTACTTACGGTCTGCTCCATTCCAACGGTCATTGGCGTTGCAGAAGCAATCGACGCCCAGAAGAAACAAAACCAGCAAGCGAAGGATAGGGTCAAGTTCAAGTTGACGGCCAATTTTTCACATGACGGCGTCTCACCGCCACAACAAGCTTCGGTAGTGTTTAAAGACAAGAAGGTAAGTTCACAGCTATCTATTCTAGCGCGTCTAGAACCAATCTCCTAAACCAATTCCCAGCTATACCTCAATCATCCGGCGTGTCCAGTAGACGGCTATCCATTCAACGGTTACTACTTCGGCTACCCAGGGCCGGAGAACTATCAGGGTTTGGTGGCACCCATAGCAGATGATCCGCCAATGCTTAATTGGATCTACGCGGATAAAGAAACGGGGTTATTACGCCACGGCTCGAGATCAGAAACTACTGGTCACATTATTGGACCTTGGAGTTGGACAGAAGATGAGGAGTGGCTCACACTTGAGGATGTACAATACTTCGTGGCCGTCGAGAATGATGAAGGTACCTGGAACCTCCACTATGACAAGGACGGAAATTTGGACGAGGTTTTAGACTGCGATGTGGTAGATATCGACTTACATCGTGAGCTGCAGCTTGGTGTATCCAGTCGATATACGAAGTAGTAAAATAAACAAGATTTAGCTTGCTTGCTTAATATCCCAGGGCAAAAGGGGTTCACATGCAGGAACCTCGTGATGCAGTAATAGCGGCACAGAACTAAGGGTCGTCTGATAATGAAGGACGTGCTAAATACTTCGAAGTACACCCATTTAGCCCTTGTAGACTGGGTACTAGGTATCTCGTAGCACCTAATAATAAATCCTCCACACCCTCCCCTTAACTCCGCATCCCTGTTGGATACCTACCTCTATGTAGCTAGGAACTAAAGATCGACGGACTTCCTGTGGCTGACGTCAATACGTAAGCCATGCATATCATATCCGAACCCCCTGAAGTCTCCGTATCAGGCATTGGGTGGTGTTGGCAGCATCTACACATAATACTTCTCTACCTACCTAGGTATGTATGGGGTAAGAAAGGCGCAAAAGTTACGAATATCTAAAATCAGGGTTTAGATCCTCCATTGCTTTTGACGAGTGAGACAAGTTCCCCGATTTGGACAATGCGTGACGTATCGCCTCCGAATATGACACACCTAATCTACATGAGGTCGATGTACCGGTGAACTTTCACAGCCCTTCTAGATCGTATCTTATACGTAGATGGTCTCGCCCTATTATGAATTCACACTTTGTAGATAAGCCATCAATCATATTTATATTGTTTCCAGTATGAATCGCACTTCTGTCAAACCCCTAATAGTGTCGCTTTGGTAACACATTTCTTCTATACACTTACAGGTATCTTAGTGCCTATAAATATAAAGCTCATAGACACGTTTACCATATTATAATCAACATAATACCTACACAAGCATCTCCGACATGTCGTCTCCCACCCCTTCAGGTTCAGGATCCGTGTCTAGGTCCCGACAGGGCCGTCGCCGCAGCCGCAACCAGTCCCGGAGACAGCAGGCTACCGCGCCACAGCCGGATCCTCAAAGCCAGCAATATTCAGACGACGACAGCGCAGAAGATGTTGAAGCAGTACCACAACCACAGCCGCAGCGGCGCCGACGCCAGCGTACGCAGCAGGCGCAACAGCAGCAGCAACAAAGCGGTGGAACGCTTGGAGGCGTTGGCGTCGGGGGGGTTGATCAGCTACTTCCCGTCAATAACGTTGGCGAGACGGCCAATAACCTGACCAACTCCGCGACAAGTACATTGGGAAATGTTGCTGGAGGCGCACTTGACAAGCAGGGAGGAGGTGGTGGCAAGTCCGACACTTTGCGCCTTAGACTTGATCTCAATTTGGAGATTGAGGTCACACTGAAAGCTAGAATCCATGGCGATCTAGAACTGGCTCTACTGTACGTGCCTCCGTTTCCTTTCATTTACATCTTCATTGCATTGCCAGCATTACAGCGTTCATCTCCATATTTATATGTTGTACTTCCTGCGCCATAGCAAACCATGTCCCTCCCATACCATAATACTCAGATATTCTGATACGCTCTTCAAGGGATACTGCTTGAGCGTGGTAAATGGAGTTTATATTATCGAAGATTGGGATGGAGCTTGGAAAATAATGATATTGCTGCAAATACCTAGAGAATACCCCGGGCCTAAATCGCACATTCATGTACACTTACAGCTCGGTCATTTACTTCCTGCTTTCGCATGCTATCTGCGATAGTCTCACCTTGTCCGTAGAACTCGCTAATATCTCTAGAAATGGTTAAAGGACGACTTGAAGGTTTTCACTATATTATATATACGTTTTCCTAGAAAGAGTTATTGTTTAACAGTGGCGAAACTCCTCCCGAGTTCGGTTCCTCGATGGTTACCTAGGTACTTGTAACCTAGTATCTATGCTGTGTAGGTACCTAGGTATCTATTAACTAGGTAGAGATACCTCCGCTACCGGTGTTTCTACAGGTCTTTAAGGCCTAGACAATACCTGTCTAGGTATTCAACATGTATATAGTTGGGCATATTTATGTTTATTTAATTTGTTACCTTAGGTAGTCACGATAATATCACTTGTAATGGCTCATATATATAATATCTACGATACCATCCTATAACGGAACCTTTAAATCCTTGCACGATGGGCTTCCTTTAAGATTTCCTAATACCTACCTAGGTAGGTACCTAAGTAGGTGAATCCAGGTTCTCGCGAATAGTATTTCTCTCGGCCCCTAGGTTATAAAGCTTCGCTCCGAACTACGTCTCGACATTTCAATTAATATGGGTAGGTACCTAGGTAAGTAAGTAGTTTTATTTTCATTCGTTCCTTCCATCTTAGAGATTTAAGGTCGAGTTAATCTAGTTAGGTATAATAACTGGGTGGCCATCGTGATTCGTTCCGTTGCTTTGGGGTCCTTTATGGGATATGGGACTCTCCTTGACATAAACGCCGGGATATGGTATCGTCTAGAACGTACAATACCTATCATGCCATGGATTCGCTCTACATTAATCCTGAAAACATCGTCACGGTTCCCTCGATACCTACCTAGTACCTACTATATCCCACATATCCGATTCGAGGGGTATAAAACATCTTTGAGACTAAATCCATTCGACCGGTTAATTATGATTTATTCTAATTAACAAGGCTTATTCTGTGTTAGGGCTGCCCAATAGTAGGCTGAACTCTGTATATTTAGCCAAGATGCTAGTGTGGATGAGCTTGACAACTGGATAGGAATATCGCTTGCGCCTATCGTGATATAATCGTATAATTTACCGCCACGCGCTTATCGGGCCGTACTCCATGTTTACAACCCCAACCTGAGAGGCGTGATCTGGGGAAACTGGGGAAATAGGTAGGTATTAACGATAGGGCATCCCAAACCCCAGGCGCGCTTCTCGATGCAACGAGGAGCCATGACTCCCGTTTATGCAGGATTAAGCATGCCTTAATATTGCAGGAATGCTACATATATTGCACGCCCCTCGAGGCCATAATTTACCGCGATTAAGATTTGTATATTTGACGCCGTCGTCTAGTTACTTGGGTACATGTGTGCCTGCTCTTGGAATCCTGCGTTACCTATCGATTGAGATTCAGAGGTAACCATCAAACATGAGACAGAGGATTTTAAGTATTGCGGTACCTTGGATCCGCGAAGCATCGGTAGATGCTGCCTAACGCGTCTCAATGCTGTGCCGGGGCGCCAAAACGGGTTGGATAGGAATAGCGTCATGTATGAAGACATAGCCATACATCCATATTGAGTCTGTCTCCCCACGAACATTATCTCCATATTCATCATCTTGGAGTAGATGCATAGTGAGTGTCATTCAAAGCTAACCTAACTACCAACCAGTTCGTTGGCGCTATATTAGGCGATCGCCATGTTCAATATGGCACTTGACATCGCTCGGACCGAATCGATTCATATTTCCCCTTGTAGTGGGTTTAAAGGAGGTAAGTGTCACATCATAACAATCTGAACCCCTATTGCATCCGAAGGTCATGATTCCCTCACCTTATAAACCTTAGGGATACTGCCACAGAAAGCCTCGCTATAGCTACCTACCTAGGTATCTAGGCACTACAGGTACCACGCAAATCTCGGCAAAGACGAGTTACGAGATACGTCAAATATCCTTCCAGCATCGTAGGATAGGCGTCTGAATAACCAACTTCAAGACCCCCGACGACGACGGTGGGGCACCAGGTGAAATTTTGTGATGTATGAGATCGAACCAGTACCTTTCAGGTGCAGGGCAATCTTGATTAGAGAACTCACGAACTTAAACAAAACAATACGATTCAGGCCGCATTCATTCTTGATACTACCCATCAAAGGTATCCTAAGCCAATAACCGACATAGGCCACCATCATAAAAGATACGCGTAAGTAACACCGACCCTTCGAATATAAATGCATCCAATGTCTAACCATAAGGTAGCAAATAATTTCAACAGCCATACCCTTCGGCCAACAGCGAAGATGCCTAGAATCTACCATTATCCCCCGCCCGAGGAGGCAGCTGCAAGTATGCAACAGGAGTCCTTTTCTTCCGCTCTCGGTCTGTCTTCGGAGCAAATGCTTCTTAATCGAGCCGACTAAGGCGCTATTTCCCCCAGGCATACTTGAAGCTTTCCCCTAAAGAAGTAATCGCTGACTCCTTTTGTTGTAGTGGAGGCGTCATCCGCCCTCGAAGACAAAATATTCATCAGTCTCATGGCAATCATGCTCACGATCTTGGCATTTGGATACATATTCGTCTTCTACCAACTCTTCTTCGGGTCTCCGCGAAAGGTCGACATGGACGACGACGTCGAGCGACAGGCTCTCGATCGAAAGGACGAGATCAAGTGGTGGCTCCATGACTATGATAATGACCATGATAATGATGCCAAATAAGGCGTCAATTATAGAGGGTTACAGGGGAAGGTGATCTAGCCGAGGCTAGGAGTCAAATCGGGATGATCAAGTACCGCAGTCCACTAAGAATGAGGCAGGGAAGTTAGGTGATGTGGAAGTCATCTGCGCCTAGCTGAGGAATCAAATACAAATGTTCAACTTGGTCAATTCTACCTACCTACCTACCTACCTAGTCAAAGGCTCATTAGCACGAATGAAACACGAGTGTTATTGATGGACTTTATGATCAGATTACGTACTAACTCGTCGGGTTATTATTTTAGATGCGAACGAAGATCTAACGATTCCTTGATTGCGAATGTTTAGGTAAGAAAGCCTTGGAAAAAAGGTAGAAAAAAAGTCATCTCTGCGTGAGCGTATAATATGTATGATTTTACCTACCATGGACCCACCAACCCATGCAGGTACGCAATTGTTGGCTTGTTGTATGTACGAAGTATGTCTATGATATTGGCTGTCGCCCCGTATAATTTCCGTGTCCCCCACGCGCGTATGAACACCGCGGATAGCATCCACGAATCGTCGTCATCGTAAACCCCAATGGCACGAACCTGCTCACTACAATCCGGGAATCAATGGATATTATTCATGCGGTTATCTATCTCGCAATAACTTACAAGGGTTCCCCATATTTTATTCCTTGGCCTAACATCATGAGATCCAAGGCTAAAGTACCGGAATGCCAATTTCTCCAGCGCCTGGGATTGGTCAATTCGGATAGCGATCTACCGAGAATCATTAATATAAATGCGAGATCCGTCCCATGTGTACAGCGTATGAAATCGAAGACCGGGTTTGCGGTACTCTATTTATTTTCTGTTCGGGATCGTCGCAACCATGTTCGTACGCCGAGTGCTTCACCTTGCCATCTCGATTGGCGTCTGCCTTAACCTGTCTCTAGCTAGCCCTGTCGACCTTAACGAGCTGGGTCTTAAAGTTGAACGCCGTGCAGATACAGGGCTGGTTGGTTATCTCGGAGCAATATTTCTTGGGGCAGATCCTTACGTGTATTTCTACCTAAGTAACGGCAATGACCCGCTTTCCTTCAAGGCGATGAATGGGGGGCAACCCATACTACGCCCAACGAAGGGCACTGGTGGTGTGAGAGATCCCTATCTCGTGCAAGGTGGCGGTGCTGAGGCCGGTAAAAAATGGTACATTGTTGGCACCGATCTCGATATCGGCAAGGTGAGTGATTCGATAGCATGATTGCGACACCTCACGCTGATAGCATCGTAGACAACCTGGGACGCATCCCAGCGGACAGGTTCTAGGGGTATATTAGTTTGGGATAGTGCCGATCTTATTAACTACAGCGGCGAGCGCCTCGTCGTTGTGGAAGACGAGACTGCTGGCATGGTTTGGGCGCCCGAAGCGATTTGGGACGCGTCGAAGAGTCAGTTGATGGCATAACCGATCGAAATATGGCGCTAACTTTCTTAGACCAATACCTGGTTCATTGGGCTTCGAAATTTGTAAGTCGACTCGCTCAGAGGAGACCGTTTCTACTAATAATGAATTATAGTATTCTTCATCTGATGCTAAGCATACCGGTTCGGCGTCGAATATTCAGATTAGGTACGCCTACACAAGCGACTTTAAGACGTTTAGTACACCGCAGACATATATCAACTACTCACCTACGAACATTATCGACCTCGATATCCTCCCGCTTGACACCGAGGGTAAGAGCTACCTGCGATTCATGAAAGACGAGACGGCCAAGACGGTATTCGTCGAGTATTCAACTACCGGGCTTTTCGGGACTTGGACCCGCGCCGGGGGAAATACGGGTATCATCACATCCGGCGTCGAAGGCCCTGCGGCATACCGCGATAACGGGGACGATTCCAAGATCCACGTACTCCTGGACTTCTACGGTGGCGACGGATACAGGCCGTACGAGAGCGTAGACCCAGATGGAAATAAATGGACAGCGAGTGGTCGATCAGCGTTTCCAACTAATCTGCGGCACGGAAGTATTCTACCCATCAACCAGACGTTATACGATGCCGTAAATAAGAAATGGGCTTCCTGATACCTTTGAGCTGGGTCGAAGCGGATATTAATGTTTCTGCCTACCTACCAACAAACCTAGGCAGGTAATTACCAAGTACAAGGGAGATAAAGGTTGATAAAAAAGAATCTAATAAATTATACCGCCGTAAATGATGGGAATTCCTTCACTTCGCATTGATAGCGTCCACGATGTCTCGTTACCCTTATCATAGTTAGGGTATTAGGGGTTTCTCGATTTGTTTGATGTTCACGTTAAAATATGTTGAAGGAAGATCCATGGGATAATCTATGGATAATCCAGAGAATTCATTGGGTCATATTTACTACGGCCTCTATTACTACATACATGGTTGGGTACCTACATATGTACCTAGATAAGCAGCATATTCGGAGATTTCGGCTATATGTATAACCTAATATAGAAACCCCAAATCCCACGAGGTGTGAATGTACTTTGTACAACTGGACTAGTTTAGGTCTAGGCGGCTTGGCAGATTTTTGAATTAATTTGGACTAGTCCCCAACTGTCTCTAACCCTTGGAACTTTGGAACTTTGGAACTTCAACAATTTCAAGCCAACTAGGGCTAGCCTCAAGGTTACAAGTTGATGTACTGTATTATTCTGCAAGATCGCAGCTTATCAATCGCCCTATCTGCCTGTCTGCCTAGGGGTAGGTACATAGTAGCCATCTGTCACAAGAAATCGCAGGCATCCAATAACCTTCTCATCCGGCGATATGTGCTTACCTGCCGTGATCCGAGTGGAGGCCGAGGCTTCCGGTAGGAACCGTCACGAGCCAGCCTCAATGTTGCCAATGATGCACAGGCGGCGATATGAGCACCGCGGACTGACGGACTAACAGAAAAAAAACAAGCGGACAACCGAAAGATACATATGTTGGACAAGGCAGCGACAGGGGGGATGGTAAGACCCTTAGGATCACCATCTAGACCCTGTCCTTTTTATTTTTAATCTGCCGGTACCCAAATATTCCAGAGAAGCTCCCCCCCAAATGAAAAAGCTTATTATTTATTATATTATTATGAGGCGGAAAGTAGTGTCACCTACGATCCTTATTGTTTATTTCTCTCCCTTTCTTTCTTTTGCTCCTTCTTTGCCAGCACCTGAAAGAAGCATTTACTTAATTCTCCTGGCTACCAAACATGATATGACGCATAGCTGATCGTTTATCCCTACCTAATTATCCATAGACCCTTCCTACCTGTACTACCTCTGCCAGCTCTGCTTCGTTTTCCGCAGCCGTAGAGCCCCAATTATGCCGTGGGCGACAAATCCTCTCTTCAAACCGTCGACGGCGGAGGCTACGGCTGATGTTGAAGCGGCCGCCGCTAATAACTCTGGGTCCAATCTTGATCCGAGCCTTGAACCAAGTTCTAGCGCTGGACAAGAGATTCCGAGCAGCGTTGATGACGGCTTCAAAGAGCCAACGGAAAAGTTCACCGCTCATCAGATCTTCTACATTTTCATCCTTGATGGAATAGGTGCTATGATCCTATCCGGCGGCATCAACTTCGCTATTGCATATGGTAAGAGGCAGCCACTTCAATCATACTCGGTCCTTTTTAGTCGACTCATCCGACCAGCCAGCTCATCTCTCACCCTGAATTACCTAGCAGGGTAGTATTGCTTTACGATCCCTGCATCACATCATTTAACCAGCCACATATCTCTAGCCACAATTCCATCGCTAACACAGCCACAGCTATGTATGCGACCCAAGATATCGCAACAAGACCCATCAGACTATGGCTGTTCCCGAACACCCTTGCCGGAGATGCGGCTGTCACTGTCATTATCCAGTGCCTCATCACATGGCACATAGAACTCTTCCTCGTAAATCGGGATCTAAGGAAAGGCGGAGTGCATCCTATCGGTTTTATCCCGGAGCCCAAGAATAAGCTCATGCGCTGGTTCATGTTTCTCGACCGCCCTAAGCAGACGCACGAAGTTAGGAGCATCGTGCATTGGTTAGGCTTCCTCCGCTCTCAGATACTGCGATCTATGATAATAGCCGTAGTCTGTTTCCCTTTTATCTGGGGACCTAGCATCGGCTTCCTCGTCTTGGCGGGGAGATGGGAAGGGAACGATTGGTACTACGACAGAGTGTGGGCACCGCAAGTTTTCAAGCTCATTCAGGGAGGCGTGCTGGGACTGCTGACCACACCGCCCATGGTGATTTTTTGGCTTACGAGATGCGGATGGGCATTGAAGAATAACGAGGAACGCTATGGCGAGCGATAGCCATTCGAGACCGCATCAGTAACAGTTTAGAAATATAGACATACTAATAACTCTTTATGAGGATCATGATTCAAGAATATTACTCGGTGCTCGATATCGTATAAATTCTATTCTTTTGAAACTGATTTCGCTTCTATCCACCCGCTCAATCTACTTTTGGAGTGAATGAAGTATGTAGCTGACAGGTTGACAGGTACTGAAAATTAAATGTACACCTATCTACCTACTAGGTGCCTTGGTATCTAGGTCGTGGACACGCAGGCTTATAGTTATTCCGCACATGGAATAACTATTCAAAACGACTACTCTATGCTCGGTGTCAAGTTCCAGGTTAGAATCCGGGCTTAACACAACATCAATAGACCTATGAAGCTATTGTTTAGGTATGTGCGAGATTAACACCCTGCTCTCGAGCATCATATTGTCATCAGCAAGCCCCGAGTTTGTTAGAGGTAGGAATCCTGATTTTCCAGATACCTACCTCTTATATTGCAGATCCATGGTCTCAGGAATGATAGCACCCAGTTATTGTCAGATACACTTTTCTCTCCAAGTATCTGTCACGTGGAATTAGGTGTATTTCAGGTGGTCTGTGCTGAATAGCTATCCTGTCTGTGCTTTGGAGATATTATTGTCAAAATCTGGTTACTCACGTGACCTCTCTGAGACAAGAAGAACTTTTCCTAAGGGTTTCTATTTGTAATAATAGAATTAGAACAAGATACATCTTTCATCAATAATTGAATGGTTCAATCCAACAGTTATTCTCGCCTTCTGGCTTAAGTTTTATCGAGTCAAGGGCGCAACAATTATTTCGATGGTCCGAGCTGAGTGCCCTAGCGTCGCCTGGGTGGAAATAGAATCCTAGCCCCTTGCAATATGATCGGAGCATGGCCTCGGCTGAATCCCATTGTCATCGAGATCAGTAGCTATGAATTAATGAGGTAGTGAGGATATTTAAACGATCTTAAAGGTTGAAGCGGTGATCAGCGCTCGGTTGCTTCATGGCCGAGGATGAAGGACGGATACGCTCCAGCTTTTTAGCCATCATCCAGAGACGTCAGGCGCTGTCTAAAAGCTAATACTAGCACTGTCCGTTCTATCACTCTCACCCCCCTGAACCACTTACGTCAATTTGTTGATCTATTTAGGTATTTACGCCATTGACGTCAGGTTAGGACAGGATACAATGACCACAGATCTTCTAAATCTTGAATATAAGTATCTAGGTAGGTACCCTTCTACTTAAGTGTTCAGAAGGTGGGGAGTAGAATTCTTTTCCAAATTCTTATGTTGCCGTCTCACGCAAACCCCTTGACTTTTTAGAATTACCACAACTCAGTATCATGACGAGTCCTTTAGGGGAAAATAGACAGAAGACCAATATTCCTTCTACAGTAATGGTAGGTACTCAACCTATTGGATACCCAGGTGCCTAATACTTGATATATATGCTAACAGGTCATGCGCAATGGTGTCTAGCCTTCAACTAGGCAAGGCAAAGAGAACTATCGCGATGATGCTGCCGACATGACCAAGTCTAACGCCGTCTCGTCTCGGAAGCGTAAATCAGATGTCTTCGAAGACAATCAGAGCATGCCTGAAATAGACGATGACGATCCCCGCCTCCGCTGCATAGACGATACATGCAATCAAATACGCAGAAAGGTAAAAAGTTTCATCGAGGGTGGAAATATGAAAGTATACGAGTTCCAAAGGGCTATTAATGTGACGTCGAGCACGTATCAGCGGTTCATGAGACAAAATGGCATGTATAAAGGCAGCGAGTCTGCGATGTACAGCAGAGCCTTTGCCTTCTTCAAGAAGCGTGAGCTGAAGGGACTAAAGGCTTCCCCACCGAAGAAAGCCAGAAAGTCCGACGAAAAGAATGTGCTAGACGTTGATGATATAGAAATGGATGGACAGAATACGCAGGAAGTGCCAGTATACGATACGTGCGATGAAATCCGCAAAAAGATCCGAGCTTTTCTACGAAAACCCGATATTAGCCAGGCCGCCTTCTGCCAGGCAATATCCAGGAGTTTTCCCGAAGAGGGGCGCAAGGTACAATCCAGGCAGCTGAATGCTTTTCTAAGTAAGAAGGGGGCCATGATGGGAAACACCAGCCCCGTGTTCTACGGCGCGTATGTGTTCTTGGAGAAGCAACGTATCAAGGATGGTAAACCAAAGTCTGAGATGAGAGACGAGATGGAGAAGATTCACCCTGATGGGGTAAACACCTCAGATCCCGAGACGAGGTGGATATGTAGAGGTAATGAGCGCCCTGTTCATGACAAATACGGACGTATTCGATTTATTTAAGGATAACACATTCATGTAACCTACCTACCTAGTCCCTAGGACTTCAGTACCAAATCAACCCGACCAGGTTACCATGGACGTCACCTAGCACTGTTGCCCTTATATATTCCTATTTAACCCTCTCATGTTTTCGACATGAGCAGCTTCCGTGATAAAGAGGAACGTGAACGAAGCCTTCCTAGAGGGACGGCAACTACCTAGGTAGTAGGTAGGTAGGTAGGTAGATAAGTACCTAGGTACCAATCAATAACGTGGAACATTAGAATGTTTAGATACTTGAAGGAAACCGTTGGTTATTTTATAACATCCACTAAGCCTATCATTAATCATACCTATCAATGGCAAAAGTGCCGACCAGTCGCGAGACCTGATCCTGTTTGCATGTCGATCCGACAAGACTGGGAAGACCTCGAACTCTATATGGGCCACATTCATGTATCAAAGGCCAAGCCTATCAGAGCCTATGAATATGAAATACACCAAAGCCACGGGCAAGCTTGCTTCTATCCCAGACATCATGAAGATGATCGGGGTGGCGCGGTTGCTTCGGGAGTTCCACAAAGTCTTAGCCTCTCTTGCATACAAAGTTTTAGAAGTTTATAGATCCGAGGTCCCGGCTATTATTCTTTCTTGATAAGTTCGAAAATCAGACAGATCGTGAGCGGGGCCTACGACTCTTTGCTCGCGATATCGAAGGATTGCTATCTCGAGGTATTAGGGTGTTAGGCCATATGCTAGAATCGTCGGCTACTTAGAGCGAGGTGAAGATCCGGAACGAGGCAACCTAATACCTAATTAGCAACCCATAACCTGTATATGATAACAGGTACTAATGGCGGGCTTGATTGATTCGCCTTCAGTCAACATGGATACGTGATGTCTCATTATTCCTCTTCGGCGCTCCGAACGTGCAAAATTACCTAGTAGGAAGTACTTATTAGCTTCGGTTTGAATGACAATTGATCATGAACCGCGCACTGTGGCTTCCCACTTTTGTTTCCGCCATATTGCTACGTAAGTACCTAGTATCCAGTATCTCGTGACTGCTACCACACCCAGGTATGTGTAGGTACTAGGTACCTCTAAAATAATACCTACACTACCGGGAGGGGGGGGTATTTGGACATGGTCACAACTAACGTTTTAATATTTCAACCTAATCACCACCTTTTATAAACCTTGTTAGAAATTAATAATATTACAGCTATAATTTCTAAATTAATATTATTATATATCGATATAATTATTATATAATTAAAAGCGTTATAAAATAAATATAATTATTATAATAATTTAAAATTAAATTTATTTTTAATTTTAATAATAATATTAAAACATAATAATAATATTAAAATTTAATACTATATTAAATTAACGTATTTAAAATACGTATTTTTAAATTCCTTAAATAAGTTATATATTAAAGTTCGAAATAATTAAAATTAATAATTATGTAAATTATAAATTATAATTTTTATAATATAATAATAAATTTCGTAAATTAATAATTTAAATAATTTAAATAATTATAATTATAAAAAAAAAATTTAATTTTTTAAAATAATAAAAATACATTTAAAAGCTTTAAAATAATAAAGATTTAATTAATCGTAATAACTTTTTTTTTTTTTTTTTTTTTTCTAAAAAAAATTAAGTTTAATAATAATTATTAACGTAATAATAATTATTAACTTAATATTTATTAAATTAATAATCGTTATAATAAAAAGTGAAGTTATTTTTAAAGTAATTATTTTTTTTAATATAATTTTTATTAAAAAGTTACGGTTATTTTCGAAAATAATATTATTTTATTAATAATTAATTAAATTAATAATTATAAATTAATAATTATTAATTAACATTATATTTATATTTAATAATTATTTTTATAATTATATTTAAACATTTCCTTTTTTTAATAATATATTTATATATATTTAAATATTAAATATATATATTATTAAAAAAAAGAAATATTTAAATATAATTATAATTAACATTTTAATATTTTAATTTAATTATTACCTTTTATAAACTTTATTAAAAATTAATAATATTATAATTATAATTTTTAAATTAATATTATTATATATTAATATAATTATTATATAATTAAAAACGTTATAAAATAAATATAATTATTATAATAATTTAAAACCGAATTTATTTTTAATTTTAATAATAATATTAAAATATAATAATAATATTAAAACTTAATATTATATTAAATTAACGCATTTAAAATACGTATTTTTAAACTTTTTAAATAAATTATATATTAAAATTCGAAATAATTAAAATTAATAATTATATAAATTATAAATTATAATTTTCGTAATATAATAATAAATTTCGTAAATTAATAATTTAAATAATTTAAATAATTATAATTATAAAAAAAAAATTTAATTTTTTAAAGTAATAAAAATACATTTAAAAACTTTAAAGTAATAAAAATTTAATTAACCGTAATAGTTTTTTCTTTTTTCTTTTTTTTTCTAAAAAAAATTAAATTTAATAATAATTATTAACGTAATAACGATTACTAACCTAACATTTATTAAATTAACAACCGTTATAATAAAAAGTAAAGTTATTTTTAAAGTAACTATTTCCTTCGATATAACCCTTACTAAAGGGTTACAATTACCCTCGGGAGTAATACTATCCCACCAATAACCAATTAGACTAATGATTATAAATTAATAATTACCAGTTGACATTATGTCCACACCTAGTGACTATCCTTGTGATTATGTCCAAACACCCCCCCCTCCCGGTAGTATAACACTTAGGTACGCGCACTCACTATTAAAGGTACGGTGATACGCACTGTAAGGAGTGTATACCAAGTATCCATATTTACTATTTACACTCAGAAAAGTTTCAATTCTTTTCTCATACAACAGCCTATTCTCTTTGCCCACTATGTACAGTACTAATTCAACCTTTCTCTAGTCAATATTAGAGAGAATATGCGCAGACGAATAAAATAAAATCGAGCTTTGTGAGAAAAGATCCTATGAATAGGTTCTAACCATGTTGCCATGGTCTTTTAATCATTGCAAAATGACATACAACCGCCCTTCTTTTGGCTCCCCTAACCACTGTCTTTCGGTCCCAAAGCTCAAATAGTCTACTGACCCTTCCAACTCCTCGCACTGTTCGTAGAAGGGCGGCGGCATTTGCATCTCGCCCCATTTTAATCGCAAACGGTATATCTGCAGCCGAACACGGCGCTCCTGGCACTGAAGACCCGTCTCGAGATCACCCACCGCGTTTTCTTCATCTCCCGTATCGCTCACCCAGTCGTTCTCCGAGTCATCCGTCAACGCCCCTAGACTACCGTTTGTATGCCTTGCTGTACCTATCCCCAAGTCCGACATTTCGATATCTATGGTAGCGTCCAAAAGCAGTTACCGCGATAAGGCTGGCCTTGTACTATTACTAGTCCAGAATCCACGTCGCGTTCCTCTAGGGGTACCGCGGGGAGGCGCTTAACAGGTCTACGTCGAAGAAAGGCCTCTACAGTTGAGGCGTAACACGTCGCACTCATGACTATCTAGTTGCTGCGAAAACAAGGACCAGTATCTCAAAACTGATGGGGACAGTGGCGCCATAGGAAAAGTCTTACCGACGTAGATAATGACTATATAATGCGTGTTGGAGACCGTCCAATAGAGCACGCTGCTGGGGACCAGCAGTGGGACGCTGTAGCGGTAGGGCAGCTGCAGTCCGTACGTCGAGACCTGCTCGCCATGGGGGTCTGTCGCATGCAGCAGCCGCGCGACGCCGGCGTAAGAGAACTACTCGCGGACTATGATCTGGTGGGTGAACATGCTGTTATACGTAAATAGCCTACGGCAAGAATGAGCTACAAGGCGGTTGCTACAGTTGCCCGTCCAAGTACGAGTTACTGTAGAACGGAAACCAAATTCTATCCAGCCAGCGCGTTAAGGCAACATCATTACATAAGTGAATGTATCCCGGTTTGTCACGATCCTTCCACTGACTGTATGGCTGACTTCTGCAGCTTAGGGTTGTCTGATGGCATGTGTTATGTCTAGAAGTCCTCGAAGTTATCTTCTCGGGTGGGATCGATGCCTAGGTCAGAAAAGTTGAACCCGTTCCCATCATTATAACCAGATAGGTTAAAGCTTGTTTTCATAGTAAAATGTCGGTTGATTTAGGGCTGAAGTTTTGAAACATAACATCCCCTCTAGGGGCAACGGAGACATCTTACAATACGATCATAGAAAGGCAGGTACCTACCTATTATCACTAGCTACCTAATTAAGCTAACTACCTTAATACATGTTAACAATTACCTTTATCCTCGAGGTTCAATATGAGACTCACGACCACAATGAGTATTGGAATAGGAATCGTCCATGCTCTCGACAAGAGATCAAGGTTAACAGTTACCACTGATAGGCTGTATACCTATCTTGAGGATGTCTCCCGATTCCTACGCTTGTGATGACACAGGTCAAAAAGGAACCCCCAAAAAACCACCGAGGGCCTAGTTACTTCCTCGAAGTAGTCCTAGACCCTTTTTATGATACCTATATAGTTAGGTAATTGTGAGGTACGTTGCGTAATCCATAGGTAATTATTATTTGTACCTACCTATGTACACTATGTTGCAACGGTATATAATCTAGGAGTTGATACTCAGTCGGAGAAAATAAGATAAGTCAAAAATGACGTTAAGGGGTGAGACAATGTGAACAACTGCCCTAGGAGTGTAAAATACATGTATAACATGAAGAAAATAGCGACAATAACGAAGTGTGGGATAATTCTAAAAGTTTTCTTTTTTATTGTCTTATGTTTTCCATTGAGAAGCTTTCTGCTTTGGTTTTCGTTGTCAAGTTTGCTGTTTTCTTTTATTTATCAGTAAACTTGTCATATTCCATACCTATGGGGGAATTCACCATCGGCATCATTTCTACCATTCTCGCCGTCCCGCTCTCACAGCCCCATGGTTCCCGCCATTCTTACGGTAGCTCGCCGTCATTATTATTCACGTTGTTCTCGCCCTTCTCGTGGTACTATCATCATCATCCTAGTTACTTCCTCCTTGTTATCACCGTCTTCGCCGTCCTCTTCCTCTTTCAACAGGCAGTTACTATCTCTTATTTTACCTTATTAGAAAAATACCTATCTATACCTATTTGGACCGTACTAAGCCAAGTGCCTTCCTCTACGATACTCGAAACCGGCCAGATCAGCCTGGTTTAGGAATGGTTTGCTGAGGAATCGGTCCCTAGTAATAAACTACTTCCAAATTCCCTTCTGAATGACTCTTATACCTTCCTGTAGAGTAAAAGTTCCTAGGTTTCTGAATAGTATTTATAATAACCCACCCACATCACAAATTCTACGCACCATCTGAGATATTATTTCTGCATCAACTCAACTTCTTCCATACCTACACATATTCACAGTCATATCTATCCTATCCCTCGACATACCACCAACGCGATTTGTAAAGCATTCAATCAACTCTCAATTCCCAAGTCTCTCCAATATTATCACCTTTATTTCACCAATCCAACTCAACTTTGATCAAGCAACCACACCCGTCTACTCTCTAAAATTCTGAGTAGTAAGTATTTCCATCTCCTTGCCATATCATCACCATCATAATTACTATCACTATCACCGGTTCTATACCTACCTACTTATAGCCTACCATACCTACCTAGTCTTGTGGTATAATACTAGCGACAAGAAGTGTGGTACTATAAATACGCATATTCACTGTCGGTACATACTTACTAGGTAAGTATCTAGTAGGTACCTACATTGATTATACGACCACGTCCTCATCTTCTTATGTAACTGTCCCTAACTATATGTTTCTATCGCTACACTAAGCTGGTTTCCCCATCGCTGTCTTGACGGAATTCCCTTTTACCCTTTCGCTGACACTAGTTTTCTAATTATTCGTTCTACCAGGCTATGGCGCCCAACAAGAAGGGAAAGAAGATAGCAAAGAAGGGCAAGTCAACCACCAGACATCGCCCAGTCCCGGCTGTGGAGGGGGCATACGGTAATGTGCTGAATGATGGACGCTTCGAATGCCGTCTAAGTGTGCGACGACGGCCCTGTGGTGCTCGTATGGCGAACGAGAGTCACAATATCCGATCTCATATTTCGAAGAAGCATCGGGTCGATTCTGCTTACAAGAAGAACCAGAGAACCGGAAACTGGCCCTGCACATGGGCTGATTGCATGGAAAATGGTAGCACCTATTCCAATTTCCATTCCCTAGTTGGGCACGCTCGATCTTTCCATGGAATGAAAGGCTCGTCGAAGGCGTTGAAGAAAAAATCGGGTAATCTTCTACAGAAGATACGTATGGAGTATCAGAAGAAGAAGAGAGAAGAGCAACGACAGATGGAAGATGACGAAGACGACGGAGAGGATGAACCTCTCTTTATCGATGCACCCGACTATTCCGATGGTAACCACGGCGACAAGAATCAAGAAGATCGTGATCCTCCTGGAACTGGGGGCAGTCAACCCATTCCTGTCGCGTAAGGGGATAATAACCTTGGAACTTGTAATCGCTACTTACGATACACACAATACTCACAAGTCTGCTATTCCCAATTGAGTTTCATTTCCTATTTCCATTTTTAGCTTTATTTGCGCAGTTTCCTTTTTTCATCTCGATGTAAGTTTGAACTGTTCATCTTCCCTCAGTACCTAGGTAGGTACCTAGGTACATATTTGAACATTTAAACATTTAATTATGAAATTCGAATCCTAACCTTTAAAAACCAAACAGATTTCCTTTCTCGGATATTTCCACTCTTTCGATTATCAATAATCATGTCGCGCCAGATTCGCCGAAAACTCGTCACCGTAAGACGCATCTCCAATATTTCCCCTATCGCGGGATCACGATACAACGTCGTCACAGTGGACGGATGGAATGTGGTTGTCGGACGGAACGAAGGGTTCTATGACGGTCAATCAGTTCTATACTTCGAAGTCGACAGCCTACTTCCGTGCAATCATAATTTCTGGGAGTTTTGTGCTTTCTCTAACAACAAGTCCGGTTATGTGGTCACGACCATGATCGTATCCAAGCACATATCCCAGGGTCTCATATTCCACCTTGATACATTCACCGAGTTTTCAGATCTGTATACGCGAATGAAGAACCGCCATGGCATGGAAACCACTGAAATGATGATAAGAAACCGATCTTTTGAGGACATTCTTGGAGTCAAGAAATGGGAGAATACCAAAAATGGAGGGACCACCCATAGCCTCGAAACGCCGCCCATATTCTTCCCCCAACCAGGTTGCGAAAGAGCCCAGAATTTGCCAACTCTTTTTAGGGATCACGGAGAAGACGAATATCAGATCACAGAAAAGCTAGACGGTATCCCTATGAGCGTCTATGCGGTTAAGAAAGACTCGAAGTGGTATTCAATCTTGCCATCTCCCAATGAAGACTCGCAATGCCAACAGATCGGATCAACTCGCATCGGCATATGCAATAGAACCCGAGATCTAGTCGAATCATCAACCTCCTTATTTTGGAACACTGCTAAGAAACAAGGCATAACCGAGAAGATTAGTCAAGTTGGACATAACATCGCAGTACAAGGCGAGCTCTGCGGTTTCGATATCATGTCTAACACAATCGGCTTTGAACCAGGAGAACACATCTTCTTCGTATTCGGCATTTTCGATATCGACAACCAGGAAGACCTACGGCCGGAAACCGTAAAAGACATATGCGATAGGCTTGGATGGGAGCACGTGCCCATAATTTCGGACCGTATCAAGCTATCTGCATTCGCCAATGATGTTCACGATCTCCTCCTCAGAGCAGAAGGGACAGGGATGAAGGGTCGGGCGAGAGAGGGGTTGGTTTTCAAATCAATTGATGCTAGTTTTGCTTTCAAGGCCATTTCAAATCCGTGGCTTCTTGAAACAGGAAAGGATTAAAGCAGGGAAATATGTGGTTTCCTTTCTGCCTTTATTTCACGATGCTTTGCGTTGCTATTGATTAAACGAAGGACAGGATCAAATGGGGTCTCGGAAGATTGTGAGATTTATGGATCTCGCGAGATGCAATGATCCTAGTTCGCGATGCACTCGGAAAGGATAAAATAAAATAAAAAAACATTGCTTAATTCTTTATTCTTCCTAACAGCGAAAATGCTAATGACTGTAGTTAACGATTTCAGCACTCCAAACAAACCTCCTTCTTTCCCCAATACCCCTTTTCCCGTACCCTTTACCCCGATCTGCTCACCATTTCTAACGAGTACTAGGTATCTACCTTCTCTACACTACCTGTCTAACCTTGCCTGTTTCAACCTCGTAGATCCAGCCACTAATGATCACACCGTCTGGCACAGTTGCGCTTTTCCTCAGGTAGTCAACGTCTTCCCTGACGGCATCTTCCAAGTTGGTAAATGGGAGGAAGTTAAGTGTAGCGATCTCCGCCACGGCACTGGGACCTAGGTTCTTCTTTACGAGGCCGTGAGCATCCTCGTTAGAAAATGTCAGCATGCCACAACCGGTATGCTTGATGAGGATGATCTCCTTCGTCCCGAGAAGTTGTTCCGATATGATGATGGACCGCTGGCCGTCTCTCGCGCTACCACCGGCATTGCGGATAACATGAGCATCGCCGAGGTCAATGCCGAATGCAGCAGCCGGGTCGAGACGAGCATCCATGCATGTCACTTAATCGTCGTCAGCTTCTTTTTTTTTTCTCTTTGGGACTCGCGCTTCAGATGCAATTAATGATACTGGGGACGTACGAATCAGATAGTGTTTGGCTGGTGGAAGAGCAAGGTCGCCCTTTGTAAAATGACTGGCATACTCAGCATTCTTCTCCACGAGGTTTTTCTGGATAGGGGAAGTCATGTTTGTGGTTGTGGTATGGAAGAAATAGTTCTTAAAAGTGAAGGTTGATCTCAAATATCCCACGAGTTTGGAATCAATGTTACCTCGATCTAAAACTGGTAACAAGGGTCTTATATATCCCTTTCTGTCCCTGGACAACAAGAAGTGACGCAATGGCTGTTGCAGGCAATCTCAGTTTCTATCTAGATAGTCTGCATACATACTAGAATAAGCAATCGAATTACTGATTTCGATCATATCGCCATATCAATAGTGATCACGTCATCACCTTAGCTAGTATCTATTCACCTCTGCGGGGAATGGTCGCCGACGTGGCAGAGATAATTAGAACCAATAGGCCGGGACAAAGGCCGACCACAAACGGCAATTAACACTTCCAAGGTAAGGTAAGTAGGTACCTAGTAGGTAATATGACCGATTCATAAAACAAATCCCGTAACTACCTAGGTATGCGACGTTTAAAATCTAACTAACGATTAAGCTGTCTGCATCCGCGGAAATATGTACTAATCTCGTGATGGACTCCACATAATAGATTTAATTAGTAAATAGGTAGGTAGGTACTAGGTAGGTATCTAGCTAGGTTAGGTGCATGCCCTAATGGTAGAGCTGAAGAAAAAAAGGAAAGAAAAGTTAGCTCTGCTCCGTTTCGATCGGAGGACCTCCGGGTTATGAGCCCGGCGCGCTTCCGCTGCGCCACAGAGCTTTTACCTTACAAGGAACTCAAGACTTTCCACACTTGGATGAAAAACACTATGTAATTGTGCACTATGAGGAGTGAATGTGGATTAAATGTGTTACCGAAGTTTTGGTCAGTGCTTTCTAGATAAAGTGCAAACACTTGCGAAATTCATGTGTCCCTAATAGGTGTCTGTCTGGTTGAAAGCCCTCTGTAATATACCTAGAAAGGACTCAGAAATACCTAGTAGGTACCTAGGAATGGTATGGGAGATCTAAATCACGAGAATATCGCATCTACGTAGTACCTATGGTACCTAAATAGAAATAGCGTCCCTTGCCGGAAGGTGATGTACAACTTTAATACCATCCCTGAATCAGTGGATGGACTGATAGAATGCGCCGTGAACGCTTTCTCAAGATCCGTGAGTGGACAAGGAGGTATCTCTCAATAGCTTGTAAGGTAACATGGATGTGGTTCATACCTACGAACAAACGAGAATTGTTAACTTAAACAATTCCTTTGATTCCGATAAAGATCAGAGGCATAAGTATGAATAAAGAGACAAAGTCATTGTTCAACAATAGATAGAACAACATCTAAGAGCCCTTGCCAAGGTAACTTCTATATATACCTGGCGATGATTGCATCTTTTCGAATCATAAGCACCAACAACTTCAAACCAACTTGAACAGTTCGATCAAAGCTCTAATCCATCGATATCGCCAATACTTTATCTCTCTTGTTCTTCAATTTCCCACTTCATCGGAAATCTCTACTTCAATCGTCCATCATGTGCCAAACCATCCGCCAAACGAACCACAGCTGTGGTCACCAAGTTCTCACCAGCATGGGTAAGTCGAAGTTCTGCCTCTTCTTCCCGCACGAGGCCGAGGAGTTTCACTCCGTCATCACCGTGTACGTTAATGGACCGCAAGGCTACCCGTGCTACGAGTGCAAGGTCAAGATGGACGCGTTCGGGAACGGTCTGAAAGGAGCCGAAAAGTACCAGTACGTGAAGAATAGGTACGCGAAGAGCCGCGAGGCACAATCGAAGGCAACCGCAGGCCAGGCCATTGCCGCCGCAAAGAAGAGTCAGCAATGTAAGCTTAGCGCGGAGAAGGTCGCCCAGCTGAACGAGAACGCTCGAACCCAGGTCGCGTTCTACTTCCGCAAAAATCGGGTAGCGAACATGACTCAGCGGGCCATTCTCCTCAGGACCATCATCCAGATGCCCGACGTCATTGACCGTAAGAGCCTCGTGAAGTATTTTGCCTCTTACGTAGTCTGGGACTGGACAGACAAAGCAGCGCCAGCGTGGAAGGGCTTGCCTTCTGCTAACAAGGCCGTTCTTACGACCATTTGCCGACGCGCGGGATTGACCAAGACTTTCGAAGAAGGGTTGAAAGAGCCTCGCCCTCTCGAGGCGAAAGCAGCAGAGGTGAATTAATCAGCATTTTCCAGAAGTTCTAGAGAGTCGGATTTCGTCAACTAAGTAAATTACCTAGGGGATGAATTCGGAAACATATTTACCTACGACGTATATTAGTTGGAGTTGGCCTTGTACTTATGTTTACTAGTTAGTTAATAAGACTGTTTGTTGTTTACAATGAAACCCGTGTCCACGTCTGCTACTATGTAGGTGATGTATAAATGAACCAGTACTGGATCAACATTTGGAGACGTTATGTTAATATATATGAATAATAAGTCAATATATGGAAATATAGACGTATACGAAGTAGAAAGGTTTAGCATTATAATCCGTTGCGTACCTGGTACCCTTGTCTAATGCTTAAGAGTCAAATTAGCGTGGCGTTTTTCTCATAATTTCCGCTCTAGTTCAACTTTGAACGTTCTAAGATTCACACTCTGCGCTGATCCATTGCTGCTAAGCTCGAAAACGAATTCGTCCATCGATCGAAACCCATACGTGAGCCTATCCATGGTCCCCCATGTATGGCAACTTGCATCGGACCAGAATAAGTTTGATTCCTTTGCAGCGAGTTGTTCGGGGGTACCAATATCAAAAACAGCTCGCCACGCAGTATGGCATTGCGAGCCCAAGTTTGTGGGGTACAGTCGAACAGAGACGGCTCTATCTGTCGGACTACTCGATAACGCTGCAAATCTGCCGTAGTTCTTGATGATATCAACGTCGCGGATAACCCAGTCGTAGACGGAAAAGCCGGGAGCGTCGTCTAGAGAAAGGGTGATGGTCGAGTTCGTAGTAGCATCTGCATAAGTACCACCAAACTTTGGTATAGCCTCTGCCTTACTAGCGTCTTCGATGGCAGGAAGCAGACCTTGGACGATTCTCGACAGAGTTAAATCGACTAGGTCGGCATTGGATTGTGGTCCGCCCGAGAGAATTGTAATAACAAGATCGTAATCTGGTATGAGGCAAAGCTCATTGTTATATGAAGCCAAGTTTCCAGCTTTGCAATAGAACTCAATAAGGCGTTTATCCTTCGTGACAGTATTAGACCGAATAATTTCCCACGGTCCTCCCAAAAGGAGGCCAGACGAAGAAGTGGATGTCAATGGTTTCATCCATTTCCTCGTCTTAACCGAATCTAGTACAGTATGCTTTAGAAGGCCAGTACCAAAAGAAAGTAGGTCGAGTGTGTTTGAATAGAAGCCACCAGCCCTACTTACTGTTAGCATTATTCATACTTAATTAGCATCATGGCTTACATGTCTTCGTATCCTAAACTACTCCCCCACCAAGTCTCATTCACCGGAATAAACCCCCACGAGTTCTCTTTGGGACCAGTGAATATCGTGGTATTCGTCATAGAAAGAGGCCCAAAGATCGACTGCCTCACATAGTTTTCGTAGGTCGTATTGGTGATCGCCTCAACAGCAAAGCCTAGGATAACGCTTGCAACATTCGAGTAGACCGGGTTTGTGAACGGGGCGTATACCGGATGGCGTTTTCCGAAATCTCGGAAAAATTCCGTTCTATTACATGGTGGAAGGCCAAGGACTCCTGCACATCCAGTTTTCGAGGACTCGTTCAACTTGGGCAAACCAACTTGGGTCCAGTCTGTCGGGATACTAGCCAAATCATTGACCACTAGAAATTCTTAGCAAGCGTACCTATGTATAAGAATGATGCCGTCATGTCACTCACAATCTGTGCCGATACCGCTCATGTGTGATGCAAGTGCACCAAGGGTTACCTCGTTCCACCTAACTGTAGTGATGTCGCTGATTTCGTCTATCTCCCCTTCGAGTTCAAGTAATTCGGGGACATATTTCGTGATGACGTCGTCCATCTTTACTTGGCTCTGCTGTAGAAGAGAGAGAACGGCGAATATCTTGGAAATGCTTCCAAGTCGATACACAGTCTGCGAATCAATAACGGCGGTCCCATTAGGGTTGAGAACTGCGGGTGTGTGATGAAGCTCTAGAAGCGGAGAGTCCTCGTGTATAGACTTAACTGCGATCGATATACCGGTATAATTAAGTTCAGCAGTAAGGTTGTGGAAGGCGTCCGTAATATTATGTATGGCTAATTGGACCGATTGGTGTGCTGCGGGATTCGTCGGAGCAGGTAAGACTGGTCCTAAAGGAGGACAATGTCCATTGAGGGCAGCCAGAGCGACATTACTAGCTGCTAAGGTTACGAAAACGTTTGCTAAGAGGTCGTATCGAGATATCATGTTGTGTCTGAGTCGCTGTATCAGGAATCTTAAAGAGTCGATATATGTAGGTAGAGACTGGGCCGCCTCTATATATAGGTATCTTCATTGGGTTATCTATCTCCATGATAGAATAGAGTCCATCATAGTAAGGCAAATGCTAGACCGTAGCATGGAGCTAATTTCACTCCGAAATGGAGACAAGTGCGAGCTGCTCTCATCATAACTCAGCCACTGATTGTAAGGGGACATGATACAGTCCTACAATCACGAGTAAATTGAATTGGGAGAGAAGAGAGACGAAGGAAGAAGCTGAAAACCCTAGTATATGATTTGCATCGTCCAAGCAGTCGAGGTTGCTTAATAGAATGGAGGGTCCGATTTGATGGATTACTCGATATTTTGATTGGTTGGATCGGTTTTTGGTCCCACGCGGTGATCAGCTCTACCGGAATAGAAACTCGGACTTGGCCCCGTCAACGACCACAGCCATCTTGCCATGAGCAATAGGTAAGGCTTAGAGTGTAGCAGTGTGGCTCTTGGTCCCCATGAATCCAAGGTTTAAGATACTGTATATGCCAGGTACCTACCTACATATCTCGCAGTCGCTCTCGCTTCTCTCTTGCTTCATTTCGCATCCAAATTTTCTTCCTGGCTCGGAATACATCTTCAGGACTTATAGATATACTCATATTCGCAGCATACCTACCTAGGCAGGTACCTAGCGGTCTAGGAGCAAAAAGACGTTTCGCGGAGAACGCAAGAATATTAGAATATTTCCATGTGCTGTCACATTCTAAAGATCTTATTTCTTTTCAATGCGCATTGGTAGGTAGATATGTAGGTAGGTAGGTAATTTGCCGCTTTTTTTAAAAAAAAAAAAAAAAAAAAAAAAAAAAAAAAAGTCGCTCGTCTTTCCGTTAGGCCGAATAACACGGATTGATTTCATTAACTATCATTATATAAGACTCTACCTAGGTAGGCATGAAGTAATAGAGGAATAAAAATATTGATATTGAGAGATGGATATTGCCAGTGCATAAATTGGTACCTGGGTAATTTAGGGGTAAATACAGTGCGACGCCGGGTTTAAGATTTCCCAAGGTTACAATGGATTGTACCAAGTGACAACAAAATGACGTATTTCGTACTTGCTACCTACTAGGTAGTCAAGTTGCAGCGGCATCTCATGGCTAGGGGCTACCTAGCTATTTTTGGAGTCATAGCTTGCAGCTTCCCGCACTGTATTCTGCCACGCTAATGATAGTTGATCGATAAGGTTCTGGACCCTGGGGAATTTGTGGAATTTCAACTTGGCCTCTTTTATCATTCTATCATTCTATCATTCTATTTGTTCTACGCAATCTTTATCGTATTCACTATCTACATACCGTCTCCATAACTATCAGCTACACCAACGAATAGTTTCACGATCGCTTACTCGTCGATCTGATCGATACTTACTCTCAGTTTCCGATGACCTTGTATCCTACAAGCTAGTAAATGCCATTCGTTTGAGGAGTAGCGAAATCGGCTATCGTCACAGAAAGGATGGGCTTAACGAGAACGACGTCGTCTCCCTAATGCCGGAATTAATCACACGAGACGAAAGTGAAGGCGGATTTGTCAACGACAACCGCAATAATGAAGATCCCACGAGTTCACAGAAGGAGGTGGTAGATGATAGATGTGGGAGAAGCTTGGAGAGAGAGAAGCAGTATCGAGATACCTCTATAGTCAAGGCAGAAAAATACCCAACGCCGCCGGCTGATCCTTTTCCTACCCTCGAAATTATTTCCTCGACGCCCGTCACGCCAAAATTTGACGGGAACGAGTCAGGCTTCGATTCAAGTAACATAAACGAGAAATCTATGATCAACGGAAGTAAACATATACATTCATTAGAAGAGCACTCAGCACCTGGTAATAGCTACAACGGGAGCGGGAACGGCCACGGCAATGGACATGTTAAGGGGCACTCTTACTCGTCCATTACAACACCCAGTATTTCAGACAAGGCTGTCCCTAACCGACCTGCCGATTCCGTCACTAAGCCACGTACACAGTCGACTTCAAAATCCGCTACGAAGAAGGCGAGCCATGAGAGTGTTAGGAAGCTCTCTGCCTCTCAGATGCAAGCGTTAACCTCATCACCCGACTCACTACCTATTGCCATAGTTTCCCAGCGCAAGCCTAACGGCACCGAGTATCCCATGTCTGCCGGTGCTGCTGAGCTGGGATCTCGTCCATCAATGGCCGAGCAGCTCCGAAACATTGTTCACACGCCACTCATAGAAAAAGATGCGCCCGTGCCAGCTTATAACGATGGCCCTAGAACGGCTGCCGACTTTCGGCGACCTCCCGCATCGCAACGAACACTTTCCACTCCTCCTATCAACAGGAGATCTTCCACTGGACCCCCTACGAACGAATCGCATTCTACGAGACGAAATTCCTTCAACCCCCTTCCTCGACCACCTCCTCTAAACCTGTCCTTCGTTTCGCCCAAGCCTCCTGTGCCACCTCCTAAAACGGACCGAGCCGATCCATCGCCACCGTCTCCTATACTTCCTACCGTACCTCTCCCGCCTATGTCCCTTCCTACCCATTTACAGCTCGAACTCGCCGGCCAGAGACCCAGTCCTCTCTATATTCACCATTCTCAGTCCGCCGATACCCCTTACGAGTCTAGTGCGGTCAAGTTTGAGAGGCTGCTTAATGCTCTGCTCCTACCTCCATACCTCGAGCGTATCCTTACCTTCGGCACGCTAGCATGTCTGGATGCTTGGCTATATACCTTCACTATTTTACCTATGAGATTTCTCATTGCTCTCGGCGTACTTTTGAAGTGGTGGGCTTACGTGATATGGAAAGAAGCCAGGTGGGTCGTTGGCTATGTGTGGCAAGGCACTTGGCGTCTGTGGCAAAGGGGAAAAAGAGGACGGGCTCCCTCGCGGCACCGGCCAGACAGCAGTCACGCGGTAAGCGAATCGGAGAGAAGCGAGAGCCGGACTAGCGAGAATCGATCCACCACTCACCAGAATGGGACTACGCGGCACCGGACCTCGTCTGAAGTCTCGAGCATTTCGGGCGCCGAGACCTCTCGGTTGAATGGTAATGGTGTCTTCCACCCTCCAAAACATCCTATGCCTAGGCCTGGAGGATATCGTCACAGACGAACAAAGTCGATGCCGTCTAATCTAACATCTTACCATAAAGCCGATCTGCTCCAGGGCTTCGTCCTCATCTGTAGCGCCATGGCTCTAATGAACCTCGACGCTAGTCGGATGTATCATGTTATTCGTGCTCAGTCCTCGATGAAGCTGTACGTCATCTATAACATCCTCGAGGTTGGGGATCGGCTCCTCTCGGCTGTTGGTCAAGACATCCTAGAGTGTCTCTTCAGCTCCGAGACCCTCTCTAGGAACAGCTCTGGGCGATCTAAGGTCCTCCTACCCTTTGGGATGTTTATCCTATCACTGGTATACAACGTCATTCACACAATGTGTCTATTTTATCAAGTTATCACCCTAAATGTTGCTGTGAACTCCTATTCGAATTCTCTCCTCACTCTCTTGATATCCAACCAATTCGTGGAGATCAAGGGAAGCGTGTTCAAGAGGATCGAAAAAGAGAATTTGTTTCAGCTGACTTGTTCGGATGTCGTCGAACGATTTCAGCTGTGGATTATTCTCTTAATCATCGGGATGAGGAACGTTGTCGAAGTAGGTGGACTCTCCGTTGTAGGAGCCGGGAGTGATCTGGACGGTGGCGCCGTAAAACCCGGGCCAGTCCATACCAGCTCAAGCATTCCCAACAGCTTCACTGTCCTGCCGTCCTGGATTCTGTCGGGTGAAGTGCTTTCTCCCTTTCTCGTCGTCATAGGTATCGAGATGATGGTAGATTGGATCAAGCATGCATACATCAACAAGTTCAACAATGTAAAACCAAAACTTTACAACAGGATGCTAGATATCTTATGTAAGGATTATTACACAAATGTATGTCAAATTCATTCCAGGAACTGTTTCAGATTAATTACTCACAGTGCATCTATATAGGCATTTTCGGCACCTTCGTTGACTCGACGGTTGGGGCTACCAGTTTTACCACTATCCTGCCTTTTCATCCGAGCATCCGTTCAGGTCTACCACATGTTCCTCGCCACCCATCTTAGTCCCCCAATACCAACCTCGACCACCGAGCTTTCGGTCGAATCATCGACCCCGTCTTCACCTGCTATGATTGCCGCATTAGAGCACCTCGACACATTACTCAGGAACGCTCTCGGTCGAGCAGTATATGGCTACCCATACGATTCTCCCCATGTCCGGCCATTCTGGACCTTTTCTTCCGATGACGCAATTGCATTGCTGACGATGGTGATATTCTTTTTCCTCGCATGGGTTGTGCTTCTTATCGTAAAGCTCCTCCTGGGAATGGCTTTGCTCCATTATTCCAGGGAACGGTACGCCTCCATGAAGTGTAGGGAGCATGCGGCAGCCACTGGCAAAGCAGAACCTGAGAATTTCTCGCAACCTGGTAAGCGCATTGGATCTTGGGGGGCGGTTGAGATTGGAGATGATCGAAGAAAGTGTATTTACGAGGACGATAAGGAAGGGTTGAAGAAGATGCGAGATCGAGAGAGGAAGACAGAGGAAAAGTTTAAGGAAAAAGGTGACGATGGGCTGTCTAAGGTGGTGAGGTACGAGATGGTAGCGAAGCGGATATGGTGAAAAGACCGTAATGATCCAGCTTCATCTCTCACAAGGCATGGCGTTAACGTCTATAGGACTGGCTATTGCATTATATTTCGCATCATATGGCGTCTAGCATAGTTATTGAGCGTTTAAGAGCATTTTTAATATCATTAAGCTGCTGGTACTGTTACAGTTACTCCAGCATTGACTGAGCCCTTAGAAATATTGCTACAATCCATTATTCTAAGGTCGCCCACAGCTAAACGTGTTATAAATTTACGGGCGCACATTTTCATTGATGCCAACAACATAAAGAATTCCCATAACTTTAGGGCTACATCTTAGCACACTAGTCAGATACCTACCTAGACCTAGGTAGGTACCTACCCAGTAGGTAGTTGTAGTTAGAAACGTTGACTTTTTAAATACCTACTACCGTAGGATTAAAAGTTCAAATTGAAAATAGCTGGAGATGTATGTATGCATACAATCTAATAGGCCTAAAAAAGTACCTAGGTATTGAGGAAGTCCATAGTCACTCATGCTTGTCTCCATGCTTGTCTTAACATAACGGCCCATAGGTAAGCAATGCCCTAAACTCCGGTATCCATCGCTCGCTAATGCATGCATAACGTATTCCATCCGTCGTAATATTAAGTTTGGGGAATCAATCAAGCCCGAAAAACGCCAAATTGTATGGGTCGAAGTGTCTCGTCAGCATTCCCGTCTGGATGCATGCCAATCTCTTCTATCTCATCCACTTCAGTTCGCCATGAGGTCCCCGTTAGCTTACCGACCTCATCCCATAATTCTTGCCAGCTTGCAGCGTTGTGAAGGAACCTCTTTGTCCTCTTAGATCCTTCTCTATCGCCCGGTGTCGTAGTCCCAGCTTGACGTCCGAATATCATGACGTCTGGGTCGTTGGGGTCGAGAAACCGCACCATCCGCTGAGCTGCCCGTATTTGGTTCTCCCGAGTGAAGAGATGGAAGAAGCTAGTTGCGTGGATAATGCTCATCCTCCCGTCAAATAACTCGAGACTTTTATCGCCATCATCACTCTCGCTACCCTGGTTGACCATATCACCCACTACAAAAGTAGATTTAAGCTTGTCACGATCCTTAAAGAGGTCGTACCCGGCTTCAAGAAATCGGGGGTCCAAATCTGTACCAAAAAGTCTTGAAGAATCGGCACCATCAAATACGAGCTGTCGCAACATCTGGCCTACACAACAGCCTACATCAAGAAAGTTGGCCTTAGACTTAGGTGCGAGCAGTTGATTTAACGCCATTTGGTACCGGGGATCCAGGGTGAACTTGAGCGAGAGGAAGCGAAAGTGACCGATGCAGATATAAGGGTATATATCCCATAAGCGATCTCTCTAATATGCCATGTCAACAACATCTAACCTAAGCCAGGAGAGAAGGAGCGGGGACTTATACGTACTATCTCATGAATATGATCGTCTATATCCTTAGCGCGGATGCCGCTGTATTTTTCGAGAAAGCTTCTAATCGGTTCAATATCCGGAGGAAGTTCTTCGATGTAGACTTTCCCTTTCAAGATAAAGTCGAGGGATCTATCAGGATGGTGTTTGCTATGCATTCGATTGTTATCGGCTGTCGTCGCGCAACGACTGTATCGTCGAAGGCGCACAAACAGCTTCTGCATGCTATAGCGACAAGACGAAGAAATATTGCAGACAATTCCCACTCTCCTTGATAGCGATAGCGTCAGATTTAGAAATATTCTGATTCCGTACCTGTCGGTATCGCTCTTGTAGTCGAGAAATAGTAAGCCGGTGCTAAACTTTCGGGGCATTCGCATTCTCTTGCTGTTGATAGGAAACGCGCGAGCTACGAGGTTGACACTCTTCCTCGCAGTTACATCCCTCGTTGGTAATTTGAACGAAGAGCGAGGAGCGTTCAGGTCTTGGACACTCCACAAGTATGCGCCTGGAGGATGGCACACACGGAAGCTAAGATGGTGTGCAGAAGGATGAGAGAACCAATCAAGGCATTGGCATGTACAGATATGGAAAATGGCGTTTCTCGTACAACCTTCAAAATAAGCCGAGCCAGCCTATGAGGAGGCAAGATCGTGATATCGAAACGCTAGGACCTTTCGTGTCTCGCCCGAAGTCTTATTTCCTACACCGTTCTTTTATTGACTTTCTCGAACATAACAAAACGAAAGAACGAAAAAACGAAAAAACGACAGATACGACGTCGAAATCTATGTTCTGACGTCGAATAAAGGAGATACTTAGGACCTAGGTACGTGATAAAGCCCAGAGCTCACTAGCGTGTCGTACTTGTACGACTAGAAACTTGACTAATAAATACCCTCACGATGGAGCCACTAACGGGAACTTATGTTTAAATGGGACCGGTGGCCGGGAAATGGGATCGAAGAATAATTAAGGATTAAAAGGAAAGCAGGGAGAAGAGGAGAAGGAGAAAAAAAAGAAAGGATACCACATTCTTCTAGTTGACATGGTTACATTCGGTTGCAAGTCAGTACCTAGTAATCGGATTGCGCAAGTGATTTATAATGGAGGAATCCATTCACATCTTCAATCGTCTTGAATCGTCTTTAAAGAACGCAGAATAATAGGAATAGGTACCTACAGAATACAGAGCATGTATGCCGTAAGATCTTCCCGTCCAAAAATAAAAATATGATAATGTCGACCCCTGAACCTAGTATGCAAATCAGACGGGCGGGGGGGACAGGGTCTTCTAATAAATCCCGAAGAAACGAAACAACGACGGAAACATCGTGAGATTGCGAAACATAGACCACTTATGTAATTATGAATTTGTACTATTACTGTTCATCTTATTTCGAAATAAAATATTATTTGCCAGTCTGCCGGTATCTTTATTACCTTGACCAGCGTCTATAGGTACCTAGTTAGGCGTGGTATAGGCATCGAATGCAACAACATTCATACCTAGGCATCCTTCTACGGCTTAACCCCTCCCCTGAATATACCTAGTAGCTGTAAGGGTAGGTACCTAGCCAAGATCCTCTCCACTTGACACTTTAAAGATTCAGCTCGGAATGGTAACCGAAAACTAAGACGTTATAATAGACAGCACTCCGAATTCCGGTAAGACGGTTCTACATTATATCAGTTAACTTAAGAATCCACCACTCATAGGACAGCCAGAGATTTAATAAAAGCCCAGATCTTAGGCAGAGTGTTGACTATTTCACAAAACTTCAGTACATAAACTTCAAAATAGTTAGTACTATAGGTACCTAGGTAGGTAACACCTATCTGAATGAGATCTAATGAGTACCTACCTATACAGGCATTTACAATTTATTACAGCAAACCCCATCATTCATTCAACAGCTCTCCATCGCTGCTCCAATTGCCCAACTAACATCATCGTACCGCCGTTAACCGCGCTAGAGCTCACCGCCACAGCCTGCTGACCGTACATAGCGCCCTGTAAGAGATTCATGTTTGAGTATCCGTACCCAACCCCTGCCGCACCGTACGTATGCGACGATCCCATTGTGATCTCCTGAAGCATGCCGGCAGAATTGTAAAATGAACTCGTCGTGTTAAGGAACGACTGCTGATTCAACGCCATCTTCGCTCGAAGCAACATCATTCGCATCTGTGGCACCGTTTCTGCCCATACAAGCCGCCGCTGTACAGAATAAACAAGCAGCGGTCCTGCATCCGGTGGTGATGTCTCGCCACACTCCTTGTACAGATTGCGCATACGCGGGCTGTACATCTCGCACATCGCTGTCGTCTCTAACGGTGTGTTGTTCAAGTCCATTTTCGCTGCCAACGGCGTATGTCGTGCGAAATCATGATAGCATTCGGAACAAATCGTACAGTCTATCCACCCGTACCAACGCTTCTGCTTCCCATCCTCGTCGCGAGGACATGCCGGCATGGAAGCATACACCGAAGCAAATTCGCTAAAAGATCGTGGGTTAAGCGTATAGTACATTTCTAGAAGGTGTTGCATAAATTGTCTAAATCGAGGGTGTGCGACGCTGAAGCAGCAACGCCATTTACTTCTGGGTGGCTGGGCGTCACGCTTCCGCACAAAGAACTGGGATACATTGAGCATCTCCGCGATTCCCACGTAACAGCGAGCACAGATACCGAAATTTACCGGGTCGGAAGGAAACGAGTACCAGACACCGTCTTCGATGCCGTCGTCCTCGCAGAACTTTTCGTCGGCGACCTTGCGCGCGGCCGTCCAGAACGAGTCGTAGTTCTTAGTCTCGTGCGCGTGCGACATAGCGATTCTAATACTGAATATTCCCATACCACATAGAACGTACTTGCTCGTCTTATTTGTGTAGTTTCCTGCTACTTCCCACCGCCCTTCTTCGCCGGTGTGGATTACTTGGTCGCAGTAACACCCCGCGCAGAGAACAAGTCCGTCGGGCCCGGTCTTAGGGACGAACCACTTCTTTCCGTAGGTCAATGCCTTGCCGCGCCCCGGGCAAGCCTCTATAGACATTCGAGCTTTCGTTTCGTTCACGAAGCCATCCCAGTCGTTGACTTTGCCCTTGGTCTCGTACTCCTTCTCGATGAACGGGACGGCGACATCGCAGGCCCAGGTATCGCTTTCCGGCTGCGGCGGTGCAGGCTCGAAGTGGACGGAGAACCGGTTCGTCAGGATATGGTCTTCGTAGCATGCCTGGCATGCCACAAAACCCGGGATTGCATCTGATTTTGCCTTGTACCATTTGATGCCGACCTTTCCCTTAACACCTTCTATCCCTTTGCAATCGGGTATCTGTGGCCGCGTACGCATCCAAACTAGCGCTGATTCAAGGGAGCTCTGTGTAATTGCTTCTTTAAAAAGACAGTCTCTCATCCTAGGTTTGCTAAACCGGCACACGCGCGCCTTGCCATCGTCAAATCTCTTACTTTGGAAGGAATTCACGAACTTGGTTCCGTGTATGTGGTCGACATAACATCTCGAACAGATTAGGAACTCGGGCAAGTCCGGGTGCCAGTACCAATCAGTTATAAATGCAAGCGGGCTATCGATACAGGATGTGACCGCCGAGGGGACAAGTGGCGAGGGGGTGGCATGCGTAACCTTGGACTCGTCTTCCGTAGGTAAAACATAGATCTGGCAACCAGATAGGGACACTCGAGGGCCAGGAGAGAGTGATGCAGGAACAGCTGATAGATGATCTTGACTATACTGCAAGGCCTGGGCGTTCTGGTAAGAAATATAAGGTTGTGAGCTAGTTTCTGGTTGGTCATTGATTGCTAGAGACTGAAAACGAGCCTCTAAAGCCTTGGGTGGCGGCGATACATTTTGTGGTGAGGATGAAGAGGGGATATAAGAAACATAAGGTGATGGCTGACTAGCCGGCAGGGAACTCGATACTGGAATATAAGATTGCGACGGCGAAATTGGTGGGTTTGATGACTTTTCCGAGTGCGGACTATTAGGAATATCCTTCAAAGGTGTATATACAGGTGATGGATAGGGAGGAGTTCTTCCTGAAGAAACCCGGTGGCCAGGACTTGGTGCCGCGGATAGGCTGGCTGGCGTATATGAAGTATAATTAGTAGCCGGAGGCTGTGGAATAGGTTGGTACGGCGAGAATGAGGGCCTGTAGGGTGAACTTGAATACCCGGTATACTGAGGAGGAGGTCCTGGTGGAGGTGGGGGAATTGTTGCCAAGGTATTAGGACTTTGAGATCCTGGACTCAATGGCGAGGGCGGACCGGATATATTGAACTGAGGATATGGAGATACCGGAGTGTTCGGTAAGCTCGGTGTAATCGTCCCCGGAGGCGGTCCCGGAGGTGGAGGGGGGATAGCGAAGTTCGGAGGAAGATGTAAGCTCGGGCTAGAATTCGTACTAGGGGTCTCATATCCGGGAGGTCTCGGAGGAAGGGGCGGAGGTTGGTGGGCTGGTAGATAGGCTGAACCTCGAGGGGGGCCGAGGGGAGGAGGCGGCGGATAGTTCCAGTTTGAGTATCCTGGAGGAGACGGTGTGGGATTACCAGTCGGCCTAGGGTTCCGTGGTGGGAGCGGCGGTGGTTTGTTAGACCCGTGATAAGACATATCCGGCCTCTTTGCCTGACCTTAATGCCTTACTCCCCGTTCTGATATGGTTCGATTCAGCTGATCTAGCTAAATAAATTCCTCGAACCTTAGGATAGACGGGTCATAGCGATGTGACTACACGCGAATCTCTTACCCACAATATACTCTGATCCGCTAGCAGGTCGACAGGCTGAACAAGATCCGGCCTACTAGGTATGCGGCGAGTGAGCGTGAGGTATTGGATATTTCTATTTCTGCCTATTTTCTCGCCTTAGGATCGGTGCGGCTCGAAATAGTTTCAGCTGAACTGCACTAAATAGGAGTCCACAGCGACAGCCCCAATACTATCGGCTTGGCGCAAGTAGTCGGTCATGAAGGCTTAAAGTCGTATACGTACCACGGTGTAGGCATACGTACCTACGAAACTCGATGCAAAGCCACCCGCTAGCCCTCAGGCCTAACCCTAGCGTTTGATTACGCATCGCACGAGTCCGTATAATTGCTCATCGCCTGGTTTTGGGCGAGCCTCACGTATTTACTACAAACCAGGTTCTATTTCTGAAGGTTGGCTACGTATTTCGCGAGGCGGATGTCTACGTTGACCTTGCCTGAAGTGATTAATTTGGTAGGTTTAATAAGATACAGACCAGAGTACGCCGTGATGAATTACGCGGTACCGTTGCTGATCGGAGTAGTCAGTCGTAACGAACCTTGGAATGTAGTTCTCTTGGATATATTAACTTTCTAGCAGCTGTCTAGGTATTCCAGACATGCAATACTAGACGAAGCTTCTGTGGGCGTTCTATACTTACCTTCAAACATACCTATAGAGTACACTTTTATCAAAATGGAGTAAAACATAGGAAGGTACCTATTTATGATGAATATTATAGGTGGATATTGGTTTTCTTGTCATTCTATTTCAAGTTACTACCTAAATATGATATACATATGATAGATAGATCATTTCTCCGTCTGAGAAATACCGAATAGATTTACGAGCTGATGACCACCATCTCAAATGACAAGCCAACATCATTGGAACAATGCTTCATGCCTCAGTAAGCTGTTGGCCTATGACGGAAAGGTATAAACGGTCGCGTCACTCTCGAGCTTGGTTCATTTTCGTTGTCATTGGGTAGCGGAGATTCCAGTAAATGCATGCCTGCAAAGTGATTGCAACTCTCGAGAATATTTTTGGTGTTGTTCTCCATCTTCTCCAATGGCGCCTCTGTGCATCGAGATGCTAACCAGGTCTAGAGATCGTCACTTGATTGGCGGAAGTGGCCTTTCCACGCACGGTTAGAACGAGGGGTTGTTCCCCGGTACCATCATTACCGGACCGTCCTCAACTCTGAACTATGATGGTGCATGAACGGTTATCTCTCTGTTGCGTGATTTCAGCATAGACGTTGGTCATTCGGTAAAGTTGTTCAATATGGGTCTCGGGACGGAAGGAAAACAAGAGGGACCCTGCTACATCGGCACACGGACGACTTTGGGCATGATAAAATAACCTCGGGAAGTAGAAATTACATACATACTAGTACTATTATATACCTACCTACGTTCGTAGAACATCATGGTCATCAAGGTCATGTCGGGAGGGGTCGTTTAGCTACTCGGATTTAGCGGTGAAGATACAGTACAGTAACTACCCCTACATAGGTATGTACCTGACCTACCTGCTGTACCAGGTATGTATTATACAGAATATAATATGGATAGCACCTAGTATGTAAGGCTAAGTCGTCTTCGGAACTAGCACTGGTTGTGGTCTAGCCCTGATCCGGGCAGAATCTGGCAGTTCGGGGGATGCCTGGAATTTTCATCAATACCTACCTAGATCCACGGATGGATTTCATCCCATCCCACGGGAGATGCACGCGTGACAGGTACTTCTCAATGGTCGCCTGCTTGTGCGGAACACGCAGAGGGTGCAACAACAGAGGCCGTTATAAGTTATTACCATAGGCACCATATCTAGGTATTTCTAGGATTTCTACATAAGAGCCCAGAGGAAATTACAGTGACTGATACGCCCAGTACGCCGTAACGGTGCTTCCGATCTTCATGCATGTACTTTACGTGGTAGGCAGCGCTAGGTCTACTACATATGCCTACTAGGTAGTATAGACTCTAGAGTCATAGGAGGGAAGTATGTATATATTTCGAACATATATCTGTAAATAAGTTATTAAACCAACGACCACACCAGTTTCTACCCCTCGCAGAACGACCAGATCACATTATGATCGAGATGCATTGCGCTTGAACGACACCGGGTTTCTCCTCCCGCGCAGGGCACAGTAAAGGAAGGCATATGCGGGTGTTGGCATGCATTCGTAAATAGTGCCACTAGACTCCAAATCCTCAGTCTCCAGTCAGTCAGACATAAATCTACACATACCTACATCCCTCGTCGATAGAAAAGTTTCTATTTTTCTATACGTACTTAGTAGGTACCTAGGTATGTGAAACTGAAGAATGAGGAATGGTATGTAGTAGGTATGAGGTATGTTTAGGACCCGAACACTTTAGATACGGGGAGGGAAGAATGAAAAGGGGAGGGCTAGGAAAGGGAAGGGCGAAAAAAGAAAGGAAATAATCAGAGAACTCTAGTTCTAATATGGACTTTTTCCTTCTGCCTGATATGAGGTACTGTACCATATGCGTGATGATCACGAAGATATGTTAGGTAGCCGGCCAAGCCCAGCCAGTCGAGGCTCATGGGGGAAAGTAAGAAAGGGATTAAAAACAAATGTAAAATAAAATAAAATAAATATACACCCATTCATTAGATGTAATAAAGGGATGGCTCAATAAGGGGATGAATAAGGGGATGCATATTGTTATGTTTAAATGGGTGCTATTATGAAATCTGGGATCATCTGAACTTTTGTTGTCACTTCCCCAAGAACGGAAACCAGGTGGTACTTTGTGAATGGCTGTGGGGTCGAGTAAGACTCATGTACATATGTACGTTATTTTGGGGTAAGCACGGTTTATTTGTTTTTATCATTTTAATACTAGGTTGGTAAAGTTTGAACTCTAACTACCTATCTACAGTAGCAGCCTAGGTACATACGTAGTCTCGAGGCAGCATGCATTTAGCAGGTGTGCATGCATACCTGAGTAATACCCGAGTAATAGCATTAGTCGGTATTGGACTTCTCGGTTATTTGCAAAGTATTCACTAGAAAAGTACGTGAAGATTTGTAAGTTTGCTTCTAGTGAAGTTTTACATAATCGCCACCTCGACGGTAACTGCCCTCGGCTGAGGATTTTGCTGCGTTGGAGGTACTTAATGCGGGCACTGTGTCACAGTCGTAAAGTGCGATGCAAAGTACATGTCCTCAGGAAAGCGCGTCTGTGCTAGTCGGTACGTGCGCTGGATAGCGCGCCTCAGCGAGGTTGGATGTACCTAAAGGTGGTAAAGTTGGGGAAGGATTGTGTTGTACCTTCAACTTTCGTGAGGGATGTACAGTAGATGTACCTTGGGAAGTTGCGACTTGCTGGCACCAACTGTTTGACAGTACCAGGCTAGTGACTCCCTCTAGCGCCTAGGCCATTCCCGACGCCTCCCCTCCTTGAATATTCTGAACAGTGAACATTGCGTTTTGTCATTTACAACCAAAAACCTTCCCGCCAAAATCGTCCAAATCGCTAACTCGTCCAACCGCCAGAAGACCAAAATTCTATCAACTCCAAGGCAACCCCGCGATATGGTATCCGAGGTCTCTCACATTTTCGAAATATTCTGACCTACAATTAGAAAAGAAGAAAACATAAAGAAAACATCTTGCAAGGGAAAACGTCTCGACAATTTTAAAGAATACGCAGCCACGGGCAACGTGCTATTCCAAGTACTGGTTTCTCTACTTTTCCTCTTCTTCCTCCCTTCATTCTCCTTTGCTCGCCTCCTTAGATCCCGACCTCGACCTTCGACGTAGAATCTTAACCCTATTCTTCAAACCTTGATCATTCGGCGATATAATCCTTTCATTCGCTTGTGACATCGATCGACGACATCCTTCTTTCACGTCAGTATCCAGTCTTACGATCACAACCTCGAGTTTTCGACATACATGGTTTCTAGAACGATAGAGGAAATAATATGAGGATACCGGCACCATCCGTAGACGACGGGATGGAGTCTGGACGACCTCAGTCTAGCCAGACCACGGTCTCGGTTAACTTTGACGATGCCGATTCTCTTTCTTCCCATCCGCGTATTAAATTTGGCGTCGCAGAGTGCATCGAGACCAAAACGATCACCACTACTACCACCACTAAGCGATCCTACCCACCACTCCTCGTGAGAGAGTCTAAACCACTCTCGTCTCTCGACTCTAAGGAATATCCTCTCGCCCAGAAGCCCACGCCCCCCGAGTTGGCCAAATTCACTTTCAATGTTACCCGCTACGGTGGCATATCCTGGCCCGTCGACGATGATATAGAACATCAACAAGATGTATGTTTCTCCTTCATTCCAGCTTCTTATTTTTTTCTTCATTAACAAGACTTAGGCCTCATCCCAGTCCCAACAATCTACCAGTAATGAACCCACACAAGAGATTAAGACGGAGCCATCATTAGACGTCTCTCATCCTCAAACTAGTCGACGCGCAGCGAAATCCTATCTACAATCGTCTTCACGTAGAAGTCATAGGATAGACTCTCGAGCCTCTTCGCCCGTTGTTGGTGGATCTATTAAGAAGAGTTCGCAGAAGCAGTCGACACGATCCTTCACCCCAAGTCTCGCGCCTGCCGTATCAGACAAACTTCGTCGCGCCTTAACCAACGGCTCTCGCAGGGATGCTGTTAAGAATAACACGAATAGGTCTACGAGTGATTTCCCGGTTACTCCAGACGCATCTGAGCTGATCCCCGTTAACACGAACCGATCATTTCAGCTACGCAATTCGAACCTCGACTCGTTCGAGACCCCGGAATCGAACAACACCAGTCAATCACAGTCCTTCTTTGATATCTCAAGTCCGTCCGGCAGTGATTCGCATACCGTTTTCAGCAGTAACGTGGCTACTCCCCCCATTACCGATGCGGACGCAGATGCTGAACCATTCGCCGACGTTGATGCCGACGAGTCCCTCCAACAATCTATTCGTGCTTTACATCACCCACGGCCCATTAATACTCTTGCCGCTCAGGATGCAAGCTTACCTAGTCCGCGCTTGTCCCCGACATTGCAGGCTTCTAGATTCCACGAACACGAACAGGACGATGGGGACAACGCTGTGGACGAGGAAGTATCCCTCATCTTCCAAGATGATAGCCAGAACACGATGGATTACGAATCCGGCCCATCTTCTGCTGCTACCGATCCTCCATCTATGGTTGTCAGACGTTTCGAAGACGCTTCTCAATACTCTCAGCCGACGATATTAGACACACGCTCGATGTTGGAGACCTTTGACGCCATGCCTGCCGAGATGAAATCGTTCATGATGTATCAGTTCCTGCGAAGATGTTCCAGAAAAACGCTACACGTTGTTGCCGACGTAGTCAACCCGGCGTTGAAATGCGACATCTTGAAAGAGTTGCCTCTCGAGTTAACCCTACATATCCTTTCCTACCTAGATCTCCGTGATCTCTGCCGCGCGGCTCAAGTCTCGAAACATTGGCGGGGCATTATCGACAGCAACGAGACCGGTTGGAAGGAACTCTTCGATCGTGATGGTTTCACCATAGCACCTGGTGAGCTTGACAGAGCTATTAAAGAAGGATGGGGTTGGCAAGACCCGGTAGGGCCCGAAGGTTGCGAGCGTGACTATAGTACTCAGGCTCGACTTACGTCTACTGAATCGGAACTAATTCGATCCTCAAAACCCGACCCCCCTCCGCAAAAGTTGCGGACTTCAAAGCGTAAGAGAGCCTTGAATAGCTTTGGCTCTGAACGATCGAAACGACGAGCGAGCGCCCAGGAGATGGCGAAGGATGAGAAGACGTATACCGGCGAACGAGTCCACAAGTCCGAGGGACCTATGTCTGCTGCCAACGCCGCCGTCTTAGCCGTTCCCGACCCGCATATAGGCCTTCCGAGCCTCAGGAAGCTTCACCTGTTTAAGTCTCTCTATCGCCGTCATTACATGATTCGCAAGAGCTGGACGAGTGGCAAGGTCGAGCCTAGCCACGTCGCGTTCGCAGCTCACCCTCGCCACGTCATTACGTGCTTGCAGTTCGACGAGGATAAGATTATTACCGGGAGCGACGATATGCTTATACACGTCTACGACACCAATACCGGTAAGCTCCGTCGCCGCCTAGAAGGCCACGAAGGTGGCGTCTGGGCTCTGCAGTATGAGGGAAACGTTTTGGTATCTGGCTCGACGGATCGCTCTGTTCGTGTATGGGACATCGAGAAGGGTCTTTGCACCCAAGTATTTTATGGTCACACTAGTACTGTAAGATGCCTACAGATTCTCATGCCGACGGACACTGGGAAAGTGGAAAATGGGCAGTCCGTCATGATGCCGCCTAAACCTCTTATTATCACGGGGTCTCGCGATAGCCAGCTAAGGGTTTGGCGTCTTCCCGAATCTGGATCAAGGAGATACATACAGACCGGACCACCGGCTAACGACGCCGACTGTCCTTATTTCATCCGCACGCTTCAAGGCCACAACCACTCAGTTCGTGCTATTGCCGCTCACGCCGATACGCTCGTCAGTGGAAGTTATGATAACACCGTTCGCGTATGGCGTATTAGCACGGGAGAGACAGTCCACGTTCTGCAAGGACATTCGCAGAAAGTGTACAGCGTTGTGCTTGACGTCGCTCGCAATCGATGCATATCTGGTAGTATGGATAGCTTCGTGAAGATTTGGGATCTCGAAACGGGATCTTGCATACATACTCTCGAAGGACACTCGCTACTTGTCGGACTACTTGATCTTCGTGACGAACGCCTCGTCTCGGCGGCGGCGGACAGCACCCTTCGTATCTGGGACCCCGAGAGCGGGCGTTGCCAGTCGACGCTGACAGCTCATACTGGTGCGATTACTTGTTTCCAACATGACGGGCGAAAGGTTATTAGTGGTAGCGACCGAACCCTCAAGATGTGGGACATCCGCACAGGCGAATGCATCCAAGACCTTCTCACCGACCTTAGTGGGGTCTGGCAGGTCAGGTTTGATGAACGCCGATGTGTCGCGGCTGTCCAGCGAGACAACTTGACATATGTCGAGGTAGGTAGATCCCTTGTACTGACAACCTTGCTTATAATGGATCGAATACTGACCTGACGGTAGATTCTTGACTTCGGCGCGGTTCGTGATGGTAAATCTCCCGAGGAACTTGGCAAGCGTATTCTACTGAATGCACCCGAGGTTCAGCGAATCATTGACGAAGATAATTAATCGATCTGAGTTGGCGCAACCCGATTCTGACGGCTCGCTTTATATCCACATCTGAACCGCGAATACGTTGAAAGGGGGTTTCCCTTGCAAGTTGAGGTTGTTACTCATTTACTTATCGCTATATCATGAGCATGCGATAATATGCCACTACAAGATGAATCTTGAGGCGATACGTGAGACTGTCTTCTTATATTTTGTCTCCGTGTCGGGCCGGCTTTTGATGCCTACCTAGTCTCTCACATCGTGTGTCTACGAGGGCCACATCTATCCGCGAGAGTGTTGCTAGTGTAGCAACGTTTTTCCTTTTCTTCACTTTTGGCCAACGATAGCTGCAGCTATCAAGACGAAGTCGACAACATTCAACCGTTCATCAACAATATGTTGTGGCTGTGCATATGCTACGCAGATGTCCGTCGTCAGGCATGCAACTGGCGATGTATAATCACCGGCTGCTAATAATACATTCATAGCCCCTAGGGGGCCTCGAGAAACGGAGTATTTGGGGAGGCAACGTCAAGTTTAATTTGAGCATAAGCATCGCAATTGTGAATAAATACACTTCCGCGAATGAGCATCGATCGGATCGAGGGGGCGTTCTAGGCATCGTAACATTGTGGGCGTTCATGTATTAGAGGGGAAGCATCATAAGGCGTAATAGGCACATTGTCGGAATAAACAATCACGTAGCACATCGATGAAATTAATTAAAAAGTCTTGCTATAAGTAAATTTGTGTTGGCTTCTAAGTATTGAGATTCGGTAGCTCTTGCTCCTGGTACTACCATCTTATAGGGATTAAGAGGTATTGAGTATATATATATTTTAGGTTCCAACTAATCAATTTTTGAATAGTTACTATTTATTGGATCACAATTGGCTATCCATTTGCTTAGAATAATATTAGTATTGTAGATGAGGCGGTTTACAGTACCTAGGTAGGTATTTACTCGGACCTGCCTCCTCTGGTATTGTATTGTATTGTACAATACCTGCCTGAAAATTACTGCACTTACCTAGTAGACAGCTATTACAAGGAAACCTTATAGGGGACTCAGGAGTTGGTCGGGGGTTGAAAGCATGGACCACCCTACCAAGTAACGGCTTTCAGCGCCGACCGCGTTTGTCGTTTTCTCATTTCTGGTTTTCCCTTTCCGCTTCCCGTTTTGCATTTTGCATTTTGCATTTTGCATTTCTCCTTCGACCACTTTTTTCTCAATCGAATTAATAGTAACACATTCCTTCCTGATCCAGTGGCCTCTAATTTAGGTAGTGATTGAACAAATCATGTCTGATTATGACTCGGGAGATGAGCTATTGGGGAGTATCAATGTGGATACTCTCATTAGCGGAATGAAGCGTTCGCGTTCTCCAGACGACGAACAATCAGTTCGCGAGACCAAGCTTGCTAAGCATTCCGAAGTACAAGATCATGAATATATCGGAAATATTTCTAAGAAGATCTTGAAGGATGACTTTGGTTATGACGATTTCCGTCACGAACAATTCTCCGCCATCAAAAATATCTTGCAAGGCGAGAATGTCCTGGTCGTCTTTCCCACCGGAGCCGGGAAGTCCCTTTGCTACCAAGTTGAGTCTCTCCCCTCTGTACAATATCTTTTCATTAACACAAGACTTGTTGCAAGATCCCTGCAGTTGCCTTCGAGAAGATAGATGCCCTGAGAAACGATAGACATGACCTAGGACCAGGTATAACTATTGTCGTTTCACCTCTTATTGCTCTCATGAAGGACCAAGTAGATGCCCTACTGCGTAGACGCATTTCCGCTGCTTGTTTAGACTCTACTAAGACTTATGAGCAAAATCAGCAAATCAATACCGACCTAAGAGAAGGTCGGCTAAGATTGCTTTACTGCGCTCCAGAAAGATTAAACAACGAGGGCTTCGTCGAAAACATGAAGCACGTTTCCGGAGGCGTTCGGCTAGTAGCCGTTGACGAAGCCCATTGCATCTCCGAATGGGGACACTCCTTTCGCCCTGATTATCTCAAGGTTGCCCGCTTCGTCGATGAGATCAAGGCTGAGAAGGTTATCTGCCTTACTGCTACAGCCACTCCTCGTGTCGCTGAAGATGTTGCGAAGGCTTTCCATATCAAGCAGTCCAATATATTTCGCAGTTCTCCCTATAGGCCCAACTTACAGTTGCTGGCCGAATCTGTACCAACAAAGCAGGATAAGTATCCCAAGATGTTCCAATTTCTAAGAAACCACCCCGGTCCTACTCTCGTCTATGTGACTCTTCAGAAGCAGGCCGAGTTGCTTGCAGATGACCTCAAAGATCAAGGTTTTGATGCTGTAGCCTTCCATGCCGGCCTCAAGACAGAAGCTAAGACACTTATCCAAGATGACTTCATGGCTAATAAAGTAACTATTGTCGTGGCTACGATCGCATTCGGCATGGGGATCGACAAGCCAGACATACGAAATATTCTCCATTTCGACTTGTCTGGAACGGTAGAAGAATACTCGCAGCAGATTGGACGCGCGGGACGAGATGGCAAAATCAGCCATTGCATGTTCTATATCTGTCCGGATGACTTCTATATCCGTGAGAATTTCGCCCGAGGCGACCTTCCATCACGACAATCACTACGTCAGCTATTGCACCACCTATTCCACATGGAAACTACCCAGGCGGCGGAAGGCGAAGTCATTAAACTAAACCAGACAGCTCTAGGCCGAGAATATGACATGCGTGCGAGCCCTCTCGCGATCTTACTCGCCACATTGGAACTACACTTCGGGTTACTCAGGGCTATCACACCGGAGTATGGCTCGTATCAGTTCGAAGCGATGTCTACCTACTATCATATTGCCCATGCCGACAAATCCCAGGAGGGTAAAGCGATTTTCAAGCACGCCATAAAAGCGAAGAAGTGGTACAACCTTGACATAAACTTTGTCGTATCGTCTAGCGGACTACTCCGAGCAGACCTCGTACGGAAGCTCAATGAATATCATGATAAAGGTATTATCATGCTGAAAGTGGGTGGTGTCGAGAATCGCTATAAGGTCCTCAAGAAACTCCCCAATACGCCATACCAAATTGACGCGATCACGGACAAGCTGTTCGTAGACATGGAAACTCGCGAGGAAGAAGCATTAAAACGAACTCAACAGGTCATCGACCTGATCACCGGCGATAAATGTTTCGCTCTAGCCCTAGCTGAACACTTCGGCATGGGACTTCCGGATGAGAAGACCAAATGTGGTCACTGCACTCACTGCTTCACGGGGAAACGTGTCATATTGCCACCCCGACCGAGTCTACCTGCCGACATGGATACTATTCGAAGAGTTCTGGCAGCCTGTCGCGTTCGAGATGATCCTAGATTCCTAGCTCGCGTCGCTTTCGGTATCAAGAGTCCCCGAGTTCTTCAGTTGAAGCTCCACCAGAAAGAGATATTTGGATCATTAGTTGAACACGACTTCAAGGTACCTATAATCAACGAACCAATTCTGAGTAATGGCTTAACTAACGCATTGTGGTATAGTCTTTGCTGAAAGAATTCACCAAGGCGTGTGAGGAAGAAAATTAGTCCATGGCAAAACACCGAGTTTCTATTGGTTTGCGGCCTTAGTGAAGGGGAAAAAGGAAGAGTATGCTTGTGCTCGATGTTAAGTTGTTTCACCACCATCGTGATACTCCAAACCCACGGGTAAGTACCTAAGGCCGGATATCTCTAAAGATTCTACTACATGAATAATGTTGGCGCAAGGGTTTGTCTGTATCTGTTGACAATAAGGCAATACAAAAAGTCAGTATTTGAATAGAACTGATCAGTGAACAGCCCACGAAAGCTACCTAATGTAGGTAAATATCGGAACTTCAAATTCAGGTAGAGTTAGAATAGTGACTCTTAAGGTATTGCTGCAACACAGAACTTCGTACGCGCGTCTAATCATTTCCCTCTATCAGGAAGCCGTACCACCAGGCCGGCCAATCAAACGGGGGTAGCCGGCGTTGCATATGGAACCCTACATACAATATTACTCCCAACGCAGGTAGCCGTTCTGGATAATGTCATGACAATGCCACATCAACCGGGATATCCGATTCCGCCATATGATAACGATCACCATGGTACCAGAGTCTCGGTACCATAACGGGAAGGACGGCTGATCGTAAGATCATGATACTAGGTAACTACTAGGTAGGTATTCTACAGTTTTATCCAATTTTTAGGTAAGATGGGGGGATAAAAGCATCTAAAAGCCCTTGTTTCGGACACGTTGAGTTCTATGACAGTCACAACTCGTAATCTCTTCAAATCAAAGGCCTAACCAAAATGAAGCCTTTTCACTCGTGTTATCTTCTTCTGCCACTATCGTTCGTCCAAGCAGGATCTAGTCATACATTTTTATCTTCTAAGAGGGCGGAAAAAGTCTCGTCCTGCGCCGATATATCCACACCAACGACGTTCTCGTTATCGCAGATATCGTACATAAAAATAGAACAATACCCAACAATGGCAACTGTTCCCAATTCGACACAGCTCGTTTTTGAAGTCGTCAATAACGCCAACAGCATCTCGACCGGGTGTAGCCCTCAAAACGTGGAAGTAAACGGTCAATGGGGAAATGATAGCAATTATTGGTATAAGTGCATCGATCGGAATTTGGAGGTGAACGGGGATGAGGTCACTCTCAGTACGAGTGCGCATGTCGTTTGGGAACAGTGGCAGTTGAGTGTCAATCAAAGTTGGAGCTGTGGCGACGAGTATGTTTCCTTCCCCATCCCTCCGAAATGGGATCCGTAGATTGTCGACGAGGGATATGCCATTGTGAAGGATGCTAAATTTGGATGCTTGCAGGTCTATCGTGAGGCATATTTCCACTACGACACTCAAACCGAGCTGCCAGGAGACCAGTAGTGCTTTTCAGTATATCAATGAGTGCACAGCTCCTGACCTAGAGGCGCCTGCGGCGTTTCAGTAACCAACTTTTCATTAGCTTGTCAGGGTTATTCATTCTACTTCGTTAATTTCCAAGGAACTCTCCCCCTTATATACGCCAGTCCATATGTGCCATCCGTACAGTTTCCGTTATACCACCCGTCCCATGACAATTCATACAGTCGTAAAACTACCCAGATACCTATTCAAACAGAGATGCCCAAGCTATTTAAACCCCGAGATAGAAGACTTTTTTTTACCTGGGCCGTATGCCCTGGCAAGTCTGCCAAGATTGACCAGGCCCCTCCAAATCTATTACCAACGCTACCGGCCGTGACCTTCATCATGGAACCTGCCCCCCTTGCGACATATGTCAACCACCCTATGAGACGGTACGTGGCGTATGCTCCCGCAAAAGCTATGATAACCAACAATAGCTTTCCCAGCCTCTTCCAGAAGGTTGCCCAGTCGAATGGTCTTGGAGGCTCCGATCCACGATATCCAGCTTGAGCCGACGACCTGTATCCATATGCCGGATAGGTTCCCGGAGAGCTGAAAGGGTGGCTACTCGGGTAACTGCCCGGATACGTAGTGTATGAGTGGCGAGAATATCCGTGAGACGGCAATAAGGAATCTCGTTCGGTCGGAATAGAGGAGCGGGTATACCGCATCGGTGTTGGGCTCGTGATCGGGGCATGCTGTGCACCAGGTGGACTGGTCGGCCCTCGAAGTACCGACACATACTCGCCGTAACTACCCCTACGCTCTCGGGTTATAGGGGTGGCTGGGTTAGACTGTTGAATTCGTCTAGGGGAGGAGACGGTATTCGAGGCCGGGTGGGGAGCCGGCGGAGTGTATTTAGCGTATCGGATCAGGTCTTGGTACGACTTCCTTGACAAAATATAATCGGGTCCGCGGCGGTCGTAGGCCTCGAGTGAGCCGAGTCGGATGCGATGTTGGTTTCTCGTCTTAACGTACGTCCTCTTCCGTAATTCAAGCGCGACATCTTCGAGGCTAAGCAATATCCCATTATCCGGGTGCGGGCTACAGGGCCGGATAGGGAGGTGTTCACGTCTAACATTCGGTTGATTCAGGAAGCGCGTCTCAAGATTCTTGCCCTTAAGCGATGTCATCTATCGTATTTTCGTTAGACCAAACAAAGTTCCCATAAATACCTAGTAGGTACTAGGTAGTCAGACGACGTACCATAAGGTACACGACCTTCCCATCTTCTAAATATGGCGAAAGCACCACGACCGGGTGGTTGCATCGGTCTTCTTGGAGATCTGAATCGTATTCGTCGCGGTTGTCAGGTAGGTCCTCCTTGCGAGGTAGCCATAATATGCATCCTGCCAGCTGTTGAGGCAGCCGTAGTGTCCCGATCTCGCGAGGCTCGCGTGATCCCCTGCGAGCTGACGTCGCCGTTGCCGATGCTACCGTGATACCAGGCATCTAGATCATCTGGGGCTGTCGGGATGAGCTAGACCCGGGGGAGACGACTGTCATGTACTGTACCTAGATATGAACGTGATATATATTTCGAAGAAGTGTTAGTTTTAGAATGATGTAGATGGGAAGAACCTCCATTCTTTTACGAAGTGAGGCGGGGTGATGCGATGTGGTATTTTGGGGATTGAGAATTCAGCCTGGGCGCCTATGAGAGACGAACGCGAGGGTCTCGTCCGCCATGTGGTGCGACCAATCTCGGCGTCGCTCCAACATCCAATGCGTCAAATGCAAGCATAGCCACGTGTAGCCAACCATTGAGAAGGCAGCGGAGGAAAGAAAACAAAGCCAGAGCCTCGCATGAAGTTGACGACAGCTTAGGTCAAAGTTATATGTTATTTATGATGAAACATCTCTGGTTTTTTTTCTTCGCCGGCGGCCTCAGCAGCTCAGCCACTCATAATAGCTCCCGATCGCGATGCTGCGTTGCCGTCCTGCCGAACCCGAAATGTCACCTGCATCTTCGGCGTTTGCTGCCTTCTGAACCGAATCCCTGTATTTGAGGAATGATACTGCAATCTCATAGGTTATTGTTAAATAGGTAAGTATAAGATCACCTCCAGGGCTATGACATATTCAGTAGCTTATAAGGCCGAAGGGGAAAATATGGCTGCAGCTTACCTGGGTAAATTTATTGAATTATATAACGGAATTTGAACAGTTCATCTGATGTGCATCATGTATAGGTGCCTTGTAATTAATTACCTAGCAATTGGATTGTTAAGTGCCCAGGTGGTATTCATCAGTATACCTATTGGTGTAAGAGGTTGCTCAAAGTGTGTGGTTATCTATTGAACGTTGACCTGGAGTTGACACGGATATTTATCTTCGATTCTTTAAAATAATCCATATACATATCATTAGTTGCATTATATTCGGGCTAACGTTAGGTAGGTACCAAGCAGCCAAGGTAGGTATTGTACGTACGAGTACATAGTAGAATCAAGTAGGTAGCAACCTTGAAAGAGATTATCGGAAGTTACATGTAGTAGATACGCCCTAACTAAATAATGCCTAGTAACAGCGGTTATACCTCGGAGACGGCTGCATGCCTCATCCATACATCATGGATTCATATGTCTACTAGGTACTAGGTAAGTAAACTTAAATTTCCGGTTCCTCCACCTCCTGAACATTGACAAAAACACAAATATTACCTCGGTAGGTACCTACCTAGTATCACAGGTTACCTCTCACCCAATTCATCCACTTACTCATCATAATCGCATAGGAACCACCCAAGGTAAATCATCGCAACCTCTCCCAATATCAACATGACTCTCACCGTCCACCATCTTGGTATATCGCAATCGGATAGGGTCGTCTGGCTCTGCGAAGAGCTTGACATTGATTATGAGTTGAAGAAGTATGACCGGGCTCCGATCATGGCGCCGGACGAGTATAAGGCCTTGCACCCTCTGGGGTCAGCTCCTGTCATCGAAGATGGCGATGTCAAAATTGCGGAATCGGGTGCTTGTGTGGAGTACATCTTGCAGACCTGGGGTAATGGAAAGTTGGCACTTTCCCCCGGAGACAAGGACTATTCCGAGTACCTATACTGGTTCCGTAAGGGAGAATCGCTCCTAGAAGATGTGTGTCACTGGTAGCTAACAGTATGACGAGACTTCGCGAACGGAACTCTACAACCTACTCTGTTCCTAAATATGTCAATGTCTCGGACGGGACTGGACGAGGCAAACCCATCCGTAAAATACCATAAGGCAAGGCAAATTCAACTCATCGAATATATGGATCGACGCTTATCCAACGTGCCTTGGCTCGCCGGTGAGCAGTTCACCGCCGCCGACGTAATGAACGTCTGCTGCCTCACGACCATGCGTTGCTTTGCACCTTACGATCTTGGTGCATATCCCAACATACTGTCTTACCTCAAGCGCGTCGCCACACGAGATGGATATAAGCGGGCAGTCCAGAAAGGAGATCCGGATCTGTCCGTCGACCAGTTGATCGGCGCTACTCCTCCGCCTATGCAAAAAGCCGTGGCGGCAGCCATTCAAGCCCGCGGACGGCTATAGGGGAAATGATAGACCATGTAGATAATGGTACTACCATCCTAGTCTACCTACCTAGCTGCATAGGTTGCTACCTATTAATAGGTAAGTACGTAGGTAGGTATATAAGCAGCCAAGAAATCGCATCTATTGTTGGTATCTAGCATGCACGAGACGGGTCCGACATTTGGCAGATATGGCTGTCAGGACTACGTAAGTGTGTGTGCTTGTATTCAAGAAATATGGGACACGCAAGATAACTTACCTACCTTTTCTTCCTACCGGGCAGCCGGGTGGGTATCTGACAGGTTCCTTCAATAATGAATCTCAAAGAATCTGGGGAACAAAATATGTCGTTCGGGCGGGTAATTCGGATTGGTAAGTGATGGGGCTTTGCGAACTCTCGGTCCCGAGACAGTTGACCGACTACCTACTTAGGTAGGTAGGTAGAGTCTATTACCTACTCATGTACCTCTAATACCAAAGCAAAGACTTTATACAGGGATCCCTAATCAGCCTTTCCCATGGACTGATTGTGCTTTTTCTTTTTTTTTCTTTTTCTTTCTTTTTTTTAATCTGCATGTTTCTCGGTGTTCTGAGACCGTGTGAGCGAGCCTGAATTCATTCATACACTTAGGCATCTTACATGTTAGACAAGTACTAGGTACTAGGTAAGTAGGTAAGTAAATACCTCCATATATGATCGGATGGAGAATAATTTGGGGATACCGTGCTTACATGTCAGCTTTAATTCCTTCCTGGGAAGTCACCACAACTTTTGTCGAGTGTGACAATGATGAATCTCTCCATGATGTTGCCTAGACGGGAAATAATATTGTCATTTTGACGGCATCCGAATAACCGATACGTCCGTCCTCATGCGTCATGCGGTAAATCTTGCCGCATATTGGGCGTTAGACGGTGACGTTGATTTGTTCGATGCCCCGAGCTCCTAATAGTCAGCCACGGACCCGGGACGTCGTAATCGGCCGAAGGATGACAAAGGTACTGCCTATATGTGTCACAAGTTTCTCTGACAAGCCGTGCTATGCAGAGAGACGGAAGAAGCTATATACTAAGGGGGGAGACCGGAATGACAGAATAAAGAACTCCACCTGCCTAGGTACTATCTAAAGTCTTCTTAACTCTCATATATACGTCCTGCATAGCGACATACCCAGATTATATCTTAAGCTGTACCTTGGAAATCTATTTTTCCGACCAACTGATGCTTAGATACTTACCTAGCTACCTAGGTATATACCCAACATCCCTTCTAGGTACACATATCAAGCATGTCTCAACACCTTGAACATCGAGCCGCGTTTGAGACTCATCTCATTGGTTTCTTCTACCGCCAATGGCTCATGTACCAGAAGCCCTGGCCTAAAGGAACTAACCTCTCAGGTCAGACGGCTATAGTGACCGGCTCAAACTCGGGACTCGGGTTTCAAGCTGCGCGACAGCTGTGTCAATTAGGCCTCACCAACCTAATTGTCGCCGTGAGATCGCAGACACGAGGCGACACAGCTGCGGATAAGCTGCGGAAAGAATTTCCCAACTCCTCAGTATCCGTCTGGCTTCTTGATATGGCATCGTACGACTCTATCAAGGCCTTCGCCAAGAGGTGCGAGACTCTGCCGCGCATAGACATCACGATCCTGAATGCCGGTATACGAACTGATGTGTTCCGACCTCACGCCGTTACCAATCACGAGATTGTCTTCCAGATAAATTATCTTTCCACAGTTTTATTAGCTATCCTGCTCCTACCTGTCCTCAAGGCTAAGAAGCCGACGTCGCCAGGCGCGACGCCGCCGCGTCTTTCTCTCGTTACCTCTGACACGGCGTACTGGGCTCCGCCATTCAAGTCACCCGGTCCAGTCCTTGTGCAGTGCGACGAGAGCGAGAATTACAAGCCGATGGCGGCCTATCCACGAAGTAAACTACTACAGCAATTTTTTGTCTCTAAGCTCGCGGAGTACGTTGACCCTAACGACGTGATCATCAATCTGTCAAACCCCGGTCTCTGCGGCGGCACCGAGTTTGGCGCGGATGCGAAGATGGGATTATTCGGTAGAACGATGTTCACCATCTTCCAGGGTATAAATGGGAGGAGTGTAAGTGCCGGGACGAACGCCATCCTCGATGCTGTGGTGGCGAGAGGCAAAGAGACGCATGGAAACTATATGAGTGATTGGACTATCCAACCGTATGAATACCTCTCCTACAGATGTTGAAGCTAAAGCTAATCATAGAACAGGTTTCCCTCGTGCTATTACACGAAGGAGGGTCAGATTTTAAAAGAGAGGATATGGGAAGAAACGCTGGAGGAGTTTAACTTTGCTGGTGCCTCTAAGATCATTCAAGACATGAAGCGCTAGCATGAGAGAGAGTTTTATCATTGAGCCGTCGTTGAGTTATTACCTGAGGTTATTATAGCGAAATTGACTTTCTATCTGTGTAGGCGTGGGTATCCATTAGAGAACTAGGGGTTCGGAATGGATATCTACTTTTAGGACGATTTGTATTACCTCAGGTAGGTAGGCAATTTTTGGTTAATGGTATGATATCTGTACCTACCTAGGTACCTACCTATGTGTTTCTACATAATAGCTTCATGCGGCCATGTATGATAAGTAGGTACCTATCTAGATGGTGAGCTTAATGAATTGCAAGGACCTACATGCGATCTCGTTACGTGGTTCTTCATATCGCAACCATAGGCACCTACCTAGACTCGAGATTTATGCTGTTCACATTCCTACATCTTCTATGATGTTAAAAAATAAAGGGTTATGCCGGGCAAAGCAAGCTTCAATTTTAAATATAAATTAAATATACCTTGGGTACCTCCTTAGGTAAGTAAATACTACAAGGTAGGTAGGTAAATGCCTAGTACCTTAGTAGATAGTATTCCAAGATTCCAAGGTTGGTATCATCAAGCCCCGTCCCAATTTTTCATATTTCCTGCGCCTATGAAACAGAGAGGCCACTCACCGTACTCAATAATTATCACGCCTCAACCATAAGGTCAACTCATAAAGCATCAATCGAATCCATGTCGATTGTGGAGGGAAATGGTCAATTCAGACAACCCCCTTGCCCCTTGACGACAAAGCCGCTGAGTCGATGCTCTGTTCCCTTTCCATCTCATGCATTTCCTTCTCGACCTGGCGAATGTCGATGTTGGCGACAGCGTCTACGCCGTCGAATATCCATGCGATCTCCTCTAGCGTAGGTCCTTTCGTCTCGACATAGAAGAAGTAAACGAATGCCAGCTCACAGAAATCCCACAGCTGCGCGAGACATATAGGTTAGTGCATACTCGACCGAGATGGATCGATCACTCCTATGCAAGAGATAAAATGGCCATGGCGGGGAAACTTACAGTATAAAAAAGCATGAAATTCCAGTGTTTCGGCATCCTGTTCCAAGCAATCTTGTTTGTCTGGTTGCTGAGTGCAAGCACAGCTTGTACTGTGATGTTCATAATCATCATACCCTTAGCGCGTAGCTTGAAGGGAAGCACCTCTAGTGCGTAAGCAATCAACAGTCCCGAGAACCCGATATCATAGAAAATTCCAAATAGCCAGATAAATACTAGCTGTGCGTAACCAGAAGCTACATTAGTCAGGTCCGAGTTCTCGTAAATAGCGCCACAAATCGTCCAGCTTACGAACGATACCACCATCCCCGATGTTGATATTAGGAAGAGTGGTCGTCTACCGAACCTATCGACGTTCAAGGCGGCAAGGATCGTCACGATGAGATCGAGGATTGTTTTCCCGCCGCTCAACTACAAATAACACATTAGCCATTTCTCAGCGATCCTAAAACGTCGTATGAGGCGTCTTTACAGCGAGCTTCTGGTCTTGAACCTTTATTCCAGCGCCCTCATAGACGGTGTCCATATAATTCGAGAAAAGCGCGTTTCCGCTGTACTGAGATATAACACCTAAAGAAACGAGAATTGCTAAACGCCATAAGTTTCCCTTAGTCCGTAAGAAGTCAAGGTAACCGGCGGCGCGTGCTACTTGTTTCTCCATCCGCATTGTCTCCTTGATTTCCCTAAATTCGAACTGGACGAGCACATCTTTCTTGTCGCCACCAGCATGATATTTAGCTAATATATCGAGCGCCTCGTCATGGCGATCTTTCGCTATGAGATATCGCGGGGATTCTGGGATCCAGTAGATGAAGATGATCTGGATTAACGAGGGTAATATCTGGATGAGAGTGATTGACCTCCAACTCCAGTCATTCCGGATCTGCGCAGTGCCCCAGCCGACCCAGGCCACCAAAAGAGCACCTAAATTCCATAAACAATTATAGACCGCCGTTACGGGTCCACGATGCTGAGGATGACATATTTCCGTGAGGAGTAAAGGAGAGGCCATTTGTGATAAACTGTTACCAAAGCCAAGGATTAGACGACCAGTGATAAACACTAGATTATAGGTATGTACGTTAGTAAAGGGGATCTACGTATTTTATCATGTATTGGCGCTTTCGCATACTTTCATATCCATTACAGAACGCCGACACACAACCCCCAATTATCATGAAGACACATCCAATGGCTATCGATGTCTTCCGACCCCAGTTATCGGCAATATACGGTCTATTGATATATTTAGCAACGCATGATATGTAAGTGAAATATCTTGGGAGTAATCATACGTGAGGAAGAAACTCAAAATGCTCCCGATGTTGAACATGTTCACGAGGAGTCCGAGCCAACTGTCGGCTACGTCTTGAGAGTTATCGGGCCCGACCTGAGTCTTGGGAAAGTACTGTTTCCAGCGATCTATTTGCTGAGAAGTATTGACGAGCATTCTGAACAGGTACGTTCCTAACTATTAGTTGATTGCCTAGCAGAGACAAGAAATTCGACTCTACTCTTACCCATCGTATCCAGTTGTTGCCGAGGCTATCATCAGTACACAAGCCCATGCGTATAATTTCCGTAGATGCGGCTCCTTCGTCCAATAGACGTATTCAAATTCTGGCGCTTCCCTGTGCGCTAACTGTTCATGTTCCTCCTCATGGCCCTTGGCTATGGGTTGACGAGGATGAACCATAATGGCATTTAGGTACCTAGGTAGGGATTCCTTTCTTCGCGCGCGAGAGTCGTCAAGATCGATGTTATATGCCGGTAGGTAAGAGTCAAACCATTCCAATTCAATAGATAAAACCAAGGTATATGTGCCAGAGAAGCGACGAAGAGCGTACGCGATGCGAGGGATATGATGCCATTCAAATATTTTATGCTGGCAGCGTACCTAGCTGCGGCTGGTAATTAATAGCATGATGAAGCGCGTCCGTCCAAATCCTTTGCCAAGAAGAAATCGAACGTATAGAAAAACCAAGCTCGATGCCTCTACTCTGGCGCTACCGTAACGACGGCTAATGCATGTCACGATAATGCGGGGATATTATATAAAGATCGTAGGCGGGTAGTAGTTGGAGGCGACCCTCGACTAGGATTCCACTGGGACGTTGCTGACTAGCGGCCTATCAAACCGACAGCCCGGCTACGATCTAGTTGAGGTTCCCTCTCCTCACATCCGAAAAGAGACCCATGGTAAGATCTAAGGCTCCGAAGTATCATATTTGGAAAGTCTGTGGTCTGCTGTTACGGGATCAGCAATCGAGGCTTAGTTCTTAGCTTGCACATTATAGGTACTAGGTAGGTAGGTAGGGAAGCAATTCATGAGGTCGACGGTGGCGACGATAATAAGAACCACTTATGACTTGGATATGCTGTGCCGTCCGTGATATACTGTCTGAATTTTATTATCCTACCTAAGCATTATTCTTAAAGGCATCCATCTCGAATCTAGAATGAGAGCACAGATAATCGAATATGGGACGTGATAAAAAGCTAGCAGAAACGCGCTTCTCCAGGTTATGGGCTACGAGGAATTGCGAGGATATTTTATTGGATCTTTGTCGAAGATGGCCTACCTACCTACCTAGTAGGCACTCTTCTAGACTTCGGGGCTACACCTTCCATCGCGTGCACGCGATCCGGGAACCTAGTCGGTAGCTCGGCTACTATTGGATGTTCCTCAGTGACAGCATTGAAGGTGATGACATCTATGGTGTACCAGAAAAGGGCCGGCCGGCTAATAGGCAAAAATCGGAATGAAACATGCCTACTACATGCAGGCCATGAGCAGGAGAAGCCTACCTAGGTAGGTATACGTGGAACTAGAGTCTGATATGCTCTAGCCAATCGTTGCATTCCCATTATTTCTTTTTAGGTAACTACCTACCTACCTACTACCTACCTAGATCCTAAAAAAAAAAAAAAGTGTCTTAAGATGCACAGGTAGGCAGGTACCTACCTTATAACGCACCGTATAATCATTTCATTGTTTTGACCAAACCACATAGACTTAACGCCTGGCATGAAAGAAAACAATGGGTGTTTTTATGCCTAAGTTAATTCTGAACACCAAGCCCGCCTGTCTGGCATCATATTCCTCTTGGTTTCATTGCCTGCGTAGGTACCTACCCGAGCACCTAGTAGGCAAGATGCCTTTACATAGTAGAGATTGGTGAACCAAAACCACCCCGGGAATCCTAGCTCCAATACATCCTAGTATCACCTTTTCCCTTATCCCTGATGACCTATCCATAACCACGGAACTTTGAACCGCATTCCTGGACTTGGATATCCAATGGGTGAGCCGTGGACACAAAAAGAAAAACAAGTGTACCGAGGATCGATCCCGTGATAAAATCAAACCTGGTCACTTCGTCACACCCTCCATCACAGCACGGCATCGTCCATTTCACAATCGGACTCCATGATCGCGTGGAAATGGTTGGGGTTCGAACCGTTCACACCGCTAGAGCCATGTGCGTCAATAGCATCGCCAGAAAAGCTTCCAAGCTCGTTGATACTATGCATGGCTCTCAACAGCTTGTCCATTTCTCCCTTGAGCTGTAGCCTTCTCTTTGCCGTTCTGTCATCCTCTTCCATCAACCTATTATACTGATCCGGGTCTGCCAGCCAGTGAAATCGCCATTAGTATCGTTCACTAGCTTCATCGTCATAATGCAACGTGTAGAAATATCAAACTCACCGGAGTGACTGTAGATATGAAACTTCTCATCCAGAGACATGTCCAGCTGTTTTTCCCTAAATGTACGCAGGAGATTTGAGTTTACGTTCATCGTCACCCCTTCTACGAATCTTGCCGCGGCCACTGCAGAGAAGAAAAAAGGATTAGTAAGGTTCGAAACAATTTTAATGATCTTTATATCGTAGACATCCCCGGGAATACACGTACTCATGTAGTAACCACGGACAAATCCTGCTACCTCAATTTCAGTGTCGTAAGGGTCTTTCCCGATCTTGGGAAGGTAGGTATCGAGCATCTTGCGTTCTTTGATCTTGTCTTCTTCCGACATGTCTTCTAGCCTCTGAGCTGTATAGTTCCAGTCAATCAGAGTGAGAGATTTCAGGCGAATTATTCCCCGTACACGCAGAAGTTGACTCATTTCCTGGGCTTTGTAGCGATGAAAGGCGTCGTCATTCATCATATATAGCTGGTACGTCTCAGAGTTGAACATGTCTGAGAGGCGTGCCCTCTGCGAGGCGACTGCCTCTTCAATAAACCGTTTCAGATGATCATGGCAGTCCTTGAAGATTAAACGACGGCGCAACACCCCGAGAGACTCGTCAAGTGCGGCATTAGCAGTCCTTTCTAAGAGTTCTGCCGTCTTGAGAATATAAGTGTCTAGTGGTTCCTCCCACTTCTTGACCGCGTCTAGGCACAAAGTCTCGCGAACCTCGTCCGGGACTAAGTCTCGTGGCATACCAGGACGCTTGGTTCTGAGTATCCTGTTACGGATATCTTTAATGTCCATGGCACAGCGACCACGGTTGAAAAACCTGACGAACGGGCTGTGCCGTGATTCTGGCGCGCCCATGATAGATGAGGCGCGGGATGGACTGGCTGCTGCGATCTCCTCATGCTTTACCGGCGTAGCGGCGTTGTCTTGGCGCGGACGCCTAGTTGGCGTGGAGATGTTTCGCATAGTTGAGTCACTAGGGCGAGGTCTTTTTGAGGAGCCAGGTGTTGTAGCTTCCGAATCGGCTGAAATATCGATAGTCTGAAGCTCTGAGTCCTTAACCTTACAAGTAGGCTTCATCTTGAACACACAAGTCTGGAACTGACTGTTTAACGTATTCCACTCGGAAGAAAACCCAGTGTTCCTGATGGCACTCTTTACTTGCTCTAGGAACTTGAACAGACTCCTCTTGACTTCGTGTTCTACATTGGCGGGAAGTTCAGGGAGGGCATCTAATTCGTCTTTGATAGTAATGATACGCCGATGAACAGTCTCCTTGATGGATGGCAAGCTTCTAGCAAAAGCCTCCGTAAGCTTTCCAGACAAGAACTACGAAAAGGTTAGCTAATTATCTGTATTATAGACTAGGTATCTGCCTAGACAAGCGTATCGTGTGTGATGACACCGGAGACAATGCCTCGTCTAGGCTTAGAACTCGCAAGGGACCGGGGACTTACTTTTAGCAAAACTTCAACGCCGCAGCGGTCGGCGAAATCCGCGAATTCGATCGGCCATGGGCTATTGCCATCAACTTGTCGGTTAAAGAACAGTTCTTCCCATTTGGCTGCGTCCTCAAGAGGCTGGCTCGGCGGCCGCGACGTAGCGAAGAAGCCTTGTCCGACCAACTGCTTGTCGCCCCGAAACATGGCTAACCAATTAGGAATATTCTGAGGGGGAAGTTGGTCTGCCTTAGTCATAACCCCAATTGTTCGAGGTGCTGCCTTGGCCTTGCGAATGATACCCAAACAGGTAGAATTCTCCAAATCGACGTTCATAGGTAGAGCCCACATGATGATTGCTTTTTCTCTCCTGATATATTCCAAGGTTAGCTTCTCAACCACCTTTACTACGTATTCGTCTTCTTCCTTTTCCGGTGATTGAAATACACCGGGTAGGTCATAGAAGCTTAGATCAGGAAGTCCAGGGCCCTTTATCTCCAAGGCCACTATATTTGGAGAGAATTGCGCATCTGTCTCACGAGCGGCCACTACAACAATCTTGAGTAAGCAAACGGTGGATAAAAAATAGGATGTGAAGGGTGCGGTTAGACAAGGGACTGTCTGACTAGCGAAATGCGACTTAAATTAGGTGACTTCCTAGGTACTAGGTAGCTACCTAGGTATGTATGGACTTACAATCGAGTGGTGTTTCTTTGGTCACGGCACCTTCGCCAGGGATGAATAATTCGAAGTTTCGGTTGTGATTCAGAATAGCAACCTGAGCCCAACGAAGGACCTCTTCGATTTCTGAGGGATCGAAAATGGTCTTGAACGGCTTCGTGTCTCGATGATTCATCTTGACCCAAGGGGGGAAGGGGTTCGCGACGGTAACATCCGAAGTCTTTGGTTTCCGATCTGGAAAAGGTTTGAAGTCATAGTCTCGCTGAAGAGATACAGTGCATGACCAGTGGTCAATCTTGCTACTGATTAAACGAATATGAAGCGGGCAGCGCGTGCAGACGCCGGCGCTACGCGGAAGGCTAACCCGTGCTAGACCGGACATCAAGCTGGACTTTCCAGCAGACTGGTCGCCAACAAGAACCAGCTCAGGCAAGGCGGCCACGTCTTATGCATGTTTAGTTAGCAAGTGCTGTTACTGCTTATGCGTCTTAGGTATGCTTATAGAAAAGGCCATTAAATGTAAGAGCTTAATATATGAGAAGTGTGAAGTACTAGGTAATGATTACTTACGAGATACTCCGAGTGTCTGGAGATCACCAAGTGTGTCATTGCATGCTTTCTGCTTTAAACCAATATCGGTAAATGTTGGGTGAGCGAAGCTTTGATGAGAAAAACTGGCGTCGGCATTCTGGGAAACGGGTGAACCTTGCTTGAAGCTGTCAGGCAGGCGTCTCATTTCCATGAACATTGGCTCTGTATCATCGTCTCGTCGATGCCACGTCTCGGCGCTAGCTATGGGCACGATCAGTACTAGTTTATGTGGTTAAGTAGTATACAGGAGGGTGACCAAGAACTCACGAGCATGAGACCTAATGAAGCTTCTAGCTACAGATTGAGTATCCGGATACTCAGTCGGGGGCGTCTTCCGCTTGAGGGGGCTAGGGGATGGCGGCGGCATGGTAGTATCTGATATCAAGCTTGCCGCCGGCGAGCCAAGGCGCTCATATTTGACTACCTTACCAAGGCGAGTCATGCTACATTTTAATCAGAAAAAGTCATTCAGGATGAGAATGCAACTTAATAACATAACTTACATGGCATGTAGCTAGGTAAGAGACAAGGTAATATAGGTAGGTTAGTGACAATTATCAGAATAACTCAACTCGTAATGATTGCCTAGATGAATGAGTAGATTTTTAGGTATCTAACATGAGATTAAATGACAGCGACTCGGGTTTTAGACAGCAAATAGATTAATACCTACCTCCTAGGTAGGTAGGTAAGCATGTGGGAGATGTGGGAGATGTGGGTAAAATATTCATGTGAGATCTAGGTGTAGCTACCTAGTAGGCTATGAAGTTCTGAAGAGAGTATAAGATAGATAAGAAACAACCGTGATGGGGCGGAACTGGGATGGGATGTAAACAGGACGTAGGTAGGAAGGAAAGGAAGAGAAAAGAAGAAGAGAAAATGATTGAGCAGGGACAGAGGGGGGAGGAAAATATTCGGGCAGACATGAGACTCGAAACTTGCAGTGCACCTTCATCCATATCATAATCCGAGCTAAAGTAACTCTGGTGATGTTGAGTCAAAAGAAACTCGAGAAGATAATAGTGATTGTTAAGAAAATAGAGTATGATATGTGGGAACACTAACATATTCTATCTAAGTATAGAGTATTAAGGAGTTGTTATTCACGTTTGAACCTGAGGTACCTAGGCTGCTAGGTAGGTAGGTATGTAGTAACCGGGGTGTGCAGGGGGTATGCATATCCGGTGGCTGGTAGCGGGGTACGATGGACGGATAGGCACCAGTCCTAGGACTTGCGCAGTTATCTCATTGAAGATGATTGGCTAAAGCAAAAACCTAGAAAAAGCAAACTTCAATTCACAATTCCTCATACAAATCTCTATGCTATCGAGTGAATCCGCGTGAATCTGTCAGTTATCAATTCCTGAGCAACAGGGAAGAGTAGAGGAACATGCGCACGGAGTACCTCAGCTGCTCAGTACCTTTAAGCATTTCGAATGTTATCCATACTGTATCTGGACTCTATTAGGAAAGATACCTTGTACCTATGATCCTTCACAACTTCAGGTTGCTTTAGGTAGTTACTATGTACCTACCTACATATGTACATAGGTCAGCCTAGTATGCTACCACCTACTTCCTACCTACCTCCTAGTAGGTATCTGCCTATGTACTACCTTGTTAATGTACAGGTACCATGTAGTCTGCAATACCCAACAACCCTCGATATTGATGTCATCCATCCAAATATTAAAATATTATTACTTAGCTACATATATCAAGAACTAAAGGAAATATTACGTAGCACCAGGCCAATAAGTCATGTTCATTTGAAATTTGCAACTTCATCGCTGGATATTGTTCGATGGCAGCTGTCTGAAGACGAGGCTATAGACAGAAATGGAAAGTCGCGATCGGTCCTTGTAAATAATTATAAAGTGTCGAGGCATATTTCCAATACTTGGCACAAATCACAGTACATATTTGCTGTTTCTTTTTTGTGCCTCTTTGATCCGATTATCTAGTAAGCACATGTTAGCTGTGACTTCCCATCATGTTGGCCATCTCATACCCATCGTTTCGTCCTGCGACCGAACCTCCTTCCTCTTCATCTCGAACTCTCCTCCAGCCTTCCCCGTCTTCTGCCCCTGTGCCAGGAGGCGGATACGGTTCGTCGCATTCTCGGCTACTCAGCCGAGGCCAATACCTGCGGTAAGTGAAGAGGCCTACAGTAAACCCCAATATCGACCCCACAGAAACATCGTATACATCATGACGGTAGTCTTCGCACCGACTAATGGCTATCAAGGCTGCTCCGACGAGAGGGGCAAGACAGATCAATGACCGACCTATATCCTTCTTGTTGCGGAAAATCCTCAGCTGGCCAGCTAGGAAGCAGGCTAGGTACCCGAGGCCGCTAAAGGAGAAGCTAGAATGACCCGAGGGGAACGATCGCCAACCGTCGTGGAGAGTATGGTGATCCGTCTCGGTACACACATCGATCGTCACTAGAACATCGGGTTTGGTGCCATGAGCCGGCTTGCATCGGGCAATCAAGTCCGGCCTCGGACGGCCAACGGCATTCTTTACTATATCGGTGAGGAATGAGCTGAGGATTAAAGCAATGGCAAGACCGAGTATAGTGCTATGATGTTTATGGAACGAGGCTCGGAAGAAGCTATTGTACAGCAACACAACCCCAAGCGGGACAAACAGTGCGTAGACAAAGTTAAGCCAGACGGGGACCCGTTCGATCTCGGCGTGGGGAAACGATATGTTTAGGTTGTTGATATAGAACATGCGATGGAAGGGTTCGACGAGGAATTGTATTAGAAGGTAGGCTGTCAAGAGACCAGCGAATCCTACATAGTCGGGCGCATAAGAATGCTTGAAAATAGTTAGGTATGTATGCTCTAACTACCAGGTAGACGATGTTCTCAAGGTTGATGGAAGGGGGAAAGGGAAAGGGAAAGGGGGAAGGGAAAACGAAGAAAGAGTATATAGCCATACAGCCCAGAACCTCGCAATAGATTCTAATATTCCTCCTTGTTGAAAAACTCCGTTTCGAGTCATGGCCACGATAGCTGCAAGTCACCGTCCACGTAGAGCCTTAAAGACACCCCACAACATTTCCCGGAAGAAGGACGTATAAAAGAACCAAGCCACGACAGTAACGGAAATGAAGAGGGCAATTAGAACCGGACTTATAAGGAGTGATATGATCGAAAGGAAAAATAGAAAGGAAGTTGTCAAGGTTGAGAGGGTAAAGTTGAAGTCGCGTGCCCAAATAATAAATTGCAAGAGGTAGGTACCTACGAATAGGTATCGTTCCAAGCTTTGACACCGATGACGGGTGTTCAATTTAGGCGCTGGTACTGGATAGTAGCTATTACGCTACCCTTGCAATTCCACTACCTAGTAGCACCCCAATCTTTTCAGCTACAAGCCTAAATTCAATTAGGTTAGGGTGCCTAAGTCCTTACATACCTGTACCTAGGTACCTAGTATTTGGCTTTTTAATTATCTTTTCGCAACCCACCCGCCTAAGTGTTTATTCAACATCATTCTCCAGTACTCTATTTCTAACCCTACCTCATACTCTACAAATATGCTGAAGTCGACGTATAAACCTTCCCCGAACCTCCCTCCGCCTCTCCCTCCTGATTGGACAGAGCATAAAGCACCCACGGGTCATACTTATTATTACAACGCGAAGACGAAAGAATCAACATATACACGACCGGCTGCGCCATCAACTTTAACAGCAGAAGTCGTTTCTCAACTAGCTCCACCTCCTTCCCGTGATCCTCACGCGAGTTTTTTCCAGTACTCGACCGTACCCCAACTCTCAGATCCTGCAACTGCGAACGCCTTCCTCGCCCAGTATGACCCATCACGACAACGCCAGGCGCAACAGCAGCAACATGGGGGTCGTGACGGACATCGTGGGACCCAAGATGGAAGAGGGGATCGCCCGCGCCCGCAACCGACCGACAAGCCAAAGTCTAAGCTCGCCATTCCAGGTTGTGAGCCGTGGCTGCTGGTATACACCAAGTACGGTCGCCGGTTCGCGTATAATCCCGTCAAGAACGCCAGCTACTGGAGGATACCTGAAAAGATAATGAAAGGCGTACTGGAGTTGGATATTAAGGGTGCTCAGGAAAAGGCCGCCGGTGCTCAAGGCCAAAGAAAATTTATCGAGGGATCTACATCTATGGAACCTCAAAGAGAAGCTTCCGTTGATGCTGCAGCAAAGGAAGCAGAAGAACATGTTGATCTAGATTCCGATTACGAAGAAGTGGAAGTTACGGATGACGAAGGTGAAGGAGACGATGAAGGAGATGATGCGGATGAGCACCATTCAAAACGCCAGCGTACAGAAGAACCCGCAGGGAACATGCCAGTTGAGTTCAACGAGGACGACTTTGCCTACCAATTACAGGCTATGGGTGATGATTATGGTCTCGACCCCGGGGAATATGACGATGGGGACCCGGACGCGTGGCCCGAAGGTGCTGAGGGCCTACCTCTTTCCGATACAGACGCACAAGAGCTATTTAAGGATCTACTGAACGACTATGGTATCAATCCCTATTCGCCTTGGGAGAAACTCGTCGAGGAGGGTCGTATCATCGACGACTCGCGATACACTGTGCTCAACACCACGAAAGCCCGCAAGGAGGTATGGGAGGAGTGGAGCCGTGAACGAATACAAATCTTGAAAGAACAACGTGCCAAGGAAGAAAAGAAAGATCCTAAAATTCCCTACCTCGCATTTTTACAGCAGAAGGCAACACCCAAGCTGTATTGGCCCGAATTCCGCCGCAAGTATAAAAAGGAAGCGCCCATGCGCGATTCTTCCCTCAGCGACCGCGATCGCGAGAAGTGGTATCGCGAGCATATAAATCGACTAAAACTCCCCTCAGAAACCCTTAAGAAAGACCTAATTACACTACTACGTAGCGTATCCCTTCGCGCCCTCAACAAGACGACTCATCTAGCAAACCTCCCTCCCCAAATACTCGCAGACGTGCGATACATTAGTCTAGACTCGCTAATCCGAGACCCCCTAATCGAAACATACATCCAAACGCTAGAACCGCCACCCACAGAAGATAGAATTGAAGAGGACGAGACAGCGCAAAAGGCTACGGAGGAGCGGAGGAAGCGGGAGAAGGCTCTCGACGAGCGCGAACGCGTTGTGGCCGAGGAAAAGCGCCGGCAAAAACGACAGCTTGAGTACGGGAAGGCCGCCCTAAGAGAGGAAGAGCGGGAATTAGAGAAGGCTATGAATGTAGGGAAGAAGGGTTTGCAAAGTCAATTATTAGCTGCGCAAAAGGCCGGCGAGACCGGTGAGTAACTTTACTCTTTCGGTACATGATTACATTTACAACAGGTTCCAAATATATGAGATCCAGCCATAGCCAAATACCTGCGTGCGTATTAGTTGTGAGACATGAAGAATTTTATCGAACTAAAAATCTAGTTCGATCTTCTTATTTATTTAAGGATCTATTGATAAGCTATATTCTGTAGTCCTTCCTCGGACATAGCACGCGACACGTCGCGACTCCCCATGATCTCTTCATATTTCGGGTATTATAATGAGGATCCCATCAGATCAGCCAGGTGTCGAACCAGGTGACAGCCTGCTCGAAGGCCTGCTCCTTCGCGAAGCGCTCGATCTTCTTGCTCGTGTCACAACGGACAGAAAAGCCGTGAACGACCTGGGAGTATAAGTTGATCTGGTATGGCTGACCGTTCTTGGCGAGAATCTCTTCGGACTTGTGGCGCTTCTCAGCCGGAAAGATACTATCCGTCTCGGCGGCGGCAATAGACAACGGCGCCTTGAAGCCCTCGAGCTCTTCCTCTTCTACGAAGGAAGGGTGAGCAAGGAAACCGACTTCAATGCCGTTCTTGAAATGGCGAGCAACGTACTACGAAGATAGATGTTAGCAAGCTCTCTTAATTAGCGGGGAGGGGATTAAAAACATACCTTGGCACCGAAGCAATAACCAACGCCTCCCAACTTCTTAACATTATGCTGCTCCTTGAGGTATTTGATAGCCGCCTCGATGATAGGATCAACGGCTTCTTTGGTATGAGGGTTGTCACCGCTACTACCCTTAGTAAGCCAATGGACAAAATCGAAACCGCTAGGGCGGTTTAACGATAGGGCATCGCCGGCAAAGGGGTCGATAATAAGGGTGAGGTATCCCCTCTCAGCAAATTGATCAGCAATCAACATGCTGTTCTGCCAGATGCTGATAACGTCCGGGACTATTAGGATAGCAGCGTCCTTGGCGTTGGAAGCGTTGGGGATGGCCAGGTAAGCATCGTGCTGGCCTACTTTGATTGCTTTGCCTGTCGGCTCGCCTCTGCGCAATAATATGATTAGTCAACATCAAACATAAAGACTTCATAAACGAAGCGGGAGAAGAATGAGGAGAAAGAGAAAGGGGGAATCAAAGTGGTGGGAGGAACTTACTCAAATCTAAAGCCCTTAGTACAACAATCTCCGGGAGGGTTGGATGCCATTTTTATATATGTCAATGACTACTTATATGTACCTAGGCACGCGTATGTAGTTAGGTATGTAAGTCGGGGTGCTACTTTAGCTATAAAGAAGAGTTAGATAAGTTGAAGGTGTGCAGATGATGCCAGCTAATAATTAGCGCAAAAAGGAGGAATGCGATTCAAGTATTTATCGACGACGAAGCTCCTTATTTCAATAGGCAAACGCTTCCTTTTAGCTATTCTGGCTTTGTTGACCCCTCCAAATCCCACTCACCCCTCTATTTTCCCCTGCGAACAATGTCTATTGTATTATGTACAATGCCTACCTAGGTACCTTTGTCGGCCGTTAGCCGTCCGGGCAGCCGGGGTAAGACAAACCCCACTCGTGAGGCGCAACATAAGTTGAGTGCTACTTGCCTTCAATGGACTTGTATGGGTAGGTACCTACCTACCTATTGATGACTTGAAAGCATCTGTGACGTCAGGCACCAGGTTACCTATTCGCATATTATGAAGTCACAACATGGTCTTTTTTCCCTTTGCCCCCTTTTCCCCCACTCACCATAAACCAACCAGAAAATGTCTCCTAAGTCTATTAAATACCTATTATCATACATCATATCACAAAGTTAACGCGCGCCATATAGAAAGGATAAGGCATATTACTTTTAGGTAGGTACATTGTGGACGGGTTAATAAGCCACACTTCTAACCCCACATAATTCCGGTTATCCTTCTTACGACATCAACGTCGAATCTACTCCGATTACACCAGACACCCCAACAGGGACTTTTACAGACTATCCACTTCGCCATCTCTTTCTTAGTATCCTGTCCCAAGATTTCTTCAGGTTTGGTGATCTGCTCGGAACCGGCTCTCCCACGATTGGCTCTAGACGCTCTTCTTGTCCTCTCACTCTTGAGCTTTTCTGGCCGCTTTCGTGAAGCGAAGAATTCGGTTGCGGTCTAGGTGATGCTCTGAATGGAATCCAAGTCCTGCTCTTGTTCTCCGCCGACGGCCTACAGGAACCGCGACTCTCGCGACTTTGTAACCCCGGTGGGGGAGTGCTTATCGATACGCTGATTTTAGGTCCCTGGGGAAGGTCTAAGTGGGTTGCTGTTGTCGATGGAGGGGTTCTCCTCGGACCCAAGAAGAAGCGTAGGATCCCGTTTGTCGTCATTGGCGAGGGCGTCTCGCGCCAATCGTCTTGTGCGAAATCCCTACGAGCGGTTGTTGTTCCTGGCGTAGAGCTTGTCCCAGTCGTGCTCGGGCGAGCTTGGGATGAGGACATACTCTTTCGATGGCCTATATGGAGCTTGTATTCCAATGTCTTGGAATCTCGATCTGGCTGTGAGAGATAAGCATAGTTCGTAGTCTTCGGTGTTCCTTGGTAGATTTCTTTCTTTTGACATCTACTTGCGTGGCGAATTCTAACGTCCTTCCATGTGTTTTGAGGCTTCCTCAAAGCTGCTAGGTCGTCATCTTCTTCGTCCTCGTCTAGCGCTGAAGACGGCTCAATAAACCCGGGTGTGATGTCTTGGTGTCTCTTGAAGTCACGTATGCTTCTCTGTTTATTGATATTCCACCATTTTCTCCGCCGGCTTTTAATCAGAGTGCCCGATTCCGTCGACGCCTGAGGTGGAGATACCGAAGTCGTCTCGGAAGCATTCGTATCGGAAGCATTTCCCCGATTCTTATTCAACCCCAATATGTTTCGCAGTGTAATTCCATGTTGGGGCGAGGAGTCTCCTTTATTCCGAGACTCCGGCGTGAAATTTGAACCATTTCTCTTCCGGGGTGTAAGACCATGTGTTCTATCCCGAAAGAGACTTGGAGTCGACTTGACTCTCTTAGATTTTGGCGGACGGTCAGTAGTTTGTGCTAAGCTGTCCCTCCGCACCGTTGCTTGTTCCATACGTCTAGAAGATATTCTCGGTCGGATGTTGTTCTCCACGGCTATCGCAACTGTCTCACCGACTCCGGTATCGTAAGGGTGTGTGCTCTTTCCAGGCCTAGCATTTGTGAACGTGAATTTGTGACTCTCAGGACTTTCGGACAAGGTCGACGTGCTAAACCGTTTTCGCTTCCGCGACTCGATGAGTTCTGCGTGGTGGTCAATGTTGTCTTGCTAAGACTCAATCTTCATGTTTATCCAATGGAGGGGAACAGAGATTGCCTCGAGTGCCTTGACCCGCCGCGATATAGTCTGGCTCCCCAGTACATCCTCGTCAAGAATTTGAGATTCATATAAGGTTTGCTGCGTAGGCCATCGATGCCTGTAATCAACTATAGCTTTCTCTTTCTTCCTTGACCGCTTGCCCATCCTACCTAAGTATATGTCCTGTCTAAAGATTCAGGGTGCACCTAGTAGGTATGAAAGTGAATCCTTTGGATGGAAATAGCAATGGCCTCTATAAGACGTTAAATACAAATGATCATAACCATACTGAATGCGTACCTATTTCAGTACCTATTTCATTCAACGATACATATGTAGATAATCGTTCAGTGTACCTACATGGTACCAAGGTACGGATCTCGAATGTAGACGGGGAATTTGGATCCCAGCTCCCAGATCATAAATACCTATGTAGGGCCTAGGTAGGTACCTGTTTCCTACTCCTCATAGATTGTGGTATTTACGAGGATGTTGAACCTTCCCGTTGGTACGGTACCTAGTACCTACAATTAGTGTTCATAAATCAGAAAAGGGATACATCAGGCGTGAGTTTGACGGAAACGTGATAAATTTCCGGCTATTCATTCCCCAAGCATATCTACGGACATAATCTTAAATCATACAAGTAGATCGATAGTATAATATATACTAATGAGGTACTCGGCGATTGTCTCTATGCCTACCTAGTAAGTAGGTACCTATTTATGTATCTACAGTCTATAATCAAAATAGGCTATGCACTGTAGCACACCAAGACTACCTAGCTAGAGTTGCCGCTAAACTAATCTGATGAGGTGCAATCACCCCTGATGGTTGTATCTATATACCTATAACTTGGAACCATACTTGATAATACGCCTTCTTTGAATAGCTTAAACACATAAATGTCATCTCTATTCAAAGACCATAGTTCCTTCATTATATCATGCTAATTCGGCTCGGTTATAACCTGTCCCGGCAGCAGGCGTATTCGGGACCTCGTAAACGGGGGGCGCTTCAGTCATGGGTAATTCGAATTTTGGTTGTCCCGTAACATCATATTGCGTCGGAGTATAAGGAGAATGTGTTCCTGAACCAGGAAGCTCCTGAGGCCCAGAAGGCGCAGGTGGTTGCGATACAGACGCAGAGGCGCCTCGTTGATACTTCTTTATAAAGAATATACCGAGGATTATCAAGGCAATGACGGCAACGCCGCCGACAACACCCCCAACAATGGCGCCCACAGGCGTTCCCGAGCTACTATTTGACGAGGAGCTAGTATTTGTGGAAGGCGAGCTGTCGGCTATCGATGTCGAGGACTCGGCAGTTGGATCACTTGTCGCGGGGGAAGATGAAGTGGAAGGCGAAGTCGTAGCACCTTCTGTTAAAGATGCGCTTGAACCGTTTGTTGTCGCAGAGGCAGTAGTATCAATCAGGCTTAGAGGCGTAGCAAGCATGTCAAAAACTCGAGTATTGCTTTGAGTATCGCAATCCCACGCAGTAACCGTTGAACCACTCGTCTTGAGTAGCAAGTCAGCATTTAATTTCTCTTAGCAGGTACTTCTTATAATCTCACAAGGAAGGGTCATTTCTGAAACGTTACTCAACATCTAGGGATTCAATACTCACAGAGAACAACCAGGTAATGCAGTACGGAAGGGCTGACTGGCTATAATGTGGGCATTTAATATTAATATCAAGATGCTAGATAGGGGTTTCAGGGGGGTTACAGCGTACCAACAGCGTGTTTTCGCGCTTATACCACAGTTACTTTTCGGGTTATAGTCATCACATTGGGTCCAGAAAGTAGACGAGCACGCCTTTAATCCTCCTGTACAACATCCTCTGTAGCTGCCGATATCCTCGCAAGTTGCGTCGGTGGAATAACAGGTATACGTGATCCCAGCTGCAGTGTGAGGTTAGCTGGGCTCGCAACGCTATCGCCTCCCGCGGGGAGAGGTTCTTACGGTCTAGGGATCCGAAACCACAAGTATCGTGGCCCATGTTGTAGCCATCTCGTCTCAGCAATTCCATGGACGCGTATAACTCCGGAGCCGCAGTCGGTGCGGGTTGCTGCACATCTGCAAACGCGCCATCGCTAGGTTGAGTGATAGCGGGTGGGAGAACAAATCTCGAGGCCGAAGCTGTAAGGAAGAGCTCGAGTTGAAGTACGAACGAGAACAGTGGACGTCCCATTTCGTCCCTTACCAATGTCGCAGAGTTGAAAAGGTATGCATCTGTCCGAGCGACTAAAAGGAAAGGAAAACCTGTTAAGATTGCGAGAGACGCGATCTTTCAGCTCGCGGCCAAGAAAAGATAGGCCTTTTCAGCCCTCCGAGTCGCCTCAAGCTCGCTCATCGGCCCCCTCCAACTCATTCCGCCATATTCTGGCTCAGCTGAGATTAATATAAACTGGCGTCGGGACTAGCGACGCTAATCAACTAGTAACTACCATCGAGGCACTGGGGAAAGACCCACGACGCCAAAGTAGGTAAAGTAAAGATTTGTGTTCTCCTTCATGGCCATTTTATATTAATGCCTGGCCGAGCCCTGGGCGGTCTACCTCACGACAGAGGCAAACACCGCATCCTAACCAATTTTTAAGCATGATCCGAATTCTTGTTGAATGTATACCAAGATTTCCAGTTCTTGGGGTGACAGAATGGTATAACTAGATGCCTGGCTAGAACTTAGTATCGAGTACATTTAGCTCATCATATTTGGTTCTAGCAGGGGGTGATCAGTAAACCCGTAGTACAGATGTAGCTAGAGAATACCTAGGTACAGGGCAAGCATGCTGGCTGCCCCCTATGATTGCCCACGTGAATAAATCGTAGGCGGATCAAACGGAGATAGGTCAATCGTATAGAGAACCTACCTAATAATAGTTAGATAATTTTTGATCCGGCCAGACAGTGAGTTGATTAGGTTCGTGGTAGGCGGAACAAATCATTTTATAAATACCAGGCACTACCTAGGCATGGGAAAGAATAATGAAGCTTTAGAAAGGATTATGAAATTGAATGTTTTAGTTCTAAAGTTGGTGTCAAGATCGGCATAGTATCAATCAATTATGTAGGAAAGCATAAATAATACCCTATGCATTCAATGAGTTGGAGGGGTAAGTTAGATACCGGGTATGTACCTCCAGGCTGCGAACCACTTATCGTTCTTATCAGAGACAATCCATTAAAATTTTTGATGCGACGACCCAACCCCACCTTGAAAGCTATCAATTTCAAAACAAATAAATCTTTTTTTTTTTTTTCGCTTTTTTTCTCATTACATAGACTAAGCAAATTTTCACATCGTCCAAAGTCGCAAATACGATAGAAATAAACAATCGAGGATAACATCGTTGACCTTAGGTCTTCGATTAAATCCGGTAGAGGTTTTACTTTCGTTAAGTTACCTCATATTTACCTACCTAGTAGCTTATGCTAGATACCTTCGTTAACGCTCACATTCATCCAAGTGATCAGCCTCGACGCTGATCGACATCACCTTTTGCCATGGATCAACAACGACTTGTCGAGTTGCTTCAGGCATCCCAGATACGTATGTTTCAAGTCCTTCCATTTATTCATACCCATCAAGTTTTGAAATATCTTGTACGAAATAAACACGCAATTATGAAAGGGGAGTTATGTACTGACAACGCATCATCTTATAGCCGACACACAAAAAGTTAAGGCGGCAACGGCAGAGTTGCGCAAAAACTTCTATCCCCACCCTGATGCCTTACTCGGCCTCCTTCATGTCATCGTGTCCCATCCCGAGGCAACTGTTCGCATGCTTGCTGCTGTCCAAGCTCTTCGACTTGTTGAGAAGCACTGGGTGAATATTTCAGACGATCAGAAACCTTCGGTTCGCAATGAGCTTCTCCAAGCAATCGTTCGAGAGCAGAATGCGAAGTGCCGTCACGGCCAGTCTCGTGTCATCGCTGCTATCGCCACCTTAGACTTTAGCGATGGGCAGTGGACTGATCTGCTCCCTGCTGTCATGCAACTTACTAACTCTGACGATGTCACTCACCGTGAGGTTGGCTCATATATCATCTTCAGCCTCGTTGAAGCAAACCCCGCTTACTTCGAGGATCACTTGTCAACTTTATTTGAACTCTTCGCTAAGACCATTCGAGATCCCCAGAGTCGCGACGTTAGAATCAACACCATGCAATCCATCAGCGCGACGTTGATGTTAATCGACTCTGATGAGGATGAGCAATCTCTTAACACCATCCAAGAGTTTACCCCCCTCATGGTCGATGTTCTTAAGGATGCCGTTGAGAGTGGGGATGATGAGAAGGTGCAACAATGCTTCGAAGTTTTCCAAACATTTTTGGCATATGATAGCGCCTTGCTCACCCGTTACTTTAAGGACCTGGTACAGTTCATGCTTGATCTAGCTACAAACACGGCAGCAGAAGATGATGTGCGTTCACAAGCCTTAGCTTTCCTCGCACATTGTGTTAGGTACCGCCGTCTAAAGATCCAAGCGATCCCTGACATGGGCGCGCAGCTCATGAAGAAGTCGTTGATGATCCTGTCTGAGTTGTCTGACGACGACGACGACGAAGAGGATAACACACCGGCCAGAAGGGCTTTAGCTGTCATAGACCAGCTTGCCTCAGACTTACCACCGCGTTTAGTCATCGTACCTTTATTAGATGAATTTAAAAACTACGCTACTTCGCCGAATCCCGGGCAGCGCAAGGCCTGCGTACTAGCTCTTGGCACATGTGGTGAAGGTGCCCCAGACTTCGTCTCGACTCAGATATCATCAATCATGCCGCTGGTCCTAAATCTCCTCAAAGACCCAGAACAGAGCGTTCGTCATTCTGCTCTCTTAGGTCTTATCCACCTAGGCGAAGACTTAGCCGATAGCATGTCGGCCTATCACGATGAAATCATGACCGCATTGGTTATGAATTTGGATGCGGCCAGCGGCAACGAGTCTGACGAGAAGAATGCCGAGATAATCCGCTCCGTCTGTGGTGCCATCGAGTCCTTGGCCGAGGGCTTGGGCTCCGAGGTCATGGCTAAGTACAGAGAGAGTATGATTCATCGAATCGGAATTTTCATATCTCATCCGGATCCTAAAGTGAAGTCTTCGGCTGCCGGCGCGCTCGGTGCTATCGCCGCCTCCATCAAGAGTGCGTTTATCCCGTACCTCAAACAGACTATGGAGGCCCTGTCGTCGTACATTATAGCCGAGAGTGGCGAAGAAGAGTTAGCGTTGAGAAGCTCCGTATGCGATGCTATGGGTCGCATGGCCGTCGGAGTCGGCGCTCAAGAATTCAGCCCCTACGTGATGCCGCTACTAGTAGCTAGCGAAAAAGCCCTCCATCTTGGCAATCCCCGCCTCCGCGAGACCACCTTTATACTGTGGAGTCAGCTAGCTACGGTTTATGAAGGAGATCTCGGTGACTCTCTTGCTGGAATCTTCCAGGGCCTGTTCGACTGCCTCGAGCAAGAGGAAGAAGACGAACCTGAAGGCCTGGATGGCCTCATAGACGAGGCCACGAAGAAGGGTAAGGCAAAGGCCTCTGAAGACGCGGAAGAGGAATATGTCGACATCATGGATGACGATGACGACGACGACGATGAGTGGGACGACTTAGTTGGAGTCTCTGCCCAAGCGTTCGAGAAGGAAATTGCCTTGGAGGTTCTCGGTGACGTTATCTACGCTGCCAAGGACAAGAGTGCGCCTTATATCGAAAAGACACTTGAACTCGTAGCTCCATTTGTCGAGCATAGCTACGAGGGGTGTCGAAAGACCGCCATTGGCACCTTGTGGCGGTCGTATGCTTGTGTTTGGGAAGTCATGGAGTCCCAGGCTGGTGTTAAGTGGAAAGCGGGTTTACCCCTTACGTTCGAGCTATCTCCCCACATTGCCAAGCTAGGTGAAATCGTCTCTACCGCCACCATTCACGTATGGGCGGAGGAAGCCGATCGGTATGTCCATTTTCTTTTCTTTTACTCATATCCTTACCCAATTTTAATGATGACTACTATACGTTATACCCAGCTCACTCAGACGCTATATGCGGTTGCTGAGAACACGTAATTGAACTAAATCTGATTTTCACTATTCTTGCCTACTATGTTAACGATGTATCGTAAATAGAATGGATACTAAATTTTGATTAGGGATGTCATAACGGACATTAACCGAAGCGTCGCCTCTACGTTGAAGACCTGCGGGCCGGCGATACTTGGACAGAAGGACTTCCTAGTCCAAGTTACCACCATTCTTAGGCTGATCATTAACCGGCAACACCCTTGCCAGTTGGATGCCGGCGAGGAGGACGAGCAGGACGGGACCCAAGGAAGCTCCGAGTGGGATTGGCTCGTCGTAGACACAGCATTGGACGTCTTGATCGGCCTCGCCTGCGCCCTCGGTCATTCGTTTGCGCAGATCTGGGAGGCCTTTGAGAAGCTCATCGTTAAACTTCTCAGTTCTAACGAAGCTATAGAGCGATCGACTGCTGTCGGTGTCGTGGCTGAGTGCATCTCCTATATGGGCATGGTGGTGACCCCCCACACGTCAACTCTACTACGCCCGCTGCTGCACCGTCTTTCGGACGAGGATAAAGAGACCAAATCAAATGCCGCATATGCAATCGGGCAGCTTGTGTGCCACTCGGACGACGCCAAAACATATCTCCCGGCGTATAATGAGATTCTAAGTAAACTAGAGCCGTTATTACAGATCACGGATGCCCGACTACAGGACAACGCGGCCGGATGCGTATGCCGCATGATAATAGCCCATCCCGACAAGGTTCCGATTGCAGATGTGCTTCCTGTCATCGTCGACTTGCTTCCTCTGAAGGAGGACTTCGAGGAGAACAAGCCGATCTACGAATGCATCCACAAACTCTGTAAGTTCTACATGACTACGCGCACCCAGTTCATCCGTCTTGAATATTTTTCGGTGTTCTCGTGCTAATATCGTGTCTTTAGATTCGATGGAAAATCCCACGGTGCGTGAGCTTACTCCTAAGATTTTGAATATCTTCCGGGGTCTCCTCGAGGCAGATGACGAGCAGCTCGACCCTTATACGAAACAGCTGGTTCTAGATATGATATCTACTCTTTCCGTGTAGGTTAATAGATTTGATATGGTTGTTCAAGGGTGCCTAGGGAAAAAAAAGGACATTACGGCAGATGGGTATGATTAGATGAGTCGTATGAGTCCATGAAGAATAGGAGGCATGGTGGTCATCGGATTTGTATATAAATGATTCCCCCCGATAGTTGATTCCCAAACGTCCCATAGCGGGACTATTACCCTTATCCTCTGCTTGCCGAATATTCTGGCGACAGGCCATAGTGCATGATACCTAATGTTACAAAAAAGGCGTTATTAGTATTTCAAATAGAAGTGAAAGTCTCGTACCTAAGTATTTAAGTGAAAGCAAACAGAAGTAATAGTAGTAAAAGCTCATTCAACATCGACGATATTTAATGCTGTTAAGATTTTTCTACATGCATAGGGTAGGTACTAGGTAGGTAGCTTTGGGCTGATATATGGATGTCTTCCGGAACCCTTTATTTCCGAAGAATAGTAATTGAACCCCTACTAAATTATCGCCACTAGACCTCCCGTCACTAGATTGTTCATGAAGTTTAATCGTTGATGCTACCTAGGTAGATAATATTAAAAGTCGGAGACTAATTTGTCGTCGGTGCTCCTGAGTTGAGTAGGTAGGTTATCTGCTAGTTTCTCATCTTCGAGGTTCTAAATCCTGCCTGCTCTGCATCGAGACCAGCCATGTCTCATTCCAAGAACCACCACTGAGTCAGGGTATGTGATACTACGACTAGACACCTTGCAGATCAGTCTCTTTATGGTGTTCTGTCACCTGTGATCCCACCCTCGGACTATCCGCAGACCAATGAGACTTCACTGCATATGTGGCTAGGTAGGTACTTATGGCATGGTGGCTTTTTTTCGTTGAAGGAGCGCGTGCGCGAGACGATGAGAAGACAAGGTCTCACCAATTCCGACAAAACCCAATGAGCACCATAGATATTACTTAAATCAGTGTTAGTGGTATCAATTTCGCCGTATTCTGCTGTATACCTATTCACGCGTGAGCTCTTTCCGTTGTAGATGTCTCGTTCTTATTTCTCCTGTCTCTCGGGATGTCTTACGAGTATGTAGGTAGGCAGTTACATATAGCGATGAAACGCGTGGTAGGAGGAACTAGGCTTGGAGCGTGGTCAGGACAATGGAGATCTGGCAAGTCGCTTGTGATATGTACCAAGTATGTAATATTATTTACCTGACTACCATCTAGCAACCGAGATTTGGTCGACCAGCCCAAGCGAGACCAGAGTGAAAAAGTCGTGGGCGGCGATTTATGTACGTACCCAAGGTAAGTAACAACCACCATATGTTCTATCGGTTTATTTACAGTCTTCGATGAAATACCTAGGTCGGTGTTATAGAAATGTCACATCTTGTAGAATTAACTAAAATGAACTCAAGAATACCTAAGTGCCTACCTAAGTAGCCTCAAAGAATCACCCACGATAGGACTCCTAATCAACGTGGAGTTCTATAGCGATATTGGTTCCGAGGAGGTTGGTCCAACTCGAATTCGTCTAGTCTTGGGCGAATAGATAAACAATATCAGCCCATCAGCTAACCGGTAGCCAGCCAACGTCTCGTAAGGTTGTCTCGTACCACAATACTACGACCTATCATCCTGGCTTGCTGAGTTAAGTCGGGGAGGTCTAGTCGTGCATTTTGCAGGCGCAATGCAACAATTCCCCCTGCGTGCTGCGTTGATTTTTCTTTGGTTCTTGTTATTTACAATGCAAGTGAGTCTTTTTGACAGGAGCTCTATCCAATAGGTAATTAGGACGGTCCTACGATTACTAGGTAGGCAGTTCATATTACGCCCATTTGTATTGTACGAGCATCGCTGGCCAATAATCTATTATATGGAGGGTTGGGTGAGGTTGCATTTTGGCACATATGAGCGTTCGGAAGCGTCCAGGTTATTATCTCCATAATAATAAACAGTGAAAGAACACACTGTCCAAGGTTTCTACTCTCTATCCTCTGTAGGTACCTTTACTGCTGTATCTACTGCCTTACCCCGGACTGCGGGATGAATCCCCCACTCGTAATTAACACTGTGTTTTTTATCTGTACCTACATAGTATTTTATGTACCTATTTTAAACGGGAAATTTACAAGCAACTTACTTCGCGGTAAGTCGGTGAGGTCGGTTGTCGGTTGGAGTAGACCGGAATATTATCTTCGTGACATTAATACAGGCTGTTATTATTTCGCCGAGTACTGAAAATCAATACACAAATACCAACGTCGATACCATTGTTAGTTGTCCTGACCATCCTGTTTGTAGGATGCGTATAACACGATAAACAAGGAGTAGGATTTGAAACGAAACAATGAGAGATACCAACAAAGATGCAGTCTTTAAGCATCCTTCAAACTCGAGCACTTCTCAGCTTCCCGTCTTCTCAGCAACCCCTGTCCCTTAGCTCACTCGCCCCTGTTTCCCCACCAATACATCACGCCTATGCCGGTGGGTCGCTAGGTAAGGAACGTCATCTCCGATCTGGGTTGCCGTCGTTCGATTGCCGCCGCGGACGGGAAATAGTGATTGGCGCCTGGGATACTGGTTTGCGGGTGGAAGCTTGATTCCAATCCTAGAGAAATGTCAAGTGAGGAGATACGCACTGACCTAGGTAGACGGACTAGGTAGGTCGTTATCTTTTGTCTTTCCCTGACCCGACTCTGTAGATTGTATGTGCATACTACAGTAGATTCTATTATCAAAATACATGTTTCAGATAGAAAGAAAGACTAGCCGTCGTCTAGGATATCTGTAGGACGGATAGGACGGCTACATTTACTCTAGTTGCATCTAAATAGCTTTTTAAGGTCAAAGCAGGAGACGAACCAGAGAACTCTGTACCTGAAAAGGGAACACTACGAAGCTACTGCAACATTGCTGCACGCGTCCGGTAATTCCAGCTTGCGTGCCCCACTTAGTAGCTGGTTCTGAAAGGTGTCACAGCGCGAGGGTACAGCAGTCAGGCGTAGGCTCATGGCAGTAGTCGTGATGGTGTCACATTCGATTCCACAGCACGCTTATAATCTCAAACAAGATGTAGCCACGCTGAAAATAGTGACGCCTGGTTGAAGTGGATTTATGCAACCAAATGACACCCATCTCACTAGGTAGGTGTTTATAATGAGGGGAGTATTGCTCACGGTTGCTTATATTATCCGGTGACATAATTATACCTAGGTATCGTAGGTACGATCTTGACTGGAGAGATACCTAATAGGTACTCAGCACCGAGCCCTTGTAATTTTGTTGCTTCGGCAAAGAAGATCGAAAGGATCAACACTGACCAGCCCGCCAGCTGCATAGATACATACATACCTACCCCAATAGACTCGGTGGAGAGTGCAGAAAAGATAACAGAGCAGAGCACATGCATACACACATACACTTACACATCAGTTACCTGATGATCCTGATCGATATGAAAGTATCCGGCCTCCTCGGCAGCCCTGAATACGTGTACTTGAAATGCTAAAGCAGATAAAAGCGAGGATCGACCGAGCTAACTGACACTTGATGGAAAAACAGGGAAAGTAGCAAAAGCTGTAAAAGCGACCAGCATCTCAAAGGAAATGATTATCAACTTATCAACACGCAAGAAATACCACAGCCAGCACGGCCTAGACCGAGAAGAATTTTTTTGTCAAAGAAAACACCAACTTCAAACATCTAGCCAATTCAGGCAAAACGTGTCGGGTCCAATCATAGATTATGGCATAAAGGTAGCGCCGGTCCTGTCTTAGAAAATAATTATGATACTCGTAATCGAAGGGATACATGAGACGAATAGGTAGGTGTGACAAAGTAGACCTACCTATAGCTACTGTAGGTACCTACCTAGGTATGTATTTACTTATATCACCTACCTTAATATACCTATGCCAAAACTGGTTAGGTGCTTTACTCGCTCTCCCTTGGAAAGGAGTGATATCTGAGCTGTGACCTAAATGTCAACGGCCAGAGAGTGCTTCCGAGTCTCCAAATTAAGTCATAATCATAAGTGTATTTTCAATAATACTACCAAAGACAGTAAGGAGATCGGCTGGCAGCAACCGCGCATTACGTGTAGGGGAGGGTACAAAAAGCCGATCCTCAACGCCTACCTCATCCTGGTTGGAGGAAGTATGATGAGTGAACCGGGGTGACTCCTGCGTACATCTAGTACGTACACCAAGTACATCTGCGGGCTGTTTTGTTTTGGCTCTGCATTAATAAGGTGTGAGTGGGAGACAATGGAACTTCGGATATGCAGCGTGGTAGAGATACCTTAGTCGATGGGTGCGTATGTGAAGGCACGTAAGGCACAGATCAGCGAATCAAGGCTCGGCATACGCATCCTAGGAATCCAAGCTTTGATGAACAGCAACGCAGTCATATAAATCTAGAAGAGAGGTCGCCTTCCCCCTCCCTCCGGTCTTTTTCCCTCTTTCCCTTTTCTTCCCATCCCTTTATTATTTTACACCAGTCTCGTAAGAAGAGTAGGGTGAAGAGGCAAGAGGCGAAAAGTGAGACATTGGAGGCAAAAGTCACTCGCTATTCAAACCGTCTGTACAATATCCAACCTTTTCTCCGAAACCACTGTCGACGTACGGACAGTGCCGATCGCTTAAACCATAAAACAACCTATATCGACAATATGCGATACACACTCGCTCTCGTCTCCGCCCTCCTAGGCGTCGCCACTGCGGCCCCTCAGGGTGTCACGGACAAGCTGACACCTACCGGTGCCGCGCCGGCTGGCTGTACTGGTAGTTTCGACGGCAACTTCGAGATCACCGTCGCCGAAGTCACCGAGAAGCGAAGCATCTCTCAACCGAAGGTAAAGGCACGAAGTTCCGCGACAGGAGCTGACTCTTCCGACTAAGATTCGGGGCACGGAATAGATGGCTAACCCTCGTCGCAGAAGCGTGCTGAGTGTGGTAACGACGGCATTCTCGTATCGACATTGAAGGATGGTAGCATCTTTGACGCCAAGGACCGAACCGGTTATATCGCGTCTAATTACCAGTTCCAATTCGATGCTCCCGCCCAAGCAGGCGCTCTGTACACTAGTGGATTTTCACTCTGCGACAACAACATCCTCGCACTCGGCAGCAACCAGACATTCTACCGATGTCTATCTGGTGATTTCTACAACCTGTACGACCGTAACTGGGCCGCTCAGTGCTCGCCTGTCTCGATCATCGCTGTACCGTGCGGCACGGACGACTCGGCCTCGCAGATTCCCGATGGTCAGGTTGTCGGTACCAGCGTCGTTCAAACTACAATCGTCACCGCTTTACCCGACGGCCAACCGCAAGTCGTCACTACGACGGTCCCCGTTCCCATCTGCCAGATCAGCGATGGTCAGGTTCAACAAGGAAGTACACCGTGCGCCTCGATTACGGCTAGCGCGACCAGCACGTATGTGCCCGTGAGCGAGTACACAGATGGCCAGATTCAAGTAACTCCTCCCGGAAGCGCACCGGCTCCATCGGCCACACCGACTGCTGGTTCGTCCGCACCTTCTGCGCCCTCTGCGCCCGCTCCGTCAGTATCGTCGGGCTCGGCACCTGCACCGAGCAGCAGCGCGGTTGTATCCAGCGCCAGTGCTAGTGCCAGCGCCAGCGCCTCGGCAAGCCCATCTTCGGCAAGCCCCAGTTCGCCAGCAGTGACTTCAGCGCCGCCTCAGAGCGGATCTTCGCGCGTCTCAGTAGGGTCAGTCGGTGCTCTGGTTATCACAGCTATGGTGGCCTTTTTCTACCTGTAAATATAGTTCATCGTCCCCCATTGCTAGGTTCATCATGGAAGACAGGAAAGTAATATGTTGATATTGACGGATAATGGATTGGGAAGGGGAACTAATGCTGGCACGACGAGATGGAATTAATGTGTGAAATGGCTCTGCAATGGAAATGGAAATGAGGAACAACTTGATAATAGGTACCGAAAGCATAGCAGGAGTTGGGAAATAATGCAAAAACTCCAGTTTATACATACATCAATAGCCAAGACTATGTGTTTACCTACCTAGGTAGGTGCCTAGTCTCTTCTATTTTAGAAGCCCCTTATGAACTTCTTGGAACTGGTAGTTGTTAAACTTAAGTGATCTAATTACTACTCTTATGTGTTTGTTATTAAGGTTCACTAGGTCTAGCCTAAATCAAAAGGTTCGATGCTGCCTAGGGTCGGTATCTAGGTACATAGAACCCCCGTCCCGGCACCTATACCCCACTAACCAAGATGACGCGATGCCTACCTGGGTACAGTTAACACCTTAATCTTGGTTAATTCTACTACATGGGAACCTCTCCACACTTACTTCCTTTGCTATCTTCAAGTTTATTCTGTCATTCTTCTACACCTAACCAACCCCATCAGTCGCCATGTCTGAATATTGGAAGTCGACCCCCAAATACTGGTGCAAGCATTGCAGCATCTACGTGCGCGACACCAAATTCGAGCGACAGAACCACGAGGCCACCGGAAAACATCAAGGCGCCCTGAAGCGTTTCCTACGAGATTTACACCGCAATCATGAACAAGGCCAACGGGAAAAGGAGCGCGCTAAACGCGAAGTCGAAAGATTAACTGGTATTGTTAGTTCTGCATCTACCGATAACGTCGCAAGCACCAGCAAAGCCTCTGTCGGTGGCGACGCATCAGCTCCGTCACAACCACCGCCTTCCAGTTCTCAGCGCCAAAAACAATGGGAGCAGCTTGCAGAGATGGGCATTGATATCCCCACCGAGTTGAGAGGTGATATGGCCATGGCTAGCGAATGGACAGTAACAAATACGAGGATTATCAAAGACGCGTTGAACTCGGAGCTAGATACTAAACCAGGCAACGTCGATGCTGTCGCGTCTGGTGTGCGAAAGCGACCGAAGCTTGAGGAGGATGAAGAGGAGGAAGAGAATGCGATAAAGGGCCTATTCAAGAAACCTCGGAAATGGGGTCGCGATACGAAACACGCTCCCGAGACCGACACCGAATTAGATGCGCTCCTCAACGGACCCCTTACGACGATGCTTAAGCCAGAAGAGAAATCGGAAAATGTATCTAAGAACGAGGATCTACCGAATATTAAGAAGGAAGATCATTCGACTTCTCTAGGCATTAAAAAGGAGATAGATGAGGACACAACTCTATTGGATATTAAGCCAAAAGATGTTGGGCGTGTTGAAGGAGTTTCGATTAAGCAAGAAGAAAACACAGCGGCTGAGGCTCCAGCTATCGTCTTCAAAAAGCGGAAACCCAAAAATATTAGACAAAGATAGTATGTTGGATGATGGGCGCCATTCTATTAAACTGTCCCTTGTCTCAATAGACACGACGGCGTATTCGCAGCTTTACGTATCATCAACCAACACCCTATTCTTATACCCTCATCGAAGTGGTATGGTCTAATATATGTGTTGTCATCGGCGTCTACGACGGAGAATTCCAAGTCTATATTCCGCTATCCCTCTAGTCGACGGGATCGGTGGACGATGGTGCTGACGTGAGCTCCATAGAGCGCATCGAATACACCGGTGGCTCTCTAGTATTTCCTCAATTTGCTCACCACCATCAACTTGTTCTCTAAGTTATAAAGAGCTTCTAGGCCAAAATATTTTGCGGTTGTCGAGCTAAAGCAATTTCGCGCCACGATACATCAATAGTCAAATCCAGTACGACTAGAAGCAGATCGAGTTCCAGCTACCGATGAATTGTTCGGAATCCAATGTTCTTGTACATTCAAGGTACACTCGATATCCAACCGGATTCCTCAATCTTCCGCCTCTGCCTCGTCTATTTAGCTAATTAGCTAGATTCAACGCCACATGCATACGCCTCAATCACATATCTACGAATAAGTCATCAAACTAGTCATCTGCTATCATTCGGTGTAGCAAAGGACCTCGAGGATGTGTTCACTAAGGAATAGCCCGTAAGAATTCCTGGTAACCCTAAAACGATAGTGATAATAACCAACCAAATTTAAAGGTGGCAATTAAAATTCCTAAGCCATTTCCATCGAAGGGATGTTATCTATCATTGCCTAGGAGCTAGAACAATCGTCCCTAGTCAGAATCAAAGGTCATGTCAGACTAGAACATGACGTAGCTAGATAAGCCAAGGACAAGGCTCATGAATACCTCTCTATACCTGTGTAAGAAATGTATTGATGGTAGTTGGTGGGTATAGATCTCTCGGTGAACGATAGAAATGCCACCGGGAATGCCGAGATTGCTGCAGCATATACTGCGTTCCGGGCCGCGTACGCTTATCTAGGTATTACAAACTCATTGTGTGCTCTCCATGCAGTACCCGAAGTCACCAATCTAGTGAATCAAACCGAATCTTATCGTATTTACCTACTAGGTAGGTAGGTACCTAGTAGGTATATATCTCTGAAGGAGAATATTGCACCTGGATCTCCAGCATTGGAAAACTTCGAGCCTTAAACTCGGTTTCTTCGATTAGGTTTCACTCGCTACCATATCTACTAAGTACCTGTATGTGTGAACTTCTCTATATTCGGGATTTATCTCCTACTATTTGGGGTGCAGCTTTGACGTGGAGTTGATTTGGTTCGTACAAGATACCTACCTACTTAACATGCATTGCATGGGATCTCGAATACTTAGATGTGAGATTCATAGAATCCATTTGCCGGGATCAACGAATACTGAAATGCAAAAACCTATCTTCATTCTCAGCCGCACCGGACTATAATTTCGGGGTCATCAGTGGCTAGAAGCCTCTGTGAGAATTTAGAATATTCTCTACTTGGCATTTGAGTCAACAGTTGCTGGGAAGATCCTATTGGAAGATGAGGGGCGGAGCTCGTCGTAGACAGCTTAGGGCGACGCTATATATTTGCCTATCGTCAGCAAGGGCTGATATGTCACTATGCCGGTCTTACACTTGTAATCTATAGGACGGGTTGCGAAGCTTCTCCGCTCGGGTGAAATGCTGCGTAATTCTTATAGGGGACACAGACACGGCAGAACAGTTGTCATGAAACGTTGGTCAAGGACATGTTCTGCTTTTTATATTTCTTTTCGGGTATTTGGTCTCCTATAACAAACGACATTCACATTTATCCTTACTAGCATACCACCTCAGCCTACCTACTTACGTATTCTCCCCGCCGCGTTCACAAATAATTCTAGTTTCCTGAGATTATACAGCCCAGGCTCCTTGTGGGGTCAACCTAGGTTCTGAATTTACGTCGAATGAGCTTCGTTGATCATACTTACAGGTATCTACCTAGGTATGTCATTGCGCTTCTAAGGCTTGACTATGATACCTGCGTGGTAAATAGTTATCTGTCTAGCTACTTGATAGAAGTTTCATATATTTCACCGTTCTCACGAAAACACAGATCTTGACATGGCTGATACCAGCGATTCGACTAGTCAACCCATCATCCAGCCTCAACATAGTCAACGATCGGTTGCGAGGAGGCTAGCCTCATCCTCAACATCGACCACCCACCGTAGAATTGGTAGTGACGGCGTTTCTCTTAGTTCAAGATCTCAGATCGATAACTCATCCGTATCCACTCGCCCTGTCTCTCTATTATCCGAATCGCAACAATGGCTTCCAATCATGGGCGCGACTGGGCCGACCAGCTCTCCAATGCCGACTCCGGCAGCGGACTGGCTCGACGAGGGTTGTCCCGGCTCTCAACCATTCACATCGCCAAACCTTACTCCAGAGTTCTCGTCCCAATCCTATCTGAAGGCAGATAGCTTTCAAGGTTTGCCAGCTCCGCCGTCGAAAGGTCCACGGCCCAAGCCAGCTCCGATGCAGTTCGAAGACGTTCCTGTGGACTATTATTCGCCTCCTGGATCCTCCCATACTACGTTCACTCCTCATGGCCGATCTCAGCATAGCCGCACGAGTTCTCGGTCACACCTCCTGAATACGCCTACCTCAACGGCGTGGAGGAGTCCGCGAACGCCGCCGCCTTACTCCACAGTGGTCCCACAGGCTAGGAAATGGTGGCATTGGCGGCCGGTATGGTCCATGTACCTGACATTCCTCTTCGGCATAGCCTGTGCAGTTGGCCACCATATATTTTATAAGACGCTAAACGGAAAGCCGGCTGATGCTCAAATCACGATGCTTCGGTACGGCACGATCCTGTCTTTCGCATCCAAAGCCGGCCTAGTAGCAGCCATAGTCATTGCCTTCAAACAGCGCATATGGACCACGGTAAGGAACAAGTTCCTCAGCGTAGCGGCTTTAGATTCCCTATTTGCCGCGACAGAGGATATGTCGGCATTATTCAACACCGAGGTCTATCAGCGGGCCAAGATCGCCATGGTCTTGGCGATATTCGTCTGGCTGACGCCTATCATGATTATACTGACTAGCAATACCTTAACAGTAAGGCTGGTTCTACGGGCAGACAACACGACATGCCCTGGCATCCGAACCCTAAACTTTACGCGGGACGAACTCGAGGTGACTTGGCACTCTCTGTCGACGTTAGTATTATCTAACAAGTTTATAGGAATGGAGAACTCCTACCAGGATCGAAGGCTTATATGGGAAATCTTTGTCGCTGTGGAACACGACGAGCTTGGATACTGCTTCGTCGGACTGGTTCGACTACTATACCGGTTCAAGCAACCCCTTGATTCGTGTAGCAACCCAGGCGGCTTTTATGGGACAACCAATCGGGAGAACGGGCGCTGATATCGACATCTGCGGTTCTGGGTGGAACTGTTCCTTCACAATTAATTTTACGGCACCTGCGTACGAGTGTTCCGAACTAGCGAGCGGCGTCGGTTCTGATGTAAAGTCGCTCGGTAAGCAGATCCCACCGGACGGCTTCGATACTAAACTGCTAGTTCCCGAAGGTAACTATAGCTACTATGCCTTTACGGGCGGCGGTGACTATGCCACCCCACAGATGAATATGACCATGCCCGGCGGCATTCCAACTATTCAGCCTCCATTTCCAGAAACCTTGGGCGCGTTTCGTACGGAACCGGCCATCTGGGTCGGATACTCAGTAATCTCTAATCCAAACGAGGCAATACCTCTCAATAGCTCATATCCGGGCTGGAACGAATCATTTATCCCTAAAATCCTCGGATGCGAGCATTATGAGGCCCATTATACTGTCCTATTCAATCTGATTGGCGGTCGGCAGTTCACGAACGTAACGAAACGTACGTTGTTGCGTCGTGTTATGGAGTAAGTGAATATCTTCGAATAGGAGCGCTTCGCCGCTTAATAAGATTATCTAAACGTGACTCGATTGGGTCGGGTTCAAACACCCAGCGTCCGAATCACGGTGCAAATTCACCCCAAGCAGATGGAGCAACACTGATAGGCGCTAGCACAACCTGGATCCAAGGCGAAGATGCGAACGACGGCACGAATGACAACACCACAGCGCTCCCGAAGAGCGGTTACGTCTACCCGAAAGATGTTCGCCACTATAGACGGGTGGCGGCGTACCACGCGATGGGCACGCAACTGCGGAGCTTTCTAGAGGGAACGATCGACTCACACCAAGTCAATACCCCGATAGAGAACACGAAGGCGGAGCAAACAACGCTGGTGAACCAGACGCAAGACATCTTTCCATCGACGAATCTCCTGAAGTTGATACCGGCGCTGTACGAGGACATGATACTGTCGATGCTTTCCGACCAACAGTTCGTGAGCGTCGTGTGGGCGGCCAAGCCAGACGAGAGCTCCGGGGCAGCCGCGGGAAACGAGTCGACGAGATATCCATGCACGAGGTCTCGGCTGGAGAACGTATACGACTATCACGAGCGAGACCTGTGGATTGTTTACAGCCTCGCGATCTTATTAGCCATGGTAGGGATGGTGCTAGGCACACTAGCGATATTGGAAAATGAGTGGGTGCTGCGCAGCACCCGATTTTCGAGCATCGTGGCGGCGACGCGTGGGCCGGCGCTAGAGAAGCTGGGGTGGATCGGAGACGATGATAGGGGTGACTTGCCGCGGGATGTTAAAAATCTCAAGGTAGGTTACGGGATCGTCCATCGAGCAAGCGGGCTCGGCGTTTTACAGGAGCATACGGGATACAACGAAAGAGTAGTATGGGACGGCGGGGACGTGCGTTACGGCTTCGGATTGGAAGGCGACGTCCGGCAACCAAGGAGCCAGACGAGGAGGGAGGATAGCTAATCCCAACAAAGGTAAACCGTAATACGTACTGGTATCTAATGCATACCTATCTGCAGGACTGGGGGACTTCGAGCGGGATTCCAAGCGGGAGTTCTTGAGGTTATTCGCATATTAGTAGTACTTACCTAGTAGTTAATCCGTTTTATCCATTAACTTTGTAATTCTTCTTAATTAACGTAAGCAAATTTATCTCAGGTGGCCTCAGACTAGTTACCGCGCTGTGGCTTATTTGTGGCTTAAGGGTGGCTCGAGCTTTTGTATAAATGGGGCTGGAAACTCGAACGCGCGGTTGACTAGTTTGAGGCTTGCTTGCGCAAAAATACGCATGGTTCATTAAGTTCTTATAGTAATAATAATATTAGTATTTTTAAAAGCTTTAAAATTATAATAAAAACACTTCGATATAACTTTAAAAATATATTTTAAACGTAAAATTTAATTTAATTATTTTTTATAGTTAATTTTTTAATTTTTAAAATTTATTTTTTTTAAATATAAAAACGTTTTAAAAAAAAAATCGAGTTATATATTATTAAATAAATTATTTTATATTTTTATATATATATTTTATATAATTTTATTAATTCGCGTTATACGCCGCGTTATTTTATTAAAATAAAAAATATTATTATTAAAATTAATATAATATAATTTATATTTAAGTTTTAAAATATTTATAAATCGTTACGTAATTAATTTAATTACGAATAAATTATTTTATTATTATTATTAAATAAATAAAAAAATCGGAAAAATTTTAACTTAATTATATTTTAAATTACGTGTTATAAAAAATATAAAATAAAAATAAAAAGTTTTAATTAATCGAAAAAAAAGTATAATAAAAAAATATAATAATTTTTATAACGTACGTAAATTAAAATTATTTAAAATAAAAATAAATTATAAATTAAAAATTTTTTTTATATTAAATTAATTTTTTTTATTAAATATATATTAAATAAATATTATTTAATTTTTATTTAATAAATATTTAAGTTTTAAAAATATATATTAATTATTTTATTTTAAGTAATTTTAATTTACGTACGTTATAAAAATTATTATATTTTCCCGTTATATTTTTTTTTCGATTAATTAAAACTTTTTATTTTTATTTTATACTTTTTATAATACGTAATTTAAAATATAATTAAATTAAAACTTTTCCGATTTTTTTATTTATTTAATAATAATAATAAAATAATTTATTCGTAATTAAATTAATTACGTAACGATTTATAAATATTTTAAAACTTAAATATAAATCGTATTATATTAATTTTAATAATAATATTTTTTATTTTAATAAAATAATATAACGTATAACGCGAATTAATAAAATTATATAAAATATATATATAAAAATATAAAATAATTTATTTAATAACATGTAACTTAATTTTTTTTTAAAACGTTTTCGTATTTAAAAAAAATAAATTTTAAAAGTTAAAAAATTAATTACGAAAAATAATTAAATTAAATTTTATATTTAAAATATATTTTTAAAATTATATCGAAATATTTTTATTATAATTTTAAAGTTTTTAAAAATATTAATATTATTATTATTATAAAAATTTAATAAATTATACGTATTTTTACGTAAATAAACTTTAAATTAATTAACCGCGCGTTCGAATTTTTAATTTTATTTATATAAAAATTCGAATTATTTTTAAATTATAAATAAATTATAACGCGGTAATTAATTTAAAACCATTTAAAATAATAATTATCGTATTATTATTAACGTTATTTTTATTTAATATTTTAATTAAATTAATTAAATTTTTTTTATTAATAATTATTTTATAATTTATTTTAAAATTATATAAAATACGTATTTTATATTAAAATATTTATATAATATATTATTTTTATAAAATATATATTATTAAATATAATTTATTAAAATCGAAATATTTATATTTCGAATATAATTAATTATTTAATTTTATTATATATTTTAAATAATTTTAATTATAATTAATAATATATTAATTATTAATTTTTTTTTATTTAAATTAAATTTTTTATAAATATTAATTTTTATAATATATATAATATTATTAATTATACGTTTTTAATTTATTATAAATTCGTTTAATATATTAATAAAATTAATAATAAAATTTAATTTAATTTAATTTCGATTAAAATTTTTATTATATTTATTTTTTTATTATTATTATTATAAAAAATAATTTAATATATTTTAATATTTAATTTTGAGAAACCCTGGCCGCGCAGTATGGGTACATCGTCGGATCCGCGCAGTAGCGCTAATTCGAAAGAGGTATAGCTTGAGGGTACTTCTGTCGCCATACAAACTGATATACGGGAAGATGTATCTTTTCGCACAATGTATCTTTTTGGAACACCTAAGTCTCCGACCAGTTTCAATCAATTGTTGCTCCTTCAATACGACGTCAAAAGCTTGATAATTACAATCAATTGAAAGCTCTTAATCGAAACTACAATCAGGTAAGTTTGCATCTCTTCAATCCCTAGTGACGTCACAAAAAGTCAGTTTGAACCTGGAGGCGCTACAAGACTCCGACCGGAGACCTTGGAATTTTATCCCTCTGCCCGAATCTTTTCAATCCCAAATAGCTCTTCAAGCCTGATAGATACAAACCTGCAACCTGATTCATTCGAAAGCGCTTTGTAAGAGCTATTGAATGATTGTAATTATAGTAAATTTGAAGCGTTGGTGAAGGAGAAATAATTGATCAAAGTGGATTGAAGGGAGTTGGGGCGTTCTGGGTACCTTTCGAATGCGCTAGCGCGGATTTTAGCGTTACTGCGCGGATCAGCCGATGTACCCATACTGCGCGGCCAGGGTTTCTCTTAATTTTTATATATATTTATTATTTATTAAAAATTTTTAATTATTTTTATATTATTTAATTATATTTTTATTATAAATAAATATTATAATTATTATTTACGAATTTATTTTATTTTAAATATTAAAAATATTAATAAATTATATTATAATTATTATTTTAATAAAATAAATTTTTAAATTATTAATTTATTTTATTATTTAAATAATTATCGCGTTTATTAATATATATTCGTTAATTAAATTAAATTAAATCGTTAATTTTAAAAAATTCGAATTTTAATATTATCGTTATTAATTTATATTAATAAATCGTAAAAATATTTTATTAATATTAAATTTATTAAAATAATTTTAATTAATAAATTATTTTTTAATATATATAATATTATTTTTTTTTTCGAAATTATTTAATAATTATATTTAATTTATAAATTATTTAATTAAAATATAATTAATAATTTTTTTTAAACGAAATTTATAATAATTATTTAATTAAAATATATTAAATTATTATAATAATTAAAAAAATCGTTATTATATTTAATATATTTAAAAATTTAACTTTTAATTAATTAATTAACGTTTTAATTTAATTATTAAATTTAATTTATTATTATTAAAAAATAATTAACGTTAATAAAATTAAATTAATTACGAAAAATTATATTAATATTTTAATTTTTATTATTAAAAATTTTATAAATTTTAATAATTATTTAAAAATATTAAAATTTTATATAAATACGTATAAAATTATAAAATTCATTTATAAATTTTTAATCGAAAATTTTAAACTTTTTTATTATTAAACGGTTTTTTACGTTTTTTATAATTTATAATTATTAATAAAAAATATATTAAACTTAATAAATAATTTTTAATTTTTATAATTATTTTTTTATTATTTTTACGATTTTTTTTAATTTTTATTTTATATAATTAAAAATTTTAAAAACGTATTTATAATAACGTTTTATTTATATATATTATTTTTAAAACCGTAAAATTATAATATTTTTTTTTTTAAATTAAATAATAAAAAATTTATTAAAAATATAAAAATTTAATTTTATTAATTATTATTAAATAAAATATTTAATATTATTATATTAAATTAATTTTAAAAATAAAATAAACGTTATAATATTAATATATTTAAATTAACGTATAATAAAAAAAATTTATTTTAAAAAAATTTATAAATAATTATAATAAATTAATTATTATATTAAATTAAATTATTAATAATTAAAATTTTTAATATAATTTTAAAATTTTTTTTAATATTATATATTTTATATATAAAATTATCGTTATATTTAAATTTAATTAATTATATATAAATTAAATAATTAATCGTTAAAATTAAATTTCAAATAAATAAATTTTATTAAAAAAAAACTTAATATAATTTAATTACGTTAATTTTATTATATTATAAATTATTTTACGAAAAAAAAAATTAATTAAATTTTAATAATAAATTAAATAATTTAATTTTTTAATTATAAAATTTTAAATATTTTTTTTTTTAAATTTATAAAAATATTATTATTTAATTTAAAAAGAGCAATGCTAGCCGCGCAGTATGGGGTTCGGCTAAGTTCCCGCGCAGTAGCGCTAAAATAGCGCGTTCGAAAGAGTACCTTTTTGCCCATACAAACTGCCATACAACGCCTTGTACCCTTAAAATAAGCTTTTCGCGCTATTTCTCCTTAGCTCAATTGAACTTGTACACTTTCCGAAAAGTCCACACCTCACTTTTCTCTTGTATCAACCTATCTTCAACGTCCTTTTCTCAATTCAGTTTTCAATTGAAACTTTCGAAACTGATTTCATCGAAAGCTGTTGGACCAGTCTATCTGCAGGTCAAGTCTTCAATCAATTGAAGACGAGTTTGACTTGAAAAGCTGGATCGAAAATGGTGTCTACTTCTAGGTTCTGGCTGTTGATCCTATTGCCCTCAGTGCGATCAGACTTAGATTCAACGATGCAACACCCCCTTTTGATCCGATCGAGATGCAACCGGGTTCATTCAATTCGTCTTTTCGATGCGACTACGGCAATTGTAATTATTAAGGATTTGAACCTGGATTGATCGAGAAACAATTGATTCAAAGTTAGGTTGGGGAAAAAAGTTACAAGTGCCAGAATAAGGTTCGAGACTAAAACAGGTACATGTTTTCCCATATAAATCAGTATGGGACAAAATGTACACCGTTCTTCGGCATTTCTTTTATCCGATACTGCGCGGGAAATTAGCCGAACCCCATACTGCGCGGCTAGCATTGCTCTTTAAAAAATATTCGTTATTTAATTAAATATATATAATTTAATTAAATTTTAATTAATTTCGAAATTAATATAATAAATTCGTTTTTTATTTAATAATTTATTAAAATTTTCGAAAATTAATTAAATTTTAATATTAAATAAAAAATACGAGATTTTTTTTAATTAAATTAATTATTAAATTATATTTAATAATTAATAATTTAATTTTTTTTAAACGATTTTTTTCGGCATTAAATTTTATTTATAATAATAATTATAATAAATTAAACGTTAAAATAATTAATAAATTAATATTTATATATATAAATTATTAAATTATCGAATAATTAAGTTATAAAAATTAAAATATAATTATTAAAAAAAATAAAAAATAATTAAAAAATTAAATTTTTAATCGTATAATAAATAATAATAAAAAAATTTAAAATAAAATTTTTAAATTTATATAATTAAAAAAATAAAACTTAAAAAATATTTTATAAATATAAAAATTACATTTAATTTTAAATATATAAAATATTTTAATTAAATATTAATAAATATTTTTAATTTCGAAAAATACGTGTTTTATTTAAAACACTTTATTATATATTAATAATATTATAAAATACGATATAGTATTTTTAAATGTGCAACCTTAATTTACTTACTTATGTATAAGCAGTATACATTAACATAAAAGTTTATGTGTAAAGATGGATGGATGGATGGATATCCTCCTCGTACATAGTAGCTCCTGCGGTCCCCCGACTGCCCACCTAATACCTACCTAGGTACCTAGTAGATATTCTAACAGAATAGACAGAATAGACAGAATAGGGAAAGTCGGTGTGTGTCTTCCCCTCTTAGATGGAATAGGACGGCTAGCCACATTGTGGCGCCAGCCAAAGCCCAAAATGACATAATTACCGCATTACTGAAGCAGCGAGCATACTTCGTACATACCGGGCACATAAAATAAATGGTCCGAACGGACAGACGGGTCATACAACCTTGAAAATTCTCCAAAATTTCCAGACCAGATCTTACTTTCAGGTCAGGGGACTTGCATGTTCTGCGGTGAACCTGGATATATGCCATGCATTACAACATTTTGCAGCATTTGAAACAGACACGAATCTCCTCTACCTACCTACCTACCTACCTACCTACCTACTTATACATATGTTCATCTCGCCAGCGCGCAGAGACCCAGAGACCCAGCAGCCAGATTTTCTTGGCTCGCAAGTGCAGAACCTGAGCTGTCCTAGTTTTCAGGTACGGACGTTTTCGTGATCTCCAACTCTTAAAACTTATGATCGTCATGGCGGTGGACGAAAGTAGGAGCCAGCAAGTCCAAAACCACCGCATCACAGGCGATCAATCGGATTAATAGGCCAACGAACCTTCATGACTAGAGGGATGTTACGAAGTGGATCAAGCCACTCACCTCACTACACTACAATGGAACTAGTCTCTGTCTGCTAGTTAACATTTACAGTGTATGTAGGTATTAGTAGTTGGTATGACTAGGCATGACGATAAGGGGTCCAGCCTTAGATTTTTTTCCGCGGGCATCTCCCGTCGTCCCGTCAGAGCCGCTCCCATCCCATGCTCATCAAGCCCCCCCGTCGGCGGGAGGGGGAATCGTTGGCTTGATTGAGCGATTGAGCGATTGGGCGGTCACGATAGCCGCCACTTGTCTCCATTCAAAGCCTGCATTTCTTCGCCAGATTGCTTATTATTACCAGAAGCCAAGCAAATGAGCGCTGCCCGATCGCCGTCGATCAGCAGCCATTCACTCCTCTTCCTACTACGCACAATACCTAGACTGCCAAAGATACCTAGCTAGGTAGGTAGCACCGTAGCAACGAGGCGAACGCGCTGAGCACGTTGGCGTAACTACAACCTGGACTAGCTAGATCGTCCCTGAACTTGATCAATTGGCATTCGGCGCGTACCCAATTCGTCTCTGGTCTTTACTAGCCTCTCGTTTTGGTCGTGATCCTATCTTGCCTTGCTCTCTACAAGATATAAACTTAGGTACATATACGATTTCCTTTTTCGGTTTATAGGCGGCCTCCAACGCTTTACGATCCGAACCACTGGGATTTAGAAAGCGGCCGCAGACGGTACGCTGTTTTGTTTGCGCAGATGCGGTGTAATGTGAACTAAACCGGGTCTTCGAATAAGAAGAATACATCATATTGCATATTAACCTCGCCTGTTTCTCTTGCGCCTCGCGGTCACTAGAAGGCCATCAACGACGTGGTGCGGCCGAAGCGCTGCAGGCACGCCTGATCTACTTCTCCTCCCCTACCCAGTTAGCCAGCCAATCACCAACATTTGCTGCACCTGTTCTCCGAGACCGATGGCTCGGATGCGCTGTTGGCCCTCGTGTGGATTCTCACTACCCCGGGCGTTTCCCGTTCTCCTTTCTCGATATATATAGGTATCTTTCCTATACTACCTAATAGGTAGGTACCTTATAATATTTGGTTCGTCGGCTTCTCATACTGTATGTGCATAAACATGAGATAGATTTGAAAATTATCATTTCCCATAAGAAGAGTCATCGCGTACGTCTACGTTAGACCTCCCATTTCCACTTTATTACCCCCGTCGATGTTCAGTGATCCCTTCACCGCTGCGTGTTGTTGTCCTGACAGACGAATGACAACCGTGCTGGCTGGCTAGCCGGTTGCGCTCCCGCCTCTTACTTTTTCCCGCTACTTCATAAGTAACTAAGAAACACACACTTCTTCCTCCTTCTTGTCTCGCTCGCTTGCTCCCAAGTTTGCGAGGAAGATAAGTACATTACTGCAATCATGCCAGTGGAGATAGTCACCATAGTGAACTCTTCGGGGAAGATAATTAGCAATGTAAGTTAAGGTCGTCGGTTTTCCTAATTTCTAGCTTTATATCTCACATCTACTTCTACAACTCTTATTCCCGGCGCTACATCTACGGTATGGGTGTATCTCCACAGACGCCCCGCACAAAATATCGCTCCGCAGCCAAGCCCAGCTCTTCAAGCGAAGTCCGTATTTGTTGAATGTTCACAGCCTAATAATCGTTGCTTTTTCACAGGGTAGACACCTGTTAAACGTTCTAAAGGAGGCGAAGGCCTCTTACCAAGAGAAGAAAGCTGCTATCAAAGCAGAGCGTGCCGTCAAGCGCAGCGAGACTTTTGACGTGCCGCCTTCGCCGCGCTATTACGATGAAGTCGAATACGGTGACTGGCCTCGGCGGGCATCCCACGACGATGCCGCTTCCCAAGCGACATCTCGTAGGAGCTACGGATCTAAGAGATCTAAACAACGGTCCGCGTCGCAGACGAGACCGGCATTGACCGAGCGCAACCTCCAAACTCATAGCGAAGTCTCATCAACAGCTCCTTCGCGCCCCCCCGTTACCTATCGTTCACCATATGCGGAAACCGCCGGGAGAGATATGACATTGAGTCGTCCTACTCTGGCGCACGCGCCAACTATGCCCATCTACATCGACGAGCCTTCTATCGCGCCCTCGATGCACACTGTGACCGTGCCTCGATCGATTTCGGATCCGGCCTTGAGGGAGAAACGAAAGGAGATAGATATGGATCTGGCGTACGGAAATGTCCCTCCAGACCTAGAGGAGAGGATCGACCTAGATCCCGTCCACAAGGCCGCCCAGAAGGAGCGCAACGCGCTGGACTTGATTGGAAAGATAGAAAAGCTGCTTACGGAGGCCCAATGTTTACATCACACGGCGACTCACATCATCCAACACCTACAGGGGAATCCCGACGCTGCCGCCGCCGTCGCTCTCACACTCGCCGAACTATCTGCGCTACTAGGAAAGATGTCACCCTCTTTCTTATCTGTCCTCAAAGGCGGCAGTCCCGCGATCTTTGCCCTTCTCGCGAGCCCTCAGTTCCTAATCGCCGCAGGCGTGACGGTCGGGGTTACGGTTGTCATGTTCGGAGGCTGGAAGATCGTCAAGCGCGTCTCGGAGGCAGAGCCAATGGCCGCTACCCCGATGGCTTTCCCAGCATATCAGCCAGGCCCTGACGAAGCCGGTCGACACTATCCGGAGTCGGAAATAAGCGCCGGCTTTGACGAGGCTCTCGTCATCGAGGAGGAGTTGAGCAGTATCGAGAATTGGCGCCGAGGTATCACGCCGTTTGGCGAGGATGCGCAAGCCGACCTCGAGCTTATCAGCCCCGAAGCTGATCGCGCAATGCGCAATCAGTACGGTGGCGATGATACCCGCAGCGTTCGCACGACTAAGACTAGCCGAACAACAAAAACAAACAGGACAAGTAAAACGGCTAAAACGAGCAAGACGCATAAGAGCCGAAGGGATAGTACTGGAGATGGTCACACCGAGAAGGGGGCTGATAACGCAAGCGAGGCGGGAAGCCACCGGAGTCATCGGACCACCCAAAGTCACCGAAGTCATCGTACCGACAGAACCGATCGCACTACCAAATCCAAGCGACCTGAGAAGGTAGAAATTAAGGCGATCGATGACGGTCGTAGTGACCGGGATAACTCCATAAACGTGGTACTCCGCCCTAAAAAGGACAACATGCTCAAGTCCTTATTTAAGAAGAAGAAGGACCGGGAAGAAAAAGAGCGGGTTTACTCGGTGGTTCGGTAGTCATATGAAGTTCGATTCCTTTTCTTTCTACCTATACATTACAACAATAAGGGGGGTACCAGGCTCGAAGACATGTCAATTCATTATATGGGAGTTTTAGGGGACAACGTTTGAACGGGGCATGATGCATCTAGTGAGCGACCTCGCTGTGCAGGATCTGTTTATTAAAGGCGAAGACAATGTAAAGGGTGTCGTCAAGGTGTATGAATGGTATATTTCGAGTTTATAGCATCTAAGCATCGGCCGACGAACAACAATAAAGAAGTATATGTCTCACATGAACTTGACTGACAATATTGAATAAAAGCACCGCCTATCTACCTACTAGGTACTAGGGTATCTACCCTGGTACCTTATGTTGGCATCTATAGATATATTTTCACTTCGAAGCCTGTCAGTTAAATGTGTCTGCCATTTCTACAATACCCAGCCCACCACCTACCTACCTATTACCTAAGTAGATGTCTAGGTAGGACTTCTGACATATAATTATGTGTATAATACCTACCTAGCTAGATACCTACTAGGTATATACATAACCTTGGAAACTACGTGATTTAAGTGGTAGGTACTTTTATCTTAATTCTATACATAGCACACATTTTTCAGCTCTCTTCCAGCTATTCAAAAGTCGTTATCCCCGGAGCGTAGCTTCCAGTCATCATTTGTCTTGGTATAGAAGCGATGGATCGCTTGCATATCAGGTACCTACCTGCCTAGTCAGCTAGTATATTACGTGTATGATGGTTCTCCTCATTTCTGCAGGTTCAAAGCGCTGTAGTCCTACAAATTCTACAAGTAGAGAGAGTCCTAGAGGTTAAACTTTCGAAATTTCTTGTTCCTTAAGTGTTCTAGACCCAACGTTTCAGATGATTGCTCCATCACTTTCTTCAGCTAAATTATGTGGAGGCGGGAAGAAATCCACATGATTCGTATTCCTAGAAATTACTATACGTACTGTCTGCATACATTCCTCTTCGTGTGTTTTAAGGCCTTGATTCTCACAATCCTGTTAGCTCGAGGTGATAATTTCAGTATATCCTAATGAATCTTCATTCTGACTTGACCTTTGACAACGTAGACTTTGAATCGGGTTGAAACTGCTCGGGCACAGGACGGAAGTATCGAACAAAATACCACCTTATGATACAAAATACCAGCTACATTAGATCCCCCTGCGCTGCCAAGGTCCTATTCTAAGAACCATGATCTGTGGAAATTCCACGTCGGCTAGCGACCTCTGATTCGTCAATTATTCTACGAGTTCTCCTCTAATTGGCCTTCTCGAAAACCTCTTCCTGTTTCAATCGACTCCACTATAGTATTAGTGGTAGTTATGCAGCTACAATGTACAGTATGAAGGACCCTTACAGGGTCTTGCACAGCATACCGTCCGAAAACTTCGACAGCATCTTTTAGGCTGACGGCCCCCAATGTTGAACCAGATATTTAAAACTTGCCCATCCCCTGATGCGCAAAGAGTGGATTCGGCAGGGAGTTTGTTCTAGGTCTCTTGTCATGAAGCTGCTCTCTTTCCGCCCTTGATCCCCAATCTCAAACCTTCGTCGACATTACGCCTCTTCTTTCATTCATTTTCACTTTGGCAGGTTCCAATTCGCAGTCTTTGTGGACGAGATAACGTTATAACGTCACAACGTTATATCGTGATCCTGTCGATTGCCGAGGCGCGTACCAATCGCTGTTTTTCGTAGATTCTCCAGGAATTACGCAATACTAGTCGCTGTCGATCGCAGCTTTGACTTCCGAGCTCTCCACTCGTTTCCACGTTTGCTCGCTCCAGCTCATCTCAGAATGTCTGAAGACTCGGGCATCACGATTAACACAAACCACAATGGCGATCAGGGACATCACGTTCCTATCGACCAGAAGGGTTCGCACGTCGTCAACGAAGAGGAATACCCCATGTCACCACGGCGACAAACGGCAACGCCGAATCCCTTCAGCAGAAGAAACACGACGATGGATATAGATGACTATTTTGTGAGATTCCCACTCCCACTCCCGCTCCTAACCCCGCTAGTTTGTCGTGACTGCTAACCTTTTCTCCGATAGACGGGACCTCGCGATCTATCCAAGCATTCAAAATGGCCTCTATTCATGCAGATGCACGGCAGCATTCTCCCCAAAATGATCGTTCCGCTACTCGTCGTAGCTACCTGGGCAACTACTGTAACCGTTATATCAAAGCTGGTCCCAAACGTCAATTTGGGAATTAGTTCTATCCTGCTTACCATCACCGGTTTCGTCGTGGGCTTGGGCTTGTCTTTCCGTAGTTCGACTGCGTATGAGCGATACGCGGAGGGCAGGAAGTATTGGAGTCAGTTGATATTTACTAGTCAGGCGCTCGGAAGGGTGTTTTGGCTGAATGCTATCGAACGCGAGGGTACTAAGAAGGAGGACCTCCTAGCAAAATTGTAAGACCTCTTCACCTATTCCCAATTCACATCGGTTACCTAATCAAGGTCAGGACCGCCATGAACCTGATCGTGGCCTTCGCCGCAAGTATAAAGCATAAGCTTCGGTTCGAACCTTACACGTACTATGAAGACCTCGTGGACTTGGTCGATCATATTGATACTTTTGCCAAGTCCGCTACCGAGGAGCACGAGATGAGACCGAAGCCCGGGCTATTCAAGGCGATCGGAGAAAATTTAGGATTATCATTCGCGGCGTCCAACCCGCGGAAGCTGATGAAGAAAGCTCAAACCCCTCTCGGCAATCTTCCACTCGAGATCCTCTGTTACTTGACGGCTTATGTAGACGAACTCGCTACCGGCGGACAGCTACCTGTTGGAATGCAACAGACCGTCGCTTGTAAGTTTCCTAGGTTCGATTCCATCGTGTGCGCGAACCTGCTGACAGCTCCTCTGCAGATAACAGTCTCCAAGCATTAAACGACGTCATGGTCAACACGGAGCGTATCCTTAACACGCCTCTCCCCGTCGCCTACGCCATCGCCATCTCTCAGATTACCTGGCTTTACGTATTTCTCCTCCCGTTCCAACTACTCCTAGAGCTCGGCTGGATTACGATCCCGGCTACCGTCGCGGCGTCTTATATCATCCTCGGCATCTTCTTCATCGGGCACGAGATCGAGAATCCCTTCGGCAACGATGTCAACGATTTGCCCCTAGAGCTCTTCTGCCAGCAGATCGTAGAGGATATGGAAACCATCGCAGCGCGCCCCAAGCCGCGTGTATCGGAATGGGTCGACAACCCGAGGAACAAGGTCTTGTATCCCCATAGCGAGTCAACCTATGACGTATGGGTACAGCGGCCGGAGTCGGCGATCCGTAATGCGTTAAGAAATAGGCCGCACGCAGGATTTGACAAAGCGGAAAACAGCTCGAAGGGAAATCAGAGCGTATGAGTCCTCCATATTAATCTTCTCCGTCGACGGCATTCCCCATTCTATTTTCTTTGTTTCTAGTTTTCTTCGTAACTATTTCTGGCTTGAAATATCATATGGCAGAGGGTATTCAAATATGTTTTTATAATCGTTGATCGGACAGGGCAAAAAAAAATGAGACTCCGGCGGTATATTGATTTTTGTCGTTAGGTTTAGCGGGACTGCATTAAAAGTACTACCTGTATATACCTTAGGTACCTATCTAGAGGTAGGTATAAGATAAATACTAGGTACATAAAGTTTATTTACAAGGTACCTATTATGTAGTTCTGTTGTTGTTTGTGGGATTCATGCTGCTATCGTGAATGAACCCCGCTAACATTTTATTAGTTCAGTTCATATTAACCTTGGAAACCTTCAGTATAAACCCGTGGATTTTAGTAGGTACAATACTAGGTGTAGTTAGGAAGTACTTAGTAGGTACCAGTACCTACCCCCAATAAAATATTATGGCATGTCTTCATCACGATCTATCACAATTTATCTCTATCACGAATCAAACATACCACCAACTCATTAGTAGGCGTATGATTTGCCACCACTCTGGAATGTATCATGGCACACTCTTTTGTAGTGTCCCATCTGCAATCTTTCCTCGGCGCTCTTTAATACGATTTCCTTCAATCCACTCCAAATATTTGTTTCGCCGGAATCGCAGCATGGATTCAAATGATGCAACGAACGGAAAAGATAGGCTGAAGAGGCGATCTGTCGCCGGGTCATTTCTCTTCAAAATCCCCGACGGTCTTGACAAGCCAGTTCAAGTCGCCCTGTTCAGACGTAGTGGAAAGGTTAGCACCTACCAACATAAACTGGCGCCTATATCTGGTAGTGTCGAAAAGAACGACGCAAGCCCATATGCTACAGCGTTGCGGGAGATCAACGAGGAGACTGGTCTCACTCTCTCTTCGATCGAACTTCTTCGAGTTGGCAAGCCTTACACCTTTATCGATGAATCTATCGGTCGTGAGTGGACTATTAACCCCTTCGGCTTCCGCCTTAAAGAAAAGATCGAAGGAGGCAAAGGTGAAGATGGAATCACAATCGACTGGGAGCACGATGGATTTCAATGGTTTGACCCTTTACAAGTAAGGGAATCGGACGAATTTGGTGGCGTGCCAAAACTCGTAAATAGCCTGCGTAGGGTATGGCCCGAGTATGATCTAGGACGCCACGCGGGTAAGGCCTTCACATTCGGCTTACAGAGGCTACGGGACGATCACGAAAGTGGCGCTAGGCAGCTCGCCGAAAAAGCACTTTCTATCCTAAAAACTCTGATCTTGGAAATGAAACCCGACGTTATCGATGATACCTGGTGGGCGAATGTTCGGATGGCCGCGTGGCATATTTGCAAGGCCCGCGAGAGTATGGGCGCCGCAATTACAACTGCCATCGTCAAAGCCCTCGATCAGATCGAGGCCGTGATTAATCAAGATATTCCGCCACCAGAAAAGCTCCGGCAGATGATCGAATCTATTGATGACCAGCTGACCCGGCGTAAGTCCACGACCGACTATATCCGCGATACATTTATCAACTATCTCCGTCAGAATGTCATCAAAACTACAGAGCCGAAGAAGACGATCCGCGTCCTAACCCTATCCTCGAGCTCTACAATATCGGCATGTCTATTACAGGCCGCTGCCAACTTGGGTGTCTCGCTCGACCTTCGTATCTTGGAATCAAGACCCCTCTGCGAAGGTGTGGCCCTGGCCTCAAAGTTACTCAAACTTCGTGACGAATCCATAGACTTTACTGTGACGCTATATACAGACGCTTCGATGGCTCTGGCGGCCGACGCAGTTGATGTCGTTGTGCTCGGTGCCGATCGCATCAGTGCTACAGGCGATGTCAGCAATGTGAGTCGATGTATTTCTCTATTCTGCTACTCATACTTTCCCTCTTTGCCCCACAATGGTTTGTGAGGGACCCTACAGTGATTTCCATTGCGAATTTTATCTAGACACTAACAATACAATTAGAAAATCGGATCGTTGCCCGTTGTTCTAAGCCAAAGGCATGTCGCCCCCAATGCAAAAGTAGTAATACTAAGCGAAACCGAGAAGATAGCCTGTCCAGGCCTGGCGGAGGAGCACACGGTAGAAGACAACGACCCAGCGGAGGTGACGCAAGCTTGGAGGAAGGACGCTAAAAGTTTTGAAGTTATAGAAGACGTCCTGACTGATACTCAGAGCAACGCAACGCGAAATATCCAAGTACGCAACACGTATTTTGAATGGGTTCCTGCTCACTTTATACACGGATACCTCACCGATGAAGGGCTTTGGTCTGTCCAAGATATTGCTAAGAGATCGAGTTGGATTGGCGACGAGATGGACAGATTCTTTAAGAATCTTTAGTCTGATGAGATGGAGGATGGCTACGTCAAACTCTCACGTAATTCGTGTATTTTATGGCATAGTTTGGACATCGATGCTCTATTTGTCTGGCATGTATCACATGCTACTTATACAGCAAGAGGATGGTATCTTAAACGCATATCGGCTTACGACGACTACTATCTATATTAGGCAACTGGCAAGGGCAAATTAGATCGAGCTGGATTTGGTGTCGAAAATTGAGTACCTTGCTGGACGTTATCGACATTACAAGTATAAGCTCTGCCCGCTTCGTATTGCTAGCAGACATTTATTATATCTACTAGGTACCTACACCTAAGTATTTGAATAATTCTTCTAGTCGAATTACTTTTTTTTCCATGACGAGAAAAGTTCATTTGATGGCGTTCATATTAACTATATTATAAAGTTCTTCTTGGTTCTTGCAATTGGTTAAGGCATGATGAACTTTAATCTTGGAAAAGACTTGATATTCTTTTCCGCAAAAGCTACCATTAAAACCAGAACCTCCATATAAACCAAGAGACTGAAAACTATTTTATCGTGTAAATATTATACATATAGTCTGGCTTACAGCACACTTAGCAGACTCCGCTCGGGATTGTGTTGCTTCCCGTGCGTCTGCTGCTCGAGTATGCGGCACCTTGACCAAGACCCCTCTTAGCGAAGGCAGTCCAGCTAAAAATTGGATTGTTAGTTACAGCGCGGCCTAGGTGGGAGGAGAGTTACTTACAGCTCGCAGACATTTTCGCCGCCGGTCAATGCCTGGTCGGCGTCGATAATGGCATCACGTCCCTGGATGAAGTTGGGGTTGCATGGTTGGCTGGGAGATATAATGTTAGTCTCTACCTATTCCCGAGTCAACGTGATCTGGATCACTTACATGGCCATAGCATCAACCACAAGCTTGAGGGTCAGGTATTTTCCGTCGGTCGGGACGCCTTTGCTGTCGAACTCGGGCTTGGCACCGTCGTTCTTGCCGTGCTTGTCGATGAGGTTCCATAGGACTTCGTATAGGATCGTGGCCCACACCTCACCGATATCGTGTACCTCGTTGTACGTGTTGAGCGTCGTGTACTGGTACGGGTTGGTATTGAGGTTGGTCGAGTACAAGTAGTTTCGGATGCCTTCGGGTTTGTTGTAGACCCAGGCGCCTAGACTGTAATCGGTTGTTCGGGTGTCGCCAGGCTGTAGGCGGATGGCTGTTGCGAAGAAGTCACCCCAGCCCTCGCCCATACCGCCGGACTCGAGCGCGTTCAGACAATTGGAGTTGGCGGGGCCGCCGGTTAGACGGTTAGACACTGTTACCAGAAGAGAAGGTTAGCTAGATCGGCCCTCTGACGCTCAAGCTCTCTACTGATGCCCAGGCGAGATTGGCAAATACGTTGGCTACTTACATCCGTGGCTGTATTCGTGGATGATCACACCAGCTTCGAAGGCACAATCCCTGTAGGGGGTTGACTGAGTCCAGATGTACATCCTCATACGTCCGTTTTGTCCGTCGGGGGGCGTGGCGAAGTTGGCATTGTTGGTGCCGGAGCCGTCTTGCGAGTTGAGAATGACGAAGTCGTTGCCCTTGCCGCCTTGTCCGTTATTGTTCGACTCGAAGTTGCCTGCCGCCTCAGTGAAGCCGAGGTCGTACAACAGGTCATGGTAGGTGTTCGCTGTATAAAAGAGTTGGGCGACTGAAGCATCCGCGTAGGTTGAAGGCGGAGTTAATGTCGCATCCCACTTGTATTCGAACTTAAGAGACGAGCTTGTCGGGCGGTAGTTGTTAAGGTAATCCGAACCTCCGTCAGGGTTGGTCTGCGCGATACCGTTGTCTGTCGATAAGTTTCAATGTTAGTCACCGTCTCCCCCTAAAAGTCCATGCATAGACCGCCTACACGAACAAGGAGGTTGCTAATTTGGGTATTGACTTACTTCCGCGAGTTGTCGTATAGTTGGTCTTTCCGTCCGATAGCCACGTGAACTCGGACGTCTTCAGGTCCCACGGGTCTGTTACAACCTTGCGAGAGCCCACGTCAGGGTCATTTACTCCCCACGGACTAGTCGAACATTAGGGGACAATAGCTTAGTTGGGGGGAACCAACTTCACTTACTAGACAAGGTACGAAGCTTCGGCAACATAGTCGACCACACCATGAACTTCCTCGTTGGTGTTCGCATCAACGTACGACAATAGCCAGTTGTCGAGGATATCCGTCTCTACCCTCCACGTCAAGGCTAGGCTGCCATCGGACTTGACAAAGTAGACCAGGCGAGCCTCGGGGTCTTTCTGAGCACCCGAAGTCCCCTTGAGGGTGTAAATCTCGGTTCCCTCAGCGGCCTCCGCGGAAGCTTCTCCGGTCACCGGCAACTCGAGAACCTTGGTGGCTCCCGCGAGCGCCTGCGTGGGTTCCGAGAAAGCTCGCTTCTTCAGTGGGCTCTCTTCGGGAATAGATCCCGTGAAAAATGAGTTACCGTATGAGAAAACGGTGCCGTCGGAGGCGATCTAATGAAGGTTAGTACCAGATAGTAAATTTCCCGCGTGGTGAATCGCTATGGAGACTCACGTTGACGTTGAAGTCAGCATTATCAATGTCCAAACCATGCGCGGTCTGCTTGAAGTTGACATGCGCTATGCCGTTGTTGCCGACGTAGTGGTCGTCGACCAGGCGGAAAGTAGCGCCCGGGGCGATACTCTTTACAAGCTCGGTCGCGGTGTCGACGTACGAATCGCGTTTGAGAAGGCTGGCAGCTTTGTTAGAGCTCGTCGCCGTCTTGTTGCTGTATTCAGCCGTCTCTTTGAGGCGGAATGAGTTGAGGTCTACCGTCCGACGTCGGAGCCCGGCCTTGTAGGGCTGGGCAGGGTGGGCGTGCGCGGGGAGTGACGCGCCGAGAAGGCCGAGCAGTAGCAGAGATCTCATCATGGCGAAGAGGGAGCAGCAGAGATGGCTTGAGACGCTTGAGCTTGTCGGTGATTCTACGACAGCCCGGCGTCGAACCTTATATAGCTCGCGAAGCCTGAAATTCGGCTTGGACCTCGACACTCATCATCACCGAGCTTCCTCTTTGGAGGAGGTTCGTGATCATCGATAGACATGGTGCTTATCGGCAGGGTTGGGGTCGAGCAAGCCTCGCCTTGCCCCGCTGACCGCGGTCGTGTGCCATCACTCGGGCGACTTCTTCGCGCAAGCTCTGCTGCTAAAGAATGTCTTCTAGGTACCTACCTCTACTATGCTTGTCCTGATGCCATTGGCAGCGATGCACGAGAAGCTTGATAACCTCCCCCCTGCCCGATACGAGTTCACGAAAGGAAAGTGATTATCGGTTGCAGCGACATACCGCACGTCTTGACAGGGGCCTATGACGTTCGGAGCAGGTCCCTAGACGCGGTAGACCGGCTTGCTGGCATGCCAAGCCATCGGAGAGACGAGTGGGACGAAATAGCGCCGGATTGGTGTATTGGGAAGCTTCAATTCTATGCTGCGGCAGACCTTGCAGAAGAGTTTCGGTGCTTAGGTACGGATTTTACTCGATATAGGTTTGGCAATAATGGTAGGACCTCTCCTATTCCCGAGACGGGCTCATCGTTGAAATTTGTCTAGATAGGTAGATGCCGAGAATCAGCGTAATTGGGGTTGCTGAGGCGCGACGAGTGGGATGCAGACGGCTCTGCGAAATTCCCATGGCAAATTATTCGGTATCTGGCTGCAGAGGCCTAGGCAATCTAACTCTACGGTCGTCAATACGTTAATACGGTTGGAACTTGAACATGGGACGAACCGGCTGCCAATTTGAGAATGTCTATTCTGTTCACGATGTCTTGAGCAGACCTCTTGACCATGGCACATTCTTGTCAAGGCCTAGTCCATAAATCTCCTGGTATTCTGAGAGGCCGGCCTTGGCGCATCGGCTGACCCTTCGCTGTGCCAATGTCGCAATCTCCAGCTTGGCAGACAAGGAAGCACAATGGCGCCTCGTAGGTATGTAGGTATGTACATACGGCTTGTCAAGATAAGGAAAACTCAGCCCGGCAGATGGAACATGCGTTGCCTAGCTGGGAGGTAACTCTCGACATTAACGCATATTGTTAAGAGATCAATATATTATAGCGAGTCTTGGCTATGGGATAGTCGCGCTTAAATATGTGGTCGATACGACCCTGAAGCTTTGGGATTGGCCCGGCCTTGATTCTCTCATCTCGCAGACCTTCCTAGAGAAGTAAGCCAACCGAAGCTTGAACCGTGGTATCAAGATTGACCCAAAGCTCGAATAAGATACGAAGCAATTATCTGTCTGTCAGCTAGCAGTCAACCTACCTACCTACCTACCTACCTAGTTAACTCTACCTAATCGTCCAAGAATTTCGTGTTTTCTGCGGGTTTGGTCACATGCCACCTATAGCGAAGTCACAAATGCATCCATGGCGGCGCATAACATACCTACCCAGCTAGGTATCCTAGGGGCGATCCTGGGCGGTACGAACAGCCCTGGAGCCCTGATTCTCCGCATAGCTATTACCTTATTTCCCCGGATAGCGGCGCATAAAAATGCCCGCGAATCAACTTACTGCTTACCTGCCTACTTACTATCTACTAATAGGTAGGTAGATACTTAGGTAGATATGTAATTGTAGTCCTAGACTCCAACGTTGCACGGTTATGATTCGTTGTAGCAGCTGTGCCACTAACCCACTGCTGCGTACCTGGGTAGTTTGAGAGGCTGCCGGGTAACATACCACTGTTACCGGTGCGCCTCCCGGGTCTAGTAGGTACCTAGGCAGTTTAATCCCCGATATCGTAATCTTGGCATACATATAGATCTCTATCTAGGTAGTGAACATTCACGTCAGCATTATCAAGGCACGGCTTCTGCTCTCAACTTGAGTCCTGGGCAAGCTGAGCTAACCCGGAGTCCTTGGAGAAAATCGACCTCTTTCACCGACGCTCGCGTTGAGCTCTTCCCCACTTCGCAACATCTTGTATTTTTGTCCCTAGTGCCTAAGTACCTGTATGGTAGGTATCGCATTGCCAACCTAGGCACATCCTGTATATGGCGGCACCATCCGACATCTTGCAACTGCCTCATCTGCTTAGTTCTAGCATGTTATAACGCCCAGGAGTTAACTTGGCAAGTTCGTAAATGCTAATTACCTCGGTAGGTACATACCTACCTCGTAGGCATTAGCTAGGTAGATTGCCAACAGGACGAAATGGCTCCTATATTGGTATATTTTTTTCTCGTAATAATCACGGACCATCTATTCCTAGAAAGCGTCCTTCATATACTATGGGCGGCCTGATTCTAGCGAGAAGTTGCCAAATCGTAGGCATACAACTAGTGACAGTACTAGGTATGGTGTTTATGGGGAGCAATGGAGACTTATACTAGATCCGAAGATTACCTAGGTAGGTATATGAGAGTTACAAAAGCTTGTAACCGAAATCGTGTAAATTCAATGACTACGTACGCGTTTCTGCCAAAGAACATTGCTCGGGCGTATTGGCGTAAGTAGGTATAGTGGGCTCTAGCCTATTATAATATTTGTGATCTCCGCATTGCTAGCATCGCGGCGTCGGGAGGGAATCTACTCTGGTCGTCTCGACCACCGTGTGATTTCGTTTACTGATGCCTAATATACGGCCTCTAGTGCGATGACGAGATCGTCGATCAAGCCCGCGGCATCAGATTCCGAGAAGGAAGGTGGGCAAAAGACACCGATATCCATGGCATCGCCACTAATTGCTACTTCGACGTCTATCGTATGCTGTTGACGAGTCTCCGGTCAGCACAACAATATTACGAATTGTTATTATTATTAATAATAGCAAATATCAAGAACTACTCACTAGAAACGCCTTCCTCACTTTATTCTGCAACGTAAAGCCCGCACTCGGCTGTGCAAGGCTCTGTAGTGGTTTGTTGCTGTCAGGGGCCGGTTCTGGCTGACCAGTCGTCTCTGTCATTGTAACATTGCGGTTCGTGTATGCGGTTATCGAATCCTCCAAAGCAGGGAGAAAGTTAACGGAACTCTCAATTTGAATCCTGGTTTGATCGTATATTTCCCATAGGCCTACGCTAGCATTCTCAAATTTGCCAATTTCGAGGATATCCTTCTGAACATCAATGGCCAATCCGACAACCGATCGAGCTAGTGGTTTTCTGACTAGCAGAGGTAGAATATTTAACGTTGGAAAGGCAGCTTCTTCGAGACCACTAAAGCTCGTTCGATTTGCAAGATATATGCCAAATACGACGTCCTGGTTGAGCTCGCTTAACTCGTTGGAGCGATGCAAACCTGCCAGCGTCTTGGAATATGCTGCAAAGAAGAGTGCCTGTAGTGTTATTCCGTAGGTCGAACATTTTGCCTTGAGATTAGATACGCCCTTTTTGGCGCCGCGCCTCAGCTGTCTAACTTGCTGAAGCCTTTGGCCAGCTGTTATTGGCCCTAGTAGAGCTGATAGATGCACCAGGTTTATAGATCGAAGATAGGAAGACCAGAAATCTTGTCTTTGTCGCCGGACCTTAGGTGAATAATGGTTCGAGACGAAATCATACCACCTGGCATAGCAAGGTTCAGGAGACGGAGCCGTAATATTGTCGCACAATTCTGAGAAGCGACTTATTATTGAAGAGAGGCTGATACCGTCGTATAAGGCATGGTGGATGCGAAGATATAGATATGTTCCTTCTAGGTGCGAATTATCAATGCAGATAGAGATGAAAGGCGTCGCGGCGTCCTTGTAGGTCCATTTAGTTTGCTTAGGCTCCGGCGAAATCTGCCGTGTAGAATCTATCGGCCTCGATTTCTTTATGATTTGGACAAAGGGGATTTCTTCCGACTTGGTAGCAGCAAAGTGCGCTCTAAGTAGTGGATTCTCGGCCACTAGTTTAGACCAAGCATTCGTGACTATCTCATAGTTTATTTTGCCAGTCATACGGTACTTAAACTGTGGGAAGAAGAGAAGTCCGTCTGTATTTTGCCAAGTGCTTAACATATGTACTTGCACCGGTAGGGCTGGTAGGACAGACTCTACTTCGTCTTGACCCACCCCGGCAGCCTCGAGCATTCTCTTCATTTCAGCCAAACCAAAGAGCTTATCTAACTGCAGAGGCGCATCTTGGGGGGAAACTACAGCGCTATGGGCGCGTCCGGTTCTCTTGTTCACAATTTCGCGAATCGACGCTGCTTTTAGCATATCCCGTACGGATATCTCGAGACCGCGTTTTCGAAGCATAGATGATGCCTTGATAGCACTTATAGAATCGAGACCAAGGTGATAGATGGAATGATTGGAGTCGATGTTGTCTTTGTCTACTCCTGATAGCTCCGATAAGATATCAAGTACAGGCGACTCTAAGCTGAGAGAGTGGGGGTCGAACGACGGGGCATCCGTTGGCGCTACTCCCACTTTATTGTCGACGATGTTGGTCAAATTAAAATACTTGAGACCACAGACAGATACCTGCTCGGAAGCCTGGTCAAACTCAAGGATATCTGCATGGTTTTCAGAAAAGTAACATATGATCTGGTCGATATCCTTTAGGATTTGTTGAGCGTCGCTAAGTGATGCGTAACGTTCGTCACTGGCTACGCGCCATAGAACCGTGGTTTCCGAGATTTCCAATTCGATGCATAAAGGGTATTCCACAGCTGATGACGTATAAACAGATTTGTAAATGGGGGGATCGGCTCTGACGCTAGGTTTCTTGACGTTCTGCAAGAGGAAAAGACTATTGAATAGCGGCCCCCCCGTAGAATTAGCCATCTTTTGCACTTCGCGCAATGGAAAGTGTTGGAAGCCTATGATGTCCGACATGGTAGCTTGTAAATAGTTGAAATATTCGGTGACTGTTCCGTGAAGGACGACCCGCAATGGTACGGTATTCATGGTCGGAAAAAGTAGACCTTGAGCTTCGTCCGTGTCCCTTCCTGACAGGACTACACCAAATACAACATCGAGAGACTCGGTAATTGAAGCAAGCACCGGTGCCCAGCATCCTTGAGCCAAGACCTGAGGAGTGACGCGATATCTTTGGCATAGCGCTTTCAAATCAAGAGGGTTTAACGCCGACACTAATTCCGACCGATATATAATTGGATCGCGGTTTTTGAGCGGTCTCGTAGCTAGCTGAAGTAATGTTGGATGGACACCATCTAGATAGTCAGCCCAAAAGCTCTCGCCAGCTGTTGTAGAACTGAAAAGGAGGTGGGAAAGGTACGGCTCGTATCCTCTTCGAGCACAATAACGGCCTTCATATGCGGCTAGCACATCATCATGGAGCAATTCAAGCGACCACCCATCGTATAGAGCATGGGCAACGGATATGACTAAATAGCGATTCGCCGGCGTTTTCACAAGCGTTAGTTGGAATAAACCTGATGATCCATCGGCCACCGCTGCTCTATCTCGGGCCTTGCCGATAACCATTGGAATGTCGTCTAGGCTGGTAAGCTTCACGGCCGAATCAACCTCGAGGGGTTCTTCTCGGACGATCTGACAGAATGCGGTTTTACTGCTCGGATCATCGACGACAGCGAACGAAGTGCGTAGGATCGGGGAGTTGGCATAAACGATAGCCCAGGCTGACCTTAGCCGATCAACGTCTACGCTTGGAGAGATCTCTAGGACGTCATGGTTGAAGTAACGATGGAAGCTAGATAAGAGCATATCCGCGACCATAGAGTCCTGTAGCGGCGTCGGCGGTAAGATGGCTACAACATCGTGAAGGTTCCGGCCATCTCGTACCAGGTATTCCCTTAAAGAGGTGGTCGAGCTCATTAGACGAATCATTCCATCTTGATCATCGGTACCGTTGGAATCGGCAGCACGACATGACTGGACAATGCTGCGTATGCTTGGGCTTTTCATAATCTCGCCAACCGTGATGTGAAGTTCAAGTCTCTTGAGCCTCGTGGCGAGTTTGATGGCGTCGATGCTATCAAAACCTAGCTCGAGGAGGCTCGTGTTCTCAAGGATGTCCTCGTCAGCCAAGTCAGCTAAGTAAGCGACCTCGCGTCGAACCTTTCGCGCTTTGTCATCTCGGAAAAATTCCATTCTATCCACAGTCGACGCGTTTAAAATGTGTAAATCTTTCGCGTGATATTCTTCCTGAAAGGCCACCGAGTAATTCGTTGATATAGGACCGCTGGGAAGCAGCGTATCGTTATTCGAGCTAGCGAGATCTCCTAAGGTCCGGCCCAGCTCGTCTAATAATAGACGAACTGCGTCCTCGGTAGCAACACTGCTCTTCGCGGCGGCGTTAACCGCCAGAGATAAGTCTCGCGATAGAACCATCTCAAGCGCGAGGGGGTAGTCTAGTGATCCCGTTGAACGAACGGATGTCCATAACGGCGCTTCTTCTCTCGGGAATACGTCTTCCCGATCGAAGGCCAAGAGGGTGTCAAATAAAGGCTGGCCATTCGAGCACCATTTCTGAATATCCCGAAGCGGCGTATGCACACACTCGAGAACAGAAGCGTTGTACTCCTGTATACCCCGAACAAGCGATACCCATGTAGTATACCCGGAATGTATTTGAAAGGGGAGCGTGTTAAAAACGGGGCCAATCACATCTTCGATACCTTCAAGAACTAGAGACCTCCCAGAGAAGACGACGCCGATAGTCGGAACAAACCCGATGCGCTGACTCAACGTAACTAGCCACGCAGCCTGCAGCATGGTTTGGTGTGTTACTCTAAGAGCTATACGTCGAGCTTCTAGGCCGCGTACGCGAAAGACCCGAGAAATAGAGACATCTGACGCACCGAGCTTGGTTCCTAGGGTTGGTAGTGGCCGGAATATATGATCCCTGAAAACGTCCTCCCAGAACGTTCTATATTGGCCATGCCTGAGTAGTGGTCCGCGGGATAGCACGTCAAGGAATTTGGGGGCGCGGGTAGGAAGTTCCTTGCGATATTTAGAGCTGATTATTCGAAGTAAAAGCTCGAAGCTATGACCGTCGTAAACAGCATGGAAGAGCCGGAGTAGAAGGATTTGTCTTCCATGGTACTCGAAGTGATCGATTTCAACAGAATTCCGTAAGATGTTTTGATTTGAGATAACCCAAAGTTCCCGGCGTCGTAATGCGAAGTCTTCGATCCCCTTTCCTCCTACGCTAATCTCAAACCAAGGGATTGCCTTTCGCTTGGCGGCTACTTGAATATAACCGTCAGCAGTCGGGAGAAAAGCTGTTCTCAATATAGCGCATTCTTCGAATATGTTATCCCAGCATCGCTTGAGGTCCCCTATAGATACATTCGTGTCTAGCTCGATCTGGAATTGATTGAAATAAATCGACCGATCCTCAGCCGTTCTCGATCTCGTGACCATCCCCTCCTGAAGAGGTGTACACGGTGCTATATAATCCACATCCGCCTTGTTTATCCCTAGCATCCTACAAGCCATGCCGATATGCCTATGGTAATATGCGCGAATTGACTGATCGACTTGTAGGGCCTGTCTATTGACGGATATAGGGTGAGACTTTTGTAGAGCTTGAGAGAGACGGTCTATTTGGGGACAGCGTAAAATGAGGGAAGCGCTCGCGCGGGCGAAGCCCTTAGATTGCAAGATGAAGGCTAAACGCGCCACATTTATCGAGTCAATTCCGAGTTCGAAAATTGATGACGAAGGGAGGATTTCCGTATCTCCGATTCCCGTAATATTCGAGATCGCTAACGATATTAGACATTCCTTCTCGTCGAGTGCTCTGTGGGACGTGGTGGAACCCGCTGTAAGACTCCGTAAACGGTTGTGGGGTAATTCGGCAAAGAGAGATTTCAGACGCTTGATGTCTGCTTTATTATTTGCTGACAGAGGGATGAATGGCACGCATAGGACATAGGAGGGGACCATGTACCCGGGAAGGCGGCCTCTACACGCTTCGAGTGCCGCCCGGGATATTTCAAGGGAATGATGGTCAGAGCAAATATACAGACCCAGGGGCCCGGGTGGACAGTCGATAGGGGCTAAGAACGAAACAAGGAGGTCTCTCTCCTGTCCAAGGTGCCTCGTAACGAAAGTAGCTACATCCGCCAACCGGTTAGAGAGATCAGTTTTGATAGCGTGGTTTATCTCGCCGATCTCGAGCCTCTGGCCGCGTAGCTTGACTTGGTCGTCGGCGCGACCTAAGAAATCAAATGAGCCATTATGAAGGACACGGACAAGGTCTCCCGTGCGGTATACGCGGTCTTTATACTTCCCCAGAACTGGAAAACGCTCCTTGGTAAGGTCTTTTCTGTTCAGGTATCCTTTACCAACCAATCTCCCAGACACACACAGCTCCCCAACACCACCTCTAAGGATCGGGGTTTCGGTACCGGGTTCTAATACATACGTGCCTACGTTAGGAAATTGAGTTCCAATGTTTGTCGATCTTCCATTCGCGGGTACTCTTTGGAACATCGTGACTCCGATCGTGGCCTCTGTGGGACCATATGCATTATAGATGACCTTCTTGGGCCCCCACACTTGTAAGATCTCTTGACGAAGCTGTTCTCCTCCGGTAATAAATACACCCCTGCATAGGCTTGGGACCTCTTCAGGGTGAACGAGTCTCGCGAGGCTCGGGGTAAGGTCGATGTGGGTGATTTCCAAAATTGATATGGTCGCTATTATGTCGCTAAGCATAAGATCCTTCGGCGCCGCAACGAGAGTGATACCGACAAACCACGACCAATACTGCTCTAATACCGACACGTCAAAATGAAACGAAGCGAACTGTAACCATCTTGAGCGCGCGTCCCAATGCCCTGAAAAAAGCTGTTCAAAGGCAAGCATGGCCTGAACGGCATTATCGTGGCTGATCAGGCAACCCTTCGGGGTGCCAGTCGTACCGCTCGTATAAAGACAGTAACACGTATCCGACGAAGATATCTGGGACGTGCCCTGGTACGAAGCCGGGAAATCCGAGAGCCCACGCTCATTAATGATATATGTTGGCGTAGTCGTATTTAGTCGTAAAGAATCGCTTAGCCCCGGCCCAATTAGCAAACACGTAGCTGCCGAGTCACCTAGGATAAACTCGAGCCGGGACGCCGGGGCGCCAGGATCAAGGGATAGAAATCCGCACCCCGCTTTAAGAATTCCGAGAATCGAAAAGTAAGCCTCCGGACACTTGTCGAAGCACGTCGCGACGATGCTTCCCGGCGGCGTTTCGTGACGCAAAAGCATGTTGGCCACACGGTTGCCCATCTCGTTCAATTCGCAATAGGTCCAGGATCGTCGACGGATCGGGCTGCCTAAACCCTCGACGAACTCTAGAGCGGTCGCAGAAGGTATGCGTCGGGCAGTCTGTTCCACAAGCTGATGAAGGAGTTCTGCGGAAGACGGAAGTTCCGGGCAGCGCGCGGGGAGAATAGAGAAGAGGTCGGGCACGCGGTGAGGAAGCTCGTCAGCGCAGCCTCGAGGATTTGCTAGGAGGTCGAGAAACACCGCGTCGAACTGTTGTAGAAGAATACGTGCCTGTTCTGGTGGCAATACCCGGGAGTCGTACGTTAAATTTAGTCGTAGCCTGTCTGATATCGTCTCGACGATTTCCAGAGCGGCCACGTACTCGAGTGATGCAGTCTCGTATAGCGTCTCCCACGGAAAATTATTTTTCAATACATCTTCAGTCTGGTAACCTATAATCGTGTCAAAAAGCTGGACGTTAGGCCGATTGAGCCATCGCTGCACTTTGGGAAGGGGAGTCCGTTCGTATCGGCGCATATCCGTGTTGTATCGCATCATGTATTCGAGAAGCTCGCTGTTTGAGTTCGAGTTACACGCGAGAATAGGCAAAGTTGTCACCATCGGGAATATTACGTCCTGCTCTTCCTTTGTATTTCGCCCGTTTAGAACGATTCCAAAGCAAATACAGACTTCTCCGAGATAAGCAGACAGTACACGGGTCCAGGCTGCCTGCAAGGCGGCTCGAATGGTGACACCAGCTTTGGCAGCATTGTGACGAAGATTTTCGGAAGATGAATCGCACGTCTTAGATACAGTAGACTCAACCCGGTCGGTAACATAAAACGGCGTCATCGGTGGGAATTTGTTAATTACGAGATCCTCAGCTTTCCCTTTCCAAAAGGCTTCCGAAGTGGGCTGGGAATGTACGGGGTCGAGACACGCAGAGAGGGCCGGTCGAATTGGTGAGGGCTCCTCCTCTTCTATATTGCCAGAAAGGACACCTGTTAGCTCCCATAGCAACCTCTGCAGAGACCTCTCGTCATATAACGCATGATGCATCGCAATATGCATCGTTGACGGGCTATGCATGTGGTCGACAATAACTACTTGCCAGGGAGGGTTCGAGAGAGCATCCAATGCCCCCGAAGTAGCCTCTGCGCGCCACTCGGAATCATTGAACGCATTAGGCTGATAAAGAATCGATACTGGGGTCGCAAAGTCCGCGTTGGGGTAAACTATCATTGCGTAAGAGGTATCCTGATGGTTGACCGTTATGAATCCAGTACGGAGTATGTGGTGGCGGCTTGCAAGACGAACCCATGCGCTAACAACTTGCTGAGGGTCAAGATCAGGCTTCAAGGTTACACTTAAGAAATTAAAATAATGCGCTCCCTTAGAGCTAAGGAATTGCGAAATCATGCCTTGTTGAGTCGGCGTGCATGGTAGCAACGCTTCATAACGTTTAGTTGACTTAGGGATATTGTTCATATCGCCCGTAACGGCATCCTGGAAAGCATCAAAGTTATAAACGAAACGCTGTGTGTCATTTCCTTTACTCGTCATACGAGAAGCGATGCCGGCGCATGTCGGGTTTTCGATTACGTCTACTGCCGAAACGGAAAACGACTCTCGGCGGAGAAGATTGGCTAACTGGACAGCCCCAATACTATCCAGGCCATAGCGATATATCGACGTGTGACGTCTTATTTCGTCTTCCGGAGTCTTGACTAACCTAGATAATACAGAACGAATTCTCGTCTCAGTTTGGGTCCAGCCATGGTTGCTTTTCGACTGTTCTTGTATCGCAGCATAGGCATCCGTTTGGGGCGTTTCGTGCGTTAGAGATATTTGAGCGATGTCGTGCTGCCATCGAGCAGGTAGTTTTGGTACTGTGAATAGGTGCGAAGATGGGTGTTCTAAGCAAGCATCGAAAACGAACCGAAATATATCTAAAATACGTATCAATGTTTGGTGGGTAAATATCGATCTATTCAAGGTATATATGTAAGCACGAGTATTTATGAAACACAAGAAGGGTTTCAAAGTAGGTAGGGCTTAGAGCTCACGGATCTCGATGTAATTGTAATGTTAGGACATCTTGTTCCGGTAGAGGGATGATCTCGCACACAAGAGGTACCTATAATGAGCTTAGTCAAGAGTTCAAGGAAGGATTTGCTCTAACTAGGCGGTCATAACTTACATCCATTGCGCCGTTTTCCTGTACTAGGCACCATATATTTTCGTCCAGGGGCTGGGACTGTGGTTGAAGAAGGAGTACGGTGTCAAAAAGTCGCGATACCGGAAGTTGTGATTGTATCCTTCGTAGACTAGTAAATTGATATGGCATGATATCGGTATTGAGCTGTTGAAACTTTTTCATAACCTGATGTAGAAGTTTCATACCGGAAAGTTTTATTCGGATAGGTATGGTGTTAAAGCATGGCGCCACCAGGGTATCGATATGGTCTAAATCAGTAGAGCGTCCACTCACAACGTTTCCAAAGCAGACGTCGTTATTGTCCTGTAACAAAGATAATGTGATAGACCAAGTCGCTTGGCATAATGGCAACAGTGACATGCCTAGATCTCGGAGTCGTCTCGAAACGATGGAAAACGAGTTGCCAGAAGCGCTTCCGGACACTACATTCGATTCGGTGTCGCTTTGGAGTGGCAATTCGTCAAAGTGGGAGGGAGAAAAAGAAGTGAAGTGGTTTGCCCAGAAACTATCTGCCCCAATAGGGAGAGAGAGGGTTTCTCTGAGGAACGGCTCGAACGATAAAGGAGTCGGTAGCTGCTCGTCGCGAGATATCGCCTCAACTTCTGAGAGTAGGTATCTTATTGAAACACCGTCATAAACGGCGTGATGACAAACGAAAGATAAAAATTCGGTGCCGTCTTCTAGGACAAAAAACGCGAGCGACACGGGAGGCTGGTCTGAGTCGAGCGCAGACGGAAGGGAGCTTCCGTGCCTAAGAATATGTTCTTGTAAATGGTCCTTGTCTACCTTGATTGTCTCCCAAGTAGACAAGTAGGATTTCAAGACTACTTGAACTACCGGGTGTTGGGGAGTCTCGGTTGTAACAAAGCACGTTCGTAGTATTCCATGTCGCTGAAACATCATGTCCCAGTGCTTTCTCATAGTTTGGGACGGCAACCCGAGTCGGAAAAGCATCTGGTTGCAATAAGATCCTACCTTGGATGGAGATATGGACGATAACATGGCTTCCTGCAACGGAGTACATGGAAGGACATTTTCCACGTCCTTAAATCCCCGATTAGTGAAGCGGCTTCGGGTCGCCTCAACTAACCACTCTGGGAGGATACAACTTCTCTCTTTAGGATGAACCACTATGGGAGATGGAGCCTTACTAATGACCGAAGCAAGCCTGCCAACGCTTGGGTTTGATAAAATAACGGGCAAAGAAATTCGCTTCTGAAATACCACTTGGAGTCTTCGAGCTAGGGACATCGCAGATATAGAATCTATGCCGAGGGTAGCGAACGAAATCCAACGGCTGATCGCCTTTCTGTCGATAGTAAGCGTTTCCGAAATGACTTCCGATATCAAAGTCTCGGTCTCGGTCCATTCTGCGGAGTTATCATCAAGATCTTGAGTGGAACTATATGAACTCAAAATTCTATCGGTGAGATCATTGACAGCACGGCTTAGCAGGTTATGATCGACCTTTCCGGACGATGTCAATGGCAAGGCGGATATAGGAAAAACGAAGGACGGCACCATGTAACCTGGTAGGATAGCTCCTAGTTCCTGACGTATCATGGCAATTCCCTGTTTTGTTGAGTCCGTGATGGGTAAGAAACTAAATCTAGTAGATTCGTAGCCTGCAGGAACATAGAACAGTGCCAATTGTTGAGACGAAGTATGCCTAACGGTGACAAGCACGTTTGTGCAAGAGCTTGCAAATCCACTCCTTAGGGTGATTGCTTGTATCTCTTGAAGCTCGATCCTGAGTCCACGGAGTTTTACCTGGCTATCTATCCGTCCGAGAATGATTAAAGAGCCGTCGGGAAGCATGCGTCCAAGATCTCCGGATCGATATAAGCGACCATACTCACGGTGGTCAAAGAACTTCGCCGCCGTCAGTTCGGGCATCTCCAAGTAGCCTGCGGCCACCTGATCGCCCCCAAAACATAGCTCACCTACACAGCCGAGAGGGACTAGTTCTTCCGTGCCTAGCGAGAAAACGAAAGTTGAAGTATTTTCGAAAGACCATCCTAAATACTGCGACGAATCTCCTCGCGATACTTTCCTTACGGTGCATATATTTGTGGTCTCCGAAGGACCGTACCCTAAACCCGTCAGTATAAAGTTAGCAAGCAGGGCCCGGTAATGACACACCTTGCCAGAGTTGATCCGCCCATGTTTCCAACACCTTGTCGGTCATCGGCTCACCGGCTGCGACTAAGAACTTGACGCTAGGCACTCGACCTGGTTCTAGCAGCGAGGCGACGGTAACCGTCACGCCAAGATGGGTTACGCGAAGCGCTCGTATAATGTTTTCGAGATCCCCAAACAGGGCATCGTCGGCAGCAGAGCATAGGCACATGCCGGTCCCCCACGAGAAGAATATTTCGAATACGGACATGTCGAAGGCTTGAGAACAAGCTTGTAGCATCCGGTCGGAAGGTTCGTGAGGATAGATCCGGGATAGGACTTCGATATTGCTCAATATGTTCGCATTCGTAACCGAGACCCCTTTCGGGGCGCCCGTAGTTCCGCTGGTGTAAATGACATAGGCGAGGTCGGACACGTTCTCGGGAATTTCAAAGTTGGAGTCGGAATATTTGGCAAACGACAAGCAAGAGACATCGATGATCGAGCACGGAGCGTTCTCAACTGGCTGCAGAGGAGAAGATCTATCGATGAGACAAATTCTAGTTCGAGCCTGCTCGAGAATCAGTCGTATCCTGTGAAGTGGGGTGCTGGGAAGTATGGGAAGATATGCGCAACCGGATTTCAAGATCCCGAGTATAGTGCAATACATCAATATCGACTTCTCCATTACGAGCGCGATCACCCCACCGCCGACTACCCCGGATCCTCGAAGGTATCTAGCTATCCGGTTTGCTTGGGAGTTCAACTCTTCATATGTCAAGACGCGCGCCTCTATACCAGAAACGCCGATGGTAGATGTGAAACATAGAGCATCGTGAGTTGGAAACGTCGAGGCCGATCTCTCTACGAGCCCTGATAAGCTCCGTAGCAGCTTGAGGCGCTTCGGCTTCTCGTTGTAAATAGATAGTCTTTCAGGCGGAAAGCTTCGCGAGATACCTCCCAGCGGCTCATTGTAGTTTGTGGTAAAGTAATTGACTAGATAGTTTAGGTGTCGAAATAAGTTGTCTACCTGTAGCTCCGAAAAGGCGTCCGAGTGCCACGTGATCTGGCACGAATAATGGCTTTCTAACGGCAAAATCTCAATAAGGAGCTTGGCTTCTACCGCGTCTTGATGTGAACTCTCGTAAACGATATTATCGCCCTGTCTGCGGCTAACAAGGGATTCCTGATAAGCGAATATGATGTCAAATGGTTTCTGAGAGAGAGGGATTCCAGCTGCCCGCTTGATTTCCGCAAGAGGAAGACTGCCATATCTAAGGGTCTCCCGGTTGATGGCGTGAATCCCCTGCAAGAGCTCGGTAATGGTGGTGTATCTACTGGGAATAATTCTTAAGGGAAGCGTAGTCACGCAAGGTCCCATCACCTTCTCGATGCCAGCTATTGGAAGAGTGCGGCCGGATGATACGGAACCGATCGTCACATCATCGGCGCCACAAACCGCCCCCCAAAGCCACATTAGGCAGGCTTGGAATAGGACCTGAGGACCGATGGTCGCTCCCAGAGCGAAATCCCGCGCCACCGCAGGGTTCAACCCGATCTCCCTGCGCACTGTTCTAATCTGAGATTCTAGCACAGCTGTAGTTCTAAAGTTAGGCAGAGCTGGAGGGGTGTGTCCGCGGAGATGCTCCGCCCAAAATTCTCTAGCGTTCATCATGTCGGTTTCCGGGACTGCAGTGAAATAACAGGATACCTGTCTAAACTGAGGCCTGTCGATCGGTAGCCGGCCGCGTGCCAACAACGAAAGATCTTCGATTAGCATGTCTATAGTCCATCCGTCATATATCGAATGGTGGACGGTCATCATTACAGTGTGGTAGTCCGTTACGGATTTGCCGGGAATAATATCAAGCTTGAACGGATGACGGAGAAAATGTTCGACTTCGACACATTGAAAAGGGCGAGCGTGATCGAGAACGTCAACTTGATCTTCCCTAAGCTGTTTCCAGATTACTTGGTAGAGTTTATTATTTAGATGCGAGAACCCGGTACGTAGAATTTCGTTGCGTTGGGCCAGAGCCAGGAACCAGGACTTAATCGATTCGATAGCGAGATGGCTTGGGAAGCGAAGTTCCGTTTGATTGATATATAATCTCGCATCTTTTAGGGTTTCCGCAACCATTGCTTCCTGAAGAGGGCTGCACGTTTCCACGCGCTCGACGTCATCCAGATGTGACCGCATCACGCAGTCGTCTGTTAAGAGATTCAAATGTCGCTCTGGATGATCCAAAGCTAGGGAGCCTTCATCCGAACTAAGCGCATTCGTCACATCGCGCCGGCCGCCGATGAGGCGCGACAGCTCTCGAACAGTCAACGAATCCAAAATATCGGCGGGGCTGACAGCAACTCCGACGGCTCGAATCATTGATGCATATTCAATCGCCGACAACGAATCTAAACCTAAGGAGGGTAGACGAGTTGACGGAGCGACAGGTCGTCCGAGAATCGCCCCAGCAATCTCGCATAGTTGAACCTCTAGAGAATCGTGGAACATCTCCTCCGCATCCGGATCATGAGTAGCCACCGCCTCATAATACTCGATCAACGTTTTCTTATCAACTTTACCTGAAGGTAACAGAGGGAAATGATTCATTATCTTGACATCAGCAGGGATCATAAATGCCGGCAACCAAGACCTGCATTGGGAAAGGATTGTCAAACGAATTCTCGCAGCTTCAGAGCTTTCTTCGACTGCCGCAAAAGCCACCAAAACATTGGCAATAACAGTGGCGAAAGCACTGTGGCATCCCGGCGTGCGTAGAAGGGCATGCTCAACCTCTCCCAGTTCTATCCTCTGCCCGTTTAGCTTTACTTGTCCACCCCCTATTCTTCCGAGACATTCGATAGTGCCGTCTTGTAACATCCTGGCCTTGTCACCAGTTCTATAGATTCGGCCCCATCGTGTATCGACGAAAGCTGCCGATGTCTGCTTTGGTCGATTGATGTAGCCCGAGGCAATCTGCAGGCCCCCGACGGCAAGCTCTCCGGAATGCTCGATAGGAAGCACTCGGAAATCGGTCGTATCTGCGTCTATTATGAAGGCCGAGACAGTGCCGAGAGGGACCCCGATATTATTTATGGTAAACGTTTTTAAGAACGAAGGCTGTAGCGTGCTAAGGTCTCACATGAGCATAACATCGAGGCTAAGAGAGACAAGTCAAGCTTACCAGTGAATGGTTGCTTCCGTAGGGCCATACATCCCCCAGAGCAAGCTTTCTTGATTCTCATCGCCCCCGAATTCCCGAATAACGGGTTCAGTAAGCATCTCGCCGATTGTCAGCAACAGCCGCAAGCTTGGCGCGTTACTTCTCTTTTTCAGAAGACTGCCGGCAACTGAAGGTGTCAGCTCGCAAGCATCTATTTGCATTTCCCTTAAAATACGAGGGAGGTCTGTCAGCATATCTGCGCGGTCGCAACACACGAGGGTGCGACCGCGAAAGAGGGGGAAGAAGATCTCAAACACGGACACGTCGAAGGTAGGCGCCGCGAATTGAAGGAACCGGGCAAACGCCGGGATGTGGCGGTCGTGAGCGAGCAAGCTCTGCGTGACAGCGATATGAGAGACGCCGACACCCTTGGGCAAACCCGTCGAACCGGACGTATACATAACATATGCTAGATCTTCGGCTTCGGGTATTGTGTCAAAAGTCGACCGGGCCTCTTCACGTATTGAATCATCCGGCGGTTTGTCGATTACCAGAATTCTATACGCATCCCCATCTACCGGCAGTTTCGACTCAGATTGAAGGTCAGTTATGACGATTTTCGCACGGATATCCTTCAATATGAACCTGAGACGGTCATGGGGGGTGTTGAGGCTTAGGGGGCAAAAGGCGGCGCCGGCCTTTAAAATCGCGAGGAGACCAATATAGAGAGCAGGTGACTGCGGCAGAAGAATGGGAATGACGAGACTCTCGCCGGCGTCTGGCGGAGGTAAAGAGTACAGGATATCGGATATACGCGCAGCTAAGGCCGCTGCGGCGGTATGCAACTCAGAATAAGAGAGGGATGATCTATCGCCGACATCTGAGCGGTAATCTACCGCCGGCGCACCATCGTTACTCGACAGCGCCACCAAATCATGCAAGAGTGCCGGTCCCCGAAGAAGTTCGGGGGAAGGGTTGAGGATCGATAGTCCCCTCAAGTCTGTTGCTAGCTCCATCGAGAAATGTAGACGAAGCTATTCACAAGAATGGGAGACAAAGGGAAAGGGAAAGGGAAAGGGAAAGGGAAAAGGCAACAAATCAAAGATCTCTTATCCTTGCTCGCGCGTAAGCATATCATACTATGACACAAGTTCCACGGACGGACGTGAGAAGACTATGACTTGGGGTCATGAGTTGGAAGATAGCTTGGAATCTTTTATATGACGATGTCGTTCAACGTTGTTTAACATCGACAACCTATCATGGGTTTAGGTACATTGAGCAACAGGCAACAAACAATTGTCGCAGAGTCTAAATCAGCGTTAGCCCGAGTAACAAGCAGCAGCAGCTGGATATAGCAGAAACAACAGACGCATCTGGTTTCGATCTGAAGGCATATAGTGATCCGTGATGAGTGGTCGAGCTTAAACTTACAAACTTGAGATCTCTCAGGTACCTCGGTACTTGAGCTCTAGTCGAGCTTATTTGAGGTCGGGTGGCGCAAAGCTAGCAGGGAGAAGGAGAACGGGCCGTTAAGTGGCTTTTGTGGCTGTCCCCGCGCGGCAGGAACAGCGCGGCGCTATGTAGGCTATACAGCGCCAGGCAGCCAGGGAAGTACCTATCTCGCCAACCGCAGCCGCCCGGGAGGAGGCTTGACGCCTAATGTTTCAAATTGTTTAATGATTCCTCTTTGCGAGTCCGGACAGCTTAAGCCACAGTACAAAGGTACGTCAATAGTAGCGACTACTAGGTATGTATAACCAGATTAATCAAACTACTAGGTAGGTAGGCAGAATACCAAATCGAGAAGAGGTCGCTAGAATTTGGTGCGAAGCTTGAGTCGTTTTTGTTACTGTGAGGCTTTTTCTTCCCCTCGACTCTTGGTTGGCGACAAACGTCCCAATTCTATTACGTTTACTTTCTGCTTAGGTGATTGACTAACAGAAACGCTAAACGAAGGAAGTACAATACATGATGCTAGGTACTTGTAGGTAACGTACAACCTTACATCATCACATGCTAGCGTCATCTACTATCCATATAATATGTAGGTACTAGATTAGTAGGTACCGTAGACGCATACGTATATGCATACTCGTATGTACATGACACTCACGTCCAATTACATAGTAAGAGGATGTACTCCGGAAATCCGAAATCCGTTAATACTATTCAACAAGACGAGGCAAGACAGGGGTAAATTTTGTTGAGAGGCAACTTGGACGATATCTACATCGATCAATATTTGTATTGACTATCCCAATTCATTGGCGTCAAGCGTTCGGCTACCACGAATAGATCATTTGAACGAGAAGATGGTGAAAATAGCAAGAGAAACAAGGTCCAGTATAAAGAAACCAGTTTCTTACCAACCCGTATCTAGCATTCGCGATGTAACCCGCAGTAAAAATATCATTGTACTACCTGGGATTCGTGAGACTCGATACCCGGCGGAATGGATCACGACGGGACTTGACGAAATTTTCTAGCGAAATTACCTACCTACATACCTCCCCAAGTACTAGGTACCTACCTAGATATGTATGGAGACTGGGTATTGTGGTTTGCCATGGTGCATTCAAGCTACTGACACAGGGAAGCAGTAAATAAAATATCGTTCATATTTTAACCCAGTTGCCATCCATGATATAGGTACCTAGGTACCTACCTACTCACTTCGATTCTTATTTGGTTCGGGATAAGGCAATTAAGCATAGGAGTAAACTCACAACATCTTGAATCAAGTGCTCCCCAAATCATAAATTACCTACCTACCTACCTGCCTACCTGCCTACCTAGTACATAACCAAATAAGCACAGCTCAAGCTGCGTATTCGTTCTCGGCATGTTCCCTTTTTTTTCGAATTTCCCTTACGAATATTCCCGCGCCGAATGTAAAACGTTTTACGTATGTATAATACTTAGTATGTAGCTTGGGTTGATTGCTTCGGAACCTGTTCCTCTTCTGTTCACACGCTACCCCTAGCTCCGGTGTTCATCCAGGACCCTGGCAATGCCAAGACGCATCTTCTAGGCTGAGATCTTGACATGATCTTATCAGATCATCAGATACACCCCCCTCGTGGACCAATTACCATCGCGTACGTACCTCCAGTCAAGCCATTGCGGAAATCGATTTGCAACGAAAACCAATCGCTTGCTCTTATTATCCACATCTTGACATCGTTCATCAAACATACTTTCCCCACGCTACGATGCAAGAGAGGGAAAAAATTTTCTTCTCTTCTTTTTTTCTTCTCAATCCTTTCTATTCTCCGATCCATCTCCACCGTTCGCGTGTCATGGACGGAACGTATGTTCGTGCCGATCTTCAGCTAGGTAACCATCTATTCTTTTGCTAATGCTGTCATGACTGTCGCCGCGACATACGAGGTCGCGCCCGTTCGCAGAATTTGGAGAATGCCGAGTCGCAGATGACAGGTGATAGGTTTCTTCGCGAGATCTAGAAACGACGGTGCTATTTGTCGTCCGGTACCTACCTTTAGCACACCTAGACAATTAGTCCAGCCGCCCGTCCTAGTTACTGCTCTAGGTAGTTGATCCGCGACTTAGCCCGCCCGGGAGCTAGAGAGAAGAGATTTGGCTGACCAGGTTTGCCGCGGTAACTAAATGGCAAGGATGTTAGTCTTACTACGAAAGGAAGTTCCGTCGCGAATGCAACGATGAGAGCAGTCAGCGGAATGTTTAAACCCTTCTCAAAACTTGGAAGAGGTACTGCCTAGTATGTATGCGCTCAAATAGTGTAGCATGAAAGAGCGGCTTCGAAAAACTAGATAGGCGCCGTCCGAGGCTTCGGAGTCTCATTTTTCTCGTCCCAGCCGAGACACATTTTTTTCGGGCAGGAAAGCAAATACACGCACATACCCAATACGTACGCGTGTGAGAGAATTGGTCAAGGTACGGAGATCTCGAGGGTAAACGAGGCCCGACAATATACCCGTCGAAGATATCTCCTGCCGGGCCGGCGCCAAGATGACACAAACAATGTTTACCGTATACTTACCTGTTTGCTTTGCTTGGTGCCTGGGATGAGATACGCGAAGCGTATACTCGAGTTCCAAGCCGCGGGGAATTCCAAGGCCGAGAAATATGGGGGAAGAAGGACCCGGGCTACAGATCTGGCCGTCATCGGCATTCCATTTTTACTTAGTCTTTATGCACGAGCATCTTATCTGATCCGAAGATAAGGCCGATGTCGCTAGGTTAATGCCTCTGCACCCACGGGATCCCTTCTCCCCTCAGCCCTTGCTAGGGTCGGACGGCCGACCAGCAAAATCCATATTCTGCACACCCTATTACGCACGAGTGTGAGTCTAAGGTCGTGTTACGTAGGAGTAGCCCGTGAGGCCTAAGCTGATCTTAGAAACTGCCAACGCTAGCGTGTCGAAGCCGGCTAATCTAGTCTCGAAGTGAGACCGGCGAGGGCGTGGAGCATTGGTCGTTTCGAACTCAGGTATCCTCTTCGGGCGATTCCATCGAATCTAGCCTTCCAAATCCAAATATACGCAACCCACCAGTATCCAACATTCGAGTCGACTACCCGGGCACGTATCCTGCTTTGTATCCCGCTTTGTATCCCGCTCCTCGAGCCCGAGGCAGCTGTCGATCTACAACGCTCCTGTCTACCTACATGTCTAATCTCTTTTACGAAGTCTTCGGTACCTACCCGGGTAGTACTAGCCCGTCAAAACTCCACAAGGTCAAGACCGTAGGACATGCTTCTCTTCTTTCTCGTCCGTACTATGACACGCCTATTCAACCGTCCGATATGCATGGTGTGTCATGCCATACCGCTTGCGCCATCCAGAACCCTGGCCGCCGAAGTTTTCCACGATCCAAATAGGGATTCGTAAGGCAAGACCCGCCCTATATATAGTTTAGTACCTGCTGCTACCTGCGGCTACTTTCATATGACCCCGTCGTGATTATTTTAATAACGCTCCGGTATCCCTCGCCATCCATACCGAGAAAGACGTCCACCCAACCTCTCGGTCATCGAGCACCCGCCTCGTGCTGTTAAGTAACACCCTTTCAAGAATCTAGAAACATCCCTGCGCTTCCACGTCCGGTCAAGCTAGTTCCCGCGACGTCGCGTTCCACTACGTCATCTATCACTATAATTAATCGCCATCTCACCTCACCGAACGTAAAGTCGTGGGATTATTCGATAATTGCTGCCATGGCACCGCATAGCCTATTAGACGGCCACGAGGATGGTCCCGTCGGCAACGGATTCTCGCACAACGGTTCTCATGCCGAGTCGAACGCACAACTAAGCAACGGTGTCTCATATACCCAGTCGCACCTGAAGAGGACGGCGCCAGAGAGCGTGCATGATTTAGTCTGCGTCGGATTCGGGCCCGCCAGCCTCGCGGTCGCGGTCGCTCTACACGATTCCATCGACCGCGGGAACCTCTCGAAAACGGGAGACGCATCGCCGCCGAAAGTCCTCTTCCTGGAAAAGCAGCCGCGTTTCGCGTGGCACGCCGGGATGCTCCTCCCGGGCGCGAAGATGCAGATATCATTCGTCAAAGATATGGCAAGCTTGAGGGATCCGACTTCGCAATTCACCTTCCTAAACTACCTCCACAAGAACGGCCGCCTCGTCGAATTCACTAACCTTAACACGTTCTTGCCTGCGAGAGTCGAATACGAGGACTACCTCCGATGGTGCGCGAGTAGCTTCGACGACGTCGTCCGCTATAATACGGAAGTCGTCTCAGTCTCTCCCGACAAGGTTTCAGAATCCGCAGGTTCGGTCTCTACCTTCACAGTCACGTCGAAGAACGTTAAAACGGGTGCCTTGACGAGCTACAAGGCCAGGAATGTCTTGTTGGCCATCGGCGGGCAGGCCTCGATTCCGAAGTGCCTTCCTTCAAACCACCCTCGAGTAATCCACTCTTCCCAATACTCTCATCTCGTGCCGCAGATCCTCGACAAGCGAGATTCCCCTTACCGCGTAGCCGTGGTCGGGGCGGGACAGAGCGCGGCCGAGATCTTTAACAACGTCCAGACTCTCTACCCGAATTCTCGGACGTCGCTGATCATGCGATCCGAGTTCCTCAAGCCTAGCGACGATTCGCCTTTGTAAGTCTACCCAGCTGTTAAGCGCATTCCCGATCCTCATGTCGGGCTTTTCCCCCTCATCTTAAAATTACGCGGTGTTAATTATCGACAGCGTCAATTCTATCTTCAACCCGTCGTTCGTGGACTCTCTATATCAGAGATCTGCCGAGAGCAGACATTCCTTGTTAGAAGGTGCGCGAAGCACCAACTATGGAGTGGTGCGCCTAGAACTTATCGAGCGCCTTTACGAACGGATGTACGACCAGAGACGGGAGATCGGTAGCGACGAGCGGAAGTGGCCGCATCGCATCCTAAACGCTACCGACGTCGTCGGCCTCGACACGAAGGCGGACCAGCTGCGACTCACCGTCCGCCCTCTAGATCCGACAAAGCAAGACAACTATAGATCGAGCGAGAACGGCCTCGGAAATAGCGCGGATGAGGTCCTAGACGTAGACCTCGTCATCGCAGCAACCGGCTACCAGCGACAATCTCATCTCACCATGATGGAAGACGTGGCCGACCTGTTGCCTAAAGCCGACGAGTCGAACGGAGCTCCTGCGAGAGGGGGATTCGGGTCAAAATTCTCCGAATCCAGGATCAGAGATCACGCATTACGAGTCTCACGCGATTATAGCGTTCAATTCGCCCCCGGGAAAGTATCATCGGGATCCGGCATTTGGCTTCAAGGATGCTGCGAGGGAACGCACGGGGTAAGAAAGCTCGAGAATCTACCTAACCCTCTTGATTTCCGCACACGCTAACCTGTAACCCTAGCTGAGCGATACCTTGTTATCCGTGTTAGCCACCCGCTCCGGAGAGATCGTCAACTCGATATTCGGCGAGAGAGCATAAGCTCCTAAAATAACATTCCATCCGAACGAACGTCGTCTACGGCGAATCGTGATACATAGTACATAGATATGCATAGTAGTATTTTTCCATAGAGACCGCCGGAGAGACTGAGATACGGCAAAGAGAGTCGAAAGCGATATATTTGCATCGAGACACCGGGGTAACGCACGTCTTGTTTGGGCGGCATCTAAGCCTCACGGTGAAAAAGTTCTGAGATAGGGCAGTCACATACCATTTTGCCCGTAGGTAGTAATAAAATATCAGTTTGGTTCACGAGCAGTTTAGCCTGGCGTACGATGCCATATTCCTTGTAAGATGTCATTATTTACCAAGGAACTTGGTTACCTACCTTGTACATACCTGAGTAATATGAATACATCCAGACAAGAATTATCTCCTATCTTTGTAAATATCCGATCCCCTTCCCCCTTTTTTGGCAGGATCTGACATAACCTTACATGGTGGCGCTAACAAAACCGACTCATATGCGCTATACGAACGCCAATACCTATTTTACCGACGCATCCCATGTAGAAGCATATAACAATATTTATACGCATAGGTATATTAACGAAACAATCCGAAAACGAAAATGTTGTGAGTAACGAACCTAATAAGTGCGTGTCTAATGCAATAGTCGCAAAGTAAGCTGATTTTATTGATTCGTATCCCTAGGTGAATAGGTACTACCCTCTCGTTGTTTTATCTAGGCATTCTGAGTTGATGAAGGCGTCAGCAAAACGTTCGTCAACATAAGCTTAGTCACGGGTCCATCCTCATTAGGAGCTACCTAGGTAGTTACCTATATAAATACCTACGAACGTTTCTTACAAAAGTTCTTGGTCGCATATCCATCAATATCTGAGCGTATTGCGAAGAAAATTTCCTCGATGGCATCTTCATTGCGTTATGCAACACTTGTCGCTCTCTTCGGCCTCGGGTCATGCGTTGTGTCAACACAACATACTGAGCGCCAAATCTCAAGCATCGACAGATCTACGTTAGATGGGAAATTATTTGTGGGATACCAAGCGTGGTTCCGCAAACCGTTGGAAGATGACGGGAATTCGCACTGGACAACGTTCGAGACCTTTCGTACATATAATATTTTATTATCTAGACTGACTCCTAACTCATAGAGACACTCCATCGCCGGAAGTCGGCCACGGTGAGCATGTGAAGATGGTGATGGTATGGAGATGACGATCTGACGTGTTTTACAGTTGGGGTCGATATGATACCTAATATAACAGGTTATCCATCCGAATGTCTCTTCGACACTCCCTTTACGCTCCCTGGCGGGGGAAACGCCCAATTTTATACAAACGACTGTGAGGGCGTCGTTGACATGCATTTTAAGATTATGGCAGACAATGGAATAAGCGGCGCTTTCATGCAGAGGTTCTACGGCTATATCAACGAGGCTAGCGGCGGCTGGGTTAATGTTTGTTATCTACCTAACTATGCTATTGGTAAAGATTACGCTCTAATAAAGAGACAGATTCTCAATTATACGAAAATAGCTGCGGAGAAATACGGACGAGGATTCGTGATAGAATATGATCTTAATGGCGCCGCCACCACCTCGACGAATGTGACGAGCACTTTTCTCGCTGACCTCGCGGCCCTAAATTCTATAATATCGTCTCCGGCATATATGCATCACAACGGAAAACCCGTCCTTGAGATATGGGGTTTTGGTATCGTGACATCCGTCACGGTCGATGACGGGATCGCAATAGTTACCGCGCTCAAAAACGCCGGCTGGTACGTGATCCTGGGAGTGCAGCAGGCATGGCACGCAGAGCTAGCGGCGAACCAGCCGGGGGGCTACGGATCAGTTTATCAACTTGCCGATATGATACAGCCTTGGACTGTCGGAGCTTACGACATGAGCAGCTACGACAGTTTCCATGACGGACGACAGGCTGTCGAAGATGCTAACGCGTTACGCGATATGGGAATAGCGAGTAGTATCGTCGTGTGGCCTGGAGGTTCTAGTAGCAATGCGAATCCGAGTGAGACATTCGACCACTTTCCAAGATGGAATGGAACATTCTATCAAAAACAACTAGACGGTGCGGTAAACCTCAAGCCTACCTTCATATTCGGCGCCATGTTCGACGAAGTGAACGAGGGAACCGCGATTTTGCCTTTACTAAGGAATAAAGAATTACCTACAAACCAGAAGTTTCTGGGCATCGATGATAATATGGAGCCTGATGCCTATGTAAAAATGGCTGGAGATGCGGCGTTGAAATTTGCTTCAACTTCATAATACTTTACAATTGCACTCCTAGGGTTAGGGTTAGGGTTAGGGTTAGGGTTAGGGTTAGGGTTAGGGTTAGGGTTAGGGTTAGGGTTAGGGTTAGGGTTAGGGTTAGGGTTAGGG